TTTGCATATTGGTTTAATGTTTAGATTTCACTTGAATCCATGAATCGTCCGCCAATCCTTTTGAATCAATCCATGAATCCAATCTACCATAACAAAGAATATCAATTTAGTTTGTACCATACAAGATGTTGTATCACTCAACTGTATTCATTTTGCTTCTCCCTAAATTTTTTTTTCACTCGAGCTGGAATTTTCTACAATTATATATGGAATGTTTGGCTAGGTATCTACATTTATCAAATAATAGTTTCCATTTTTCTATTAAAAAGGTAAATAATTATCATCTTAAATACACCACCATAAAGGAATTAAGCCTCAAATATACAAATTACAGTTCGGTACCTAAACTTAATAGATCTTTAGATTTATAACCTAAATTTTTTTTTGTTGGCACATAAGTCCCCAAATATTGATTGAACAATACATTTTAGTATCTACAATTTTTGTGTATGACATTTTGGTGCCTAAACTTTTGAAGTTCTACAAATTTGTCTAATTTTTGAATGTGTAATTAAAACACCCTCGAATAAATGGGTATTCATACCCAACTCATACACATTTAGGTTATGTTTATGTAAGTACATAATCATATCCTACCCAAACTCATCTACAAACTTTCAAACTCATATATACGTCACCCATACCATACCCATAATCAATGGGTCTACTTGGGTTTAGGTAAATATCATTTATTAGCCAAAAATTAAAAAAAATTTAATGTTGACTGCCATATATCTCTTCTCAGTTAATATCATATTGTGAAGTCAATATTACTAACAAAACTGCTAACAAAAAATTAATTTTAGACTAATAATACAAACAAACACCATAACGGATCACATAATACATGCATGCCCATATACCATCTCCACCCGCGACAAGGCGCGGTATCGCCACCTAGTTTTAATATTTATTTTAGGAGCGTTCATTGAGTGATTGTGGCTCAAGACTTGGATAATTAGCTAGATTTATGACGAAACTTCATCTTCAATTTTTTTATGATTAGACTTAATTACTAGTAGTGATATTGTAGTTAAATGATGCATATGGTTTAAGAAATAAACGTTATTTAGTTTGAAGATTTCTTTCATCTTATATTTAGAACAATATGAATCATGCGACATTTGGAATGTATGTCGTAACCCGCCCAACCACTTATCATACTGCAATCAGCCAACCCACCCACATGTACATGCATGAGTGGATGTGGTCATTTTTTCTTTCATACATCACGTAGTGAGTGGTTCCAAATTTACCCAAATCCTACCACTCACTGCTCAACCCTAACTATAACCCTTCTCACCAGACACTTGACTAATTTGCTTGTTGGAGTTTAAACATAAATGTTTTGGCTAAAACTTTGGACTTGGAAAATGAAGTACTAGCAGTGACGAATGTATGTCTTTTGTCGATTTGAAAAATTGATGTTTCTTGTTGGATTTTGCTGAATTGGATTGATCGGTTTAAGGGTGATTTTGATTATTAGTGATGTAGGATTTTATTACGAGGATACAAAACAAGTGAAAATAGAATCCGGAAAGGTGAAAAAAGGAGTTAAAAACACATAGAACTAGAAGCGAAAGAAAGATCCACAAAACACTAATAGCTAATGCTGCTTCAGGGAGGCTGGAAAGATGGAGAAGACTGAGAGCCGTGGAGGAGGGAATAGACGCTCCTCTATTACAAGACTTATTAATCAACATAGAAATTACTAGCTTTTTACCCGGCCTGTTTGCCGGTGAGTTTAATTTTACCATTTACATTAATCAATTTATCTATATCATTAAACTATTTTGAATCTTCTAACTTTTTTACATTTGCATTCCTTGGTGAGTATGCGGTGCGTCTATAAATTAAAAATTCTCAATACTTAGCACATTCACTTATGATACTTCGATTCACTGATCATAAATCATGTCACAAAGATATATCACGTCCCATATAGAATCTTATGTCAAGATTTGTCAATAATAATACTCAATTTTTTTGTCTTATACAATATATGCCATTCAATGAATGTCGAGTTTGGACGAACTCTCAACCAATGATGTTGCCCAGATGACGACAATTTAGTTAGAATTTTTTATAAAGGTACTTCAATATTACATAAATTTGGTCATCCCAATTGAAATTTTACTGTCTTAGTGTAAGATCATATTTGTCTATCAAGACACTCAATTTAATATCTTATACAATATGTACCAATTGTTAATTCTTGAAGTTTAATATAGACTCGCCTTCAACTCATGGTCGTTGTTTAGATGTTGGTTTAGAATCTCGGTCCAAGATACTCACACACTGCCAAGGGTTCTAATCTTAACATGGTCCATTGTTGTATAATTTTCTAACTTATCAAATATGCATTTGCTAAAATTTATTTATCTTTGGTGTTTGTTTTGAGATAAAAAAATCCACTACTTATACTAATATCTTCATTTTGTTGGTGTAATGCCACATCTATTGTCAATATCTAAGCATGATCTTATACTCTAAGTAAGAAAACGCTATCTGGACCACGAATTAACCGGATTTGTGGGCATGATACTATACCCTAACCCTTGATGAGTGAACCCTAAGTCTTAGTTATATAAATCATAGAGCTTAACCCCTAAGATTGTGCATGTAATTTGTTGCATAGATTTTAACGAATCATGACCATTGATTTTTGTTTATAATTAAATTGATCTTAGGTATAAGATTTATAAATTTAAGACCTAGATTTTAATCTTTAAGGGTTTGAGAATAATACCATATGCAACTCTGGTCAATTCAAGGTCTAGATATCATTTTCTTACTCAAGGTATGTCATAATATACATATATAAATATAAAGGGTTTAATGTATTTTTACATGTAATTAACACCTTTGTTTGACCGAAATATGTAAACTGTTAAGAAAAATAAGGGGAAGTATGGACAAATGTAAGAGAAAATAAGGTATGGAAGCATGCATTATAAGAGAGAAGAAATGTTGTCTTTCTTTATCGTCTTCATTTGTACAATCAGGTACTATATTATGGTTTCGTCAAGTTTCTATCAAAATGAAAAAACAACTTTTGAAGCATTTTGCTATTTAATACTTGTTTTCAGGATAGATATAAACATTAGAAAAAGATAGCGTTTGATAACCAAAACATAAAATTATATAGTTGATTTTTCAAATTCAATTGATTATTAAATGTTAATTATCTAAACTTCCTTCATTATATTTTTTAATTTTTATTACTTATCTGTGTGTTTAATTTATTTTTTATCGAAATATAACATATATTAAGTTCTAATAAAAAGAAAAAGAAACATTAATTGATCAGATTTAATCAAATATATTTTTTGAAGCATTACAATATATGTCACTCTCCAAACATAAGTATACTGCTGCTACATATATATTAAAAAATACTGTTATTGAATAAAAAAAGAAAACATTAAAAGAAGATAGAGATAACTACATCTATGATCATTAAAATAAAAAGAAAATATTAAAAAAAGATAGATAGCTCTACATTAATTGATCATTAACTAACTTTTTTGTTTGTAAAAAAAGTGTCCACCATGGCACCTTGTAAATTCTCCAATTGCTTATGTGGAAACAAACTACTTTTAAATTGCTATAATATTATGTATAGATTTGCATACCAGTATCCACAAATCACATCCCAATTTGTGAGAACTACCCACAAAGATGCATGGTCATCGGATATCACGCGCTAGGTACTATACAACATTTGGATGGAACTGGTGGCGATTTCGTAAACAAATTGACATTTGCTTCCATCCAACGGCGGAGCACCTAACAGGCAATTCAACAATTAAACATCTAACTAATGAGCATGTTCTCACAAGCGTCTTTTGAGCACAACAAAATTGTCACAAATCGACTAGTACGGGGAACAACTAATAGATATGCTAAATAAACACATGAAAGATAGAATATCGATTAGGGATACCAGCTAGCTCCACACCCACACCCGCACCCACCCATCAGCATCGATCCCAAAATAGTGACAACTTTGAAGCTTGGAGATCGATCTTCACATGTAAACCTAAACAACAAGAGACAAGTGCAGAAGTAAAGCAAAGATTAAAGGCTCCAAAACCAGAGAGGGAGAGAAAAAGGAAGGGCAATAGGCTAGCCTGGTAAAGCCCAAAAGCAGAGTTGCCAGGATGGGAACAAACAAACCAGCAAAGCAAGCAGGCATGAAACCTGAAACCAAAGCAGAAATATGTGCAAAAAAGAATCGCTTTGGCAATCCCAAGAAAGGAAGGAAGCAAGGAAGGACAGATTTGAAAAACAAAAGAAAAAGGGAACCATCCATTGATCAAAATATTCTTCAGAGCCTTCTCTTTTCATCTTCTGATAAAAGCAAAGCACCCATAACACTGCCCAATATGAGAAACAAGAAACCAAAAAGAGCACTCTCTCTAGTCTCTTCACCCTTCCTCTCTCTTTTTGGTTCTTTACGTTCCCACGGCAAAGTAAAGCACAAAGCCACAGCCCACAGGGAGAAGATACAACTAGGGAATGCCAATCTAGCAGCATGCTTGATTTGATCTGTCTTGATTCGCTTTTTCGTGGGTATGTATCTGATCCGTCAGTAAACAGAGCAATACGGTAAAGCACGAGTCTTTCTTCGTTCCGTGCCATCAGAAATGCTTTTTATTTGTTACAATTTCCAACTGATCGTGTAGCAATAATAGGGTTCTTCATTTCCTGAAGATCCTTCTACTGGGAAAATATTTTCATCTGATTTGCTCTGATTTGTCGAATTGGATTCAAGGGATTATGGACAGAGAGAGCAATGGATGGCAAAATGACAGCATAAGTGGACAAGACTCAGAAATATTGAGCATTAAAGGAAAAAATTGCATCTTTGGACATGGCATTTCAAGAGGGTTCTATCTTCTTCTCATTTCACAATGGAAACTTGACTCTTTCTATTAGATACTAAAATCCCATAAAAAGGTGAGGGGTTAGATTGAACATTTGTCTCTTTTTTACTTTCAGAAGTTTGTGGTCCAGTTGAGATGACCCAGTTGAGGCTGCTGCTGGTAAGCACCTACTTGACCACCAGGTGCAGCTTGCGCTACACCAACGCCACCGCCCATCACTGGAGGACCCATATGGTGCGGGTTGGCCATCCCAGCTGGCTGTGCAGAAGGATACAACCCAGGATACTGCATGTGGGAAGATTGTGCCGCAGCGGCATTGAACGATGCATGACCAGCGTGAGACGGCAGATAAGCAGCAGCGTGTGGCGATTGTCCTGTCATGTTGTAGTATTGAGCAGCAGATTGCATGCCGGGGAGATCCCTTGGGTTCTGAATCCACATCTCAGATGTCTCGGCCTGCCACATATTGGAAATAAAAAACATCAATCAAGTTAACATGAAACTGCATAGAGCATTCAAAGAAAAAAAGAAACTGCAAAGGGCTAGAGGGTGGATTTGTTTCAGTTTTGGTCAATCGGGACAAAGGAACTTAGTTGTGAAACCAAAACCAACATTGCAGTTTCAGTAAACCAAAACACAATACTTGCGCAAGTAACCAAGATGATAAAAAAGATTAACAAGTAGCGAAAGTACAATATCAAGTTCAGGATTCTTTCACTAAAAAAAGTTCAGCACACCTAAACTTATAACAGAAGGTGCTACATTCATGCCAAGGAAATCACATTGCTAATCGCTGATGCACACATACTAGCATTAATCTAATGCAAAAAACCCTAAGGTTTCCAACGACTCTCAATGACAAAGTAACAATCGTAACGAAGATCGCAAGTAACCCAGTGATCAGAGCCACACGAAGCTCATAAGTTCTCTAGGTCAATTCATTTCTAAGATGACTTCTACCAACATAGTTTACACATTACCTGTGGATTAGTGACGTAGAGGTTTCCATCCTTATACTTAATCCGAGAAGGGTCTTCAAGTCCTGTTCCATTCCCAACCACACCAGGAGCATTCATCGCATATCCAGTTGGGCTAGTGAAATTTCCATAAGCAGAGGGACTGCTACCAGGAACCGTCTTGAACTGCTGAACGCCATACTTTAACCCATTCGCATTGAGGTGAGACCCACCTCCAGGCATTAGCACATAACTGCTGCCATTTGATGGGTGTGCATATGCAGCAGCATTGCTCGAGTAGCCAGCCATGGCCATCTGTGGTAGGTAAACTGGAGAAACAAATTGGCGAAAGGGCATCATGTTGGCGAAATGGGGCATGTGCACTTGTTGATACATCTGAGCGGCAATTGGTTGAGGCTGCTGCTGCTGTACCATCGATATTGTGGATGACGGAATGCTGTGGGGAGTGTGTGAAGCTAGAGACTGCAATCAATACATAAAAAATAATGCAAAGATCCATGGTTGTCAGCATATAGATTTTAGGAACTTCTAAAGAGTTTTTCATACATTGTGGGTAGCAGCTGACAACGTTTGCCCATACCCTAGATCGAGAATACTAAAATCGCATTATTTTATGATATAAGTGTAAAAAATTAACAATATTGCAAACATCAGTGAAGCATGTATTAAACATTCAAGAAAGCTGTATAAATTTTTACCTCTTGGGGAGAAGGCAAACCCTGCTGTCCTCTTGCAGTTTCATCATATGAAGGTCTAAAGTACGACATACCATAACCCACCTGTGGATCATACCCCTGCTTGAACAAAAAATGCAGATCAAATTTTGTCTCCCGAATCCAGAACAAGAATGTTGAAGTAATTGCTGGAATAAGGAACTCACTTGAAAGCTCTGTGATTCAGAAAGATCTTGATGCTGCTGGTGTGACTCGATGTGATCGTAAGACGGACTGCTTTCTTGAACCAAACCAATATCCGAATAATTATCCAAGTTCGGAGAACTAGGAGATTTATCAGGCAACTGTGGCTCAGATGCCCCACCCGAAGCTGGAGAAGCGGAGCCAGAATGTCTCAATTTCTCATCTGATACTGCATCGATCTTGGTACCAGAAGCATCATCTCCAGTAGACTCCGTAACAGATGCGGTCAAACTGTCATCAGGATAAAAATTCTGTCACTAACTTCACAAGATTCCAACAGCATTGCAAGGGTACTTATTCTAATTGACTATGTAAAATAATCAAAAGATAGACATGCTTTGAGATGCCTTATTTAAAACAAACAAGGCTCTGCATGTAAGGAGCCCCCAGTTGTGGCCCATAGAACAACTCAACCTTTTGGATTTAAACAAAAACGTCAGATTTTCCATTTAGGTATATTATTTCCTCAACAAAAAGATTTCATTCCGAATAATTTTATGTATCTATCCATCATAAAATGAGTTCAGTTGACAATTATTCATGGCCATCCATAGCAAACGAGTATACAGTAAAGATGTGCAGAATCATCAATAATGAACTATGTGATTAAAACGCAAACCTTGTAGTAGATTCCCTGTTACTTTCTTCTGTAACTCCAACTGTTGAAAATCCAGCAGTCAAATTCCTGGGGGAATCAAGCTCAATCCCAAAACTTCCAAAGGTAAGCCTGCAACGGTCAGTTTCAGGCACTCGAATATGCTGCGCAATGATCACGTTCTGGTTCTCATTGATGTTCGCCCGAGAAAACTTATCAGGCAAATCAGCAGCTACAGCTTCCAATCCCTTAGAATTATCACCAACATGTGAGCTTGATTTTTTGGGTGTTCCGATCACTCCAGGTCCATTGGCACTAGACTTTTTACTTGTTTTAGGTTTCCACTCTTTATTATGCTGAGGAGCTGCACATAAAGGGTCACAAAATATAAGCACATTTTTAGTCAAAATTAAAAGAATAAACAAACTATTGCTGCACAAGCATATATCCATGAGGCTTTTTACCCTTTTGATGACCTGCAGCTTGCTGATGAGGTCTGCTGTTATACTGACCGCCTAAGAACGATCTGCTAACAGAAACACCAGACGCAACAGCTTCACTTGCATTAGCTTGATGACTGACTTGGTCATTCTTAGAGATTCCAAGAAAAGGTTGGAATGGCTCCGACAAAGAGCTATCTTTGGTCAATGCAGAACTCGGTAATGAACTACTAGTTGCAGATAGATCTTTTATAGGACTTCCAATATTTTGTCGGCGACCACCCACCACACCAACTTCACGTTTGATAGCTCCAACAGCAGCAGTTGGTCTGGCATCAGGAGATGGAACATGAACAGGATCTGTTGAAGAGGAGTACACTCCAACTACAGTAGACTGGTTTTGAGAACTGTTAGGTCTTCCTCCCTGTACTCGTGAAGCTGCACCGGGTGTCACTGCCCTTTTCTCATCCAGATTAGCTCTCGATTCAGTTCCCCTCAAGTTACCATCTCTGTTGTGTCTAACACCTTGAGAAACAGTAGGACCATTAGTAGCCTGAGAGGGACCGAGTTCAGCAGACGCTTTCAGAGCACTTGACTTCGAAGTTGACCTAGAGAGGAATCAACACACAAAACATGTGAGAAACTACGAAGTTACAGAGTGGCCGCATATGATTGTGTAATATGAAAAAGATCAACAATATTCATCCCTCATGTTTGCATCATCAATCACTCAACTAGTCAAAGAATGCTAATGCAGTAACAAAAGGTTTCTGACTCTGAACTGTGCAGGAAAAGATATGAGCATACATACCCCTTGACGGCATGCTCATTGGACGATGAACTCTCAGAAAAATCAGACTTCAGTTCTCTATTAGTAGTTCCATTGACTCTATTGTCCCTCACAACACGAAACTCTCTGCTCGGCCCACTACTGCTAGGGACAGCATTGCGGATGTAGCCTCCTCGTCTGCCATTGCGGTCATTAAATGTCCTAACTCCTTGAACAAAATTCTCAGAACCTCTTCTGAACTCTCCCGAACCCCTGTAACCCATAGTCTGAGGCCATAAGCATATAAACCCATGAGTACACATTAGAAAGAATAAGAATAAAGTTGGAGGAAAAAACACCATATGGAAAGTAGAATACCTCCTTTTTCCTATCCTTTCTTCTCCTCACTTCATGGAAGGGGTCTGATAGAAGAAAAATGAAACACACTTGAATAAGATATAGTGCTTCAACATCAGTAACACAAGTACTAATAGTGCACCATAAGGGGAACAGACTCATAATAAACTTAAAAATGCCCCATCTATCAGAACCATTGCCAGGCTAACCACTAGTCAGGCAAATGGGAGCAGCCACAAACTATTGAGGGAAATAACAAGTTCATAGAAGACGATCAAACAATAATATTCTAATGTTATAGCAATACTATCTCACACCAACAGACATGCACGAAGATTCTTACATCTGAGCTGTGACCTAGAACCTTGCAAGGATCCTACATCACATAAATAAGCTATTAAACAACATTCCAGACAACTTAACAATGAAAAGCTCTAAACCCTTGGCACCACAAAAGTCCAATGCTTAGATGAAGCATTAGAAAAGCTTCTTTCATTCCGCAACCTGAACCAAACACAATAACCTCCTAGTGAAAGTTGCCAACACTTATAGAAGCTGCCTACAGCATACTGAAACCTCACAATGCCAGAAATTCACTGTCAAGTCATATTATTAGGTGACGATCACCAAGAGCATGAAACTACACCTAGCACCAGAATAACAGCACATTAAGCTTGTAAGAGCCAAAAATTCCGAATTCCAAGAGGAACACACATATCTTCCGACACAGCTCAAGCAATGATACGATTTTCAGACTCTTAAAATCATAAGGCTTGAACTTTGTCCCCCACATTGACAAACAGAGCAAAATGTATCAAGTTGGCTATTCTATACTTCAGAAGACGCACCACCTTCATAGACCCCTCATTTATCTACTGGAAGCAAAAGTTTCCAAACCCCAAAAACAGCGTCAGCACAAGCCAGCAAAAAAGGGGAATGAATAGGCGCAAAACCTTGGCTAAGCAACTTCTGGGCAGTTTCATTAGGGTCCATATTGGACTCCTTGAGTGCTATATAGATATCAGCATCGGAGAAATTCCCCACAATCTCTTTAATCGACTGTATCGTTTTCCTCACTCTAGCGGACATAATATGCGCCGCCGGCTGCGACTGCGGCTGAGTCCCACTACTGGAAGAAGCAGCAACGGCAGTAGAGCCCGCCATCTCTCAGAAGCAAAACAAACGAAGAAAACCGCCGCCGACCCAGTAATCCGAGAAACGGGAACCGAAGCCCCGTCCCGCGAAAAGTGCCGAAACAGGGAGAAAGGAAAGGTAGGTTCGTTTGTACGAGGAAGGGGAATGGTGTTAGGGTTTGGGCAGTTTTATAGATGGTGAGACAAGAAAAAGGGGAACGGCTTAGCGGTTGGGAAGAGGAAGAAGGAGGTGGTGGAGAAGAGGAAGAGTGGGGGTTTGGGAGAAGCAAGCAAGCAAGCGAGCGAGCGAGGGTTTTGAATACGTTTTGCCCTCCCGCACACAGACACTGAATGGAAAGAAATCAATCACTCGCGCTCTGCATTTGGGCCTTCGTTCCCGAATTGACGGATTTATCCCTAGTATATCCTTCTTCATATTCATCTAAGAGAGCTTTTTAGTATGCTATATAGTATGAGTGCTTTACTATGTCTATAGCCCTTAGATCTTGTTATAAAATATCAGCCATTGGATTAAAGTTATTTAATTATTATTTTTTTACCCGTTGGAATGGTAACCTGTTGCACCGGTTCCAGAGCCTCGTCGAGTTTCAGAGCCTCTCTTCCGCGGTGGGATTTCAGAGCGTCTCTTCGTCGATAGTGACGGGATTGATTGGCGGCGACGGCGAATCTGCATCTGAATTAGGGCGACGGCGACAACGAACCTGCATCAAGGGGCGATGGTGACGGCGACACTGTGAGAAGAAAGAGATTGGGGGTTCCGTTTCTCGACTCTCAAAGCTCCCGACTTCGCATGCGGCATGTCAAAGGCGGAACAACATCACTTGATCTGAATTCTTAAGGGTTCCTTTGGGGGAGTCGGAATTCCCCACTGTAGATGGAGAGTTGCAGTGCTGAGGAGGGATTCTTCGATACTAGGGAAGAGGTCTCTTCCATCTCCGATTGGGCTTCCGATTCCGACGGCAACGGTGTTTTCGCTAATTCTCAGTTCGAGATTTGGGGTAAGAATATGGAGAGCGTAGAGGATCGGCGATGGAGGTTCCTCGGATAGATGAATCCGAGTTTCGACCGGGGTTCGGTGAAGGAATTGGAGAAGGAAAGTCCCGACAAGATCGAATTGGGAGTTGATAGAGTGATGGATGATAGCAGCGCAGTGTTGAGAACTTCTGGTTCTGATGAACCCGACCTCTGGTCTGACACTTTGTCACGGTCTACTTCTTGCTAGTCAGCTGAAGCTCGGGAGTCGTTTGAAGATGGTGCTTCGGAGGTGGATTTCATGTACAAGATTAGGAACTTAGACGACGGAAGGGAGTTTGTCTTCGAAGAACTGGATCAAGATTGTATTCTGGTTCGATGGATGGGACAATCAAGGTGTGGGATTTGAACACCGAGGAGTGCATTCAAACACTCAAGGCACACGATGGTGCTGTGACGTTTGTTATCTGCTGGAATACGACCCTGGTGTCTTGCTCACTGGATAAGAAGGTCAAGTTCTGGGGTTGCGCTGAAGATGACAGTGATGATATAAGCCTTTTGTACACACATGAAGAGGAAAGTGCTGCAGTTGCTCTTGGTGGGATGAATGATTCCGAAGGAAAACCAGTCTTGTTCTGTTCGTGGAGCAACTGTAGTGTTGGGTTATACGAGTTGCCAACACTCGAAGAGCGTGGAAGGATTTACTCACAGAAGGAAGTAAGAGCAATTCGAAGTGGGCCTGACGGTTTGTTTTTCACAGGGGACACAAATGGTGTCGTCAGCGTCTGGAAGTGGGCCAAAGCTGATGCTGCTTGATTCTTTGCTTCCATTGTCCTCAATTGTACACAGAGAGTTATATCTGAAGTTAGAATTTTGACATGTAAAGTCACGACATGGGATTCCATTTCATTCTTTTTTAAACTATTTATTAAATGTCTTAAAAGATCATTGAAAGATCGATGAATTTGAACGAGGAAACATGGAATAATATTTGAGTATCTTCAAATGCATCAATCTCTCAAAATCAATCATTTCGTTTGTATTTTCTTTCTCCAAATTTGGATTCATAAGGTAGCTACCTCTATAGTGTACCACCACCTATTTTATCTATTAGTTTGGTTATCGCATTTACTTAAAATTCTTATTACGCTTGTTTTATGAACTATTTAGTCGTTATTTTTGTGCCAAAAGAGATATGATGTAATGCCAACATGTGAAGTCACCGAGTCAATGATACATTGGATTCCTAAGTTCTTGCTCATAGAGATATCAATTTTCAGTTTATCCGCTTGTACAACGTAACCTCATCCATTTTGATCATGTGTAGCCACAATTCAGGAAAACTCGATCTCAATGCATTTAGGAATCATGCACCCTAAAGATGTTTGGAGTATCACAAAGTTACAAGCATTCTTAATTACCAAGTTGTGTGTTAGTGATATTACTCTTGATTCTATCGAATCAATTTGACTAATACAATCATTCACTATTACTCGACTCAATTTGACTAATACGATCCTGCATTTCGACGATATCGACACATGCTAAATATATGGTTCATTGCCATGCCCTTCAGCTAATTATATTCTAAATATCATAATATACGCCCTGATTTTCTCTATTTTGACTTGTTTTAAACCACTAGATTAGTAATCCTACAATCCACAAGGCTTCATACTCCACAACACTTGAGACCCAAACTTGATACTTGATAGAGTATAGAGGCCAAGAAAAACAAAAACTAAAGGACCAACCCGGATGGCGCTTGACAGCTTTCTTTTAAGTGTAGAACACAGTGAATCATCATTTTCACTTCTTTCTCCTCTCTTTCTTTGCCTACCATATCGGCTCCACAAAGCAACACACTAGTGAAAAGCAACCAATCTTGTTACTTTACATCCACGAAACAAAGATAACAGTCTGAAATTGATGAGGTCTGAGGTTATGAACATTACTACATACACCAAATGATCACTCTTAAGACATTTCCATGCACAATCCAATGGCCAAATGTGGGGGGTGGTGGTAGAAACAGTTAAGTTAGGATGTCCTGAAGACCCAGACTGCTGCATATATTGTCCCATTCTGAGGTCTGCCAACATTCTCACCTCTGATATCTTCTCCGGGAAAAAGATTTCGTACTTTTGAGGTTAATGTATTGTTTGTCACATCAACTATGAATGTTGTTAAATCTTTGTGTCCAACGAGTGTCACAAGTACTGTTCTTGTATCCTGGCTTTGTTCTCTTCCCACCACACCCTTGCTTGCATTTCTCCAAACATTTCTCGGCTGCAACCAAACCACGGAAGAAAATTTTATACTATGTCAGCCATGATCCATGGAGTTTATTATATTGGTAGACACAGTCACATTGAAGGGAGGGATTTCAGTGGTCTCCGGTAATGAGAGACAATTTCAAAATTTATGCCTGTTTTTTTTTTTTTTGTAAATTGTCCCAATGAATTGTTGGAAGGAAATGAGAAAAAAAAACTAACCTGAACCTGATGCGCCTAAGTTCTCGATTGCCGCCAGGTAGTGCTCTGACAGTAATGTACACTCCTGGTTCATCCTGCTCAACCCATTCAGCTCCACTTTCACTTGCATTGCTTGGGGAGAGCTCGCATGAATGATCTTCCTCAACATCTCTTGATGAACTCGTCCTGGCAGAGCAGCCATCGATGGATGATGCTTCTGTTTTTGTGCCGGACAGCTTTGGTGTTGAAGCAAGGCCAGCTGAGGTATCATAGTACTGGCGGGATTGCATTTGTGGATGGTGCTCGATCGAGTCTACTGACGAAATGTAGCTCGCTCCCTTTGGATGTCGTGAGTTGCTGAGAGGTCGTTCTTTACCCAGTGGTGGAGTCATGGGGCTTTCTTTTGCAGATTCAGGCTTTGGGTTCTGGCAAGCATTGGTACAATAGTTCAGAATCAAGCTAAGTAATTATTTTCTATCGTGAATGAAGCTCAGCATTTGTACACATAACAGGTAGAAGTTTAAGGCAATTGATAGCGTATTAACCTCATTCTCTGGTCTTGGTGGTGTTGGCAGTGGGACAGCTTCCTGATTGAACCGTTGAACGTTGTATAGTTCCATGACCTTCTCGTAGTTCTCTGCCCACCATCTTTGAGCTTGCCATTTGTTGAACATTTCACGGCTGATCACAAGATCAAGATACACTTATTAGGATCTCAAATCATCCACAGATAGTCTAGGGGGGCTAATATGTCAACCATATATTCGTAGAATATGCATGAACTTCCTGAGATGAAGTAACTACAGGGAAATATGCATGAGCTCATGTACAATCATGGCTAGCTTGTAAATGGAACTGGAAAAGAAGACTCAGAAAACTGAATATAACTAAGCCTGGTTGGAGAAACTCGAAGGTCAACATCTGTTAATAGTAATATAGAGCTTATGTTTTCCCGCATGTTTCTCTAAAAAAATCTCTTAACATTCTAAATTACTAATCTTCATCTATACCAAGCAATAGCATCTTCCAACCAATGAGTGGTTCCAGAACAAAATGTTAAAGAACAAACCACACAAGCTTTTCTCACACAAGCACAACTCCAAGTTGGACAAAACTTGAGGCTAATGATACAGAACAGACCAACACTTTGAATGCCCAGCTTTCAGCGGATACAGAAAAGGGTAGCGGTGGAGGGAAACAATCCCATTGAACAAACCAAACAATTCCATCTGCCCATGTAATGGGTGGTTGGCATACATTTTACAGGCACCAGAAAGATGACAATCAAGCTTTCCTTTTGCAGGAAATCAAAATTCCTAAGCGGTATTTGGAAATGGGCGGAGGGGGGAAAAGGAAGAGGCCCCAATCTAATCAAAACAGTTTAGCTGTTAAGCTCCAATCAGATGGTAATCATATGATGAAAAAAGGACTCTCCCTTTCACTGTTGCGATTGCAGAAAAGCTGTAAAGCCACGTTGGTGGAAGGCCTAAAGTAAAGGGTCGTGCTCCCCATATTTAGGGGGACAATTCCATCATCATATTACAAAATAAAAAGTAAAGAGGTGATGCAGATATATAATATAGTTGCAGTTCAGCCTTTAGAACAAAATAATGACAAAGGGTAGTGGCAATCTGTTTTTGACAATGATCAAATCCATATGCATGAGCAAAACCCAACTCCTCAATAAAAATGAAAAATTGGATCTAACTAGTTAGCTCCAACTGATTATACTTGAATATTACTCGCCCAATGAGCAACTTTGAATTGGCGTGGATCCTCCTTATATCGCTCGCTATTCTATCTAAATTCTTTGTGATATTTACCTGTATTTCTCCTACCCTAATGTCTCTTAAATTTTATTTCATTTTTAAATTATATTATACCGCCCCATAGCCATTCCATAACATACTTTCATGAGAAAAGAAAAAGAGGTATAAACTGTAAAAGACATCTTCGGGGTGGCCCTATTTGAAGTTCATAGCTTCAGGCCATATAGTGTTTGATCACTAATCAAAGATCATTAAGATAATGAACACAGCAACCTCCTGTACGAGTGAGTGTGTGTGTTTGTGCGTGAGAGGGAGAGAGAGGTGAAAAAGGACAATCTCACAGAGAGTGACCACTTGCAATCCAGAAGACAAGTGACCACACAAGACTCGAGAGCAAATCAGAAACTTCACAATCATGCCACCAAAAGCAAGCAAACAAGAAATATACATGAAAGTAGTAGGAAGTACCTGAATCGAATCCTCTTGAGATCATTACCACCTTCAGCCAACGAAACGAATGTGATGAGCACACCAGGCTCCACTTGCGCAACCCATTCTTTAGGCTCATCTTCCTCCGTGAACACTACGGATTCCGTCCTACCACTCCCAGATGCTGGAGTTCCTTCACCACTCGACATCCCTTTGAGCCTTGCCTCCATCTCTTTCCCCCAAATCCTAGGCGTAGAATTCGAACTACCTGCAGCACCCGCAGCCGCCCTACGGTATGAACCGTGGAACCTAGCTGAATCTGATGCCGCATCAGAGTCGGCATAGTTCCCATTCTGCTGCTTATTGTTTGATGAACCTGAACACGGCTTGCAGTTTTTATAAGCACCTGATGCCTTTATCGCCATGTCTTTTATCTGCAATGAAATGGAAAAAAAGAGGGTACTAATAAGTAATCATTTCAATCAACTGAATCTGAAGGGGACCTGCGAGATGAACTGACCAAGCATTACCAAAGGTGTAAAATTTCTTCTGCCAATCACACTCAAACAGTTCAACTCCTCAATTTCTTTGTTGGGTAGCAAATTCAAATGGACAAATGGAAACAAAAAAAAAAGACCAAAGGAGGTTGACAGTTTCAGCTGCAAGAAGACAAAAAGGGCACAGATTGATGGATTCCTTCCTTCTACCTTTTTCATTTCTCTCTCTCTGAGGCATTTTATCAGTAACCAAGCAAGCATAGATTTCCCACTTAAGAAAAAGCGAAGTATACAGTACCTGAGCGGTGAGATTCTTAATGGCCTGCTTCGTCCTGGGCGTCTCCGTAGCATAATCGTCGTCGAGACCATTCTCATCCCTTTCCCTTCTCTGCGGTAGAGATCCATTGTTGCCGCCGCTGTTAAGCTGCTTGGTACACGTTATACACGTCAACATCCTTCTCCTTCCTCTCTATTCTATCAATCTCTTCTACAACCAATAAGAGAGCAGATCAGAACACCACCCATTAACAGGAACAAGCTACATAAAGAACCCACCAGCCCAAATACGGACCAGATGCAGTGATTCTTACGGGATAGGAATTGGAGATGGGGCGCTGAAAAGAGAAGTCTCTCCCCAATTGGGTTTTCGACTGAAAAGAGATCTCAATTGGCACGGAGAGAAACAGAGCAAGAGAGAGAGAGAATGTAGAGTATTAAATGTCCTGTGGAGTGCACTAGCGAGGAAGAGAGAGGGAGTAGTGACCGTTAACGATGGAAATGGACAGAGAGAGAGAGAGAGATTTGAGGCGAACTGGGAGGTGGGTATCAATGGAAAATGAAATGAGAGAGATTGGAGGGGAATTTATATCGCCATTATTAAAAAGGGCAAATTTTTTTAATGCACTTCTTTCTTTCACTTCCTCCTCTCCCGCAGAAACAGAGCTTAGAATTTTGAGTAGCAACTAAGAAAGAGTCAGAGAGGAAACAAACAGAACAGAGGGCAGAGATAAATACTTAACAGAAACCAATATATTTAAATGTAAAAACGGGAGCGAACTCCGCCATTTTTTGCCCACATTTCACCGCCAGAGTGAAGAAGCGGGAAGTAGAAAAGAAAAAGCTGAAATCTTGGAGTTATGTAATGTAGGAGGGGAAGTGGAGTGGCAGGGGAACTTGGTTCTTCTTCTTCTGCTGCTGCTGCTGGTGGTGCTTTTTCTTTCCGTCGTCTCTTTTTGTGTGTTTTAATCGTGTGTTGCTCTTTCGGGAGGTCTCTGTTTTTTATGGCGAAAGCGAAATGGGGATTCGGTTGCAGAGTAGGGTGGGACGGCGAGAAAGTGAGGCGTTATTGTTTCTACTAGAGTTTTGGATTTCGCCTGGGTTTCTATTGTTTTTAGGGTTTGTTTCCACTCTAAAAACGAGTATTTAACTTTGAAAGCATCGTAAGGTAGATTTCATGTATTTGAAGAATTCATGTATATTGTAGGATGATTTGTGAAAATTTGTGTAATATTAGAATGCATTGTTTGGCTTGCATGAGTTTATAGTAGAACCCACATAATTTGGCATGAAATCTCAAATACTTTGGGTTATACTTTGGGTTATACTTTGAGTAAACCCAAAGCATTTGAGATATCATGGTCACATAAATTCTAGAATTACATGGTGCACCAATATTATGATATCTATCCAAAAATGAAACAAGAAAAACAGTGGAATCTCAGATATCATGTAATCTTGAAATTCCTGGGTAGATTACATGCTTACCAAACGATTAAGAAACTGGATTTTTACATGCATGAAAGATCTCATGAGTTATGGTCCATCTTTAATATCTAAGATGATCAGATTTGGATATTGATAATCACCATGTATAGAGGATTGTCAAATCCTTTGATTTATCTTCACTTTGTTTATGATCTTCTAGGTACTTTCCAATGTGACGAGAAATTGTATGGTGTACCAAAATAAAAAAGTAGTTATAGAAAATGGTCTAGTTTTCCTTGTAAGACTAGGAAAACGTAGATGGTGCGGAATTTCTGAATTCTGATTGGTTTTGGAAACCCTTCCTAAAAAGTCTAAAAATTATAATTCCACTACGATAGTAAAATCTTATCATTGTCGGACAAAAAATTGTATTGTGATTAGGCTTACCTTGTTCAAGATATTCACATATACAAAAGTCTATCTAAATTCAAATACCACGAAAAAATAACGAAAGAGAGGTTAATGTGTTAATGTAGTGGTCTAATAATTGATTTTCAACTTGGAAATCTCAAATTCAAAATCTATGTTGTACTTTTCCTTCTCTAATGTAGTGATGGCAAGACAGGTACCTCAATATCCAACCCACTCCACACTAATTAAGTGTGGGCCAGGTAGGATAATACCCGTGCGGGTACAGGGTGGGCGGGTCTACCCTTTCTTATATGATATTTGAAAATTCACGTTCATATTTAACTATTTTAAAAGAACATATAGAGAAAACACTTCATAAATGAATGAGAAATATAGTAAAAGGAAAATTTTAGTATAAATAGTTGAAAGATAGAGTTTTATATATTTTTTGGGATGCAAATATGATTTTAGAGAGGACAAAAGAGAAGAAATACATATAAAATTAATGAAAATCATGGTATAATGGATAGAGAACGAAACGGAACAGATCGGAAGTAATATCCATGCTCTGTCTTAGGCTACTACGGATCTGATAACACTTGCACTAAACAAATAGAGTAATACACAGTCTTAAAAATGTCCGAGACATGTCAGGTTAGAAAGAGCCATCACTACTCCCGTGGACCCCTTGGTAGCATGTTAAGGAAAGCCCAAATTATGCCACTGCCTGCAGATTTTACCATACTATTAGTCCTTTGGTGAATGTTGATCAATGAAAAGAACTCTTTCTTCAATGCACTCTCAATCTCTCCTGAACCAGTCATTTAGTTTCCATTATACCACACCTATCCCTCCCCTCAATCATTTAGTCGTGGAATCAACTGGTGGACGCTTCGCTTCCATTCAGTGATGATGGAGAATCAAACACTCTATCCAACACCGCCAAGCTCACCTTTAAACGCGTTCTCGCAAATTGATATGTGAGGCAAATAGCAACATTGGTTACATGCAATTGTTGAGATGATATAAGGTGTGTGTGATGAAAGGATATTCATCTGGTTGGGACAATACCAATCGCTTGAGCATGCTAGAATAATGCTATGAAATGAAAGCTTGTCCTCCATCTAATACCTGTTTTGATAACTCCCATATAACACTGGCTGGAGCCAGATTTCTGAATCTTGTTCGCAACACAACTAGATATTGATGAGTGGTCCAAATGGACATTCCTAGGACCAGTAAAAAAGGGAGGAGGAAATCTTCCTTTATATCATGTGTCAACTTGACATAAAGAAAAAACATATAGTAGTAATTAGTCCAGGTGTAGAAAACCAAACAAGAAGTAATATGCAGATAAGATTAAATAGCTGATAAAAAAAAGATAAGATTAATAGTTAATGCATAAATTATAAATTATTATATATCTCTATCATGTACAAGGTACCCTTTTCTAATTAGAGCAATTGGAACCAGAATCACGCTCGATTTTTTTTTTTTTAATTCGTCGTTGATTCATAATGCATCAATTTTAAATATGCTTGGACCATAACAATAATTCCTTTTGTTCTGCATACAAGATCATATTAAGATTCAAATTGCATTATCCTTAGTTGTCATGCACAAATAATGATATTTATAGTTGTTTTGAGTCTGGCTTTGAGGATGTTAGTTTTTTTGTGTTTGCATTGTACTTAGTTGAGCAAAGCTAAGGTACATATATTGCGGCTTTATTTATTAATTTATTGTTATAATTGGCCATACTTGTGGACTTATGGTCAATATAAATATGTAAGAATACAACATTTGAAATAAAATGTATCTTATTGTATTATTGAGGTATGAGGACCCCAATTAAGATATTCATGGAAAACTTTAGTTTTGTATATAGGAAGTTGGAAAGATGTATCTATGATTGAGTCACGTGAATTATGGATTCATATGTTTCTTTTGCTTGATGGAAAGATGTATTTGTGTCAGCACAAAAAAAAAAAAAAAGATGTATTTATGATTGAGAAGCCTAGTTGAAGGACTTAAGCTTGTTTGAGACATATGTTATAGACGTGCCACAATGGAGCTCGATTTTCGATGTGCCATCCAGTTCGTCCATTGCTTTGCCAATCCAGATCACCAACACACTGCAGTAATTGATCGACTCCAGTTTTTGTCGCTGAAAGATTGAGAGTTACAGTTTTCCTTGTTTATAGGGAGGGCAATAAGTGTGCATACTTTCATTTTTGTCAGAGGTCATCAGTTGGCGCTCGACTTTCATTTTGTATCTGTTTTTTTTATTTTATTATTATCATACTTTGATGTATTGACTTTTGTGTGACATTCATGGGGACCTCCGAATCTCGACTAGTTTTGAATGAAGGTTAGAATGCTATGTATTCATTAAAATAAATCCAAATGCAAAGTATAATAATAAAACATATATAAGATATGGAGCTTTAGGGAGGAGAATGCAATGCATGTAATTAACAAACACACTAAGAACACAGGACAATGGACCTACAATCATGCAAACAATATAATCGAAGTAGAGTAGTTCAAGCTGCAGAAGTGGAACACAAGAATCTTTGTGGGATACTCACTATCCATTTCTAGCGGCTCATGTTTCATGGGATTTTGTATGCTCATTCTCAACCAAAACCCAATGGAAATTCAAAGAACCTGCTGCTCACCATGATTCATGTACCTAGTACCTAGCTACAATTCTCTTCCCTTTCATGCCCACTAACTAATGTCTATAGAAAAATGGGTAGTTTTGTTGGTTGGAGGTGTATCATGTGAGCATCTTACGACGTTCTCTAAGATTTCATCAAAATTGTCGACGATTTTGAATCGAGAAGAACTCATATTGAAACCTATAATAGCAATGGTATATTCAGAGGATGCGCCAATATTCCCTTTAGGGGATGATCGATGAAATGCTTGACGATCTAAACAATATTGTTAGACAAGTAAAAGAGGTATGAGATGTTTTTCGACAATAATAACAAAATATCTAACTTTCTACTTAATTATTCATACTCGTAAATTTAATCAACTAAATGCTCAAATTGTTCGCACTCATTACGAGCCCGAGGACCAAATATCACTACTTCATCCTCCACAAACTTTTCCCCAATATTACACAATTTTCTGAAAGTACACATTATTGGTATGTAAAGAGTATGACGATCCAAGTGACATCCAATCATCCAAGTAGTCATTCATGCAAGCCTCGTGATGTATGCAATATAAACCATAAGCTGAGTCTTTCTATATTCACCTTTTTCATTGGTTTGTTCAGCAATACAAACGAAACTTATACATTTATAACATCATATGATACGAATTTAGTCTATACCGATATTATTTTGTATAAAATCATCTGTTACTCACCAACATTGTAAAATTTCTCTAGGTGAGATATGTACACTGCCGGCCAGTGGGTATAACTATTAGTTAATTAGGAAAGTTTGGTCACATGTCACATGGACAATTAAAACCCTTAGGTAACCATCTGACAATCCCCCACCTATTTTTTTTTATAACCCCCAATCATAAATGCAACCATGAAGTCCCTTCACCATAATTTGACTACTTTTGATTAATAAAAATTGTAACAAAGTCAAAAGAAAGTTCAGATCATCAGTTAATACACAAATTATGAGCACATCACCCTCCAAATCCCCAAAGACCAAAGACAGCAGTTGTTTGGTACAAGTATTGAAGACGTTTTACATTGCCATGTGGAAGAAATTTTGATTGATTGTGTACTGGATTTGGTGAGTTGCATTAATTACAATAACTTAGGGGACACTCCAAAAATCCAAACACAAATAAGCTGTCTTAAAACAACGTAGTCACCCTTTACAGCTGACAACATGTTGTATCAAGCTTCCATATGGGACTTGTTAGATTGTTGAAGTGTGTGTGGCTCAAAAGTTGAAAGGTGACTTGAAGAGAAAGTCATTATAAGATTTGGTTTTGAATGAGGTTGTGATTGCCAGAATAAATACTGGGTATCTAAAGGATTGACTTTTCTTGTAGTATTGTCACACTACAAGAAAATAGACTTTTCATCACGGGATATATTAATTACGGGATTGTTCCCATGACAAATGGTTTATATTTGGTCACGGGTATAATCTCCCGTGTTTAAGTGTGCCAGACAATGCTAATTGATCATGGGAACGTTTACCGTGATGTTTAGTCGAGATGTTCCCGTTACTTATGAAGGTCCTTACCCACGCGTAAAAAAATGATGGCGGTAAGAGTTTCGTTTGGGCTCCAAGGCTCAAATATTTTGGTTTTGGCTCCATCTTTTCATTAATTTCAAACTTTACCAAATTTTTTTGAGAGGAACGGATACATAAGTACTTATCCGTAAACCCTTATCCATTAGACTCATCCCCTAGAAAAAACTCCATCGAACCCTAATCGGCTTCTTCTCCTTGTTCCGTTCTCTGGCATCATCGTCCCGCCGCTGTTCTCAAGTTGGTGATAAAGAACGCGCCAATGGCCGCTGACATTTCCAGTTAGACGACCTCATTCCAATCTGCATCTGCTCTGACTCCTCACCGCTGGCATCTTCGCCCCAGATCTATTTGACTATTTCGCTCTCCCTCAATGTACTTCAGCTACTTGTTATAGGCGATGTCGTTGTCCTTTTCATCCCAACTATATGCTTCTCCACCATATCTCTTCTCCATTAATCCTTAATGTCGAATTTGATGAAAAGATAAGAATGTAGAAAGATTTGACTTTGTGTATCTGGGTATCATTTAGGTTCTGCTACTGGTCGATTGGGCAAGCGGTTGGTATCTGGCAAGACAACAATAAGTGAAGGTGTCCCATTTGCTTCAAGGTATGGTTCAATCTCCACGTCTTCCTACTAGGGCTAGAATCTCCATTGTTGGTTATTAGTTTCTATTTGGGGTTAATATGATACTAGCCCCTTTAGGCTCGCTCGTAATGATTATATGGCCTTACATATCTTTGATTCGAAATTATACAAGTGATACCCATGGATGCTTGAATTTAGGTAACTCTATTTGGGCTTGTTCTTCATTGGGTTTGTTTTTCTCTTTGTCCCAAATTACTTGAAGGCCCTAAAGGAATTTTTGTTTTACGAGCATTCTTCCTTTGTATGTGATCAGGCTTTCAAGGAGGGGATGCTTTGCTGTGAATTCTGTAGCCGTTTTCCTCTTGGTGGGTTCTGGTAGGATACATATATATGGAGGTTGAGAGTCGTGTCTGTATGATTAAATGTGTCGATATATGGATGAACCCTGTAGTTTATTTGATGGTTCTACATTATGTTGTTGTAGTTTGCAGCCTGGGATAGGATAATATTACTTCCTGTTGGTTTGTTTTGTTTCGTTGTGGGTGGGTTTCCTTTGTTCTAAGCTGGTGGGATTTAGTGTCTCCTGCCTCAAGAGACCAACTGTTAGTTTGTCCCCTGTTTTATGTAGCTTTATGGTTCCTTCATCCATTTGATTCTTCTTTCAGAGGTATGTGCAGAATATGGCTGGTATTGGGGTGATGTTTCATTTTCCCATCAAGAATACCTATGTCTGCTTCTTTGTTATTAGTATTATCTTAATACTTTGTTTATGTATGTGGGACTGGTGTTTAACGATAGGCACCTACTTGTGTGATTGTAGTGGAGAAGGTGTTTGTGACTGCAGGTTATGCCTCTCCCCTGCTCCACCACTACTCAATATCACCATTCACCACTTAGCTATAAAGTTTCTAAACTTTTTTTTGTTGTTTATGGCTATTGCAACTTTCACAAAATCTAACCGTAGCAATAATATGAGTTCTTGTACACCATTTGCTACTTTTTTTAGGTACTTGTGGTGTTCTGGTGGTTTGCAATCCTACACATGTTGCTGTAAGTTCCTTTCCAAGTCTTCCCTTGTTATTTCCTTTGCTATGTAGAGGGGAGAACTCCATGAAACTACCTAAATATGTTGTCGTTGTTGTTATGTGTAAGCAGAGTCGTAGTTTGAGATATACTGGGTTCTATTTTGTTGAACTTTTTGCAGCTTGCAGATAGCATCGACATGGATAGATTGGAGGAAGATTTAGTCCATAAAAAGTACTTGCGATTGCAAATTGTAACTAGAACAAGTTTGATTACATCTTTAGATTTTATCTTTTAGGCTACATGAGTGCTCTCCAAAGGAACATTCATTAGTTCCTTGTAATTTTAAGATGTTTCTATTGATATTATGATACTAAAATTTATAAGATGCAATTGAAATTTCATTCATTTATAAAATTATTGATTAATGTATTTGAATTGCTCTTAATGTTAAATTTAATTAGGTAATTTATCGAAAAAGTATAATTAGATAAATATAATATTGCAATTTTACAGCGACTACAATCTCATGGCAATTAGGCAAAATCCTGTGACAAAAGATATCATTAGTCACGGGAAATCCTGTGACTATTTATTAATTTTGTCACGATAATCCCCGTGTTTAATTATTGGTCACGGGAAGTACCGTGACAAAATAGGTCTTATGTCACGGTGGTTTCCCCGTTATTGTTTTCTTTAATGTCAAGGGATTTCCCGTGATATTTGACCTTCGATCACGGGCATGCTTGACACGGGAATATACCGTGACAAAACTTTCCGTCACGGGAAATGGCTGTTTAGTCACGGGAATTCCCGTAATTGAAAATGATTTTTCTTGTAGTGTCAAATTCGGATCGGACATCGACCTGGATTAATAAGATGATTATTTTTTAGCTACTAAATGATGATTAATCCATATAAAATCTTTTAGAAAAGAACACTCACTTGCAATTTGCAAAAATAAATAAATTATGACTTGATAATTCTGAAAATCAATACTAATTTCTACATTTACTCTTCATTCTACTAATAATAAGCATTAGTTCTATGTAGTTTAGGTTGTTAGAATACTCCACACACCTTCACTTAAATGACATGAGTTCAAGTCCAACTTTTCAGGTTGACTGGTTTGAGAGGTTAACCGTCCAAATTAACCGGTATTGACCCGAACAAACAAAAATTGATCAAACTTGACATTGCCTGAAGCGAATTTGGGTCCATATCTAGTTAATTCTGATTGAACTAATAGGTCTCTTTCATCGCGGCAATAGTAAATTTTTGATAATGATTGAATTATTTGCTTCATTAAATTTCATACCTCATATTACAATTTTGTCAGAATAAAGTAGTGAGTTTAAGGATTACTTTGGTTCAAAGCTACAACTTAATTCGATATTAGTTAATAGGTCTCAATATCTCTAGACACAATAGCTAGCTAGCATGCAGTTCCACTTTGGTGAACCTTTTGTCTCCTCCATTAATAACTTAATTAACTTGGTTGGTTTAGACTAAACTGAGGGACATGTCTATCTTTCCAACGCCAAAATGTCCAACAAGCCTACCCCTTTCCAGATATCGTGAATGCATAATTCACGATAGTTAGTGCATGTGTGTGACACATTAATTAATTATGAAAGCTAAAAAGGGGGGTTATATATTAATTATACTTGATTAAGCTACGGCAATACAGCATATATATGGTTTTGCCTTTTGCTGTTCATTATTGCAAATGACACAACTTTTGTTCTTCATTTTTGTATGTATATGGACCTAAGTATTTGGGGAATGAGGTTTTTAATATGTATAATTATGCTGATTAGACATTGGAAACTTGACTTGATGGTGGGCTATTACGTATTAATCCTTTCTTCTTTATGATCAAGGCTCGACATTCTTCGAAGGTGCTGTAAATTTTGAAATCCTGCGGCCGGAAAGAATACGTTTGAAAGTTTACTATATTGATTCTACTTATTATTTATCTCGCATTTGATAGTATATATATGTTATTTTTTTATAATATATACATCGTTTGATATTTAAAATGCTACAGAACACTCTATTTTTTCTACCCAGGAGAATATATAAGATTCTGAAATTGAAACACAACTAATCACGTTACCAAAGGGGCAAGCTTTAGCTTTGGTAACTTTTATGACATCTATTGTTGTGATGCAAAAGAGATCGAGCTACATTGATCATCAACTTGGTTAAGGAACATAAGTTTGGGGTGTGATTCAAATGATGGAACTTTGTGGAAAGATTGATGCTTTGCTTCTTTGCTTTCTTTTCTTCTTCTTCTTTTTTTGCTTTGGAAGCCTACATATTGGGGACTTGGCCCCCTACTAGAAGAACACGATCCAAAATTTTGAAAGAAAGAGTTGGAATTTGTACTCTTTCAAAAATTGGTCCTAAAAGCAAATAAAGCCAATAGCTTACTTACTACATGCACGTACGTTCCTTTTCCCTTTTATCAACTCCCCTCTTTAGGTGTTCTCCTCGATCACTTTACACAAAGCACGAGTTGCCCTTCTTCTTCAAGTGTACGTAGCTATAGGAGGTTCTCTTTTATCCTTTGTGTTGGTGGTAAACCATGATGATCAAACTATTGGAATTTTCTTGATATTGCGTAGTAATCAAAAGGCAAGCGATACACAGTGTTATATCGACACTTTGGTGCAATATTGGTATTTTAAATATCTATACCGATTGACTCGGATATGTGCTACAACTATAGTTTATATCCATTTGATCAACACTTTGGCTGTATCTCTAGGACTCAAATACTTTGCTCATTCTCTCTCACTTTTAGAAAAAATGTATTAACAAAATTTGAAAGTAACATAAACATTTTATGATTGTCTAGATATGGTGCAAATAAGTTTTTTTCTAACCACATACAATTAGTTTTATGATAATTAGTAATGTTTAAATACGATGATTATTATAGTCTAAAATCGTGACTTTTGATGATATATAAGAAAAACCAGCCATGCACCCAATTCTGTTGCCATCCCTACACAAAATTAAGTGCAGTTGTTTTTTAAATTGAAACAGAGTTTTATTCACCTTCTCTTTTCCAGATTAGTGAACCATGCAATTGCATTCCACAATGAATGATAGAGTTAGCAGACATCGTTGTGTCCTTAGCACACCAAGCCATTGCAAACCCCATCCACAATCGCGTATCCGTATAACAACAACTGCTCAAACATTGCTTCCTACATTCCAGATCTATGTGCTATACCGGATTGAGAAAAAGACAATGGAAGAAAGGAAAAGCATATAGATTTAAGTGGTTAACTAACATGATGTGTATTAGCTATGATTATGGGTAAGAGAGCGAATTTCACTACACTTGATGAGATACAAAGATTGAGAATATATATACAACATCTTTTTCAGACGGCCTAGCCTAATCCAACTTGAAAATGAAATGGCTACAAACCAGGTTCAAAACAGTAAATCAAGCGTAGACCATCGTGATTTACAATCGATCGACGACAGATAATCTGTATTCAACTCATAAGAACATCATTTTCGAACTTAACACATCCATCCAAATGACTGCAGAGAGTATGACATGTACCTGTCTCACAAACTCATCTCCTAGGAATGACAAAAATAATTGTACTCGTAGATATATACCCACCCGAATCCGATTTAATCGGGTGGCAAAATTCTAACCGAAATTTTTTAATGGGTATGAGTAAAATTCGAACCCGAGTATTGCAGGTGATAAGTGTACATGGTTTTGTCGCTTCTCCAATCCGACCCCGTCCGATTATATACATGCATATATATTTTGTTTAAATATATAAAATTATATTATTTTTAACTTATTTGATTTATTGTTTTAACTTTTCACTTATGCAACGTCAATATATGTGCAATTGTGAACATTGTTAATTGAAGTTATAAAAAGAAATTATTATCCATGTTTAATCGCGGACATCTCTAACCCGACTATATATGAATATAGTTTTGATATTCTACCCAACTCTTTTATAGATATAGATATAAATAAAATCCAAATTATTTTTAATAGGATAATGGACATGTAACGTTGCGTTGCGTTGGCATTCCAATTTCCTACCATCTCCATCCCCACACATTGTGCAGCTACCATACCACTCACCACAATGTCCATAGGCCATGGCCTCATAGCAGGACAAAGGACTTGTGGGCTGTGGCCCATAGGCCAGACAGCCCAATGGAGGGCAAATGACCCAATTCCAAACGACATGCCGTTGCCTCAACAGTCTTCCACCATTGAACCAATTATGTCCCTACACGTGGCCTCCATCGCTGTAATACCCGCACCGTTGGACCCACTACAGCTCGTCCCGGTACCCGGAAAGGAAAACCCGTTTCCGGCACTTACAATAAATAATTAAAATAATTAATTATCCCCTTTTTTTCTTGACCTTTCTCTCGAGTCCGCTCCGGCGGCTTCCTCCAGTTCTCTGGTCCCTTCCGAATCGGCCAAAAAGGGGAACAAATACGAAATGCCGACACTCCGCCGGAGAAAACCCGCCGATTCCGACAAGCCCACCACCTCGGCACCGTCGGATGACGCCAGGGGCGGAGGAGGAGGGACGACGGGAAGAGGAGAAGAAGAAGAGGAAGAAGATTATGAACAAGATGCGGACAACAGCAAGAGGAAGAAGAACAACAACAAGAGGAGGCGAAAGAAGAAGGCCGCCGCCGCTGCAGCCGCCGCCGCTTCTGCCGATAATAAGCATCCGGCCCTGCCATCGGAGGAAGAAGAGGACGGGAGGAAGCACCACCGGAAGCGGTCGAAATGGTCGTGCGTCGACAACTGCTGCTGGTTCGTCGGCTGCGTATGTTTGACCTGGTGGGTCCTGCTGTTTCTGTACAACGCCATGCCGGCTTCCTTCCCGCAGTATGTCACCGAGGCAATCACGGGTCCTTCGCCCGACCCGCCAGGGGTCAAGCTCAAGAAGGAAGGGCTCAAGGCGAAGCATCCTGTTGTCTTTGTCCCCGGAATTGTCACCGCTGGGTTGGAATTGTGGGAAGGTCATCAATGTGCTGAAGGCTTGTTTAGGAAGCGGCTTTGGGGCGGTACTTTTGGTGAGGTTTATAAGAGGTAATGCACAAATTTCCTTGTTCTGCTGATGGGAATTTCTGGAGGTGAATTGGGTTTGTTAATGATTGGGAATTGGTCATATGTAGTGAAGTGGGTTTAGTGATGATACTTTTGGTTTGATCTGGTTATTGAAAGATAATGTTCCCCTTGTGGTTTAGCTTATATGTCAATTGCGTAAGATAGTGGACAGTGCTTGGAATGGAAAGGTGATATAGGTTGGTGCAAAAAAAATTCTGAGTTGGTTCTGGGAAGTGAGGTGTTCTTACTTTGTAGAAAAGCTGATTTTTATTAGATTAATTTGTTCTGGCAAGTAGGCAATGTGGAATTTGCACTGATCTAGAGAGCAAATCCCATGAATTATCTATCTGGTTGTGATCAGAAATGACTTGGGATGTCATTAAATTCATATACTCAGGAGCTTCATGACTCGTGTGACCTTCAACATTCCTTGTTCTCCCTTTGGGTTCTCTGAAGGATTGATTTTCATGGGCTATTTGACATTGTGCAGGCCTCTCTGCTGGACCGAGCATATGTCGTTAGATAATGAAACCGGTTTGGATCCTCCTGGTATAAGAGTCAGGCCTGTATCTGGACTTGTAGCTGCTGATTATTTTGCTCCTGGATATTTCGTGTGGGCAGTTCTTATTGCCAACTTGGCTCGCATAGGATATGAGGAGAAGACAATGTACATGGCGTCCTATGATTGGAGACTTTCGTTCCAGAACACAGAGGTGTTGGCTTAATGCCCTTTTCTTAACTTCAATATATTTGCTTGTAATATTGTAAGCAAATGTTCTACTTGTTTGGTTTGGAGATTGACCAGGGTGTGTCTTGATTGTCAGGTTCGTGACCAAACTTTGAGCCGCACCAAAAGTAATATAGAACTGATGGTCGCTACAAATGGTGGGAATAAGGCAGTCATTATTCCACATTCTATGGGTGTTTTGTACTTTCTGCATTTCATGAAATGGGTTGAAGCACCAGCTCCAATGGGCGGTGGGGGTGGACCAGATTGGTGTGCGAAGCATATCAAGGCAGTGATAAACATTGGTGGACCCTTTTTAGGTGTTCCAAAAGCTGTTACTGGACTTTTCTCTGCTGAAGCAAGGGATATTGCAGTTGTCAGGTTATTTTTCCACTGTACTCATTTTTTTGACCCTCTGATCTTCTGATTTCTTGTTTGAAATGTGAACAAAGCAAAGCATGGTAGTCTGCCTAAATCTTGTTGGTTGATGCATCTTAAAACTATTAGACTGATCTAGCTGTTTTTCAACTGTGGATTCATTTGTCTAGTCCTTATATGCCATAATCAAGAACATAGTCCTCAAAGGGGAGGCGGGAGTTGATCTTTATTCCGAAAGCCAGTTGCTTGATCACTTGGGTTCATTCTTATATGGGGAAAATGCATCTGTGATGCAGGGCCCTTACTCCAGGTTTCTTGGACAATGATATCTTCCGCCTCCAAACATTACAGCATATAATGAAAATGTCTCGTACATGGGACTCAACCATGTCTATGATCCCTAGAGGTGGGGATACTATCTGGGGTGATCTGGACTGGTCTCCAGAGGATGGCTACTCTCCTAGTAAAAGAGGGCAGAAAAACAATGAAACCGACATAAAAAATCAAGATGGGAGTGACAGTAAGCCTTCTCAGACAGCGAAGGCTCACTATGGAAGGATCATATCCTTTGGAAAAGAAGTAGCAGAAGCACCTTCATCTGAGATTGAGAGGATAGATTTCAGGGTAAGTTTTTTGTTTTTTGTTCAGGAAACGTGGCTTCATCATTATGTATCAAAAAGTTCCAACTTTTGCTGGTTTTTTATACGTCAACATGCATGCAGGATGCTCTGAAAGGTAAAAATGTTGCAAACTCTACTTGTCGTGATGTGTGGACAGAGTACCACGACATGGGGTTTGGAGGGATAAATGCTTGTGCAGAATATAAGGCGTACACTGCTGGATCTATTGTAGACCTGCTTCGTTTCGTTGCCCCGAAAATGATGGATCGAGGAAGTTGTCATTTCTCCTATGGAATTGCCGATGACCTTGATGATCCCAAGTACAACCACTACAAATACTGGTCAAACCCCTTGGAGACCAAGTGAGTTTTCTTGCTGATTTATTGGCAACTTTTGTATAGTTTGACTATCTTGCTTCCAATGCATTGAGTCCGTTTCCATAGCAGTCACCTCTTGGCTATCTATTTGGTATATTAACATTTATTGTCCGGCATTCCTGGCGTTGTTTCTTCAGGTTACCTAATGCTCCGGATATGGAAATCTTTTCCATGTATGGAGTTGGCATACCGACAGAAAGAGCTTATGTCTATCGTTTATCTCCTTCCGCTGAATGCTATATTCCATTCCAGATTGATACCTCAGCTGTAGGGGAAGATAAAGATAGCTGTCTCAAAGATGGAGTGTACACAGTTGATGGTGATGAAACGGTTCCTGCCTTGAGTGCGGGCTACATGTGTGCCAAAGGTTGGCGGGGGAAGACCAGGTTCAATCCTTCTGGAATAAGGACTTACATCAGGGAATATGATCATTCTCCTCCAGCTAATTTGTTGGAAGGCAGGGGAACGCAGAGTGGTGCCCATGTCGATATCATGGGGAATTTTGCACTGATTGAAGATGTAATGAGGGTGGCAGCTGGGGATTCAGGGGATGATTTGGGTGGTGATCGTGTCTATTCTGATATCTTTAAGTGGTCCGAGAAGATAAAGCTAAAACTGTGACTTGTCATCAGGTAAGTTGTGATTTTTCTTGTAGCCTTTGCTGTTCACCTTGCATTTTGCCCATTGATCCATTGTGAATTTGATACTAGACTCCTTTTCCAAGATTTTGCACAAACCCATTGGTACCAATTGATAATTCCTCTTATCAAATGAAGATAAGCAGAGTCGAATTAGGATATTCCTGATCCTACTAGAGTTAGGATTCCTGATACATTGAGGAAAACATTTTTTTTTTTAATTGATGGGCAATCAAATTGATTTATTAGAGCTCATTGTAGAGAGGGAAAACCAATCCTCTCTACCCAAATGCTTAGAACTACAACTAGAAGCTTCACCTCTACTAAAAAAACTCCTACCCTTTTGACAGAATAACTAACATATATACAACAAGACAAACACACAATAGTCCTTTTTATCCAACAAGACAAACACTCAGTAGCTGTTTTTATCCCTCCTGAATTTGAATCCTGTCCATTGCCATAGCTGGGTTGCCTGCAATTACCAATTCCAGAACACTTTTTATTCTAGTGATGACTCCCCCTGCATCTGCAATTGTATCTCCATGAAGCCTTCCACATCTTCTCCTCCAGAGCATGCTTACTGTCAAGTTCCAGATCAATCTCCCAACTTTAGCTTTTGGTTTCATACCTGCAAAAGCCTTCTCTGCCCATTTCAAGTGATCTTCAAACCGCATTTGAGCATTGCAGCTCACCTGTACCAGACTCATACTTCCATTAAGTACTGCTGCTGAAAAATTGCACTGCAAAACAAGTGAGATGTTGTTTCTCCAGTTAGCCCACATAACAAGCAAGTATCTCTGGTGCTTTTCCCCCACTGCACAAGCTTATCTCTAGTAACGATCTTATCATTTATAACCATCCAACTCAAAAAACTATGCCTTGGCAGCATATAAGGAGCCCAGTTAAGTTGGTACCAATTCACTTTGGGTTTCTTAACTCTGAGATCTTCCCAAACCATTTTAACTGAGTACCTTACCATCTTCTTCTGATTCCATAGCAACTGATTTCCCCAGCAAGTGATATAAGACTCCACCTTATCCCTAGTTTTGAGTAACTTTCTCCACACCCATGAACAGCCACTGCTTTGTTTTACTTCCCACCAAGACTTATGCTTAAGTCTGTACATACCTATCTAGGCCACCCACCAGGAACCACCTTTTGCAAGGATGTTCCAGATGTATCGAGTAGAGCAGGCTAAGTTTTAGGTTCGTAAGCATTTGATGCCCAGTCCCCCTTCTTTCCTGGGCACAGTGAGCAACAAGAGCTCTTCTTCTAGCAGAATTCTCATCAATCCCCCAAAGGAATTGACTGCATCTAGCCTCTATTTCTTTAATTACAGATATTGGGAGAATGAAAACATTCATCCAATACTGCATCATACTGCTTATAACAGAACTGATCAGCTGGACTTTTCCCTCTTAGCTCAACATTCTAGGCTTCCAACCAGCTATCCTTTTAGTCACCCATCAACCAACGCTGTACAATCATGAGCATTTAACCTTCCAGCTAGTAAAGGCACCCCCAGATATTTGACAGGTAAAAAGCCTTTCTGAAATCCAGCAATGACAGCAAGTCCCCCATGTTCACTATCAGGCATTCCAGCACAATAGAGCTGACTTTTCTCAGGATTAAATCTCAATCCAGACATCACATAGAACTGATGTAATAGACTACATACCTCCCTCACTGCCTGCTCAGTCCCATTAGAGAAAATTAACAAGTCGCCATCAAAAGCCAGATGAGTAATTCCCAATTTCTTACAACGAGGATGATATGGTAGGGTCCCTTGGTCAGCAGCTCTCTTCAATACACAACTTAAAACTTCCATAGCCAAAGTAAACAAGAATGTTGATAAGGGATCACCTTGACGCAGCCCTTTTTTTGCCTTGAAGTAACCACAAGTTCCTCCATTTATTGATACACTAAGCATTGGGGTTGTAATACATGAGGTAGTCCAACCTACAAACCTTTCAGGTAATCCCATTGCCTTCATCACATTCAACAGGAATGTCCAATCCACTGAGTCAAAGGCTTTCATCAAATCAATCTTCATTGTACACCTTGGGGAAATGTTCTTCTTACTATAACCATTGACTAACTCTGCTGCCAATAGGATATTATCACTGATACTCCTCCCCTGTACAAAGGCAGACTGGTTTTTGCTTATCAAACAGGGGAGAACACTTGCTAACCTATTGGCCAATATCTTGGCAATGCATTTATAGAGTACATTACAACAAGATATTGGTCTAAACAACCTCATATGATCTGCATTCTCAGTTTTGGGAATCAGAGTCAGTATAGTAGAGTTTACTTCTCTAGGCATAACACCATTAAGAAATTGATAGCCCCACACACTCCTGTCCCACCACATCCCAAGCAGCTCTATAGAAATCGACTGGAAAACCATCAAGGCCAGGGGCTTTGTTTAAGCTCATACCAAACTTAGCCTCCTTTATTTCTTTTGCTGAGACTGGTTTACATAGATTACCTGCTTCTGAATCTGGAAGATGATGGAAGAGTAAATTCCTGAGTTCGTCAATAGGTAACTCCTTCACTTCTTCATTTCTTTTTCCAAGCAAATTTTGATAAAACTCTACTGCCATTGCCCCTATTTCTTCAATATCTGTAACCTCAGTCCCATCATCCTTCTTGAGTAAAGAAATCTTATTTCAGTGCTGCCTTATTTTCAAAGACTCATGGAAATACCCTGTATTAAGATCCCCTTCCATAACTGCCTGTACTCTTGCTTTCTGCTTATAAAATGCTTCCTCGGCCCTCTGCAACTCAGTACACTAAATCATACATTGTGCCTCTCTCTCAAAGATTTCAACTGAAGTTCTAGCTAGAGCAACCTTTTGAACAATAGCAAGCTCTTTCTCTGCTTCTCGTGTTCTGAGGGAAATATCAGCAAAAAAATCCTTAATCAATTCTTTAAGCTTCCGTTTTAGCATACGAAGTTTCTGACATACTCTGTAAAACGGATAACCTGCTACTCTTGTCCCCCATACTTCCTGCAGAATGTCTTTGAATTTAGGGTGCGAACTCCAGAAAGAGAAGTATTTAAATGGTTTGGGAAGTGACTTTTGCTGGGGAGAAGACTCAACCATTAACCCACAATGATCTGAAACTGTTCCTCCATTAACAAAAATTATGTCAATCCTTCTTGCAATTGGATTCCTAGCCTGCTTATTAACCCATGTATACTTTTCACCCAGAGTTTTATGCTCTGTGAATCTCATCGAGGAAAACTTATCCTAGTCCAACCAGCATTTGATATTTAGCCTGCTTCAATGTTAGACTTTCTAACCAGAATATTCGAGAAATTTGTTCTTAAGCATCCAGGAACATTGATCATTCATTTATCTGTGCAGAGATGTGGGGTTTTCATGTTTCACAAATCACTCTGAATCTATAGCTTGCATGAAAAACATCCCAGATGTCATAACAACTCGTGGACAGTGGCACCTATTGTTTCTGGATTACTTGGAAACCAAGGACAGCTAGAGCCTTACACTGCAGAATCTCAGGCAGATCAATAGTGTGTTATTGCTGCTGCTGCTGTTGTTGTTCTTCGTTGTAAATTGTTGATCCAAGATCTTCCATATATATGGATGGGAGAAACTTACGAAGTCTTGTATCTGGCCTTCAGTTATAGGCAAACACATTTATACAATGGCTACTTGTGGCTGAATCTGTACATTCTAGTCTGATTATTTTCTTCTTCCAAAAGTGATCATATAATAACAATGTGACTATTGTTAGGCTGAAATTGAAAGAAAAGGTTCTTATTACTCATTGGAGTCCCTTTTGACCTCCCATTCCTCTTCCTTAGATTTGGTTGCTGCTGTTATTCTGAGAAATTTACACGCATTAGCTCCATATTCCTTGGATCTTTAACGCAAAACTTGTACAATACTGGGAGGTTTGAGTGAGCATGAGCCGAGAGGATGTTTTGTGCGCTTCCAGAGGCTATAGTCTCCGTAAAAGAAACAATAGTATTACCACCGGACTAAACCCTTATCCGCATTACCACACCTTAGTTTACCCTTTGCACATACAAGAAACATTGTTGGCGCTGGTCATGGGCCGGCTTAGCTTGTCGAGTCAAATAGAGTAGAGGCTTTGTGCAAAAAAACATAGGATACCACTCTCCACTCCACAAGTGTTATCATCAAACTCCAAACAAACAACGACGAAGTGATTGCATCTGACCTTTGCAACGAATGAATCTACGCCTACGGCCGTCCATGCAGCCGGCCAGTGATTCTAGCTCAAATTCTACCTATCGGCCAGTAAGAGCTTGTGTCTGTCTATATAAAGGCTCATTCAATCCTTTTTGACTCTGTCACACTAAGCTACTACTTGCACAACAAATCAATCCATATCTCATCTCCATCTCCAATGGCTATACCTTCTAACCATATTTCACCTCTGTCACTAACCCTCTTCCTCCTTGGTTCCATCGTAATATCTTCTGCCTTGCTTATCAGCTTCAGTACTGCTGCTGCTTCTTCAGATGTCGAAAGACAGGCAAGTCTTGCATACCATTCTTTAATTTTCTCTTCATTTCTGAGGAGTCTTTCTTATATTCTCCACACAGGTTTATATTGTGTACATGGGTGAGCTTCCAAAGAAACTTGGTCCATTCTCCACGCAGCAGCTCCAAACCAATGTGCTGCAAAAAGTTGTTGGCAGGTCACACATCCATTTATTAGCTTTGTTTAAGAAACAAAGAAAGGGGAAATAATATATTCGATTGACCAGTTCCAAATTCTGGGTTTTATGGTTCTACATATGCAGCAATGGATTGGCTGGTTCTATGATCTACAGCTACAGGAGGAGCTTCAGTGGCTTTGCTGCCATGCTAACAAGTGATCAAGTCAAGACGCTGGCTGGTGAGAGTCCTTGGGCCAAAATTACGTTTAGGAATCGTCGAGTTCGCATATTTTGAGAATACATGCATCTTTTAATAAATAAAAAAAATTAAATAGATTTATTTTGGGACCACCAATATCATCCCCAAATGCTTTTAGGGACTACAGACAACTTTGATTGTTACTTATGCAACTGCCTTCTACTCTTTTACACTATGTTGATGAAAGACGGGGAAAATGATGTTTATATTTGAAAGGGAGAAGAAAAATAAGATAATTTTTCACCCCAATTTGAGGGAGCAATTGCTATAGTGGTTTTTTCTCCAAAATAATCACCCCCTTGTATGTAACAAACTCATAAACAAGGGGAATTTTTTGATCCCAACAATTTTTTTCAAAATTTTCCCCTCCTATTTTCTCTCCTTTATTAACATAGGGTTAATGATGACAAAGTAAATATGTGCATTTTTATAAATTAAATTTGATTCTTAAACCTAAATTAGACTTTGTCTCAACGTCGGTGTAATATGGCTGCTGGCGATATCATGGCAAACAAGCTCTTAGAACGATGGTGCAGACACTTGTCGAGCATTCTATTTCTCTTAAGGTTGCATGGTTTTAATGTCGTTATTATATCCACACAAATTTTCTTCATTTCAGAGGACATGAATCATTTTGAATGCATCATTCTAAGTGATTTACGCGTTGCACATTTTACTGTAACATAAACTTCTAAACAATTTTCGTTTCTTGTTCTCTAGGGATGGAGGGAGTGGTTTCAGTCTTCCCTAGTCGGAAGAAGAAGCTCCACACTACAAGATCATGGACCTACGTCGGGCTACCTGAGAACAACGCCGAGAGAAGAACAAATGTCGAGAGTGACATCGTGATCGGAGTTATCGACACCGGAATTTGGCCCGAATCCGAAAGCTTCAACGACACCGGATTCGGCCCACCACCCTCTAAATGGAAAGGCACATGTACATCGGCCGCCAATTTCACTTGCAACAAGTAACAACTAACAATACACTCCGAATCTTATATCATTCATTTATACGTCTAAAAAATTGTAAAATTTTGAACCTATGCTCCTTTTCTCGCAGCAAGATAATCGGGGCACGACACTACAGAAAAGTAAGGTCGTACCCCGAGAACGATGTCCAGTCACCTAGGGACATAGACGGCCATGGAACCCACACGGCTTCCACGGCCGCAGGGAACCTAGTCCCCCATGCGAGCATGGATGGACTAGGTTCGGGTTCTGCCCGAGGAGGGGTGCCATCGGCTCGAATCGCGGTCTACAAAGTGTGTTGGACCGACGGGTGCTACGACGCGGACATACTCGCGGCGTTCGACGATGCCATTGCGGATGGAGTGGACATCATCTCCTTCTCCGTCGGCAGTGAGACACCGGACGCTTTCTTCGATGACACCACCGCCATTGGAGCTTACCATGCGATGAAGAATGGGGTGTTGACGTCGGCTTCGGCCGGCAATGAGGGTCCTTCCGCCGGGACGGTCAACAATGCCGCCCCTTGGATTCTCACCGTGGCTGCTAGCACCACTGATAGGAAGTATGTCACGCAAGTTCGGTTTGGGAATGGAGAAACGTTTGAGGTGAGTAAGTCCAAAAATAACGGTTTATTATTTCTCTGTGGATATGGGAAAACGGATGTAAATTAGGGTGTATATATAGCTGCATAATCAGATTTATCTATTGATTTTCGAGAAAAAAATACTGTGTCACTCGTTACCATCCCGATTCTACTCCGTATCACCTTAATTTATAACTCATATTTTCTTGTTGCACATATGAACGTGTTCATCATGATCTATTATGATCCACATTTTTAGAGAAAGTATTACTAGGTGGTATAGGATGGTAACTGGTGGTGAAATTACACTTCTACATCACCATGGTATATTATGTTCCACTAAGTATTACCAAGGGATGATATGAAACTATTTTGGTTCGGGTAATGAATATGCAATGTCCGTCCTGACTTGACTTGTTGGCATCCCTAGTATTACCACCATGGTACGTATAGACTAGTAATGTATACCTTATTTCTTTTGTTAAAAACATATCAAAGTGGATGTCATTTCGAAGAACAAAATTAATATGATTTTATGCGGCAAAAAATTTCAATTCCAACTTAAAACGAAAGAGATATAACATGTTCAATTTAATTGAGGAAAAAGTTATGCATGATTAGTAACCAAACCAGTTGCTCACTAGATATTCTCTTGCAAAAACTTTGTAATCTTTACATATTTATCCAATGTTTAGATGCTACTTAGATCCATGATCCATTTATCAATCCAATTGATCCAATGTGTGAATCCATCAATCTGTTTGACCTACCAATCTATGAATCCAATACACTTGATATAAGTTGGTGGTTGAGTTCTTTTGAATTTTGCGTATTACTATGTGTTCTTATATTATTCTGAATTACAAAATTCAGTTATTGTAGATTAGTTCTACTAACAATGGGTTGATTTATAGGGATCAAATGATTGAGTCAGATAATTTCTGATCACAGAGCATCTCGAACTAGTAGCATATCAATGTAGTGTTGTATTTTGAATTGATGAATCTGGTCATAAATTGTCACCTTTAACACCTAAATGTGCAGGGCACTTCCATAAACACAATTGATCTCAACAATACTATGTACCCTCTTGTCTATGGTGGGAATGCCCCAAACACCACCGGAAACATCAGCGTGTATCGAGCCAGGTATAGGCCCTAAACAAGTTTTAGCACTCAAGAACCTGAATTGTCCTCTAAGGTTAGAACAGAGACATATGTTTGATGGTCATGGATATGTGTTTACTTGCAGATTATGCAGACAAGGCTCTTTGAACCCTAGCCTAGTACAAGGAAGCATTGTGCTATGTGACGCTTATAACGATGGAATTGGTCCTTCATCGGCTGGAGCTATAGGCTCTATAATGCTAAACGATGATCCATCATCAGAACCGGAGGTTTCCTTCAGCTATCCTCTGCCAACGTCCTACCTTCAAGGATCCGAAGCTGCTGAATATGCGATGAAAACAAGGTGAGTCGCATGCGTCGTGTATGCTAGAGATCGATCTTTCGCTCTTTGATCGGTTCGTGTTAAGCCTGAAATCATGATAGATATACATCGTTGATACCGTAACGAATTTGAAAGGAGCAACTTAAGTAAAACAGAAATGTAACTAATGATTATGTGATGAATACTGAAAAAAAAAACAGAAATGCATCTGCGACCATCTCCAAGAGCATTGAAGTGAAGCGCAGAACTGCACCATTGATACCATACTTCTCATCCAGAGGGCCAAATGTTATAAACTCCAACATTCTCAAGGTATAAATTCCAGCACTCTGGGAACCTTTTTTTCCCCCCCTCTCCCACTTAACAGTCTCTCATCAGAAATTGATTTCACCGAATCAAACCATTACCTTTGTCATCGCACAGCCAGACATTGCAGCTCCTGGTGTGGACATATTGGCAGCTTGGTCCCCAGCAACCACAGCAACAAGCGAGGAAGGGGATGAAAGAGTCGTCAAGTACAACATCAGATTCGGAACTTCCATGGCTTGCCCACATGCCACTGGTGCAGCAGCTTACATCAAATCATTTCACCCTTCATGGTCTCCTGCTGCCATTAGATCTGCTCTAATGACGACAGGTAAAAACCAATTAGTCATCTTTGCATCCATCTCTAACCTTTCAATCTCCAGATCATCAAATTCCCCTTGTAGTTAATTTGATTTATGCGGGTTCGGGGTTCCCCTGCCTCTGCAGCTTCCCCCATGAACCCTGCCAACAACCGTGATGCAGAGTTTGCGTACGGATCAGGGCTCATAAACCTCACCAGATGCAACGATCCAGGGCTGGTGTACGATGCAGGAGAGCAAGATTACATCAAGTTCATGTGTGGCCAAGACTACACTGCTGCTCAAATCAAGCTGATAACCAGCCAAGATGTGGACTGCTCTAATGTGGGAGAGACCTTTGCTTGGGACCTAAACTACCCTTCATTCATTTTGCCTGGTGAGGTTGGCAAGAATGTGACTAGGGTTTTCCAGAGGAGCGTGACCAATGTTGGGACGGCGGGAGTGGCTAGTTACAGGGCGGTTTTGAGGGCTCCAGGAGAGCTTGTTGTTAGAGTTGAGCCAGAGGTTTTGAGGTTTAGCTCTGTTGGGGAAACCAAGAGGTTCAATGTTACTGTGACTGCAAGGGTTGGATCAAGTGGTGTGGTGTCTGGTGCTCTGGTTTGGAGTGATGGGTCTCATCAAGTGAGAAGTCCTATTGTTGCTCACACATTGTAGAGGTTGTTGAAACAGATGGTGGAACATTGATCAATATGTGGATTTGAATTAAGGATGTTTGGGTAAATTTTTTAACTAATTTATTGCCCCGTCAATTCCCTACACTGATTCATTTTGGTTTGGTTAGTTAAATTTTACACTTTTTTTTTACTCGAGTTTTGCAGTGGTAATAAACTAATTATAATTAAACTTCAAATAATTTACAAAATAGTAAGATTGAGATACCTCCATAACCTTTAGGTAATGCCTTAATTATTAAGAAAGACATACAACACTTTTTTTTTAAGTGATATATAAAAAATAACAATTTTTCATAAACTTTTCATAGTGTTTTAAATTTAATCATTACGAAACATTAATTTTGTTGATACATAGGAAATCATTATCCTTCAATAGGTTTTCCGTAGTGTTTTAAACTTTTAATCATTAGGTAAAACTCACATAACAGCTTTTTAATTTTTATATAAAAATAACTATCCCTCCATACCTTTTATGTAATGCAACTGTAATTTGCGCTGCTGTTATAAATCATTGTGACATAAATCTATTGTAATGGGTGGACTAATAATAAAATTAAATTATATAAAGTGTCACATTTTATTAAAGTGATATGTAAAAACTAAATTACTTTACAAATCCTTTGTATAATACAAATTGATGAGATGATCAATAGATTAGTAATAATAATAAAAATTATTTCAAAGCTATATTACGGAAGGATTACATATATAATAAGTTTGTTTAATTTACAAATATGAAATAACTACCCCTATAAGGATGTAATATATTTATAATAATGTAACTATTGTAGAACAGTGTTGCATAAATCTTTCGTGTTGTGTGGTCTAATAATTGAATCAGGTTCTAGAAAATATCACATTCGATTAAACTGGTATGTAAAAAATAATTGACTATACAAAATCTTATTGTAATGCAAATAATACCGAGCCTATTGTAAAATTTGTGTAGGTGGTAAAACTCCTTGTGAACGGCACCCGTTGCAAAAAAGAACATTAATCTCTTTAAACCATTTCTTTTATAGTCTTATGTAATACTTATGTAACCACATTCCTTAATTGGCGTGTAAAATATAAATAGATTACTTGAAGGTTACATCTTAACAATGTTTTTTTTGAATAAAATGAGGTGATGACGTGGGGCGGATTTGGGGGCAGTGGTCGGCCCTACGTTGGGTATAAATAGTGAAGTGAGTGGAACTCATTTACTCAGGTTGGACTTCTCTCTAAAAACTATATTCTACTTCTCTCTCTAGAATACTGTTCTAACTTGGGCGTCGGAGTGCTAACGAGTCCTAAGTAAGGGGCTTGGTGGGCGCCTCCTTGTGCATGAACGAGGGGAACCTAAGGGGCGGACCGGGAAGAGAAGGAGCGCATTAACCGAGGGAACGCTGGGTTACTTAGCTTAAACAAATTGAAAACACCATTTCACTTTTGTTAATTTTACAAACAAAACAAAACATAAAAGTTAATATTGTCATATAACATTATTAAAAAATCTGTCGAACAACATTAATAATAACACAAACGAATACCTAACAACGAAAAATGCTAACAGCATTATTAATACTAATTGCAAGTTGCCAAGATGTGAGAGAGGCCATATATTTTAAATTTCCATTTTAGAAAAGGAAAATTATTAAATTCGGATTTTATTAAATAATAAATAATATTATTAAATAAAATTAATTTAGTATTTCTTTTTAATTATAATATAGAGAGAAGGTTATGGAGAAAATCATGGAAGGAGAGAGAAAGAGAATCATTAATTAATAATATTAATTATAATTGCAAAACCCCATTTACCTTTAACTATCTATTAACTACTAACCAGTGAAAAGCTTGGCATTTTCAATAATAATAAAATCACATAACCCGATTGAATTTAGAGAGAAGAATGCTTTCAATAGCTAGCGAAGGCTCACCGGCCCCGGCGCCGGCCCTCTTCCCCTCCGATCGACTGCCCGACATTAAACCCCCTGACGCTAGCGCTCTCTTAGCACCTACTGAATCTTCTGTGTTGCTAAGTAATGTGGCCACGACCACTTCCTCCTCTGATATGGCTATTGACTCCTCCTTTTTGTCTGTGCAGAATCAGGATGAACGAGAACCGACGACGGAACCTCATCAGGGCCAACCATTGGCGGTGGCCACCAGTCAGCAGCCCTTCACATATGCCAAAGCGGTATCAGGGTGGAAGCCGACGACGGCAAACCCGAGTCAGTCGATTCAATGGACTCCGGTGGGAGAGCATGATCTGGTAACGGGCGATCGCAACGGGGAACCATCGCTTCAAGTTTCAGCCGCGTTCAAGGCAAAACTCTGCGCTCCGTGGCAGAAAACCCTTGTGGTCCGATTACTGGGCCTGCGGATTGGTTTCGTTACCCTCTGCAACCGCCTCAAAAATCTTTGGCGCCCGGCCGGAAATATGGAGGTCAAAGATCTCGACCATGATTGCTTCCTAGTTAAGCTGGATAACGAACAGGATTACTTCAGAGCCTTGACGGATGGCCCTTGGGTGATATTCGATCATTATTTGGTGGTTCAACAATGGTCTCCGAAGTTTAAAGCATCTGACCCTCTCCCCAAGACGATGATCGTTTGGGTGCAGCTCCCAGCTCTGAAAATCCACTTCTATCATAAGGAGGTGTTGAACACACTGGGGAATCTAATAGGCAGGACTATCAAGCTGGATTATCACACGCTGACTCATGATAGAGCGAAGTTTGCTCGGCTAGCGGTGGAAGTCGACTTGTCAAAACACCTGATACCACGCATTTGGCTCGACGATGAATGGCAAAAGGTGGAGTACGAGAATCTCCCAGAGGTATGTTTTGATTGTGGGAAGATCGGACATTCGTCATCATCCTGTCCACAGAACTCGCTGATCGTTCCTCTGGGCCAAGTGCCGCCGGTCAATACGTCGCCGACATTGCCATCTAGCGCCGACGATCCCAACCCGGGCTTCGGTCCGTGGATGCTGGTGACGAAGAGATCCCGCCGTAATCCAAGGGAGGCGCCGCGAAAGGGGAAAGTGGAGAGTAGCCCGGCCAATCAAATCCCAACAATCGCCTCTAAAGATGGAAAGTCTGGACCAGCGATTAAGGAAGGAAGCACCTCCTCACCTTTCTCACCTTCCGCCAACGACCACTTACCCCAGAAGAACCCACCTCAGGACAAGAATGGAAACAATGGCAAGAAAAACATTGATGAGGCAAGAAAAGGGAAAAATAAAGTGGGAAACGCGGACTCCAAGGGGAAAGGCGTACTTGGGGCAGGGCCCATTCCAGCTTCAAAGGGGGTAAGCGGGCCGAAGCCTGTTTCCTCTGGTGGGGCCTCTTCATCAGCCCACAACTCGGGACTCTCTCGGGGCTCGCAGAAGGCGGAGCTGGACGTCCAGAATAAGGCACCTGGGCCAGAATCTCATAGAAGGCCCAGTTCTCCTCTGTCCCAACCACCGACTGTTCGAACAGTGACAGGGCAAAATGGAACGGTGATGCAGATCGTGGAGAACATCAAGCCGGATGGAGGAAGCGGCGCCGCGAACTGCTCGTCTCCGTCCGTCGCGTCCAGGACCAAGCGGAGCAAGACTAAGAAGGCTCAGAGCAAAAAATCACCCAACAAGCTCCATCAGCTAAATCCCCTGCAGGTTTGGTCCCCGGTGAAGAAACCCAAATCCAAAGCTCGCCTTGCGTCGCTAACACTTCAGGAAATTGATGCCTGGACCGAGGCTGCTAAACGTCCGGCGGGGGGAAATGGAGAATCGGAACTAACTGTAGCGGAGGCGATCCCACAGGCGATGGCTAGGCCAATTGACGGGGCGTCGCCAACGACTTGATGCGGGGGATTTCTTGTTTTCTCAAACCCTTCTCTGTTACTTCTTTTTTTATGTCGATGAATCACAGAATTAAGTTTCTCTCATGGAATGTTGGTGGCGCAGAGAGTCGGGAGTTCTTCCGGGCGCTGAAGTTGGTTGTTCAAGAGCATCGTCCTGATTTCGTGGTGTTACTGGAGCCTCAAATCAGTGGCGACTCGGCTAATGCAGTCTGTGATAAGTTGGGCTTCCCCAACTCGATTCGAGTGGAGGCGGAGGGTCGTCGAGGTGGGTTGTGGGTCTTTTGGGACGCTGCTCAGTTCTCTGTGGAGCCTGTCGCTGCCTGTTTTCAACATATATTGCTCACAGTCTCCAAGAATAATGAGCCCCCCTGGATGCTTTCGGCGATTTACGCTTCCCCCCGGCAGCATGAACAACGGCTACTTTGGGACAGGATTATTGAGCAGAGCAAGTTTATTGATGATCCTTGGCTCTTGACAGGGGACTTTAATGCCATTAGCAGTCCGGATGAGAAGACGGGTATTCCTACTAGCAACACTCTCAGGAGGTGCCAACTGTTCGTGGAAAGAATGAATTTGGCGGAACTGATCGACCTTGGCTTCTCCGGCCCCAAGTACACCTGGGCTCGAGGCGATCAAGCTCACACTTTTAGAGCTAGTCGGCTGGATAGGAGCTTGTGCAACACCCATTGGAACTCGGCCTTCCCAAATTCGACGGTCCTTCATCTTCCTCGCCACCAGTCGGATCATAATCCAATTCTTACCACTGTGGAGTTGCAGTCTCAACGGCAGCAGTTGGCTCGGACTTTCAGATTTGAAGCAGCCTGGCTTAGGAGCGAAAGCTTGAAGAATGTGATTTCTAACTCCTGGGATAAGGATGCTCCTCTTCAGGAGGCTTTGCACACTCTTGCGGGCAAGCTGGATGAGTGGAATGGAGCCGTTTTTGGGGATGTTAAGCAAAAGAAGCGGAGGCTGATAGCTCGGCTAAAGGGAGTAGAGTCAAGACTAGCCATTGTGTTCTCTCACGGTCTGGCCAAGCTCCATTCTAAGTTGGAAAGCGATTTAGATAAGATCCTTGAACAAGAAGAGCTTTTATGGTACCAAAGATCGAGAGATAGGTGGGTGAAATTCGGGGAAAGGAACACAGCATATTTTCACCAGCAGGTCAATATCAGGCGGCGGTCCAATAGAATTGAAGCCCTGTTGGATAACAATGATGTCTGGGTTGATGATCCTTCCTCTCTTGCGATGATGGTGTTCAATTCTATTTCTAACATATTCATGCAGGATGACTCTATTTATGAGGACAGGTTGCCCAGAAATTTCTTTCCTCGACTAAGTCAAGCGGAGGCAGCGGCCATCTTCAGACCCTTCACGACCACGGATATCCACAGTGCGGTTTTTGATATGAAGCCCTTTCAAGCTCCGGGACCAGACGGATATCATGCGGCTTTCTATCAGCATTTCTGGCAGGTGGTGGACAGATCTCTCTCCGATATGGCTATATCATTCTTCATGACCGGGGTTCTACCTGAGGGCGTGACGGACTCGATCCTTGTTCTTATCCCTAAGGTTGACAAACCGGAGAGGGTTACTCAGCTGCGGCCTATTTCGCTCAATAATGTCTGTCTTAAGAGCATTACGAAGGCCATGACTGCCAGACTTAAGCCCCTCATGAGGAAACTGGTATCTCCGAGACAAAGCAGTTTCATCCCCGGCAGGCAAACGTCCGACAATATTATTGTGGTCCAGGAGGTTTTGCACTCTTTTAGAAAGAAGAGAGGGAAGAAAGGGGGAATGATCTTTAAGATTGATCTCGAGAAGGCCTACGATATGCTGCGTTGGGATTTCCTCCGAGACACTCTCAAGGAGGTTGGGTTACCAAGTTGCTGGATCAACTGCATCATGTATTGTGTTGAACACAACTCGATGCGGATTAGGTGGAACGGGGAATTGTCTCAACCGATTACCCCGACCCGTGGAGTCCGGCAGGGAGACCCCCTATCTCCCTATCTCTTTGTTTTATGTATGGAGCGTTTATCTCATAAGATTGATGAGGAGGTGAATAACGGACACTGAAAAGCCATCAGGCTTACCAACTCGGGTCCGCCTCTCACCCATCTCTTTTTTGCAGATGATCTGCTTCTTTTTGCAGAGGCAGGAAAGCGTCAAATCCGGATAGTGAAGCAATGCCTAGCTGACTTCTGCTACAGCTCAGGGCAACGGGTCAACTATAGCAAATCCATCCTTTACATCTCTCCGAATGTGGGCCGACACAAGGCGGAGCATCTCAGTGCGTGCGCAGGAATTCCGTTGAAAGCGGGGCTAGGGAGATATCTCGGGATTCAGGCGATTCAAGAGAGGGTCACGAAAGGGAGATACCAATCGCTCATACTCCGCATCCAAAAGAAGATGGCTCCCTAGAAAGCTAAAAGACTTTCTTTCGCAGCTCGGCTTACCGTAGCCAGATCGGTAACTGCCTCCTTACCTGTTTATACTATGCATTCGGAGCTGATCCCTAGCGGTGTGTGCAGGAGCATTGATAAAATCAGCAGGGACTTTATCTGGGGAGACGATGAGAACCATCGTAAGTTCCATCTGGTTGCTTGGGAAAGGCTGACGACGCCCAAGTCGCAGGGGGGAGTGGGAATCAGACCAACCCGTCAAGCAAATATTGCCATGCTGGCTAAAGGCGGTTGGCGCCTCCTCCAAGACAAAGAGAACATTTGGCAGCAACTTCTCCTCAATAAGTACGGGGGCCAGCGCCAGAATCTTGATATCCTCCAGAACATAAAGGGAAGTTCCTTTACCTGGCGTAGCTTCACTAAAGCTGCAGACCTCCTTAAGAAAGGATGTGCGTGGAACATTAAAAATGGGAAACGAACTAAATTCTGGGTCGATCCTTGGATTTTGCAGGTGCCTCTCAAAGAGAAAGCGATTGGAGTCATCCCGGACGAGTTGAAGGAGGCGGTGGTGGCCGAGTTTGTCCGAAATGATGGTAGCTGGCGAACGGAGTTGTTTGACGGGCTTCTCCCTACGGACATCAAGAACAAGATCATGAGCACGGCAGTCGATGTCCTGGCGTCAGAAGAAGACTCTCTTTTCTGGTCAGAGACGTCGGACGGCTGATTCTCCACCAAATCAGCCTACGAGCTCCTCACCAAACAAGTTCAACAGCAGAGTGATGGGATTTGGAGGAAAATTTGGCAGCTACCGGTTCCGGAGAGAGTGAGAAGCTTCGTCTGGTTGTCTTATCAGGGGAAGATCGCCACCAACTTGCTTCGCCATCAGCGGAAGGTGGCTGCTTCGTCTGACTGCTCGCGGTGCCCTGGCTCCCCGGAGACGACGTTACACATCCTCCGTGACTGTGCTCCAGCCTCCTTTTTTTGGTCCAGACAGGTTCCGCAGCAGCATCAACACGAGTTCTTCAGCGCCAACCATGAGCTTTGGTTCCGCAGTAACCTCACGAGCACGGCCAACAGCGCCTCTGGGATTAATTGGCCAGGTTTTTTTAGCATTGCTATATGGCTGTTGTGGAAGAATCGCACGTTAACTGCTTTTAAAGGCTCGGGCGCAGCTCTCACTACTCCATCTCTCTCTCACTCGATCGTGGTTAAGAGTAAGTTGTGGACAGAGTCTTGGCACGCCCCTGATTTATTTGATAGCCACAAGAAGCAGCGTGCAGTGAGGGTAGTGGCGGACATCGGATGGACTCCTCCTTCCGACGGTTGGGTTTTAGTGAATACAGATGGAGCTTCCAATGGTAATCCGGGCTTGGCCGGAGCTGGGGGGGTCATTCGTGATTCGATGGGCAATTGGTTGGGGGGTTTTGTCGCGAAGATTGGTTCTGCTACAGCGGCGTTGGCGGAGCTCTGGGCCATTTCTCATGGTTTGGATTTGGCTTGGAAGCTTGGTCACCGTGTGGTCAAGCTTGCTTCGGATTCTCAGCTGGCTATTCAGCTGATTCAAGATCGTCATGACCCCATCCACCCTTATGCCACTCTGTTGAACCTCATTCGCAGGAAGATTAGCCAAGATTGGCTGGTCAGTATAACTCATACATACCGTGAAGGGAATAGAGTCGCGGACTGGCTCTCGAAGCACAGTCTCGTCTATCCCTACGTGATGCATGAGTTGACTGTCCCGCCTCAGGGTGTTATCCCGATTCTTCAGGATGATTTTAGGGGCACTACTTTTGAGTGCCGAATTGTGGCTAGCTCCTCTTCTTCTTCTTGACTCCCTCTCCCTGTAATGCTTCTGTTTCTTGGCCTTGGCCTCCTTGCTATGCAAAAAAAAAAAAATCTATTAACTACTAACCATTAACTACCTAATCCACTATATATCAACCAATAGGAAGACTTTAAGATTCTCCTTAAGGAATGAAGCTTAAGGACTTGAACACACATCCTTTGAATATTTGAAGCTATGGATAAGATGATTGAGATCCTCCTCGTCCTAACGACAAAGTGCACATCTACTAGGCTCAAGTTCTTTCTTTGCTGCATGTCCAAGAACGGAGGGAGTGGTTTCAGTTTTCCCTAGCGGGAAGAAGAAGCTCGACACTACAAGGTCATGGAGCTACGTGGGGTTTCCTGAGACTAACGCGGAAAGAAGAACAAGCATTGAGAGTGACATTGTGGTCGGAGTTATAGACAGTGGAATTTGGCCTGAATCTTAAAGCTTCAACGACGCCGGATTTGGGCCAGCTGCAGGGCCGTCCCATGATATTCGGAGGCCCTATTTTAAAAATGTAAAATGTGGCCCTAAAAATTTTCTCCATAAATTTATTAAAAATAAAAATAATTATAAAAAATATAAGCTCGGAAAATGATTACGAAAGGAATAAATGATCACTTTTCTAGTTTGACCAAGAAATCAATACCAAATTCCCAGCTCTAGTAGAGAGGAAAGTAAATCTGGATGGAAGAGAAAATGGATATAGCGCAAAAATTGAATGGAGAAATGAAAATAGTCTAAATTAATCGAGAGGTGGGTGCGGAGCTGTCTAATAGATTGTGCAGGCCCTGTTCCAAAATCGAGACGTGATTCAAATTGAGTTTTAACTATAATAAAGTTAAAATGATTATATTACCATTATTCAACATGTAATATCTTAAAATAAAATTATCTATTATCTCTCTGATTTTTGTAGTCTCCATGAGATAATTTTTAATTGTTATTAATTTATTATAGCTATAATTATCTATCACCATTATACTCATAATCAATCAATCATACACTAAAAATACAACCTACAATATACGATTGATAATTAACGGATTTAAGTAGAGGCCCCTAATATTTGGAGGCCCTGTGCCGGAGGGCGGACCGACACACCCTCTAGGCCGGCCCTCCGCCAGCACCCTCTAAATGGAGAGGAACATGTTCATCGGCTGCCAATTTCACTTGCAACAAGTAAACCACATATCCACTCCTTAATTACTACAATGGAGAGGGAGAGGAACATTCAATATTCATCGTCTACACATTTGTTCTGGCAGCAAGATATTGCAGAAAAGGAAGGTCGTACCCCTTGGAGGATGTCCAGTCACCTAAGGACAGAGAATGCCATGGAAGCCACGGCCGTAGGGAAACTAGTCCGTCATGATAGCTACTATAAGTGGAATAGTTTGTACAAATTTGTTGTATTAAATAATTTAGAACACAAATTATATATTTAGAATAGTTTGGGTTTGCTAGTGAAATGAGCCCTATATATAATAGACACATTTCTTCATATATTTTTGTTACACGAAATTGTTAATTGGAAGAGAACTCATCATTGGTAGGGTCAATGGGTTGGCGTGCTAACGAGAACTTGTGTTGGGTTGGCCCAAAATCACAAGCAAACTATTTTTATATACCAATGATTGATGATTTGGTATTCTAAATTTCTCTTCACAGTTCACACTTTGGGTTTGCATTTGATATTTTTATTGATTCGTCAACCATTTTAATTTCCATTATTTTTCACCAAATCATTGCTTATAAATAAAACATTCGGCATCATCTTCATACGAGGTTTTTTGTGCCTAACTTATGAAACAACCTAACACAATAATCATGTTTCCCAAATCATGGTTTGATTAGGTTGATTAAAGCATAAAGCTCATTTTCTTTCGTTGGATTTGATTAGGGTGCATATCACTCTGCATACGTATAATCAGATCTAGACACTTAGTTTTAAGTGAGATCAGATCTAAGGAATGAAAATTAATAATTATTTTTTATTTTCTCTACTATTTTTAATTTTTTATCTTCTTCGCTCTAATTAAATTTATAAAAATTTACATAGGTTAAACGATTTCATTGTAATCTACAAAATAATATTCATTTCACTATATTTCGAGCAAAATATTTTCATACCACTTGTTACCATCCTGGTACCACCTGCTATCACTTGGAACCACCTTCGTTTTTAACTCAAATTTTGAAATTTTTTGTCTAGAAGGAATGAGTTCATCGTGATTTATCAAATCCAAAAAATATCCAGGGAATTTTTTTTACTATCATGTATAATTATATATATGCAATCATTTTACACTCTGATGTGTTCATACCACCATGATACACTTCCATTCCAAGTGGTATAATGTTATGTACATATCAAATAGTACCGCTTGGTATGTATTGGTAATAAAAGTACCAATTTTTTCTGTCATTTAAAAAAGCACAATTAATCTTTGTATTTTTTTAATTTTGAACTTAAAATAAAATAGCTAATTAAAACATATCGGAAAAAAGTTAGTAATTCTTTATAAATAGTAAGTATAGAATCATTCATGATTATGCACATCCTACCCTACTCATTATGCAAGATTGATTCATGACCACCAAATACTGTAATAAGAAAACCATTAATGAAAAAAAGGCTGAAACTTGAAACCAAAGCCAATTTTTATTTTTAATTGAAACCAAAGCCAATTTGCTGGCTTCCACTTTTGTTTTCCTAGTACTTATCATTGATTATTTTTATCTAATGTCTGTCCATGGATTAGGACCAACTCTTTACATTACCTTATCTTTTAGTTAATGATATTATATAAATTCATGTCTTAGGTAAGATTAGTCATTCGATCCTTTTATTCATCCTAAAAGAAATAGAAAAAAAGATTACACTCAATGCTTGTTTTGTTTTTGGCCGAAGTTAACAAATTACCTATTCCCACTCTTATATGATTCATATTATGTACCTATCAAGACTGTCAAGTCGTTGTTTGTGTTAAGAACTCAAAATAAACACAAACACAACGCCAAGATTTACGTGGTTTCCCTGAGAATCAGGACTAGTCCACGGGAGAGATAGAACTCTCCAGAGTCACTCTTCTTCAACTTAAGTTTTCTGTGCATACAAGATACATATATATACGTTCGGCCTAGGGTATAAACCGAACCCTACTAGTTTATTTAGATAACTCCTGTAATTAAAGTAAATTACTAAAAGCTACCTAAATAAACTTAAGTCGTCACTTCAACACCCTCCCTCAAACTGATGATGCTGACGTAGCATCAGTTTGTGAGATAAATACCAGTGACGACTAGTGCCGACAGCCTTTGTCAACAAATCTGCAGTCTGGTCTTCTGTTGACAGATAACTGAGCTGGATGACTCCCTCCTGAATGAGCTGCCGAATATAATGCACATGAGTCTCGATGTGCTTAGTCCTGTCGTGCAACACTGGATTGTTAGCAATCCGAATTGCACTAGTATTATCACCAAACAACCTCATCGGCGTCGTGCAATTAACTCCCAAATCCATTAGTAACCGCTGCAACCATACCAATTCGGAGCTAACTTCAGACATAGACCTGTATTCTGCTTCAGTTGAAGACTTAGAGACACGATCTTGCTTCTTGCAGCGCCAAGATATAGGAGATAAACCAAGTCTAACACACCAGCCTGAAGTAGACCGTCGGGTATCGACACATCCTGCAAAATCAGCATCTGCAAATGCCTCTAAAGTCATCTCACCATGACTGGGAAAGAAAATTCCCACATCTTGAGTACCCTGAAGATACCGCAAGATCCGATGCACGGCATCAAGATGCAGAGTTCTGGCCATCCCCATATATTGACTGACAACTTGAACTGCATATGCTATATCAGGTCGAGTAGAGCTTAAATACCTGAGACTCCCTACTATCGTACGATAGTTAGTTTGATCATCGAGAAGCTCACCACTTGATCTACTTAATTTTAAGTTCTGCTCCATAGGTGTAGGACATGGCTTGCAGTCAAGGAACTGATACTCAACCAGTAAATCCCGAACATACTTTTTCTGACTCACAAAAATGCCTTGTGTCGTGCGCTCGATTTCCAAGCCCAGGAAGTATGAAACATCTCCAAGCTCCTTCAGTTTAAATGCCTGATGTAATGTCTCCTTGAGTTCCTGTATACCAACATGATCACTCCCCGTGATGATCATATCATCAACATATAGTAATAAGACAGTGAGACCAGTCGTCGTTTGACGCAAAAACAAAGATGGATCATTCTGACTTTGCACAAAGCCAGCCTGCATAACAGTGCCATGGAATTTCTCAAACCAGGTACGTGGAGCCTGTTTTAGTCCATATAAAGACTTCTTCAATCGACAAACAACGTTAGGACCACCCTTCGAATACCCTGCTGGACATGCCATATAAATAGTCTCCTTCAGATCTCCATGCAGGAATGCATTTTTGACATCTAACTGAACCAGAGGCCAATTCCGCATTGCAGCTACAGCCAATACACATCGAACAGTCTGCATCTTCGCCACAGGAGCGAAGGTTTCATCATAGTCAATCCCATATTCCTGGCTGAACCCTTGAGCTACCAACCTGGCCTTATATCGATCAAGTGATCCATCTGGTTTAAGCTTCACAGTGAACACCCACTTACACCCAACAACAGACATATCCGGAGTTCTGGGGATCACCTCCCATGTCTCATTCTCTTCAAGTGCATCGATTTCTTCTATCATAGCATTATCCCACTCTGGTATACCACATGCATATCTGTAGTGAGAAGGTACATGAATGGGTTCAACAGCAAAGGTGACGGGATCCACAGCAAAGACGACGTAGTCATTATGGCGAGGAGGTGGTTGGCCCTTGTTTACCCGATCTGATCGACGAGGCCCGGCTGGCGGTGACGGAGGATCATTGCTTTCATCACTGCCTGAGCTAGAATCCAAGGACCCATCACTGCTGCTATTTAAGATGTCATGTGATGAGGAGTTGGATCCACTATGGCTACTACTCGATGACTCATCACTGCTACTGTCCAAGGATCCCACAGGGGAGGATGTCTCGGTACCATCCCCATCATGCAATGAAAGAGAGGGAGTAGGCTCGGCAGGAACAACACAAGGGGAACCAAATGTCACGGAGTCAGCAACCACCAAGGTTTCAAGAAAGGAAAGACTACGAGCAAACTCCTCACGTGAGGATTCCTTCTTGGTGGAGTAGTACATGACATTCTCCATAAATATAACATGATAACCAATTCGTAACCGTTGACCCTCCGGATCATAACATAGGTACCCCTTATGACGATCACTGTATCCCAAAAAAACACAACGAGCTGTCTTGGGGTCGAGTTTATGACGCTCCTTGCGAGGAAGTAGCACAAAACATAAGCACCCGAAAACACGTAGGGCGCCATAGTCAGGCAACTTGGAATACAACTTCTGATAGGGAGAAGAGTTATCAAGGACTGGAGTAATCTGACGATTAATGAGGTGAACGACAGTGTTAGCTGCTTCCACCCAAAATCGTGCGGGAACTCCAGAACGAAACAATAAAGCGCGTGTCAGTTCGAGGACATGGCGGTTTTTACGCTCAACCACGCCATTTTGTTGTGATACCCCTGGGCAAGACTGCTGACTGAGAATACCCTGCGAACGATAAAATGCAAGCAGCTCATTTGAACTAAACTCTCCACCAGGATCAGAACGAATAATCTTAATAGTCTTTTGGAACTGGGTCTGTATCATACGAACAAAGTCTCGGGCATGAGTAAGAAGCTCAGATTTATGCCGCAAAAAATATATCCAAGTGTACCAGGTATGGTGATCAATAAACAACGCAAAATAAAGAAATCCATTGCGAGATGGGACCTGCGATGGACCCCAAAGGTCCGTATGCACCAGGTCAAACGGAGCATCATAAACTGTAGAACTAGTAGGGAACGATCGTTGAGCAGCCTTAGCCTCAATGCAACTAATACATGGGGGAGGAGAAAATGAAGCAGCTCGAAAATTACCAGGCAATAATTTTTCCGAAAACATCTGTAATAAACGAGAAGAATGAGGATGCCCCAAACGGCAGTGCCAAAGATCCCAAACAGAATTCCGAACATCCGAACTGAGAGAATGTTTGACAGAAACAACAGGAAATGTAGAGGAGTTCATCCTACAACTATCACGGGAAACATCAAGTCGAGCATCAACATGATCACCAGCAGCCAGCTCACGCCTACACCCAGACAAGTCCCGCGAACGCAGAGACTCCATCACATATATGCGCCCATGCTTACGACCCCGGCCGAGTTCCATCCCCGTCCTCGAGTCCTGCACCACACACCCATTATTATCAAATTTTACATCACACCCATCCTCAGCAAGTTGACCCACAGAAATCAAATTCGGAACCAATCTAGGAGCATGAAGAACCCTATCCAGATGAAGCCCAGACTCCACAATCCGACCCATCCCAGTAACCGGTAAAATCGTACCGTCAGCCACTTGCAATCGTTGAGTCACCGGACGAAGCGATGTGAACGACCCTACACGATTTGTCATATGATTGAAAGCAGCTGAGTCAAGAAGCCAGTGGGGAGAGTTACCTGAACCATTACCAGTCGAGAAAGCGGAGTGCATCACCTCCTGAAGCGCCGAGTGGATCAGCTTGGTAAGCTCTTCCTTAGAGACACCTGTGACAGATGAAAAAGCACCGGGAGTAGGCGCGGTGCACACCTCAGTAGCAGCATAAGCAGCGGGTGCAGAACTAGGACCAGCAGAACGAGGATGTGAACGACGACCCCGTTTAGGACACTCGCTCAAGATGTGCCCAGCCTGACGACAAAAGTTGCACCAATTTCTTTTCCGGCAGAATGGCTGAATATGCCCAGGATCCCTGCAATAATGACAAAAGCGAACAGGGGCAGTCCCTTGACCACCAGGAGGACCATGACCAGAGGCACCCATCTGCGAGGATGAGGACTGAAAGTGTGGCCGAAAAGAGGTAGCCGCAAACACCGAGGAATTCTCAAGGGAGCGAGCAGAACCGGCGTCAACCTGTGCCTGACTTTTAAGCCGAATTTCTTCTCTGTAAAGCTCGGCCAGAATTTCATCCAACTCAGTCACATTACGGTGGAGAAGAGAAGCTCGAATGGGCTCATATTCTGGACGTAACTTCATAAGGAAGTGCATTGTACGACTACGCGTACGTTCCACAATAGTAGCTTCAGGAGTATGAGCGGTCGAGATAGATGCCGAGAGAAGATCGCTCTCGGTCCAGAGGTTCATGGCTTCCTGATAATATGAGCGGATATCCATACGACCCTGAGCCAACCCAGCAATGGCAGTTTCCAACGCAAACTGACGCGATGCATTAGCTTGACAGTTGGTGGTACATAGATGCTTCCACATAGCACTTGCCGTCGTAAAACGGCGCAGACTCAGCCCGGTAGGAACGTCCACACATGCCACAAGCCAAGTGATGACCTGTGCATTCTCCGCCTCCCAATCGGCAAACTCCTTAGCCTCGGACTCAGCCGGCTTAGGACGAGTACCCAGCAGCAATGGAAGGAGGCGCTTGCCTTGAACAAACGTACGGAATTGAAATTCCCATAAGGGAAAATTCTTTCCATCAAAGCGAGCCACAACAGCATCGGGCTTTCCTGAATCCATCGAGACTAAACAATAGCACAACACAATATTCTAGCGAGCCAAAATAAATAGCAATCCAAGTAGTTTCCACACAGCAGTCGAGCGGAGACTCCTTAGCCAAAATAAAGAGCCAAAATAGAATTCCAAGAATAAAAGAACCCAGGGAACAAAACCTGCGCAGCCAAGTAAGACTCCAAACCAAGAGGCAGCCGAAATCCCAATAAACAGAAAGCAGCCGAGAAGAAGAACCCTGGACAGCCGAGACAAAAGCTCCGAAAGCAAAGAGACGAGTTGGCGAACAGATACAGCACACAGCAGCTGAAACCCAAAGCAGCCGAAGAAGCCCACAACAGCCGAAAAACACACAGCAGCCGAAAACCTTAGAAGAGAGGCTCTGATACCATGTTAAGAACTCAAAATAAACACAAACACAACGCCAAGATTTACGTGGTTTCCCTGAGAATCAGGACTAGTCCACGGGAGAGATAGAACTCTCCAGAGTCACTCTTCTTCAACTTAAGTTTTCTGTGCATACAAGATACATATATATACGTTCGGCCTAGGGTATAAACCGAACCCTACTAGTTTATTTAGATAACTCCTGTAATTAAAGTAAATTACTAAAAGCTACCTAAATAAACTTAAGTCGTCACTTCAACAGTTTGGCCTTATCGTAATTTTTATGAAACATAAATAAAGTTTTTGGCTTTTACATATGAAAGAAAGTTTTATGTCGTGAGATAGTTTAGTTTATACTTTCAATTTAATCCAATCTAATAATTTTATTCTTTTTGCTCGGTTAAAATTGGTTTAAATAACCAAACTAAAACATATCATTTAGCCTTGCACATGTATCTTATGCTTTGTTATCACATCCATGAAAATTATTAAGATTGCAAGGCTAGATGATATGAAAGAAAGTTTAGCCTTGCATATGTATCTTATGCTTTGTTATCATATGAAAGAAAGTTTTATGTCGTGAGATAGTTTTGTTTATACTTTCAATTAAATCCAATCGAATAATTTTATTCTTTTTGCTCAGTTAAAATTAGTTTAAATAACCAAACTAAAACATATCATTTAGCCTTGCACATGTAACTTATGCTTTGTTATCACATCCATGAAAATTATAAAGATTGCAAATGCAAAACTTTTCTGAAATTTAAGATACCAATACATTTCATTTGGATCATTGAGTTGAATATAAAGTCTCAACCCTAAATCTATACCATCCAACTTTTGTCACTTGCTAATCCCATTTTTGTCGGTTTCGGAGCTGAGGTTCTTATCTACCTAGCAAACCATTATAAAAAGCAAATTACAATAATATATGTTTCCCTCTCCATAAACGATTGTATTCTTTTTGTTTAATATATCTCCCCCTCCGTTAATTTTTTTGGATAATATGATGTGACCAAAGAGGGATTTGTAAAGAAATGCAAGAACTTTGATGTGGTCCAAAGCAGGGCATTAGTTGTTTTTCTAGCTTAAGTTCCTTTTTTCTTGACAAATAGTTGATAATGTGCTATGATGTTTGTCCTTGTTATAAGCAAACATCATATATCATATGCTTACCCTGCTATAAATTTCTTTAATGACAAAAATACCTATATCTTTATCGGTAGATAGTTTTGCATTCTAAATTTGATAACAATTCTTTTTATGTGATGAAAGAATCTGAATCAAATTCAGAAAAAAATTTGACTTCCTTTTGTTATGATTTTCACCTTGATCATCTCATAATTTGTGATACAATTATGATACTCTTAAGGGCTAATACCACAGGAAATACCATCCTTTAGAGAAAGTGCCATTTATATTACATCGTTTTCGAAATGCCATTTGTATACTAAAATGTCTTCTCTGTTAGTTGGGCGTTAAACATAACTGTGCGACTTTTCAACGCACAGTCAGCGCTTACTTGGATCCTACGTGGCTTGCTGACGTGGTTTATTTACTGGGGAAAAAAACCAAGGTAAAAGTGAAAACCGACTCGGGCTCCCCTTTACTCTTTTCATTCTCAATCTTTCCCCTCTTCCTCCACTGCGAAACACAGAAGAACCCTAGCTTCGCATAGGGAAAAAATTTCCCTAAATCGACGAGCTGGGCGGAATCAATCGGCGTGCGAGTAGAGGCGAAGAAGTCGGATCGTTGCTGGGAGTGAGATCGGAGGAGCGGAGCTGTCGAATCGTCGCCTCCGCCCCTGCTCTGCTCTCCCCGGCGATTACCCATCATCGTCTTTAACCCCCCTCCTCCTCTGAGTCCTCTTTGCAAGTGGCGGTTGTTTGATTGAGAAACCCGAAACCAAGATCCCATTTATTCACTCCCATTCCCCCACCCCATCCCTTGTCCCTGTCGACCCACCATCCTTCGGTTTCCTATCTCTCTCTCCACCTCTCTATGTCGGCGTCCCCGATGAACTGTAGGTCTCTGCGTTTGGATCGATTTGCAGGGTGCGGAGATTGGGGCCTTCCTAAGCTCCAGCGTCGCCGCCGTCCAAAGCTTCGCCACTTGCAGAGAGGACTCAGAGGAGGAGGGGGGGTTAAAGACGACGATTGGGTACCGGGAATCATTAAAAGGAGCGAGGTGTGCGCAGGGTGGTATCCTGCGCCACGCTCTGCCGCAACTGATCTGGGCCGAACAGAGCGACGGCGGTGCGGCGGCGGAGGAAGGGGATGGACGAGGGATGGCGGCGGCGGCGGAGGAATTGGGAGAAGGGGAAGGACGGAAAGAGGAGCGAGGCCATTTGTAGGGTTTGGAGGAGAAGGAAGCAGCGGCCATGCTGGTTTTGAGGGATGGCATGGCGGTGGCCGGATTTAGGTTTCAATTTTGGGGGAGGAGGAATGCGCTGTTAATCAGAGAAAACCAGGGACGCACAAAAAAACGAAAAATTGGAGGGATCGATCGATGTTTGTGTGAAAGAAGAAGGAGAGGTTTTTTTTTTTTGGTGTGTTGCTGTTCTTGTTAAAAAGTATTTTTAAAATTTTAAAGCATTTTTTCCAACATGACATCCACGTGTCGCCTACGTGGACACAAAGTGGGCCACCGTCAGGTCAACCGTCAATTCTAACGGTCAACATAAATTCGCGTAACACAAATGACACAAACCTTTAATAGATTGGAATATTTTTGTGTTTTCGAAAACGATATAATATAAATGGCACTTTCTCTAAAGGATGGTATTTCCAGTGGTATTAGCCCTACTCTTAACTAAAAGTTTAATAAACCTTTCAAAGACCAGTCAAACTTCCAAATCACATGTGTTTATAGCATGAAAAATGTAATTTAAGTATTAAACAATACTGGAAAAAATGTAATTTTATAAGGTGAAGGGAAGATAAAAAAATTAAAAACCAATAAATAAGGGGAATAGAGAAGTGGATAATGCATCCTTTTCCACCCACCTTGTAAGCGAGAGGCGGCAAAGGACAGGAGGATCCACCTCGACAATGCGCAAAGGTAAAAAAAAAGGAAAAGGTGGAGAGGGAGACTAATGAAAAGTATCTACTTTGTACATTGTGGCATCCTCCTCTAATGGAGAGGGCGGCTAAGAATCTTAATTAAGATTAATACTAATGAAGAATATAAAATAAAATAAAAAATTGTATTAAAGCTTCGTTCCTATCTCTTGTGATAGAGTTTGGTTGCATACGAATGGCCGTTTTGCTTACTGTTAATTTTGTTAAATTGTTGTCCGGTCATGTCCTATGAACTTATGTTGGATAAAAGAATTTAGTAAATTTGACAAAATGTACTGAATTAGCTCTTGATATCTTAATACGTGATTCGATAGACATAGTCGTTTAACACGATATTGTCTGGTGGTGGAGAGATAGAAGGATTAAGACATATTCCTACTCCTTTGCCTTTTTGTGGGAAGAAAGTGTGTGATTTAATACTCGGTTAAAGGGGAGCGTCACCCATGAGCAAGTATATCAAATTGATAGTTAAGTAAATTGTTTAATTAAGGCAAAGCAAGCTAGTTAATGACGAAAGGAAATGAGAAGAATTCAACAGAACGAAAAGTGATTGAGACCTCGTCCTAGGAAAGGTTAAGAACATTAACAAGTTTGCAATGCTTCATGTTCTTTTATGTATTTAGTAAAATTTCATAACAAGGCACTAATTTTTCACCTCAATGATAAAACTGACATATTCTTTTATCGAGTTGATAGATTTGATACTAGATTGAATTTGCGTTTATTCGTTATGAGTTACTTTTGACGTAAGTTGTAGAATTGCATGACGGAATTGGTTATAGGATTAGGGGGAATAACAGGATCCGTCTGATAATATTTTGTTCTCTAATTACGTACGTTTAATGTCTACCACCTTTCATCTATGAACAGTTAGCCAATTAACCATGAACATGATATGCTTGAGTGCTCTTTAAATATTGAAGAAGCTTGAATATCGTTACATGACTGATCATCTTCAATCAAATAAAGAAAAATATCACCCAAAATTCATTAGTTATCACTTATCATGGTCATTGTCGAGCTCATCAACAGTAAAGCTCCAATTTTCACCACCTCCATCGCAAAAATATCAACTACGAGTCGTTTAGACTCCCGTCCTCATCTTCGATATCACCACTAAAAAAATATTTTTGTGTTCTCAAGTTGACGATCGTGTGAAAAAAGAGTTGAGGAACTTGTTAACGAAAAGGGTAAATTATTAGTGAAATTGTAGTAAAAGGGATACTCATTTTACTCATTCAAAAATTAGTCTATGATTTCTATATTATTATCTTTGAATAATGTGAGGATCTTTTTTTCCAAAATATTAGTAGAGGTTGTTAAGGCATTTGATGTTTTTGAGATTACTCCAAAAGAAAGTAGAGGGAAAAAAATATAATAAACAAAACCAAGAGCAATGAAGAAAATGCTGTTGGTAGTGGTGGGAAAATGGGAATGGGGGTGAGAAACTACTAACTAGAGAGAGAAACAAACATGCATTGAGAGAAGGAGAGAGAAAGCAAGGAGCTAGTCGTTTCATTTCCCTGTACCCATTAGAGATTGAGAAACAGAGACTGAGAAAGTGAGCTTCTTTGTTGTAATTTTACAGAGCAAAAGAACTGAAAAGAGAAAGGAAAGCAAAGAAAAGAGATTTCTCCGTTCTGTGGTAAAGATGGAGATTAAGTTGAGAAGAAGAAGCAGAGCTCAGTAAAGAAAGGTTCACCAATTGCAACCTCCTTCGTTCTTCTTGGGTTAGTTTCTTTTTCATGGCGATTGTTTTGTTGGCTTGTGTGATTCTTTATTAGCCTGCAGACAAGTCAGTAGCCCTTGCAGGATTTTTTTTAAAGTTTATATTCCAGTGTTTGATATCTCTAGCGTCTTTTGGGTGGAGTTTTCAATGGTGGATTCTTTCTTTTTTATTAATAGTTGTTGCTGTTTGTGAGCCATCGCCAACCAATTTCTCATTATTCCCGGCAAGCTTTTGATATCTGGGTTTTGCATGCAAGGTATTTGATGAAATGGGTCAGTGGAAGGTTTTAGTGGGATGGCGATGAAACCAAGAGTTAGCTTTTTACTAATCGTCTTCTTTCTAATTGAGTTTCTCGTTTTATTGCTTATTCAATCTTCTTGATTTCTTCCTCCGAATCTCTGATTGCTTAGTAGTGGTCTGTTAGTGTTCTAATTTGAATTTTGGCTTCCTGGGTACAGTGATTCATGCAAAAAGGATTCTGACCTCCTAGATAACCTCCTAGTTCTGGTGAGTCTTCTCTAATTGCATTTTAGGACACTTAGATTTATGAGTCAATGACTTTCCCCATTGTTGATTGTCAATTGTTGATGTTGAGTGTTCATCTTTGTCAGCTGAGTTGGAGTTTTCGAACATGGGAGTTCAGCAACATCATTTCTATGGCACCAAGCCACTGAAATTTCAATTTCAAGACCAGGATTCGTGCTCGAGTCAATCGACTGGTCAATCATACCCTGAAGTCGGAAACATGGGAGAAGGTAAGACACAGCAACACTGTGATATGATTTTACTGAAAATTGATACAAAATTATTACCACGAGAATCGAACTAGGGTTAAGCTTCTTTGTTTACGTGTGTCTTTGTGATGGTTAGCAACTGATGAAGCTTGTGGAAAGCCAGTGGGTGGTGGTCAGACTGGTAAACTATACTCACAAGTAGGACCTCAGGAGTTCATCTTCCCTGCTTATCAAGTTGACTATGGCCAATCTGTTGTAAGTTCATACTTTTGCTTGTGCTTTATAGTATAAGAAAATGGATCAGACAATCTTACATAGTCGTGATCACTATCTCAGGCACGTATTCCACTCGCATATGCTGAACCATATTATGGGGGTATCCTAGCTGCTTATTCACCAACGGTAAGTGACTATCTGTATGGATTCTGTTTGTTCATTTATGTATTGTGTTTTTTGTTTGATAGATTGACTGCAAAATCAAATTTAAAAAGGGCAAAGAGATAGAATCGGCTTCATCTGTTAACCCGAAAGATGAGAGTGGTTTGCAGAAATTCATCACCAATCTAAAACCTTGTTGTGGCTGTAGAGTCAGATTACTGATAACGTCAGACCTGAAAATATGTGCAGACTATTTTAGTTTCCCTGGAAACTCTATAGCTGCAAAATAGTTTATCCCAACCCATCCTTAGTTAGACAAGAATCACGCCCCTCAAATGCGATTCTTCAGTGTGTAAACCGTGCTTTTTGGTGTGCTGATAATATTCATTACATTTGATGCTGACCCTTCAAGCTCTTCACTGGAAAAAAGGTTGATCTGGTGTGAAACCATTAAATGAAAGTTTTTTTAAATATATCCTGTCTTGCTTAGGAATCTTTTTTACTCCATTGTGCCCCTTTACCTTATTCTTTAGCTGGGAAGTGGGGGGCTTCTTTCTTAAAATTACTGGGAACTAGTACTAATTAGTCCATGGCTTTCCTGCTTTTTTCAAAGGAGCACCTGAACTGTGCTTCTTCTGCCCCTGAATACTTCCCCAAATCGACCATTTCTGTCAGAGTCGATAGAATTTGTGGTTAGATGTAGGCCCACATTTACTGTCAGAAGTATCATTGGCTTAATGCCTCCGTCGGGATTCATTTGGACAATTGTTTGCGGCCGATGTTGCTGCAGTGCTAAGTTGGGCTGCCTGTCTGAAGCCAGATCATGAAGTTCAAGGGCTCATTTCAGGGAAAAGCAGAGTTCAGGTGCTCGTTTGAGAAATTACAAAACCTAAGGAGCAAAATTTGCATAAATCCATTTATGTACTTGGGCAATAAACTACTTCTTTTCCAAGGAATTTATGCAAAATGATATATAAGTGGTAAAAAGCAAGGTTATTCCTGTATTTGGATTCTGGTCCCCCTCTCTAAGCTGTAGCTGGGCATCTTGTATTAAACCACACTGCAACCATACTTATTGTCACCATGCAAAGCTGTGTATTTCTTTGAACTTTTGCTATCCTCTTCAACTTCATTGTTCATCAATGATTTGGCTGCAGGTCCATCCCTCACAAGTATTTGGAACGGCTGCAACTCGAGTGCCCCTTCCTCTTGATCTGACTGAAGATGAACCCATCTTTGTCAATGCCAAACAGTACAACGCGATCCTCAGGAGGAGGCGCTACCGCGCGAAGCTCGAAGCTCAGAACCGGCTGGCCAAAAATCGTAAGGTAAATGCAAACCCTGTGATTGTGCTGCTCCAATTCAGTGAATGAAATGGAAGCTAAAGATATAAAGCATACCACCCTCTAAAGATCTAGAAACAAAGTCAAAGAAAAAGATAGGATCTTTCATTTCGTTGTTATCATTACCTGGAACTACTTTTTTTTATTCCTCTGCAGCCGTATCTTCACGAGTCAAGGCATCTTCATGCAATGAGGAGGGCTAGGGGTACCGGTGGGCGTTTCCTCAACACGAAAACACCAGATGAAGATTCTTCGAGGCACGAGCTCACAGGATACGGCCAGCCTAGATCATCCGGTAACTACCCGGAGTCCTCTGAAGTTCATAAGGGGGAGAATCGTCGAGATGGTTGTGCTTCGACCACCTCTTGCTCAGACATCACCTCCAACAATGACGACGATGGGGCATTCCACCAGCAAGAGTTCAGGTTCTCCGGATACCTGGCATCATCGTCTCACGTCGGTGGGACCATTCAAGGGCGCCGCGTCCACTAAGAGAGAGGGGGAAAGAAGAGAGGGCCTCTATGCAGCTCATCTCATCACCTCTCTCCCTCACGGGGCTCATTGCCCTCTGGGAAGTCATCCTTGGCTCAGTTCGTTTCTGTGTAATTCGGGTTCGTTTTGCTTGCTTGTCGAAGAAGTTATTGATGCTTGATTGCCTTCTTTCTCAGAACTTATTAATCAGTCGTGCTTTGTATTTTGCATTTGTGCCTAAAAAAACTCTTGTCTGGACTATGGAGGCTCGAGTAATTGATTGTGAATGGTAACTCTGTTCTGGAGGTTCTGCTTGTGATATCGCTTTCCCTCCCGGAAGCCGTACTTGCCGGAATATGTGGCCGCCGGTCATCCTGCCGGGCTGGTTCTTCCCACTTCTCATTTCTCAATCTCTTTTGCTGGATTATTTATGTTGTTTTTTTTATAGAAATGTTGTTAAATGTGGATAAAAATTTCAAAAAGAAAATTATCGAATTCAATTAAGAATGTTACTTGAATATGATTTCCAGAATTAAATTCCTACCATCTATAAACGTTTCAATTGGCAGCAGTATTTTCGATGCACAAAATTTACTTCGATTAATTATTTAAATACTATTTTCAGTGTAAAAAGTAATTATAACCAGCTTTATGGGAGAATTAATATCTAAAAATAACAAAGTTTTGGCCCATTCAGTTACGAACACTCCGTAAAATTAGTTTTATCAGTTTGGTTTTTCACTGCTGTTATTTTACCCAAATCCCTCAATTTCTTCGTCACCTTAATCGTCTAACCGGCCGTCGAATCTCACCGTCTCCGACGATCGTCGCCGAACATTTTGTACAGGATCGGTGTGTCTGCATTTCGGGAGTCCTTTCCGAATTTCCACAGGATCAGTCCGCATTGCCTGCCTGCCTCGTTCCCGATTTTGATGGTTTCTTTCACCACCGTGGCCGTCCGGCTTGCTGTATTTGTCCGATGAGCGGTTCCTTCTCTCGTTACAATGGCGTGCATGAAGCTGGGATCGAAATCTGAGGCCTTCCACCGGGATGGCCATAACTGGTACGTCTCTCTAATTTCTCTTCTTTTATTAGTGGCCGCAATTGGAATATTGATCGTCACCCAAAATTTTTGTAGGAAGTGGCTTTCCATTGTTTAGCAGAATTAGAGATTGGGGTTGTTCTGGTTATGGCGAATTTTTTCCTATGAATCCAGATTTGACAATTCCAAACGCCACTAATGATTCCTTACTGAATCTGAATGTTGAAAATTTTCATTTCCACCTTGAACTTTTCTCACTTGGCTTTTGTGTTAGTTTCAGATGCCCCCCTTTCAAAAATTGGTTTCAAATAAAACCCTGCAATTCTGCTGTTTTCCTTCTGCAGGTTTTGCTCATCTGGGCTGCAAAGTGATTGCATAGTTGAAGTCGGAGAATCGTCGTTCCATCTCCACAAGGTCTGTTCTTCTGACTGCATATCTCTTATCTTAACCTTGCTTTTGTGTCCTGAGCTGCAAAAATGGTTTCTTCCTTAGATGCAGAGTAGTTTTCTTTCCTGAGAATTTAGTACCTGTTCATCATCTGCGCATGTGTAATTGAGGTTCTTAAGCTTTTTATTCCTCTCCTTAGAATTGTCATACAAAATTTGGCAGCATTCTGGAAAGTTCATGGATGCTTATGCAGAGTTGTACTTTAAGTCTGTTTTTATAGTTTTTCAACTTCCTCCTTTCTTTTGGCAGTTCCCATTGCTCACCAGAAGCAAGCTGTTGGAAGATCTCATAGCAGAACAATCTACCGACAACGGAACCACTTGCATCCTTCAGCTCGACGATCTCCCTGGTGGAACAAACAGCTTCGTGCTGGTGGCCAAGTTCTGCTATGGTGTCCGAATTGAGCTTGATGCACTCAACATAGTCCGTCTCCGATGTGCAGCAGAGTACCTTGGCATGACCGAAGAATATGGCGAAGGAAACCTCATATCGCAGACAGAAAATTTCCTGAAAGAGGTATTCAGCCACTGGACAGACTCTCTTCAGGCTCTAGAAACTTGTGAAGAAGTTCTTCCACTAGCAGAAGAGATCCACATTGTCTCGAGATGCATCCACTCGTTAGCAATGAAAGCTTGTGCTGACCCAAGTTTGTTCAGCTGGCCAATGTCAGCACGCAGCAGAGATGCTCCTCAGAGCCCTGAGGAAGGAAATGTGTTCTGGAATGGGATTTGGACTTCAGGGAAGTCAAATTCAGCAGGTGATGATTGGTGGTACGAGGATGTTTCGTTCCTTACACTACCACTATACAAGAGGTTGATTCAGGCGGTGGTCTCGAATGGTATGAAACCCGAGAAGGTGGCCGGCGCCCTAATGTGTTATGCTAGAAGGTACTTGCCTTTGCTTGGACGACAGTCGAGCTTCCAGAATGTGAAGCAGGATGCACTTGGTTCGACAATTAAGACGACTCCACAGGCGGATCAAAGGAATCTGCTTGAAGAGATTGTGGAGCTTTTGCCTGATCAGAAGGGCATTGCTCCAACTAAGTTTCTACTCAGGCTTTTAAGGACCGCGATTCTGCTCCATGCTGGGCCATCATGCAGAGAGAATTTGGAGAAGAGGATTGGAGCCCAGTTGGACCAAGCGGTTTTGGAAGATCTTCTGATACCGAATGTGGGTTACTCGAGTGAGACTCTGTATGATATTGATTGCGTCCAGAGGATGCTTGATCATTTCATGATGGTGGACCGCGATGATCCTCCGACAACAAATTTCATGTTGGATGAGGGTCAGCTTCTTGGTGGTGATGGTGGTGGGTCGCAGTCATTTGCTCCAGTAACATTGGTTGCAAACCTTATTGATAATTTTCTTGCGGAGGTTGCTCCTGATGTCAACTTCAGGCTAGCCAAGTTCCAGTCGCTGGCTGCATTGATTCCTGATTATGCCAGGCGAATCGACGATGGAATCTATCGTGCGATTGATATCTACCTTAAGGTAAACAAGTGCATTCATGTTCAAGTCGTTACTTTGTGTGTTAAGAAGTTAAGATCATTCAGAACTGATTCTCATCTCTATGGTTGCCGCTCAGGCTCATCCATGGCTGACTGATTCCGAGAGAGAGCTTCTCTGCAGGCTAATGAACTGCCAGAAGCTCTCCCTCGAAGCAAGCACTCACGCAGCACAGAACGAGAGGCTCCCACTTCGCGTCATTGTCCAAGTATTATTCTTCGAACAGCTCAGGCTACGGACCTCAGTGGCTGGGTGGTTTTACGTTTCTGACAACCTCGAGAACTCGCAGAACCTGGCATTGACGAGGAACGACGACGGGATACAAGAACACGGGGAAGAAGTCGATGTGAGGGAGAGAATCGTGGAGCTGGAAAAGGAATGCATGAGCATGAAGCAAGAGATCGAGAAGCTGATGAAGAACAAAGGGAGCTGGAACATGTTTCTGAGGAAGTTGGGGTTTGGCAAAACGAAGAAGGCAAATGGCGCTCAAAAACCCAGAAACGTTAAGGAATCTTCGGCCATGGAGGATTCCACAACGCCATTGATGGACGGTGGTGGAGTTGTGGATGATGGTGATAGAAACAATGGGAAGTCAGGGAGGTTGGATTGATTTTGAAGATATAATGAGAAAATGGTGATTGATTCTGTTTTCTCATTCTTTTTGTTGGGATGAAATAATAGTGTGATTCATTTTGTGTCACTACTCTTTTTTTACATTTGTTACCATAAATGATCTAACTGGAGGAGTGTTTTCCACTTTTGCTAGATTGGGTTTAAACTAATGGTGTAAATTATGAAGGTCTAGGGAATGATGGTGGTACTAGTAAGTATAGGTGTCAAAACATAGCCCGACCCGATTAACCCGCCCGATCAACCCGACTCGCAACCCAACTAACCCGCAACCCGACTAACCCGCAACCCGATTAACCCAAACTCGATTGACCCGCAACCCGACTGACCCGCAACCCGATTAAACCGAACCCGATTGACTCGAACCCAACTAACCCGTAACCCGACCAACTCAACCCGAATATCATCTAATTCACTTAAATAATTATAAAAATATACAATACATAGTTTTTCAAAATAAAGTTTTTCATTCTAAACTTAAGTAAAATTATTTTTTCATTTCGTATAAGAAATTTTAAAAATATGAAACTCACTTGATATTACGTATTTTAAGAAAATTACAAAAATTGAAACATGAAGGTCACTTGAGATCATGACAATATTAATATAATATATAAATTAAAATTTTGGTTAATTTTACTATTCAATAAAATTATCAATTAAATATAAATAAAGTAAAGTAATGTATTTGGTAATTTGATGTTTTTAAAAGAAGAGGGAAATTTTGGTGTATTCAAATTTTCGGGAAGAGAAAGAAGAGAGAAATTTGGTTTTTTGAATTTTTTAGAAAAGAAACAAGTTAGAATTTTGGTGGTTTTGATATGTGGGAAGAGAAAGAAGTGGGAAAGTTTGATTTTTTTTATTATGAAAGAGAAATAAGGAGGGAAACTTTTGACTTTTCAACTTTTTGTAGAAGGAAAGAAGAGGGTAATTTGGTTCTTTCAATTTTATGGAAGAGAAAGAGGAGGGAAAATTGAGTTTTTCTAATGTATGGAAGGAGAAAGAAGAAGGGAAATTTTAGTATTTTTGTGAAAAGAAATAATGAAACAAATTTGGTGTTTTCAATTTTTTGGTTTTTCATAATTTTAGCTTTTGAAATATGAATCTTTAACTTTTATATGGAGGGCATGACTAGTTAAAATTATTCTTATATGCTTTGAAGGCTAATAAATAAATTAACCATTAGTTACAACAATTTATACTAAACTTGATAAGTAATCTTTGACGGTTCGTTCTTTAGGATATAAAGTATATGGTTAGGGTATAAGGTATAAGGTACATATGGTTTAGGGTGTATATGGTTAGAGTATAAGATATTGATGGTTTTGACGGTTCTAAGTTTTTTATTAACATATGGTTACTTGAAGTCTTTAACGGCAGGAGATCCCTTTTTAATTTATGTTTATGGTACGTGGTTAGGGTACAAGGTATGTGGTGTAAAGTATAGGATATATGGTTAGGGTATAACAATTAGCAAATATCACTTTTTATCTATGTTTTGAAAATCAAAGTATGAATTTCACTTTTAAATTAACTATACTAGCAAAATCACAACTCAAGGACATATGATTAGGGTATAGGTTATGTGGTTAGTGTATAATGTATTGATGGTTTAGGGTATACAATCAACAACATATACTAACTTAATATTGTTGATTGAGGGTAAAGCTAAGTGTATAGGATATATGCTATTGAGTAAGTTATGATTGAAGTCACAATAATTTTACTAAATTTGATAGCTAATCTTTAATGGTTCAATTTTTAGGATAATTCGAACAATTTTACAAATAACTCGTTTGGCAACAGTTTACTAAAGTTATTTGGGCAATGAGTTATTTTGAAATAACTCCTTTTATCACTATGCTTTTGCCAAATACCACACGCCAAATACCAAATTTGCATGGTTATACTAAACGAGATACTTTAATCCAATTACTACTGAATTAATACTAAAATATCAAATAAACAATTAACGGTGTCTTTTGGTTGCAAATATTGATATCACCATTACTATTAGCTATAATACTTTACCAATTATGATTAATTACATAACAAGTTTGCAAGTCATACAAATTGATTTAACATTTTGACTAGTATTTTTAAAAAAAATAAAGTATATATATACGAGGTAGAAATAAATTGGTTAAAAGGTTGAGAAAATATTTTAAATTAGTGTAATAAAATGTGTAAGTTGGTTATGAGTAATGAATTAAGTTACTTGATGCTCTGGCCGGAACAACCCGAAACACGACCCGCCCGCAACCCGCCCGACCCAAAATTCGATGAACCCGCAACTCGATGAACCCGCAACCCGTTTGAACCTGAACCCGATGAACCTGAACCCGATGAACCCGCAACCCGACTAACCCGCAATCCGTTTGAGCCCGAACCCGATTGAACCCAGCCCGAACCTGCCGAACCCGCCCGATTGACACCTATACTGGTAAGGCAACTCAAATTTTCATTTCAGAACTTTCTTTCATATCTTTGCTTTTTCACTCTTAAATGTATGAGTTAGGGGAACAGCTAGTGGAAAGCCTTGGGCAACGGTTTGGTTCATAATTTCTTAAATAGCCGACCAATCGGTTATCGGTTATTTCATATAACATTAAATAGGATTCATTCAATATTTGGAATTTGGATTGAATCGAATCAAACCAAATATAAAGTGATCCCGTTTTGATTTCATGAACCTCAAAGATTAAGTAAAAAAGCTTATTAAATTGGTAGTGTTATAAAACTAATGGAAATGTAAGCAACTACAAGAGAGGATTGGAGGAGGAAAGACACAAAAGAAGTGAGGGGAATAGTTCTTCTTATTCATACTCCATTTGTGATACAATAGTGTGCTCTATTTATAGGCCCCATTTGGTAACCACTACACCCTTACATCAATGCATATAAATTAGAGATAATAATATAGGAATGGGAGTTACATGTAACTCCCAAGTGAGCATCTAATGTGGTAGGCCATTGATCATCCATATATTAATATTTACATAATACTCCCCCTTGGATGACCACTAGATTGCATTATTACGCTATCTCATGCTGCCTCATTAAAAACCTTACCAGGAAAACCCAGTGGGAAAAACCATGGTTAAGGGAAAAAGAGTGCAGCGCGTATATGCTCCCCCTCATGACCACATCAGCTCAAGTCTTTGAGTCGTCGAACTCCAATTTCACGAACAAGCTTTACAAAGATTGTCGTCGGGAGTGACTTGGTGAATAAATCTGCTAGATTCTCACTTGAACGAACTTTTTGAACAATTATTTCACCACTCTTTTGAAGATCATGAGTGAAAAAGAACTTGGGTGGAATATGTTTTGTTCTATCTCCTTTAATATATCCTTCCTTTAATTGAGCAATGCATGCTGCATTATCTTCATACATGATCGTCGGGATCATTTTTCCTAGAGATAGTCCACACGATTCTCTGATGTGTCGAATTATAGATCTTAACCAAACACATTCACGACTTGCCTCGTGAATTGCTAGGATTTCAGCATGATTGGATGATGTGGCTGTTATAGTTTGTTTTGTGGATCGCCACGAAATAGCTGTACCACCACAAGTGAACAAATATCCTGTCTGAGATCTACCATTGTGGGGATCTGAGAGATATCCTGCATCTGCATATCCCACTAAATCCATCTTCGATGCACTCGAATAGAACAAGCCCATATCAGTCGTTCCTCGAAGGTAACGGAGTAAATGTTTAACTCCATTCCAATGTCTTTTAGTGGGAGAAGAGCTATATCTTGCCAATATATTCACAGCAAACGATATATCGGGTCGTGTGTGACTGGCTAGATACATTAATGCTCCTATTGCACTAAGATATGGCACTTCAGGGCCAAGCAGATCTTCATCACTTTCTCGAGGTCTAAATGGATCTCTTTTCACATCAAGTGATCTTACAACCATTGGATTACTCAACGGGTGTGATTTGTCCATATAAAATCGCTTAAGCACTTTTTCAACATATCCTTCTTGATGCACAAAAATACCATCCTTCAAATGTTCAATCTGTAATCCAAGACAAAACTTTGTTCTTCCTAAATCTTTCATTTCAAACTCTTTCTTCAAGCAATCAACTGCTTTTGGAAGCTCTTCGGGAGTTCCAATGATGTTTATGTCATCAACATAAACTGATATTATAACAAACTCACTACCCGATTTCTTTAGAAAAACACATGGACAAATAGGGTCATTCGTGTATCCTTCTTTCATCAAATATTCACTGAGACGATTGTACCACATTCGTCCAGATTGTTTCAATCCATACAAGGATTTGTTCAATTTGATAGAAAAATTTTCTCGAGAATGTGTTTTGTTCGCTTCTGGCAAAGTGAATCCTTCAGGGAGTTTCATATATATATATCATTCTCAAGTGATCCATACAAATAGGCTGTCACAACATCCATTAGACGCAGATCTAGTCCTTCTCGAACTGCTAGACTAATCAAGTATCGAAACATAGTTGCATCCACCACAGGGGAGTATGTCTCCTCATAATCAATGCCAGGTCTCTGTGAGAATCCTTGTGCGACAAGACGTGCTTTATATCTCACGACTTCACCCTTTTCATTTCGTTTCCGCATAAAAACCCATTTGTATCCCACTGGCTTTACGTTTTCTGGTGTAAGGACTACCGGTCCAAAAACCTTTCGCTTTGAAAGCGAGTTTAATTCTGCCTCAATGGCCTCTTTCCACTTTGGCCAATCATCTCTTGACTTGCATTCATCAATAGATCTTGGTTCATGATCCTCATTTTCATTCATCACACTCAAAGCTGCAGCGTAAGCAAAAACATCGTCGACGATTATTTTACTTCGGTTCCAACATTTTCCATCCAAGACATAATTGATTGAGATCTCTTCATTATCAAAACTTTCAGGTACCTGATGTTCTTCGGGAACTACAATCTTAGTTATGCTTGGGGACTTTTCTTGACCTTTCATATCCTCAATTTGACCAACTTGATTCATAGCTCCTTTTCTTTTTCGAGGATTTTTATCCTTGGAACCTACTGGTCTACCACGCTTCATTCGTGGTTTAGATTCATTTGCAATTTCAGATTGTCCAACAGGGACATCAACTTTCACTGGAGCATTTACAGCTGGTATGTGTGACTTTGTCACTCTCTTCTGGTCAGTAAAAGAATCCGGCAGTTGGTTTGCTAAACCTTGTAAATGAATTATCTTTTGAACTTCCAGTTCACATTGTCTAGTACGAGGATCAAGGTGAGATAATGATAATTCATTCCAACAAATATCTTTTCCCAGCTGTTTGCTCTCACCCCCTAATGTTGATTCGTCAAAATGACAATCAGCAAAACGAGCAGTGAATAAATCTCCCGTCAAGGGTTCTAAGTATTTTATGATTGACGGGGACTCATATCCAACATAAATTCCCAACCTCCTTTGAGGACCCATCTTAACACGCTGTGGTGGAGCAATAGGGATGTAGACGGCACACCCAAATATTTTTAGATGGGAAATATTAGGTTCCTGACCAAAAACCATTTGCAAGGGGGAAATTTCATGATAACTTGTTGGCCTTATGCGAATTAATGTTGCTGCATGCAATATAGCATGTCCCCAACAAGAAATTGGCAAGCTTGTTTTCATAAGCAATGGTCTTGCAATAAGTTGCAAACGCTTAATAAATGATTCTGCAAGGCCATTTTGTGTATGAACATGTGCTACAGGATGTTCAACATCAATGCCAGTGGACATACAATAGTCATTGAAAGTTTGTGAAGTAAATTCACCAGCATTATCTAGACGTATTTTCTTGATTGGAAAATCAGGAAAATGTGCTCGTAGTCGTATCAATTGGGCAAGTAATCTAGCAAACGCCAGGTTGCGAGTTGATAGTAAGCACACATGTGACCATCTAGTTGATGCATCAACTAAAACCATAAAATATCTAAATGGTCCACATGGTGGGTGAATTGGCCCGCATATATCACCATGTATACGTTCTAAAAATGTGAGAGATTCACTCCTTACTTTCACAGGTGATGGCCGTATAATTAACTTGCCACGAGAACATGCAACACATGGTACATCTTTAAACTGATAAATTTTGTGACCTTTCAATGGATGTCCACATGTATTGGCAATGATTTTTCGCATCATAATCAATCCGGGATGGCCTAACCGGTCATGCCAAACTATAAAATTATCAAGATTTGTAAACTTCTGGTTTACCACTGCATGTGTTTCAATTGTACTAATAAACGTGTAGTACAACCCAGAAGAAATAGCAGGCAATTTCTCCAATATATGTTTTTTATCGGAGACCATATTTGTTATCATAATATACTCTTTATTCTCTTCTTCCTTTGTCTCAATATGATATCCATTTCGGCGAATATCTTTGTAACTCAATAAATTTCTTTGGGACTTTGAAGAGTATAAGGCTTCATTGATATACAACTTGGTTCCTTCTGGTAACAATACACTAGCTCTTCCGGAGCCTTCAATTAGATTTGTACTTCCAGATATAGTACTAACATTTGCTTCTCGCATTTCAAGATGAGAAAAATATTTCTTATCCTTCAAGATTGTATGTGTCGATGCACTATCAATAAGACACACATCATGGTTTTTTATCTTGGTGCCAAGCATGGGAATATTCATTCTTCACAAAAGATAGAAAGTAAATCAATATAAGAAAATATCTCCAAACAAATATAAAAATAATAACATGATTATAATAGATGAAATTTAACCACATAAGGATTATAAAGAGAAATTATATTAAACTGACACATTAATAGGAAAAACACACTCAAGGAAAACGACAAAGAAAGTGAAATTTCAAATGGGAAACCCAAACTTTTCACTTGTGAACAAAGCGACAACGAAATAGAAATTTCAAATGGAAATGCTAAGTTTTTCACTTGCGAACATTCCCATCACCAATCAGGTGATCTATTTTTCCTTCAGGGTGGGCAAAGAAGTCGGACACATCTAGATGAGTAGCATCATTATAGTCTTTTCCTGAATCATCTTCCTCAAAAATACAATTGGTTTCTATCTTCTTCCCTTTCAATGATTCTTGGTAGAGGTTAACCAAGTGTGTTGGCGTACGACAGGTACGAGACCAATGACCTTTTCCACCACAACGGTAACACACATTTTCGACGTGTTTGTTACCATGAACACTTTGTTCCTTGCTTCTCCTACCATCATTTTTTCCACTTCTGGGGAAAAATGAGCTTTTGGAACTTTCACCACGACCATTACCACGGCCAAGATCTCGGCCACGGCCACGACCTCGAGCATGAGCATGACCACGCCCACGTCCTCGTCCATGTCCACGTCCATGTATTTGCCCATAAGGATATTGGGTGAACGTCGCCGCATTCGCTTCTGGGAATGGGGCGGCACCAGTAGGACGAGATTGGTGATTTTTCATTAGGAGCTCATTATTTTGTTCAGCAACAAGGAGACAAGAAATCAGCTCAGAATATTTCTTGAAACCTTTCTCACGGTATTGCTGCTGCAGGAGCACATTGGATGCATGAAAAGTGGAGAATGTTTTTTCCAACATATCTTCATCAGTAATATTTTCTCCACATAACAGTAGTTGTGAGGTTATTTTGAATAGCTCCGAATTATAATCACTCACAGATTTAAAATCTTGTAACCTCAAATGCATCCAATCATAACGAGCCTTAGGAAGAATCACAGTTTTTTGGTGGTCATACCGCTCCTTCAAATTAGTCCACAAAATAAGTGGATCTTTGACCGTAAGATACTCATTCTTCAATCCCTCGTGGAGGTGATGTCGAAGAAAGATCATTGCTTTAGCTTTGTCTTGATCTGATGCTTCATTGCCCTCTTTAATCGTGTCTCCAAGACCGTTGGCAGCTAAATGAATTTCAGCATCTAGCACCCATGATAGGTAATTCTTTCCAGTGACATCAAGAGCCACAAACTCAAGCTTTGAAAGGTTCGACATACTATCATAAAAATATACACAAATTAAAGTCAAAATTCAATAAATAAATATAGATTACTATCAAGACAAACGACTTATGTGACCCATGATATATCAATTTGATATTTTTACAAATATATAAATAAATTCGAATTTCAAAATAAAAAAAAAATATTAAGAAGGAAATTATACCTTTGCATTCTCAAACAAAGATTTCATGTGTTGATTAATAAATGAAATTATGTAAATTGAAATAGGACAATAAAAGAAACAATTTGGGAGAATCGACATACCTTGAGCAGAACAATTGTGAATTTAATCTTTTCAAACGGAAGAGTTTCGTGCTGATAACGTGTTATAAAACTAATGGAAATGTAAGCAACTACAAGAGAGGATTGGAGGAGGAAAGACACAAAAGAAGTGAGGGGAATAGTTCTTCTTATTCATACTCCATTTGTGATACAATAGTGTGCTCTATTTATAGGCACCATTTGGTAACCACTACACCCTTACATCAATGCATATAAATTAGAGATAATAATATAGGAATGGGAGTTACATGTAACTCCCAAGTGAGCATCTAATGTGGTAGGCCATTGGTCATCCATATATTAATATTTACATAATAGGTAGTAGCCTAGTAGGACTATAGGAATGTACTAAACGCACTTTCCTTCCTATTACTAGCTTTTTACCCGACCCGTTGGCCGGAGAGATTTATTTTATAATTTATATTAATTAACTTATTTATATATTTAAATCATTTTGGATCTTCTAAATATTTTGTGTTCTTTATTCATAAAAGAGTTTGTAGTATGTCTATATTGAAAATTTCCAATATTTAGCACACTCACTTTTGATGCTTCGGTTTTCTAATCATAATTATGTCGCTGTCACGTCCCATTTATAACTTATGTCAAAATTTGTCAGCCAAAACACTAGTATTTAGCGTACGGCAACCTGAACCACACACACGCTACCACACGACCATTGAGTTTTACTATTTAGACTTCGGAGTTTTTTGGGGCATGATACTATACCCTAACTTCTAATAGGTGAACTCTAATCCCTAATTCTCTAACCTCTAATTTATGCAAATACTTTGTCATACCTATCTTCTATCGTATCTTGAGTAAAATGCAAAGATAGTATACCTTGATATTTTATATATATATATATATATATATATATATGGTGGCTACTTCGGTGCACTCACAAAAATGAGTGCATTCAATGCACCCAACTCTAAAAGTAGTCTTAAGACATCAAATTTTTATTTTAATTGGTAAGATTAGTGTAATATGATAATATAATATAAGATCACAACTAATCAATGCATTACCCTAAACCCTAAACCTTCAATTTTGAACTTTTGCCCTAAACCCCAAATCATGAACCCTAACCCTAACCCTAAATCTATAAACCATAATTTCTTCAAATTAATGTAAATTTTGAATAATTTATGTGCTAATTCATGGGGTTTCTTTTTCATCGTATCATACGTGATGATTAACATTGTTTTGACATGAATCGCATACTCATAATGATAAATATGAAGCGAGTGCATTGAATGCACCCAAAAATGTGAGTGCACCGAAGACATAAGCATATATATATAGTAGACTCAAAATTATCTAGATACTTTGCCAGACCTATCTTATCTCGCCTAATACTCATATTAAAAGTGCTACTCGCCTATCCCCCACCCTCGAAATAGAGATCCCGCTTTTACCCCATAACGTCAGACAACCATTGAGGTTGTTTATCGTTTGATATGTAATATATAAAGAGGGAAATTCTAAGATGATGCTATTTGTTTCTTATCCTCTCCCGCCGCCCCCCTTTATGGAGAATAATAGGGTAGAGATGAAAGGATCATAGCTCGATATGTTTTTATTCTGTTCATTGTATCGGAGGTTATGTTCTTTTTATTTTTTATTTTTTTGGCTTCTTTTCATTCTTCTTTGACACCTATGGTTGTGATTAGAGGTATTTAGCTCCCGAAAGGGGTTGAGATTTTAGGTCCTTTGGAAATCCAATACACATTCATGATCCTCAAGTTTGGACGAACTCTTGACCAATGTTGTAAAGATTAGGACTTTTTAGTGAGACATTCTTAGTAAATATACTTTTTTGGATCAATTTATTCATCCATATTGAAACTTGACACACACCGTAGCCCTCGTGATGATTCAATTCTATAATCTCGACTCATTTCCATTTTGGATGTTAGTTTTTTTTTTATCAAGACACTTAAATTTAGTATATTATAGAATATGTATCAATTGTTAATTTTTGAAGTTCAACCCGTGGTCATTGTTTATATGTTGGCTTAGAATCTCAATCTAAGACACTCACACACATTATCGAGGATTTTGGTCTTAACATGGTCGTTGAATGTGTAATTTTCAAAGATTTTATCACTTATATATTAATATTTGATAAAGAGTGTCTACAATACACACATTTTTCAAGTGCATTTAAAATGTCTTATCATTTGAACAATATCGGTGGATTTAATTTGATTATTTCCATTAACTTATTATCTATACAACATATAATAATTCGTGTTTCTCGAGTTTGGACGAACTGGCAACCAATTTTGACAGTTGAGATTACTGGATAAAGATACTTGATTATTGGATAAATATGTTTATCCCAATTGACTATTTTACTAAAAATTGCCAACCTTTATTTGCTAAATGTCTAGGTTAGTAGTTGATGAAATACGATGTTTATCGTAGATTCTCAACAAAGATTCTCTAACATTCCTTATGTTTTTTCAAGGAATCTTGTGTCTCATCCTAGGGTATGAAGTCAAAGTTCGCCTCAATCATACTTAAGTCATTTTGAAAATTTTTATTTATAATCGTTGACGATAAGTCCAAGTCTGAAAGAAAATTTTATTAGCACACGACTTAGGACCTCAATAGAGCTTGCTCAATCAACATGATATAGAACAAATATTATTAATGTGAACTTAGGACACATTATAAAATTATTGCACATGCGATTTCTCTTCATTTGAAGAGTTTAAGGTAGAACATGATGTGAGGAATAAGAAGTCTTTTTTAAATAAATAACTATAACTACTCGATCAAGATTATACTATGACATTTTGCTAAATAATACTTATTTTATTTTATAGACATATAATTTACGAATAAGAGAGTTTTTCATTGCAACAAAATATAAAGTAATATAGTTTATTTTTCATAGGTAATTGAATGTCAAATGTTTATTTTCTCTCTTTTCATATAATTTTTTTAATCGAAATTTTTTTTATTGTTTATGTGTATGTTTATCTAATTTACATAAAATATAACTTATCATTCAATTTTAGTAAAAATGAGTAAAAAATTTACTTCATAAGGTTTAATCAGATATTTTTTATTTAAACAAATGTGGTATATGTTACTTTCTGTTTTCTTATTTATATTTTTTTTACTAGACAAAAAATTATTATTTATGTGTGTTTGGTTAAGTTTATCAACATGTAAACTACTATTAAAGAAAAAAAAAGGTTAAAAGAAATAGAAATATTAAAGAAGAGAGAGGTAGCTCCATAAATACATTAATAACTACTTTGGGTTAATTGCATGGTTGGTCACTGACATTACAAAAAGCGTTCATGTTTGGTCACTAGAAAAATTTAAATCTAACTTTGGTCACTAACTTTACAAAAACGGTTCATTTATGGTCACTCTCCGTTAGCTGCCGTCCAACGCCGTTAACGGAGTCCGTTAAGTGATGACGTGGCTGACGGATTCGCCTAATCAGCACCTTTTGACCCCAAATTTGACTGACCCGACCCGCCACGTCAGTTAAACCCTCCATCTCAGCAAAACCTAACCAAACCTCTAACCAAATCAGACCACACCCGACCCGACCCAACCCACCAACAAAAATGACCCACCCGCCACTAATCAAAACCTAATTTCTAAAACCTACAGACATTCCCCTTCTCCTCTCCATCCCGCGCCGCCTTCATCTCTCCCCTGCGAATCTTCTTCTCCGATCGTTTCATCGGCGACGAAGGAGGAATCGTCAGTTAAATCCTCTCTCCAACAACGAATCTCTAAACAGGGGGAGAGGAGTGTGAAAGCTTTAATTAGGAGAGAGGAGAAGCCGGTGGTTGGTGGTGGGCGGCGACGGATTTCGAAACGGGGGCAAGGAGCGTATAAGACGAAGGGGAAGCTGTCAGGATTGCGTGAGCCGCCATGGCTGCCGCTGCAGCTGCTTGCATTTTCTTTTTCTAGAGAGAAGAGATAGAATGATAATGCGAATTGCGGTTCTAGTGGCTAACAGAACAGTGAGAGATGGTAGAAGATATAGGAATATTTGGCAGGCAGGGGAGGGAGGAAGGAAAGGAAGTTTGCGCTTTGACCCGTAGGTCGAATCAGAAGACATAGTCAAGAGACTGGGAATTGAAGAAGAGGAAGAAGAAAGACAAGTAGGAAACAAACGCGACCCAATTTTTTTTTGGCTTGCATTGTCGATGAACTCGGAGATCTCCTATGGATTCGCTTAATCCTCCAATCCTTCGGGTTCTCTCCCGCCCACCTGATCCTGTCCCTATCCCGAACCCAATCTCCGGGATTTCCCGTGCACCGCCTCCTCAGCCCCTTCCTCCTTCGTCGCCGATGAAACGATCGGAGAAGAAGATTCGTAGGGGAGAGGTGAAGGCGGCGCGGGATGGAGAGGAGAAGGGGAATGTCTGTAGGTTTTAGAAATTAGGTTTTGATTAGTGGCGGGTGGGTCATTTTATTTGGTGGGTTGGGTCGGGTCGGGGAGGTCTGATTTGGTTAGAGGTTTGGTTAGGTTTTGCTGAGATGGAGGGTTTAACTGACGTGGCGGGTCGGGTCAGTCAAATTTGGGGTCAAAAGGTGCTGATTAGGCGAATCCGTCATCCACGTCATCACTTAACGGACTCCGTTAACGGCGTTGGACGGCAGCTAACGGAGAGTGACCATAAATGAACCGTTTTTGTAAAGTTAGTGACCAAAGTTAGATTTAAATTTTTCTAGTGACCAAACATGAACGCTTTTTGTAATGTCAGTGACCAACCATGCAATTAACCCTAACTACTTTTTTTGTTTGTAAAAAAGTTGTCCAACTTGGCAAATTGTGGACCCTCCAAGTGCTTATGTGGCAAGAAATTGCTTTTGAATTGCCATAATATATAGTATAGATAGATAGATAGATAGATGATCGTCAACTTTTTTTTTGGTAAGAGTTCCATCTTTATTCAATCCAATTTTAAATTGGGTTGAATCGTTGCACACCTTCTGGCTTCCACGATAAAACTTCGCCGATTACTATTTTTATTGTTCGACATGTTGAACATACAAAGAAAAGAAAATTAGAATTTATCGAATTTCTTCAAATATATGATTTAGGTATTTAGCCCCTAAATCACACCTAAAATTTAAGGGTTAATACCTTAGTTTGGCACAAACTATAGACAAACTTTCTACTTTAGCTTGTGGTATTGAAAATTGTTATTCTGGCCTGAACTATGTAGATACTTTCTTATTTGGCCTGGAGGCGGGTTTGACCATCAAATTGGATGGTCAATCGAGTTGACCATTAGTCAAGGTCCAACTCACTTGCCACGTTAACTAGCAGGGAATAATTTTTTTTAATTTCTGTATTTTGTTTACTTTCTAATAATAATAATAAAAAAAGTAATTCAAAAAATAGAACTTTAAAAAAAGTACAAAAATTCAGGAAAAAATAAATTTTTAAATTAATTTTCTCGTATATTATTTCAATTGTTAGAAAGTAAACAAAATACAGATATTCAATTTTTTTATCTCCTGCTAGCTGACGTGGCAAGTGAGTTGGACCTTGACTAACGGTCAACTCGGTTGACCGTCTAATTTGACGGTCAAACCCGCTTACGGGCCAAATAAGGAAGTATGCATAGTTCAGGCAAGAATAACAATTTTTTATATCACGGGTCAAAGTAGAAAGTTTTTCTATAGTTCGGGTCAAATTAAAGTATTAACCCAGGTCACAAATCTCATTTTCCCAAAATATGTTAAGCCTGTTGGTAAGGTTGGCCGGTGGGCCTTATAACTCGTCCCCAATCCAACTGCATCCGACTCCACTCCCCGGATAAGGCTAGGAATGGCAACAAAACCCGAACTCACGAGTACCCACCTGACTCAACTCGGTCAACGCGGGTAAAATCCGTGTTGACGGGGTTTGGGCCGGTTTGGGTTTAAACCCGTTCACTATTCACCGGGTTGGATTGGGTTTGGGTTTAGGTAAACCTGACCCATAGGTACCCGCCTACACCAATATAGTTAATTTTCTCGGTATATTTAATATTCTAAACAACTAATCTTATTTATGTTTGTGGAGACATGTCTAATTTTTTTCTTTCAAATTGTGTAGAATGAAGTTGATGTTATCGAGTGGAGAGTGAAGAAATTAATTGAAAGGAAGAAGCTTTCAATTAATCATGTTGTTTAAGGATAATTTGTGATTTGCTTGAATTTTCTTGAGTTTTTTAGATTGGTGTTGAACAATTTGTATAGTTAATTTGTGATATGCTTGAATTTTCTAGAATGGTGTTTTATATATGGATAATTTGTATTGAGAGATTGATATTTGATTTTAATTTTGATAGGAACTTGTTACTGTAAATTTTTTACGATAAAAACCCGTTGGTACCCATGAACCCACGGATACCCAGCGGGTTGAGTTTGAATTTTTCAAACCCAATGAGTTTTACCCCGTTTTTTTCACGAATAAACCCATGGATTTGGTTTTAGTTTGGCAAAACCCTACTCGACCCATTGTCATCCCTAAATACGGCGCCGTTTCTTTTATGATTTACCGCGGGTTTTTTGTGTCTCATAATTCGGACTCCAACCGAGACCTTCAAATCCAATTAACCCGCACCGGGAAACCTAGATTCAAATCCGTTTGGTCAGAGATCATTCCCCAATGAATTTCCGAAAGAATCCCTTACTTTCTTTGAATTCCACTTTTGCCCCTAACCGTTTCCTTTTTCTCTTTCTACCTTTTTATTTATTTTTAGTTTTTTACCCCTTTTCCTTTTCAGTATTGTTTTGTTCTTGACTTCCATAAACAAACAAATAGTCCTTCCCTTTTCTCCCCTTTCAAGAAAAAAACTCTTCACACTCACAGTCTACAAAGAGAATACAGAAGAGAGAGGCAGAGCAGCAGCGGGCATGGAGACGGGAGGAGGAGTCGGGGTCGGAGCCGGCGCCGGAGCAAACTACAATCCCCGGACGGTGGAGGAAGTCTTCAGGGACTTCAAAGGCCGGCGAGCTGGTTTGATTAAAGCGCTCACTAATGGTAAGCTTCACACACACAAAAGGAAAGAAAACGCACTAATTAAAGGAAGAGGAAGAAGAATTATGTTTCCTGTGTGCGTGTATTTCTTCTCCGGCTCGAGACTTACTCCCGCCGCCGTCGGCGGTGGTTGCGGCGACGGCTGCCTTTGTTCTGTTTTTTGTCCCTTTCTTTATTTTCGTTTATCGCGATGCAGTTTTCATTTTTACTCCGGCTTTGCTCTCTTTCTAGGCGGGGCGTGAAGTTGTTCCGGCATTTCCGCTTCCCCCTTTGAGCCCCGTTGTGAATTCTCTGCTTCTGTTTGAGTCGTGAAGTTTTTCATGAAACTTGCGGATTTGTTTTTCTCAATGTTTGATCAATTTCCTTCCATGGTGAGAGAATTCTGTCTAAAGAAATGACTGGAAGGGCATTGTTTGCTGTAGTTTGGCTTTTTCACTTGAACTTACTGGATGTGTTTTGCCTGCATGTGTTAGTGACTCTTATCTGTATTTTCCTTGTGATGTGCTGCAGATGTTGAAGACTTCTATCATCAGTGCGATCCTGGTAAGAGAGGAGTTTCCAATTTGATAGATAAGTTGCATTGTTCAATTTTCAGCAGATATCATCTTAGCATTATTGATAAGTTCATTGGTCTTAGAAAGATGGAGCAACCTAAAAATTATATATTTGTTGGTCATCCTGTGCCACTGTTCTTGGTTCATAGAGTTCATAATGCGGACTGTCACTTGTTAGTAGTTCCGTTTCTTGTTATGATGGTTTTTTTACATCATTTGTGCTCAGAGTTTTGTTTGAATCCTGTTGAAGGAATGTTCTTGCTAATCTGGTTATTAGCTGTGTTATGCGACCCCCCTGCCCTGCTATATGCTGCCTCGTGTCATGTAACGTATTACCGAGAATCATGCTGTCCAAATGGCTTTAGTTTAGAGGAGAAGTGGAAAGAAGTAAATGTGAGATCTGGAGAGGCTGACATTCTATATTTTACTCTTTAGAAGCATGGCACGTGGTTCGCTTTATCTGTAGAGGCTATCGTTTCTGGATTTTGTATAGATTTCATGCCTAACGGTTGTGGAGTTTATGTCTAAATGACGTAATAGGCAGTTAAGAACAACAACAAAAAAAAACTGTGGTTGAAAACACGTTATAGGACTTATGAAAACCCTATATTGAATCTCGTGTGGCTTCCCTTTCTTTTTTGTCATCTACGTTTGCTGCACTGACTAATACATCGCTGGTACTAAATCCATCCGGGCAAAAAAACAATTGATCATTGGTGGAGTTTGTTTGCTGCTCTCAGAATCCACATCTTTTAATTATCATCAGTATTATCCACCTCTTAACCTTACGTGTCTATACTAATTTATAATTAGCATCTTGTTCTTCTACTTTTCTTGTAGTTGTAGCTATAACTTGCTGCCTTAAAATTTTTCCTGTCTTTTCAGAGAAGGAAAACCTGTGCTTGTATGGGTTTCCAAGTGAACAATGGGAAGTTAATTTGCCAGCTGAAGAAGTGCCGCCTGAGCTTCCAGAACCTGCCTTGGGTATTAACTTTGCAAGGGATGGCATGCAAGAAAAGGACTGGCTATCTTTAGTTGCTGTGCACAGCGATGCATGGTTGCTTTCTGTTGCATTCTATTTTGGAGCCAGATTTGGATTTGATAAAGCTGACAGGTATGCTCTATAGGCTATAGCTAATCTCTGAGTTTGATGAATCGTGATCTAAACCCTCCACCAATACGAGTGTTATATAACGGCTCATACGCTAATTGTTGGTTTTTGTGTTTCAAATGACTGAGTACTTGTCACTTAAATTTTGGATGGGTACCATTGTGTATATTATACTGAAGGAATTATTAAAAACAGTTCCTGACAGTAGTTTGGCAATGTGACATTAGGGATTGATTCTTGTGAAATACTGCAGGAAGAGGCTCTTCAATATGATAAATGAATTTCCAACAATATTCGAGATCGTATCTGGTGCAGTCAAGAAACAATCCAAGGAGAAGTCATCTGTCTCAAACCACAGCAGCAACAAATCGAAGTCGAACTCCAAAGGGGTAAAAGAAGTTTTCTCTGCAGTCTTTAATTTGGCTAGAAAAAGCAGACTATATGAATTGACACGTTTCTTATGGTCCTGTGTCTTTCTCATCTTTCTTGTTTGATCATCATGGCTACACATATTCTTAATGAATCGGAAGTAATGAAATAGGAAACCAGTCTTAGGTCTTGTAGTAGATCTGAGCTGATTCACAATGAGATATTTAACCTGTGCTAATTATTCATATAAAGCATTCTCTTACACATTTTCTTCTTTGTTTACTACACCTGCTTTTGTCAAGCAGCGGGATTCCCAAGTGAAGTACGCAAGAATGGCACAGCCCAAGGACGACGATGAAGGCTTGGACGACGACGAAGAAGACGAGGAGGAGCATGGAGACACACTGTGCGGTGCCTGCGGAGAGAACTACGCATCTGACGAGTTCTGGATCTGCTGTGACATCTGCGAGAAGTGGTTCCATGGCAAGTGTGTGAAGATCACACCAGCGAGGGCCGAGCACATCAAGCAGTACAAGTGCCCCTCATGCAGCAACAAAAGAGCTCGCCCTTGATCAATTCCCTCCCCTCTTCCGCTTCAAACCTCCCCCATCAGCTCAACTTCGTCTCTAACAGGTCCCGTGTCGAAAAATTTAGTCTCCCCTCAGTCAGGTGTAATATTAGTTGTAAGTTCGGTTAGAGTGGGGTGTCTAGTCAGTCATGTAGAAGAAAGACAACCTTAAGTTTGAGTGAGTCCCCAAGTCTTGTTAGGTTTAATTAAGCCCTTGGTTTGAGACACGTGAAATACCGCCTTCTCATGGATTTGTCAATGGAATGCCTACAGCTTGTAGATGGAAGAACTTTAACCGAAGGCCGGATATCTAATTTCCTCTCCCGAAAAGACTTTCTGTGGCTGTTTTCTAGGCTAATGTTCTTGACTTCTTTCTACAGGTACCAAGTATTTGGGTTATGGAATGAGATAATCAATCATTCCATTCTTTTGAGGAAGCTATGTACTGTATGCCCACGGCTTGTAGCCTCTCATTTTTGGCCTGATTACTTACTACTATTTGTGCACCACTTCCTCTCCTTATTGGTAGAGATAAGAGAACATTTGTATGCAAATCCCACTTAATTCTTTCTGCTGAATTTCATGGGGTACCAGTTTGTGTCAGTTGTTGTCTTTTGGTTCTACGTAGAAATTGACATGGAGAAACTAACAAGACACTGTGCCCTATAAAATAATATGCATTAGGACTTGTAAATTGGGGAAGTCCTCCTCACACCATCGCTGTAACTTTTTTAAGGTGTTGGATTCAAGTTTTACCTGAGTTGTAATTTTGTGACGCATAGGCTCTGGTGAAACCCTTAATATGATAGCAAGATTGGGGTAGTTGGATAGAATTTTCTTTGACATTTATCGGATTGAAGAATATGCTCACTTACATGATAATTATTAATATTATGCGGAGTAGAAATCTCAAAGGTGTCATACAAAAGTCAATAAGTAACGTTCGGGTAGACTCACAAATGAAAAGTTTAAACCCATGACTATAGATAGGCCGTTATTCGTTAGGAAATCGATTAAGAAATTGCTCTTTCTGTAGATGTAAGAGGTTTGCATTGTCCAGTCTTCTTGAAGGAGATTGTCAAACTATAATACAAGGCTGACATATGTTGAGTAGGCTCCTTATTGGTTAATAAAAGAGAAATCACCATTGTCGAATGTATTGAACTTTGAATTGACATTGACTCATTCGTAGGTCATACACGCCAATACAATTGCAAAACCGATTTCTTATATGGTACCGATGACACATAGAAAGTATTACTTTATACCCTTTTTATTATTGCTAGAATTGTATGATTTTCACATCTTTAATGTCATAATAGCTTGTATTTGATTAACATCACTCAAGGTGTATTTTAGTATATCTAGGATCGATTTTACTATTTTGATACACTTTTGGTGTTGTTACATGTGTTTTCGGGTCATAGCATCGTAGTGGACCACCTTAGACGAGTAGGGGAACATCCAGGCCTGGCTGCTAGGAGTCAGAATGTGAGATTAGATCAAGCCCAAAAAACAACGCCAGAAACAATTGACTATAACCTAAAGCGGCACCTTGGTCTCCGTTCTGGAGTGTCTCTAGATCGAGGCCAGAATCTCAAGGAATATGCCATACGTGGTGGCCAACCTGGAAGAGACCAAAATGAACTTGGAAATATGTTTAGGCAGACTTTTCCTTCCATAAACCGTGATGAATATAAATAGAACCCTAGGGGGTAGAAGTTTGGTAGCTAGAGATAGCTGGAATTAGAGGGTTGTTACTCCGCCGACAGAGTGACTCTCGCATACCCGGAGCGAAGTCGGACTAAGGGTATACCAACACCAGAAACGGCGCCCAAGTTGCCGAGTCTCTATTCTGGATGGCGATTTAAAGGAATTTCTTGGAATTTTGTTTCGACTGATGTCCCCCAGAAACCTGTCCTCATGGTCGGCTAGTTCCTTAGCTGCATAGGCTTGCGAACACTAGTGGTTCTTTGGCTATGTAACTCATTGTGTTATCTAATTATCAATAGGTTGTGAGCCTAGTCGAAGCCAAACATCCCCTCAAGATGTTTATTTCGTAATTTGACTTCACGTTGGGAGAGAACAGAAACGAACATCCTATCCGATCGATCATCAATAGATTGGACCGCGCGAGACCTCAAGGGAGAAATATGCAGGGTCCTTATTGCTTACTAGTTTGGGTAAATGTCGTCACACAAGGTAGAAATAGATCTCACATGGATCAAGCAGCTCATATGGTGCCAAGATCAAGGTTGCGAGTCGAAGGCGCTATAGGGGGAGCTTGCTTCACTAGCCAGGAACGTGATCCTAATCTACGGACCAAGTAATTTTGCATACACATACTACACGCGATCAAGTACCTTTTACCACCTCAATTTGTATGCAGCTACATATATGTTGGTTTTCTTGCATCTACATCAACGCAATCAATTAGAAAGATTGATGGGTTCAACTGACTTTTTAATAAAAAATCAAAGCAATAAATAAATAAAAGGAGGAATTTTTTTATTATATTTGTTTTTGTACATGACCTGCATTTTCCAAGTGTCCACCTTATTAATGCAATTTTCTTTGCAATTGCATATTAATAGTCATGTAGAGTTTATAATTGATCAAATACTATTGATGTGGATGGTCTTACTATTTGATTGTATAACTCCCATACCCTTTGTTTGTCTATTTTTTCAAAATAAATGAACAAAAGAATGGGAAAAATATGTTTTTCAAGTCATTGGTCGCTATCTCTGTTTGGTTAATTAATAAATTCTATTAGTATTTGGCAGAGGTTGTTCAGATAAATTCTGTGCTGGTGGGTCGTAATCATCCCTGAAATGTTGATTGGACGAGAGAGATTTGATTAAGCCCACCACCTCACCTAATCTTATCCCACTAATGCAAGCTCAACAGTGTGGGGTACTCCTTCCATCGTGGAATCTACACTAAACACTTCCCAATTCCCGAAAAACACTAAACACTTCAAAGATACTGAAATCTGTGGCAAAATCTATACCTAATTAAACAAAACCCTAGGTTGTTAGCCAAAATGTTTCTAATAGAGATCTCATTAGTCCAACTGCCCAAGCGTGGCAGCCGCTAAAATGAGAATCAATAGTGCAATTCAGTAATTGTGGTAGTTTGATAGACCTGAAAATTATAACCCGACTCGTTTACTCAATCGAAATTTGTTCAAGAAATTAAAGGGTTGTAGTTTTTATAGCTTAAATTTCAAACTTAAATAATACCTTTGTTTTCAAAGTTGGAATGAATGGTGAATCGGAAAAATTTAGCGGTTTATGGTTCAGTGGTTAACCGTTGATAGAACTGTTCATGCACTATAACATAAAGATAAAAATATATATAATACTCTAGTGTGTGAATGAATTTATCACTAACCATAAATAATTTTAAATTTATATCATCCATCGCCAAAAGTGCTAACAAATCTCCTGAAGATACCATTGTAGCGAGGGCGGGTTTCTTCCCCGAGGGGTCGTTTGGTAGTTGTGATTGTTAGAGTTGTGTTTATTCAATACATGCATTGTCCACAATACAATGTTTGGAAGTGTCAAAGTGTAAAACAATTCATCTATTGTTTTAGGTAGGTCCCACCAACAATCACGAAAAATGATGCATTATACAATCTCAATAAAAGTTGAGATTGTTGATTTTAGATTTGTGTCCACTTTTTCTTTCCATTTATATTCCTATTAGTTTTTATCTTATACTAAAAGTTGAGGATAAATGTGACATTTTCACAAAGTAACTTTATGTTAGTCAATACATAAAGTAGAATCTCATCAACCAAACAATTATTATTAAAATGCATTCATTGTACCAATACATGTATTTATTTTGTTGCGATTCATTACAATGCAACGATTTAACATTCGCAACTTCCAAACGACCCCTCAAAGATTAGGCAGGCACGCATGAAAGCATAATCAAGTCCTAGACTCGTCTGAAACCAGGGTGGATTTCAATTACGTCAGATGCAGCTAATTTCTCGAATGGTGATATTGGGCTGGGAGTGGTTGCTCGGGGACAGTTATAGGAAGTTTCGACTGGCTGCAGCAAAACGGATGTCTAGTGGATGGAGCGTGGAGATGGCGGAGGCTCTGGCTGCCGAAATGGGTGCACAATTGACACCATTGCTACATACCACTAAACTGTTGCTCGAGTGCGATAGTATGCAGGTTATAAGTAAGCTAAACCACTCGAAGGGGAACCAAATTGAAGTGGGGGGTGATTTGCCCCAGTATCAGCCGGTGCCTGGAACGAACGGACGAGGCCAGATGGAGACATATTCCATCTGATGTTAAGGACTTTCACCTTACAGGATGACATGATGGTGTGGCTTGACAAACCACCAGATTTTTTGATTGATCAATTAAAACTTGATGATGTAACAGTTGTGCTTTGATCAATAAGATTACAGGTTTCCCTAAAAAAATCATTCAAACTATCTCACGAAAAGAAATCGTAACTTTTTCATTAAATTCAAGTTAGTATTTAGAGTGGTAATCCGTAGTTGACCACTTAAAGCTGAAAAGGAGGCTGGAAAATGAAGAAAGAAAGCATAAATAAATTAGTTCATGTTGGGTGATCTTAGTTTAAGTTAAAGTATTTCTTCTTAATCTTATTGTGGTTAAAGTATTTTAACTAGTGGACTAATCAAAGAGGGATGATTCTTTTGGTTTCATGTAAACCCGTTAAAAATCGATCGGTCCATCTCTAACCGTCCAACCAAATGAGCCAAACCGCTATTGGAATTGGTTTGGTGGTTCTACCGGTACAGGAGTTGATCCGATTCGGTTTTTATAACGATGATTAATTCGTAAACTTTTGAGTTAGGTTGGGTGGGTCAATCGGTCGAACCACACTAGTTCCTATTCATTTCGAAAATAGTAAAATCACTCATAATTTAGTGAAATGTTTAAGAAATTTTGCAAGAATTTGAAAGACAAGTTTGAACTTTAGGGATAATTAAATATAATGTGATTCTTGTAGAATTATTACTCTCCTTTTTCATTAACATGTGAGAGTTTGAGAATATTTGAAAAGGCATGTCTTCCGTAAACTATTCTCATACACCTATGAAAATTTGTGTTATTCAAAAAATGTGAAAACACACGTTACATCAACTCAAAATTTGAAAAAATTCTAGGTTCGGTCAATATTTGACCTAAAATCAACCAACTTAACATGATCCGATCTACTACGACCATTAAGTAGAAAGCACGTAACTCGAAGTTACTCAACCTGACCCGATTGCCAGTTGTAAGGCTCGAAGAGCCGGGATCGTTTCCGTCGCCTCCAACGGATAGAGGTAAGTTGTTCATTTCTGAAATGAACACTGTGTTTCCCTCCCCTACGAATAGAGGAAGATCACTAAAGCCGAGATCTCTAATAAGAAATAAGAGGATTCAACTCAGATCCAGTGCAGGATGGGATACTTCGTCCGAAAGATCATAAAAAGAAAGAACTTTCAGTGCCCTCAAAGATGGAAAAGCCTCTCTTGATTTGTCTGTAAAGGGCACTGGACGACGCGGGAGGGTGGGTTACTGGGTTGCTTTCGATACTCGAATACTGTATGCATTTCGTGGTGCTAAATGTTCAAAGCTCATCTCGTTTATTTCGGTTTTCTGAATTTGTAGATAATCCTTGCACGGTTTTGTCCTAAATCTAAAAAACTAGTCCTTGCTGATATACGTAAATTGATTGGATTGGGCTAATGTTGAACCTGAGGATCGATGAGGTTTGAAGAATATCCATCCCTATGAGATGAAGACTGCAACGTTCACGCAGGCACCACACCAGAGATAAAAGTGGTGAAACTGACAGTTGTATAAAAATCATACTGGTTTTGATCGTCCATAATTAATCTTTTGGTTTGACATGGATGCGGACAGGATACTTGCCGGGTCCGAGATGAAGAATTACAAAACCCCTTGGTGAGAGTCGATTTGCTAGGAGGTACTGGCAGGCAGCAGCTGCAATGTCTTTCAAGCTGTTAGTCTTAGGCCACTGATAAGCCGACGAAACGATTGCCAAATCGCTCCATCGGGCATCTCCAGTGAACGGGGATCACGGCCTTGCTCGAGGGTAGTAATCTGAAAATGATGTATCGTTTGAGTGCGTGACGAAACCCTTGGATGGGGTAGACCAGTCTCGAGATGTGCCATCCGACGGTCCCGGTAAACATCTGCTCCATCCCGCAGCATCAGCAACCTATCTGAACTCTCTTGCTACAGTACTGATAGCTTAAAGCAGAAATTGGTGGGGCAAAGAACACATTGTAGAAGATCACACTTTCATCCCTTAAGATTAGCAGCCCTACTGCCCCACCAGTCACCACTATGAAAAGCGTATCCCAAATGCAGACAAGAAGACACAAGATCTCCTAAAAAAGTCTGTCCTTGCACCAATTACAACTTACAAGTGCCCATCACTATCCAAGAAGGTTCCAAAACTCACAATTAAACCACTTTTCCCAGATTCCTTCATGTTCATTAACTTCCACTACTCGAGCTATCAAACAAACACCAGTGTTAACAAGGAGCAGAGTTCTGAAGCAATGGGATTAGAAAAGCTTTCCTCTTAAGATAACCTAATGAACAGCCTTGAAGGCAGTTACATTGATCAGCCAACTAGGCAAAGGACAGGATTTTCAGACAGAGATGTAAAATGGGTAAAGCAAAACTACAAAGGCAACTTGAATTCCAACCAGATTTAGACAGATAAAAAAGAGGAGGGCGGAAAAAGAACTAAACCTCAGATTCTGGTTTCCTATCATTACAGAGCTTCTTGATTCTTTGCCGAAAGCCGTTTGAGACACTCGTACGTGGTGATCATCGTCGTTGCTGACATCGACATTGAAGCCCATCTCGGTCCTAATCCTCTGTAACAAGCCATCAAGCCACCTTCCTTAACCAACTTCCGAAATGTCTGTCTCACAGTTGGACCGTGCTTCTCCTCCCCACCTTCCAGGACTTGCAGCCTAGTCTTGATCGTATCAAGCGGCATTGTAATCAAAGCTGAGGCACCACCTGCCATAGCCGCACTGATCCCCTGAACCGCCATCACGGTCTTTGAATCCGGTTTATATGCAACATCACCATTACCATTCTCATTGTTCTTCTTACTCAAGTAAGAACAAACTCCATCCCAAACCGTTCTCTGAGCAGCGGAGTAAGACGCCCACCACACAGCATTCGAAGGCGCATAGATCAGAATCGATAGCCCGAACCCTCTGTACAACCCTCTGACCCCATCGGTCCTCATGATCTGCCGAAACACATCTACCCCATTTGTGTACCTACACATCGACGCCTTCCCACTCTGGCACATGAGCCTCTGGCTGACAACATCAACAGGGGTCCATACGAGCTGTGCTGCCACGGCTGCACTCAATCCAGCAGCTGCATTAGCTATTGCTGCTGCTGTTGCATCAGGAAACCCTAGCCTAACAGTAGCTGTCCCAACATAGCTCTTGGTGACCTCAAGAGCACCCATATAGAGCGCTCTAGCTGGTACTGTTCCCATCAACGATGTCCCCACCCCTCGATACAAAGCTCGAAAGCCTTCATTTCGTAGGATTGAGTAGCCCGTCCTCATTGCAGAGAGCTCGGATTGAGCTACTTGTTGCCTGGTCTTGATCAGAACCACAGGGTACAGCCCTGCTGATACTCCCGAGAACATTGCGGCACCTAGGAAGAAGAACTTGGATTTGTCGAGCATTTCCCAGTTGATTTCAGCCGGGATGTGTATCTCCTTCTCCGATCCTTCCTCCGCCGCTCCTAAACTCATCTTCCCCACTTTCCCAATCGCTGTTTTTCAATCTAACTAAAAAGAGAAACAAGGCTTTCTTCTACCAAAAAGAACACTAGTATTCACAAAACCCCTCTCAGATTAAAGCTGTACAGGAATCGGAGGAAACACAAAACGGAGCGCGAAGGAGAAACAGCAGCAACTCAGCAGGCAGTATAATACAAAAATCCCTAACAAAAAAGCTCTATTGAGATTGCGAAGAACAACAGTAAGTAAAAAAATTACTAATTCGATTAGCCTAAAAGGATCAAATCTACTTTTTCCGCTTGTGGAACCAAGTCTTGGATCGAACCCGAACCAGAATGAATGGATCTACCATCGCCTTCTCCTTCTTCTGCGAGGAACACTGTTATAATCAAATTCGTTCCGCCAAACTGGAAACCTCTGCTCAAGCTCAACCGACGGCGCTGCCGTCGCCGGCAGCCGGGAAAACATTCATAGCCAGCTCGGGTTTCTTTTCTCCGGCGAGTTTAGAGAAGGGAAAACAAATCGATCGAGGAGTGTCAAGAGAGATTTCTAGAGAAGAGAGAAATGGCGGAGAAGGGGAAGAGGAGAAGAAGAAGAAGAAGAAGGGCGACCGGAGATCAGCGGTGGAAGGGAATTTGTTGGAGTGGGGACCGGGGAGAAAGGAGTGAAATAGAGAGCTGGGTGGGGAAGGGAAGGGCGACACGTGTCGGTAATCGGTATGGGAAGACAGTAGGAGCAGAGACTGTGTACGGTGGGGCTTTCTTTTCTGTGGATTTTGTGTTGAAATCAAGGCCGTTGGGAGGTGCGCGAACGAGGATCGGACGGTGGTGATTGGGGGAAAGGGAAAACGAGGGGCCGAAATGGGGTGGTATTATTATTAATATTATTGATTCGGGAACTGTGTTTGAATGACGTGTTGTCCCTTATCCAGAAGGTGGGCGGAGATTCGGTGAAATTGGGATCCGGTGTGGGCGGGTGTACTAGAGTTAGATCTACGGCGACAATGACATCCTTTTGTTTTCTACTCTTTTTTTTTTTACATTTTAATCACAGGAAATAACAGAAAGAATAGCATATGATTCAAAGGGCCTAGCCTAAGCCCACTAGGCCCATCATACATTGCGGTCTGGATGCTGCGAGCCTTGAATGTATGAGATTTTTCTTCAGAAATAGCACTTTTTAATTTTTTTATACAAAAATAGCATCCAGCCGAAAAAAATACACTAATAACACCCTTTTTTTATGGACCGCACCTTAGAGGTGCGTTTTATAATTCTGGACCAAAACCACATCTTGGCCAAGCGGTTTCAGGTCTGACCTACAGAAATCGCATGGCCAAGGTGCGGTTTTGGCCTGACCTAGCAAAACCGCACTTTGGAGATGCGGTTTGTTTCTCCACAAAGAAACCGCATCCCCAAGGTGCGGTTTTGCCATACAAACCGCATCCCCAAGGTGCGGTTTTGGTCAATTAATTTCCGACATGCCATGCAGAATAATAGACGTGGGTCTACATGTCAGACGAAAACTGCACCTCTAAGGTGCGGTTTTCATCAGTGATTTTGCCTATAAAAGACTTCTCGGAAAACCACTTCTCTTCACACCTCTCCTTCTCCCTTTTCAATTTTCTGTTGTAGCTCTATATTTCTTTAGTAGTTTTGCGATTAATGTTAACTCATAAGTTTATTTTGTATTACTTTTTATTGTTATTTTGATTTTGATTTTTATGATATTAACTGAACTACGATTTTTTTGCAGATGACATTCCAAAAATTCACGCTTGGCTTACGGTGGAATGGTTACACGGAAGAGACCAGAAAGGGGGTCACCTACGTCGGTGGCAATTTTCAGAAGATAAAGGTCGCTACCACACCTCTGCTTGAAGACCTCCATCAAATGTGCACTAACATTACTTGCATGGATGGCACGAGAAGAGTTGATCGTATGGTGTACCAACACGATTAAAAATTCAATATAAATTTATTTTATATTCCACTAAATACATTAACAAAATAAAAGAAGGACAAATGGTAAAGAATTGTATGTACCGGGTGATCATTCCAAACATCCCTTGACCGATGGTTGGGTTGGTCGTACAAGTCCGTTGGATCCAACGGTCCTTGCTCGAGATAATACCGTTGGTTGTATATATCCACGTTCTCCCCAACCTACGAGAAAATAACAACGAGGTTAGTACATAGATTAATTAAAAAGCTTATAACAACAACAAAAATTAAACTGGAATAATGAGTACGTACCGCTTGAAATTCATCAACATAAACTCCCTTTCCTTGCCACCAATCGACCATTTTTTCCGGAAATTCGGACAGAGATTCGGTGTTGCTCGGCGGGTTTTGAGGAAAAAACCTAAGAAATGTTTTCTGATGGCAGATCGGACTTAGCCGCAACCAACACACCACTATTTCCTAGGCTTTTGGGAGGGGAGGGTTTAGAGAGATAATTCTAGAGAGAGAGAGAGAGAGAGAGTGGAGAATGGTTGTGGTGTGAATAATTGAGAGGGAGGGAGGGGGTATTTATACCCATCAGACCGCACCCCCCAGGGGCGGTCGGGTAATTTTGTCCCACACAGCGGTTTGCGAGTCACGAGGCGCTGACCGCGCCTTGTCGCTGCGGTCCTCGATCCATGGCGCGGATCGCTCTGCTGGCGCGCGGTCCATCGTCCGATCGCTCCTCCATCGAACGGTCTTGAAGACCGTTCCGCAGAGAAGGCACACCGCACCTTCCTAGTGCTGTTCGTTTGCTGACGTGTCGTGGAACACACCCCTAAGATGCGTTCCATTAAAAAGAGTGCTATTTATGTCAATTTTTTCGTCTGAATGCTAGTTTTGTAATTTTTTTTAAACGTGCTATTATTGGAAAAATCCCTGAATGTATGGGCTTTCTGAGTCATCTCCAAATCCACAACGTTCGAGGGCGACGAAACCTTACAGCTACACGTCATCAACTACAGGAGGAACAGGGTGGTGAACGGTGTAATTAAGCTAGTTCCAAACCCAAAATTCTTCGATATTAGTTCTTTCCTTCTGTAATTTTGCCGTAGTTGTCTAATTGTTCTGTGTTAATTAATGAGCGCAGTGTTTTGGTGTTGATTGCCCTCCTTATTTTGAATTCTCGATTGAATTACCACACTCTGTAAAGCATTAAGAATGTTAGTGTTGTGGTATATGATCCACCATCGAACCTCTCCCAACAACTCGAGTTATTGGAATCAATTGGTTTTTGACATGGTATCAAAGCCTTCTGTGACCGAGAGGTCTTGTGTTCGATTCCCGGTTACCCCCATTTGTTAAGCACATGGTATTCTTGTCTTCGGACATGTGCAAACTTAAAGCCCTTGTAAGTGGCTTTCGTTTGAGGGGGCATAACTCAAGTTATAATTGGTCCCAGAACTGTAATTTGGAGCTTGCTGACGTTGATAATGTGGCTCATTGTTCAAAAAAGCACGCTTAACCTTACGCTTAGTCACGCCTAAGCGCAAGGCAATTTGGAAAACGCTTCGCTTAGGGGTGTCACGCCTAATTAGATTGTGGAACACTTCAATGAAGTAAGACGACATATAAGTCTCTTCTAAACATCTCTAGATGGAGCTAGGAAGTCAACACTAAAGTAGAAATTAACATCAACTAAGAAATCAATTTTATATATCAATATTTTCAATATCTCAAGAACTTTGTGAGCTATTGATCTATAAATCTATGAATTCGTGAGCTATGTTCTTGTCATTAAGTGTTGAGTAAGTTATTAATCATTTAAACTGAAGTGAGAAAGTATTGTAGATTATTATTCCATTCATCATGCGGTACGAATAACTATTTTCTTTCAACGCCTAGGCACGCTTAGTCTACCCTATGCGCTAGGCAAAGGCTCAACGCCCGTCTAATGCCTAACGCTTTTTTGAACCTTGACGTGGCTACTGAAGGTTGTGGTTGGCGGAGATTCTATTTGACTATTCGATGCTCCGATGGAGGGAAGAGGGACAGTGAAAGGATTTACAGAACTCTGGTTTCATGCCTTCTGGTGGAAGAAGGAGGATAAACAAGTTTTGGTCTTCAGGGACTCTTCAATGGGAAAAGTGTGTCACTAATTAGCATTCCAATTCTGTCATGGGCTGTTAATTCCTGTCCTGTGCATGCAGTTCTTTCATTTCTAGCCTGATGTTGAGCTCTATATATATTCAATACTGTGCTGCTCAACGGTTTAATACCCAAGAAGTTCTTTGTGTTGTGTGACAATAGTTGGCTGGATCATTCATGTTGCTAACTAGCACTCTGGTTTTCTGCTGCTGATTCAGCGTACACTTCAGACTTCACCATGGTTTTGGGCCTTTTGGCCCTGGCTTGAAATCGACATGGTGTGTCTTTTCCTTTTTGATGTTGGCTTCCTTGTAGGTTTCAAGAAGGCTTATATCATGACTGATGTGGCTGTTTACGATGTTCAGTCTTTGTATGTCGATCATGAACTTGTTGTTGTGCTTGCTGAGATTTTGTGGTTTGGTTTGCACGGTTGCTTGGGGTATTTATTGCAATAGTAATGTTGTCAACCACTTGTTTCTTAATGAAAGATGCTACTCTCTGTTACAGGTTTGTTAGAGCTGCCAGAGCCGTCCTCGCCCATTAGACACAAACGCCCCGAGAGCTGATGGCAATTAGTGTGGAGTCCAATTGGTTATCAGGATTCCGGAGTACTAGTCTGAATAGCTATGTGGACTGCTGAAATACTAGAGTCAAAGCTTCGGTCGCTGAAGATGGCATTGCTGGATTCTAGAGGATACTTGACTAGTAGTGGTAGTGGGTTATCTACTATGGTTATTGTGCATGGAACATATGAGCAGGATACATATTTAATTTAGTTTGTTTTTGGCATGACATTTTACTCTGTACCCACTGATGACAGATATGAGATACATAGTCCTATACATTCTGCAACTTCGCTATTCAGTGATGGAAAAATCCCAAAGTATACTAGTTCTTAAAAAAAAGGGAATGAACTCTCAACAGTGCTTCTTGAGGCTCCACTCTCCCCCCTGAATAAGTATTTTCCCCCCCAAAATTACACATGTTTGGCATTCACCATTTTTTACAAACGCAGTGAATATAATCACCGCGTTTGTCAAAAACGGTGAACATTTCACCGTTTTAAAATAAAACGATGACGGGTTCACCGTCTTTGTATAAAGCGGTGAAGTGTTCACCGCGTTAAACGAAAAACGGTGAAGACATCACCGTTTAAGTTAAAAGCGGTGAAAACGTCACCGTCATAGGGCAAAGCGCGGAACATCTTCACCGCCTCAGGCTAAGACGGTGATTATTTCCCACGTTTCCCAACCATGGTAGGTGAAAATTAGGTCACAACTACCTAATGTTCACCGTTTGAGACAAACACGGTGATGATGTTCACCGTGTTTGACCAAGGCGGTGAATGTTAGCTGATTTCTTTATAAATACCACACCACCCAGTGGCGGATACATGGACCAGTAGGGGTGTCCCGGGACACCCCTAAAATTTGGGATAACGATTATCTAATCCCAAATAATAGTTTCGTATGGATAAAAAATTATAATCGGTAATCCGGGACACCCTTAAATTTTGAAAAAAACGATTATCCTAATCTCGGTAGTAATTTGTGTATGATTAAAAAAATATAAGTGATACTTTGTATTATTCAAACCTAGGACACTACTATTATTAAACATATTCTCTAGGTTTCAACTCGTTTCTTGTTCTATTTTAAACACTATAAAATAGTAAAAACATTATTTCTTATCCCCAATTATTTTCAAAATCTAATAATTAAACTAATTACGGGTTATCCTTAATTTGAATTGATTTCATGGTTACAGGACAATAGTTAAAAGAGTCTTTCTACTTTGAGTTACATCAAGTACAAGGTTAGAAATCGATTATGCGATCAGTTCGTGCATTACTGTCTAGTATGATATACAGATTTGTTGAGCAATGTAGATATTGAGTGTATTTTATATTCTGTTTTTCAAAATATGAAAATACGTCTGGACTTTTGTTAAAATATGTATTAGTCGGATATTTTCTGATTTATGAATTATTTAATTAATTTTATTTAATTTTTGGAGAGGACACCCTTATAAAAAAATCCTGGATCCGCCACTGACACCACCAGCAGTTGTAAAAACATAACCACTCCCCCCTCTTCAAATTTCAGCAACCAAAACCGAGCAACATACACAGAACAGGAATTTACGGTATGGTTTAATTTTCGTATTAATTCCTAATGGTTGTTTTTAGTAGTTATATTGTTATGTTATGAATTACTTATCGTAGCAAATATGGCCGATGCTATGAATTACTGGAATTACGCTAATAGTTACTTATTGTAAATTGTAGATATGGGTAAATTCAAGAAGTTTCAGCTTATTATTCGGTGGAATGGAATGGTTACAAACTCAGACATAGGGATTGATTATGAGGACGGTGTATCAACTAAACTGAAAATTGAGTCGCATTCAATTTTCAAGAACTCTGTGATATTTGTGCATACATGGTTTGTACGAGCGGACATACGAGACTTGGTAAAATTAGTTACCGGTATCCATGTATGAGTACTGGCGGGCTTGTGTACCAAGAAGTTGTCATAAACGATGATGAAGCGGTTACGATGATGTTACAGTTCCTAAGCGATAACGAGATGCGGCAAGCAGAGGTGTATGTTGAGACCGAGACGGTCGGTGAAACTCATTCTCACCAGTATTACGATGATGGTTTTGCAGGAGGGTATGGATGGGGTGGTAGTTCGAGCAACTACGAAGGAAGTGGTTATACAGGAGGTTATGGAGAGGGTGGTAGTTCAATCAACTACGGTGGAGGCAGTAGTGTAGGATGGGTGCCATCTGAAGAATACTCGCAACATGATCAACCTGCCGATGGCATTCAATGGCCTGCTTGGGGGCCTAAGTGGGCTGAAATAGAGAATACCATTCGAGGAGGGCGTACTTCACATGAGCGAGAAGACGATATTGGCGATGGTGGTCATGTTGATCCTTTTGGGCCGAGCTATCCATTCGACTCGAGCGAAGATGATACCGAGGAAGATTTGAGATCAGTGAGCGAGGAGGAAGATACTGATGATAACAACGACGAGGCGGTATTTCGTGAGGCACCGACGCCATACTACACACAGGTTCCAACTCAATTTTTACATAGCCAGAATGATGCCCTCGACTTTGTCCCTATGCCAGTGTATAATCCGAAGGCCAATTTGGAGGTGGGTATGGCGTTCTCATCGAAGGACACTGTGCAGGATGCCTTTACCGAAGAGGCCTTGAGGCGCAATTTCGAGTGGAAGGTAAAATATTATGACAGTAAACAATTACATGTCATATTCAAGAATGATGTAGAGGGCTGTACGTGGCAACTGCGGGCTGCAAATATGAAGAGAAAGGGTGCCTGGGTGATTCGAAAAGCTGAGACCAACCACACTTGCTCCTCGTCCATACGTTCCCAGGATCACAGGCAACTTAAAGCAAAGATAATTGGGAGAACTATTAAACACCTTATCAAAGTACAACCAGATATCAAGGTCAAAGCTATCATGGCCGAGGTGAAGGATTGACATTCTTACACGATAATGTACAAAAAAGCATGGCATGAAAAGCAGAAAGCCATGACTGAGGTGTATGGTGATTGGGAGGATTCGTATGCTTTACTCCCTAGACTTATGGCCGCAATGGAGGAGTCCAACCCTGGGACTTTTTTCGTGCCAGTATACAACAATGTATACACTAAGGATCAAGTTCGAGTACAGGAGAAGTTGATGTTTCACCATCTTATTTTGGGGTTTCAAACCATTCATTGACGGGTTTGCGTTATGCATACCGGTTATTCAGGTATTTTAATACATGTTTACTATTTGAAATATTTCTATTCTTGCAGATCAAGTAAATTTCATACTAATTACTTCATAATATTTAATTAGGTTGATGGAACCTTCCTTACTGGGAAGTACAAAGGAACTCTTCTCATTGCCATTGGCGTTGATGGAAACAGGCAGATTTTCCCGCTTGCATTTGCAATAGTGGAAGGGGAGAACAGCTTAAGTTGGGCATGGTTCTTTGACCAACTACACGAACACGTGACACAGCGGGAGGGTATTACGATTATATCTGATCGACACGTGGGGATTAGGAATGCCGTAGGTGGTTTTCCTGACGAGTGGGGATGGACATGGCGCTGGTGTATTCGACACTGGCTCGCCAATTTCCAACACAAATTTGGAAAGAAGAAAGACATCAAAAATCAATTGTGGCATGCAGGTACTAATATCCTTTAATGAGAGTTAACTATGTGTTTAATAATTTGTTGTTTATCATGTATTGACCATTTTTATATTGTTCACCTTGCAGCGGTTGCACATCAGCCATAAAAGTACGAGCAGAAGATGAAGACGATCCGTCAGACTCACCGAGATGGAGCAGTATGGGCTGAAGGTCAAGAGTTGGCCATGTGGACGTTCCATATGGACAACGGGGCCAGATGGGGCATTGCAACTACCAACCATGGAGAAAGTATAAATAATGTGTACAAGGGCCTTCGAGCGATGCCTATTTCTGTCATAGTGGAGATGTCATACTAGAAGGTCAATGAGTGGCGGGTGGCTCAGCTGCATCTAGAGATAGGGAGGGAGATATTTGGTCATCCGATAGCACATGGCATTTTTGAGCAAATGCAGAAGAGCGAAGAAAAATCAAGTAAGCATAAAGTTGTTCTTTTCGATCGTAGTGAAGGGATATTTGCAGTGGAAAAAGGTGTATGGGGTGGAGGTAGACGTGGCCACAATCGTCATACGGTTACTCTGCACTATGAATCAAGGGAGTGTACATGTCAAAAATATCAAAACGAGAGGATACCCTATTCACATGCAATGACAGTAGCTAAGTCATTAACCATGAAAATAAACACTCTGGTGAGTCCTTACTACACTGAACAAGCGATACGGAACTCATATGATGCAGCTTTGAGTCCCATGCCAGATGAAGCGTATTGGCCTATATACGCTAGGAAGTTGATTATCCCACCGTTGCACCTAAAACGCACCAAGGGTCGTCCTTCACAATGATATGGATCAAGTGGAGCGCACGAGGCGGGGGCCGAAGCGATTCTCCAAGTGTAGACAACCTGGCCATGACAAGAGGCGTTGGCCAGGACAACCTATCGGGCATGGTGCGGATATTAATCAGGACCAACCTTGAAAAAGTGTTCTATCTTAATTAGCATTTTCGTTTGTAAGCTTGTTTTAATTGTAACATGTGTTTGCCTTGTCATGAATTTGGAATAAATTTGGAATGTGGTCCAATTAGAAAGTTGACTAACATAAGATGGATAGTTCAACGACAATGCAAACTCAAATCAGAAGACCAAAAAATTCAAATAAACGCGGATAGTTCACTACAATGACAAAACACTAGAATAATCAAAGAAAGCACGGATAGTTCACTGGTTCTCTTCATTTGGTTGCCCTCATTTTGGCCCCCATCTCGACCTCCGCCTCGTCCTCCACGACGTCCTCGACCCCTATCAACCTTGTAAGTAAAAGCATGGAATAAATTTAAATTAGGCTAAGTACGGATTAAATTCAATTTAAATCTAGCTAAGCATGGAATAATTGTAAATTAGGCTAAGTACGGAATAAATTCAATTTAAATCTAGCTAAGCATGGAATAATTTTAAATTAGGCTAAGTACGGAATAAATTCAATTTAAATCTAGCTAAGCATGGAATAATTTTAAATTAGGCAAAGTATGGAATAAACTTACTTGACACCGTAGGGGATTTTGCAGAAAGTTTAGCTCATCATCGGCTCTCCGGTATGGACGTGGGTCTAGAGGTGCGAATATTGGAAGATGCTCCCATACCCACAGCTGTAGGATAAACATCGCAGAACCAGCTTGTTTTGCTCCCACCTTCGAGCAAGTGCACAGCTCCCGGTATAGGCCAGCTAACACGGCCGATCCCCAACTCTTTTCCCCGCTTGCGTCCCACACCAGTGAGCAATGGCAACCATATGCCTTGAATCCACCAGTTTGACTTGTCGGGGAACAGAAATCCACTTGTCGGGGAACAGAAATCCACCCACCAAACCAATGAGGTAGATGCGTGCATAGCGCTCCACTTGATCTTCCGGAGTCTCGTCATTGATTTACACCTCATTTTGGATGTGAGTTATCAGCCATGGGACCGACACTTGTCCCGCATTCAACGGTGGATGCCCCCGTCCTTGAATTGGAGTAGTGGTTGGTATGTCAAAGCCCAAACGATCACGAATGAGCGGCCCCCAATCTTCTTCGGGTTTGGTAGTGGAACCAATGATGGCATCTCCAGAAATCGGCAGCCCGGTGAGGATCGCCACGTCTTTGAGGGTGATCGTCATTTCCCCCTCTGGAAGGTGGAACGTGACGCCATCGCTCCGCCATTGCCGTAAGCAGATCGTTGTCGATTTTGATCCGCATGAAATGGCGCAACATACCCAACCCGGTCCTCTCTATATAGGGCGCCAACCGTGGATGCCAAGCAGGCAAGTTTGTGGTCCCTTTATGTACGACGGGAATAAGTGATTCCTTCAAAAAAATAGGAAAAACATCAATTTGTTAGTTTAAATAAAGCAAAATAACACCTTAGAAAATAATAAAATAAAGCAAATAAATCATCAAATTACCGGATTGTTATCCCAAATAGCACGGGAGCGATGAGCTTCTTGATCGGTTAAGAGTCTCATATCTCTTGGCCCATAATGAATATACAATCGAGGATCGTATATCTCGGCACCCATCTATAAAAAAAGTAATGAAATCAGAGATTGTTTTGATAAAAACAAATCACAAAATCAAATTGTTTCGATTAAAAAAAACACAAAAAAAAACCAAAACCTACACGAAGAGCCTCTTCGTCCATTTTTTTTGCAGAAGCCGGACAGAGGTTCGACGGGTTTGGGTTTGTAAGGGACGGGAGCTTAGCGGGACGGGGGCTTTAGGGTCAAACTCTAGTAATTCTTTCTGATGTGGAAGATCAGACTTAGCCGCAACCACAGAGCATACTTAGAACGAGACTAGAGTGGATAAATTGAGGGAGAAAGAATTGTAATTGTTGTGGTGTGATTTGTAAGTGGGGGAAGGGTTCTGCCGAGAATAAATTCGGGGATGCTTCACCGTCTTCGTCGAACACGGTGAATACACCGCCTTTATCGAAGACGGTGAAAGGGGTGACGTGGCTTGCTGTGAGGCGTCGGATCTGGGAAGAAAACCACGATCCGCGCCTCACCGCATCTGACGGCCACGGTGAAAGGAAAAGCGACGCGGATCGCTGACGCAAACAAACATGGGGTATTCACCGTGTTTGTCTAACGCGGTGAATACACCGCGTTTGTCCACGTCAGCTATCCGCGTCGCTTCATCGTGGCCTAAAGAAACGGTTTAATATACACCGCGTTTCATTAAAACAGTGATCTATTCACCGTTTGCCTCTAAAATGGCGATTGACTCGCTCGTTGTTCACCGTTTTAGAGAAGAACGGTGAATACGTCACCGTTTTTTTTTTAAGGGTGAAATATTCACCGTCTTTGTCAAACACGGTGATAGTCTTCACTGCGTTTGTCAAAAATGGTGAATGCCAAACATGTGTACTTTGGAAATTTTTTTTATAACTTACATATTTTGGGAAATTTTTTTAAGAACATGTTTTTTCCGTTCAATGATCACCTCTTCCAGTACTCGTCTTTTTGTACCTTTTTGCATAAAGGGTTGTGGCAGGGTACCTCTTCGCCATTTTCCATGAAAGTGTTATCTGGCATGCTAAATCGTGTTGTGGGAACTAAGTTCTTTCCCCTGCACCCTCAATGTCAAAAGATTGATCTCACACACTTGTGGTTTACGAATGACCTTTTGATTTTCACTAAGTGGTCAGTTAGAGGGGTTAAGGCAGTGGCAAAAGTTTTGGATAAATTTTATGATGTATTTGCGACTCAAATGCTACTTTTAGAAAGTTTACTATTTGTTTGTAATGAAACAAAAGTTCTTTAAGAGCTACTTGGGTAGAGCTGGTGACATGATGGGAGTGATCAAGCTTAGGTATGCAGGGCAGGTGTGGGATGTTGAGATCTGTCACCACTCATCGAGGTGTTTCGAAATTTAACTTGGTGAATAGAAACTGGGCGTTCACTTTAAAGAAGAGAGTTAAAGCCTAATGGGCCAGAAGTTGCTCATTTGTAACGGCCAGGAGTTACATGGTTTCAGTTGGAGAGAACAAGAAATAGGTAATTCGTCGGTGTTGATAAGTTTGACGTGTGTCCGGCGTTTTTCATTCAATGGTCGTCGATCAACCATTCAACCTCATGGCTTCCTCCTCCGACGATGACGGGTAGAAGTAGAATCATTTCTGTCTCGCTACCACATTGGCATGTAAACTCGAATATGAAGGAAAGTGCAAGCGGTTACGGGATCAGACAGTCAGACACCACCTCAAGAACATCATCATAAAATGCTGGTACTGCCATAAAATACTGCAAACACAAGGATATATATGCTCAATTTTTTATCGAAAAAATAGTTAGTTCCTTTGAACAATAACATTTTTTTTTATAAGACAATGATTTTTTAATTTTTAATTGATATATGATTTGAGGCTTTCTTTCTAGAATTATGGGGATGAGGGATAGAGAAGAAATGAGATCCCCCAAGATTTTTCTAGAAATAACACTATTTATTTTTTTCCCCAAAAATAGCACTCAACCCCGAAAAATTCCAAAAATAGCACCATTTCCTAAAAACCGCCACCCAAACCAGCGGTTTACAAGAAACCGCAGGGTGGGGCGCGGTTTTTGATGAAAACCGCACAGTTACGGGACGGTTCTGAAAATCGCTCTGGGTGGGGGCGGTTTGGACCAAAACCGCCACCCCACCCAATGGTTTTCTGAAAAGGGAAGGTAACGTTATTCCCAAAACCATTTATATCCAATAATAATTCCTGTTTTGAAAATTTTTTCCTAGTAAAAATTGTAGTCCTTCAAAAGTTATGCAAAATGAAAAAAAATTCATGACGTTCGAATTTTGGAGCACAAAGTTATGGCTGTTCAAAGTTATTGAAGATTGTTAGCGCTCAAAGACTAAAACTTTGTCAATATGTAATTGTCTCAATAAAAGATTTGTAGTTTGGTGGTCAAGAATCAAGATGTTATGTTAAAATTTGTTAAACTATTTATATTATCAGGGTTCAAACCACCACACCCACAACATGTTGCTTTTTTTAATCTCTACTATATAAAAAGATTTAACATGGGATGATGGTGTTTCAAACCAAAGACCTCTTGGATACAAAGAAACAACTGAACCAGTTATGCCAAGACCACTTATGGTGATTATTTGGAAATATTTTTTTACAAACCGCCCCCTGGGGGTGCGGTTTGCACCAGAACCGCTCCGGCCCCACGCGGTCAGCAAAATCGCCCCCTACTCGTGCGGTTTTCATCTAAAACCGCGCCCCCACCCTACGACTTTCGAAAAAGGTATTTTTGAAAATTTTCGGGACTGAGTGCTAATTTTGGAAAATTTTTTAAACAGTGCTATTTATGAAAAAGTCTGAGATCCCCTCCCTAACACACAGTCACATGCGCAAAACTGAGAGGAATTCAAATAGAGGTTGTAAGCGGTTATGAGGTTACCAGTTTAACCGATAACCGTACCGGTAATCACGGTTATCGGTTGTAACACCCTAACCCGGTCGGGTACTACTTTTACTAAAATGCCCTTGATAAATAAAATACTCAAATCTTAAATTGTAGCGGGAAAAATTTTCATAAATAAAATACTGAAAACACGCACTTGTAGTTCAAAGCAACGCCCTAACACATGGGCAACTCAATACTTAAAATCTCAAAAAGATCTCCAGTCTATACTCATAATCATAACTAATAATCTATACTTGTAAATAACTAATAATCTCCAATGTTGTTGCTACTGAAACCTTGACTAAGCATCCTATGTGACGCTTATACTGCCCTCTTCTAGCTGGCTGTCCTCGAACTCGTTGCTCACTAACTGCTCCTCTAGCTCCTCCTCTAGCTCTTCAAATTGGTGAGTGAGATGGGGTCAGTCTACGCCCTTACGTTTAACATCTTATTAATACTTGATCACTTTACTTAACTTAGTAGAAGTTGTTTTGTACTTCCACTATTAAAAATCTTGACTCTTAAAAATGTCCTCTTAAAGCTCAAATCTCCACTCAAATTCTTGACTGACACGGGGATCCCTCACTAGCTAGTCCGGTTGCCAACTCATACGTATGAGAAGCCATCCAGGCTTTCCTTAAACTTAAACTTATCGTGGAAGGCTCTTCTTCCACGATTCTCAAGAGCATAATTGCTGCTCATCTTAAAAATCTCAAGAGCATAACTGCTGCTCAACTTAAATATCTCAAGAGCATAACTGCTGCTCTGCCTCAAAGATCTCAAACGGCAACGAACTGGCTCTAGTGACTAAAAACACTTAAAACGACTTCACCTTCTTGAATGTGAGTTACTTCTTAAAAAGAAAACGTGTTCTTAAACTTCAACTTACTTGTAAATAAAGCATGCACTATAATATGTATAACTAGAAGCATAAATCACACGCAATCACATGCATCATATAAACACACAAAGGCAAGTATGACATATAACAGTCAATCACAACAACTGAATTACAGTAGTGCATAGAATTTACCCCATTTACACTCACCTTAGTTATCAGTCGATGATCCTCGATCGGTGTTATAGGAGATTGCCCATGTCTCCCCTTCTCTTATTGGATCACCATTCCATTTGCCCTTTCAACTCTTTTGCTTGTGCCGCCCACATATCTTCCATTTTCGAGAACCACCTTGCGGAGATGACAAAGAACAATTTTGTTCCTTGAAAGAGAGACCAGCTTCCTCTCTCCATAATCCCCAAAGATACGTTCCCATTCCATGCACAAAAGTCCAAAATTGTGATAGATATTAATCACAGCGATGCCCTAAACATATACCCCACTGTACTCACTCGGAAATTCTTAATCTTTCATCAAGCTATTGTCGAGTTCCCATTTTGCATCCCTTCCACCATTTTCACTAACTCAGCAAGCTATCCACGCATCCATATCAAATATAAAGCCCTAGTTTATTAGTCCACTAATTATTCACTTAATTGACCCTCTTTGATAACCCAACCGTCATCGTCCCACAACAGAGATTAATTGACCCTCCTTGATAACCCAATCCCTAGAATAGATTAAAAAAAAAGTACCTCTGGAACCTGTCAATTTTATGGTCGGTCCTTAGTTTCGTGGTTTAGTAAAAAACAACACTCCGTAGCTCTCTCCACTGCTGAGGCTGAGTATATTGCCGCAGGAAGTTGTTGTCAACAACTTCTATGGTTAAGAACTCAACTAGCGGATTATGGGATTATAGTTCCTACCGTTCCCATTTTGTGTGACAATACGAGTGCTATTAATATGTCCAAAAACCCGGTTCAACACTCTAGGACAAAACATATAGAGATTAAGTATCATTTTCTTCGAGAGCTAGTTCAGAGTAAAACCGTGTCTATCTCCTTCATACCTACGAGTGAACAACTAGCGGATATTTTAACTAAACCACTTCCTATAGATCAATTTCTATTTATTTGTAGTGAGTTAGGAATGATTTTCCAATCCGATCTTGCTAATTTTGGATTCTGATCTTCTTTTTCTTGAGTGGTTGTTTTCTTTATTGTCTATATATATATATATATTTAACATAAAAAAAGGGACGGGGGTAATTAAACAACTAAATTTCCTTCCCCCCATTCCTTACGACCTTCTGGCAGTAAGGCGGCAGGCTCTGCCTATATATATTTGGTTTCCTCCATCAATCACGTTATTCATCTCTCAAAGAAAAAAAACTGCTTGCTCACTTTTCTGGCGGACACGACAGCATGAGCTTCCTCTCCGGTAACTCGTTCCTCATGACTCCAGCTCTCTTTCGTCGCCAGCAGCGGATCGTCTCCTTTACCGGGGCGCTCTACCCTCATCCAGTTGGTGAGAATCGTCATCGCCATCAACAGATTTTTGCCGTGAAGCCAATTCTGCTGATCTGTACTCTGGATCCTTATGCTTTCGCCTTGGTCGACACTGTGGATCCTATCACCCTCATCGACAGCCTAGGCTGGCTTCCCATGGGTGATTCCCCTCCTCGCGGCTACTGCCCAGCTGCCGTTCGTGCCTTCTATTCCAATCTTCGGACCGATGGGATCACATCGGGCAAATTCTCCACCCTGGTATATGGCCACTTGCTTACTCTTTCGGTTGATGACCTTGCTGCATTTCTTGTTCTGCCTACTAGAGGCAAGCAGCTCATTAGTCCGTTGGAGTTCTGGTCACACAAGTTTGACTTGTGTCGGGAGGTCACAAATCGCTCCTTTGATTCGCTGGATGAGTCACTCAAGCTTCTCCACTACTACATCAACCGAGTGTACTTTCCGCGGGCTGACAGCTTGGATGTTGTTTTGCCTCTTGATTGCTGGGTCATGTCTCACGCCATTTCTGATATGCCGTTGCGCTATCCTCACCTGTTATTTGGGTCAATCGTGGATGCTGCTGCCAACGAATCTCCCAGTGTTGGTCTTCCCTTTGCTGCGATGATTACGTTGCTGTTGCATCGTCTCGGTGTTCCTCTGGCTGACTTTGTCACTATTTCTGACGATGGTGTTCATCCCTCCATTGACGAAGTGTTGGCTGTGGTGGGGCTTCCTCCCATTGTTGATTTATCATCAGGGGGAGATGGTCATGGTCGTGTGGCCACGGACGCAGAAAGAGGCGAAGAGGCCAAAGACGAGGCGTCCGCGGATGGTGGTGCATCTGCTTCGACTTTTGTCCGCCCCTTCAAGCTCAAGCGACAGGCGAAAGGACCTTGCCCTTCTAACAGAGTTCTCAAGCGTCTCAATAATCAAAAACCTTCTCAAGGAGTGGTTCTCTATGAGAATCATGATCTTGAGCAAAACAATTAAATGCCTTAATTTAGGGGGAGCTTGGGTTTAGGGGGAGCTTGGGTTTCGAGTTGTCAGTTGTTGTTGTTGCTGTTTAAATGGCTTATTTGAATTGTTGCTTTTAAGGTCTAGATTGGGTTAGGGGGAGTATCAAATCATGTCTCTTATTTGCGCTGTTGAGTGTTTTGATTGAATAATGCCCTGAGCTATACTCAGGATGAATGAAGTAATTTGTTTTCTTAATAATCTGTGGCGTAGGATGAATGAGAGATATAATGACTGCCATTCTTTAATCTTGAGCTTAATGATGAATGAAGCATATGCATTAACAGGATGCTAAATCAAGCTTAGGGGGAGAATGTTGAGTTAACAAGCTTGATTCAACAAATTGAATGTCATAGGATATTTTGTTATAAATATATGTTATTATGTGGAACTAACTATCTATGCAGAAATATCACAATCAATGATGAGGAAAAAGGAAACAATTCAAAGTGATTGCTTGCCCTTAAAGGAGTTACCATATCAAGCAAAAAGGTATCAAACCAAGGAGATACTTGCCACACAAAGGACTACAAATGAAAGGAAATAAAGGCTCACATCAACTATAAATAGTAGAGTCATTTGTAGGCCAAGACACCTTTTGCAAAGCTCTCTTCTCCCTTGTAATAGCGAAATTGTGTGATCATATTTCGTGGTGTGAATAGCTTGATATCTCGGGGGTTTAGATATTCAAGCTAGGTCGGGTTTTAGGGTAGGAAGGGTATTTGTAATTGGGATTAGTGCAAGAGCAAGAGGGGATTCTTGCTTGCGAGTTGCACTAGGTGAATTACTCTCCAATCAAGTCAAACTAAGAGTGTTTGCTTTATTGATTGAGTGGGTAGCTTAGCTTGGATTTAGCTAAGGGTTGAATAGGTGCGGAGTTGCACCTATTTGGTTCTTGACACAAAGTGTCAAGGTTGTTTCAATTTCATAGGTTAGAGAGTCTTTTATTTTAATAAAAGTTAGAGTGTCTCGTGAGATAGCGGTAACTATCTCCGGGACGTGGATGTAAAGACATATTGGCCGAACCACGTTAAAATCGCGTGTCCTGACTCATCTCTCTCTCTCTCTCTCTCTCTCTCTCACTATAAATCCTCTAACTTTGTTCTATTCATCAGTGCCAACAAGTTAAATACTTCAGGAGAGATTCTTGGCAAGTCCTTTTGGATTGCTCAATCAAGCTAGTGCTAATCTCTCTCTATTGAAATCTGAATTAATTTGTGCATTGACCACGTCAAAAGTATCCTTTATTGACCTAGCTTGGTCTAACAGTCTTCACAACTACCACAGGAACTAGAATTCCTTATCGCTTGTAGCTTTCTCGTAATGCAATCCTTTGGACGTGCATTTACCAAACTACATCTCCACACAATGGAGGTATCTTTTCGCACTATGTTCAATTTACTTTGAACATAACATTTGCAACAACTTAGGCTTAGATATACTTGAACAAAAGTCCTCACAAGCCTCTCGTCATAGGTTTCACACACCTATGATTGTTCATATTTCCTAACCGGATACCTTAACAATATCATCACCACCTCATAGCCCACGAAGGGCTATCTTGAATACATTTTCAATTCTTCAAATTCAAATAAGTTAAATTTCCTTGAAGTCTTCTCATAATATGATTATGAGTGTGTTCACATCTCAAATACTACAAAGGTATTTGAAATCCACTAAACCAAATCGAATTGATTCAACGACCACTAAATTGGTTACCAACCAATCTTCATCTTTATCAACCATGTTTCACCAAAAACATGGAGACATCAAAATCCATGCACGAAAAACCTTAAAAGGAGTAATTGTGCCAATTTTGATGACCATAGAATTACGCTTCACTTCCGTTCATCATCTTTCAACACTTATATAGAACGTTTCATTCAACTGAATGCAACGTTCCATTTTTATTTTCTGCAATGATGCATCGTTCCCATGGTGGCGATTCTCAATCCGTTTGTTCCCAATCTTACTAAACACAAACACAGGATTCAATATTTTCTTTTCTGCCATACAGTCTGATTCCGCAATGACTGTCGGAAGACTGTATTGCTTTTGGGAACCAACTGGCGGTTGCATGGCGATGAGACATGCTCCTTCATGCATGGAACTTATCTGGTTGAAACTTTCTTCATTGATCAAAATAACAAAGGAAGGAGACGTGTCCCCCCCCTATATGTTCCCTCCATGCAACTGCCAAATGACAAAATTGCAATATGGATATATATATTGCATCGGTTCGGCCCATGGTAGTTGGACCGGTTTGGTTATTCCAACCGCCACATCGGTTCAGTTCGATTTGGTTCAACTCAGTTTGGTACGGTTGGTTACACAAATCAATATTATCGATCACCAACACATTACATCAAATCGACTGAATTCGCGGCCACACCATCCCACAGCTTACCAAAATGGTACTTCAAGAAATTCTCTTTGATCTTTCCCCTTTCATTTCCATTCACACCATTAAAAATCCTAGCATAAATGTTATTGACTATCATCACTTCCATAGGCCTTAGTTATATATACATTGAAATGATGTATATCCTGATATTCAATCTTTCTTCACGTTAATGTTTGATGATAGTTGAGGGCTCTCAAGGTTCGTTTTGCAGTTAAATTTTGGTCATGCATTTGAGTATCTAACTTATGATATCAATAAGAAAAAGGGTATCCCTCAATATCATATTAAGGTAATAAAAACAACACACAAATATATTCTCATTTGTTGATCTAACAGATAGTTAGCTCCTTTGAAAAATAACATTTTTAACTTTTTAATAAGATAATGGTTTTTAAATTTTAATTGATATATGATTTATGCTTTCCGTCTAGAATTATGAGGATGAGGGGAAGGGAAGAAAATAGACCCCCTTCCTGATAGACATTCAAATGAGCAGAATTGAGAGAAAGACAGTCATGTCAGTTAGTTTATGTTGTTTACTTATTTTTATCTTTTTTTAAGGTGAGATAGTCTGATTGGTTCGTGTAATACGATTTTGTTATTTTACTATTCTGGTGGTAATTGGGAAGAAATCTTGACTCTCTTCTAAGCTAAGTTTCGAAGTGGTAATGTAAATGGCTTTATTGTGTCTAATATGATATTTGGCTTTGTAATTCATTTTCGCATTTGAATGCTGACTTGCCTATGTAGTTGGGGTGATGTTGGGGAGGGTGGGTGTGTGGGGACCTTAGTTCTTGTACCAGACATGGTATTTTGTCCTGCAAAGTATAAATCATATTGACTGACATCACTTCCATAGTTCTACATTGAAATGATGTAATGTCCTACAATTCCAACTTTCTTCACTTTTTTGTTTGATGATAATTGAGGTCTCTCAATGGTCATTTTTCTATTGAATACTGGAAAGTTATAATTTGTTGATCGAACAAATAGTTAACTCTTTTGGACAATACAATTCTATTTTTTTATAAGACAACGAATTTTAAATTGATATATGATTTGGGGCTTTCCTTTTATAATTAAGGGAGTGAGGGAACGAGGAGAAAATATATCCCCTCCCCGACAGACAATCAGATGAGAAGAACCGAGAGGAAGACAACAACGTCAGTTAGTCTATGTTTGTTAACTTGCTTTTTTACCTTTTTAAGGTGAGCTATTTTGTTTGGTTGGTTTAATAGGGTTGTGTTATTTTACTATTACCGGTGGTAATTAGGCATAACTTTTGACTCACTTCTAAGCTAAGTTTCAAAATGGTAATGTAGGTGGTCTTCTATAGTATTTGGCTTTGTAATGCATTTGCTCATTTGTTTGTTGACTTGACAACAAATATGCAATTTGTGGTGACTTTGGTGGGGTGGGTGGGGGTAGGGACCTTAGTTCTTGTACCATTCATGACATTTTGTCCTGCAAAGTATAAATGATATAGACAATAATCATTTTCCTGCTTCTACATTGAAATGATGCAATGTCCTACTATTACACTTTCTCCATTTTGGTGTTTGATGAAAGTTGAAGCCTCTCGATGGTCGTTTTGCTATTAAATCTAGGTCATATGCATTTGAGTATCAAACATATTCAATGATAGAGAGGGGTTTCCTCAATATCATATTAAGGTAATAAATCTGGATGTGATTAGAGCAAATGGTAATGAGTGTGGTCGCCACCCAAAGAACATCATCAAAAAATACTTGAAACACGGTAAAATATTGGAAACACAAGGATATGTTTTCATTTGTTGCCCGAACATAGAGTTAGCTCCCTCAACAATAACATTTTAATTTTTTTTATAAGACAATGGTTATTTTAATTTTTAATTTATATATGATTTTAGACTTTCCTTCTAGAATTACAGGAGTGAGGGGAAGAGAAGAAAATAGATTTCCTCCCCATAAGATAGCCAGATGCACAGAACTGAGAGAAAGACAATCACGTCAGTTTGTATATGTTTGTTATCATGTTTCACCTATTTCAAAGTGGGCTAGTCTGGGGTTGGTTTGATAGGATTTTATTATTTTATTATTTTGGGGGGTAATTGGGTAAACCTATTGACTCTCTTCTAAGCTAAGTTTCAACATAGAATGTCGATAGTTTTCTTATGTCTAAACTGGTATCTGTTTTTGTAATGCATTTGCTCGTTTGCTTGTCGATTGCCATCAAATATGTAGCTTGTGATGACTTTGGTTGGGTGGGGTGTGGGGGTGGAAGACTTTAATTCTTTTACACGTTATGTCATTTTGTCCTGCAAAGTATAAATAATATTAACAATTATCATTTCCGTAGTTTTACATTGAAATGGTATACTGTATTATTATTCCAACTTTCAACTTTGTTCACTTTGGTGTTTGATGAGAGTTGATGGCTCTTAAAGATCGTTTTGTTGTTGAATATTGATCATGCATTTGAGTAACAAACTTATTCAATGATAAAGAGGGTTTTCCTCAATCTCTTATTGAGATAATAAATTTGAATGTTGCTTTCTTGTTTTATTATTTCAGGTGGTAATTGGGTAGAACTATTTATTCTAAGATAAGTTTCAAGACTTATTGATATTTGGCTTTGTTATGTATTTGCTCATTTGTTTGCTCACTTGCTAATAAACATATAGGTGGTAGTGACTTTGATGGGGGTGGGGACCTTAGTTCTTGTACCAGTCATGATATTTGTCTTGCAAAAGTATAAATTATATTTATAGTCACTTTCCTAGTTTTACATTGAAATGGTGTAATGTTAAGTTATTCCAGTTTTCCTACTTTAGTGTTTGATGAGAGTTGAGGGCTCTCAAGGATCGTTTTGCTATTGAATCTTGGTCAAGCATTTGAGTCAAACTTATTCAATGATAAAGAGGAGTTTCCTCAATAATGCATTAAGGTACTAAATTTGGATGTGGTTAGAGCAAGCAGTCATTGAAGTAGTCGCTACACGAAGAACTTCATCATAAAATATTGGAAACACCATAAAATATTGAAAACAAAAAGATATATTCTCATTTGTCGATCAAACATATCGTTAGCTCCTTTGAACAATATGGGTGGTAAGAATCTTATTCTCATTTCAAAATTGATTAAAATGTTTGATATGGGTTGGTAAGCAGTAAAAAGACTAAGACTACATATCATATGATGTGATTGAAGGATTGATAAAAGTAGTCTCAAAGAAGACTAGTATGAAATTCATGCATATGTATTATTTTCGACACAAGTTAATTAATTATTTATGTCTTGTGATTCACGCACTTCATGAATATTTTTTCATGCAATCCCATTTATGATCGATTGAATTTTTTCATTTATCGATCGATTGATTTTTTTCATGTGATTTCACTAATCTCGTCAATCATTCTCTATTGCATGATTAATATTTAATAAAAGATTTTTAATGGTACAAATAAAAATTATCTATCATTGTAACTAAAAAAATGAAATTTATAAAATAAGATCTTAGCACCGCTTGTTCCAAATTTGGTTTTCTAGGTCATTTCAACTCATAGAGAGCGAGGGAGGTAGCAATGGAGCAATAGCAAGTGGAAAAGAAAGAGTTGCATACGAAGAATTTTTTTTTTTGGTGACCCAAAGAATGCTATTATTCTCCCGAAGTTAGTAGGTATGACGTATTATTTCCCTTACTAGTTTATGTTTTTGGGGTGTGAAAATATTTATTTGAGTTGATACATGGGGGATCTTTGTGAACGTTGTGTTTTTATTTTGATGAAAGTGTAAGGATTAAAGTCAAACTTTTTCATCACTTTCAGTTCGAACAAAAACTGTAGACAAAGGTTTCAAGAGGAAGAACAAAGTAATAACAATGGTGGACATGCAATTACAACTTAGTTTTAAGTCTTAATTCGAAGCTCTGGACATGAAATTGTTGTACCATATGAACTCGAGTAGGCTAGTTAAAAATTTTCGTGGGCCTAATTAACAGACTCACTTTCTTTTCATCGGACTCATATAATTTCCTTAAACACGTTAACTTAGGATTTTTGTTATTTGCATCGATCAAACATATAGACTTTATTTGCTCTAAAATTAGTGTTTCACATCTTCAATTGCATGTGTAGATGATTAAATACAATTCTTAAACAATAGCTCGTGCTCGGCCCGACTATCGTTCTTAGGCCCATTACACAACACGCATGAAAAATGAGGGTTTTCTTCCATAATCATTCTTCACGACAACAAATTGAGTTGATTGCTGTTGGATTAATCATCAATTGGTTCTTGTAAGGTTTTTCAAAAGTTTGTGATGGTACCTTGGCTTAAAGATGAACATACCAATTACTTTTCACCAACAGGAAAAAAAGATACTAATATATTGGAAGAAAATATCATTGAAAAAGTGCAAACAAAGTGGTATAAATTGTAATAAATCACATTCTTTTTCATTCACACACAAAAAAAAAAGAATTAAAAAAAGAGAAATAATTCTACTTTTTAGGTAAAAAGGTAAAAAAGGCTTAAGAAAAAAGTTAAATTTTGAAAACAAAGTTCTTGTTTCTTAACAATGCACAGTAATATGAGCGACACAAAATAAATTATCTACGCTAATACTACCCTTCATCCTCCTCTACCTATATCTCTAGGTAATGAGACAAATAGGTCTTGACCAATGAAGGCTTCGGTCCCCTCGAACAGTCAGCACCAAGAAACGAAACTTGTATCACCTTACCTATCCCCCATCCCCACTCTTTCCTGTAAGAGTTGCGGATGAAAAAGTAGTTTGTCCCCCTTGTGGTGTTTTATACCTTGCAATGACAGCAACATGGAACATTGCAGTCTCGGTATCTATTTTTAACTTTTTCAAGTATTCATAGACATATGTGATTGTGATTACATCCTTCGTTCATAGTTCTTCCAAACGTTTTGCTAAATGACAATCTTTTCTTCTTTGCCTTTACATTTTCTTTTCCTTAAGATTTTACCTCTACTTCTACTTCTACTTTGCTGGGTTTATAAATTTTTATTATGTATAAGTCTTATTTCCTTTCTACTGAGCCTTCGTCATTGAAGATTCCAAGATATTAAAAAAAACACTATTAATAAGCACAAATCAATAAAAAGGGTAATCTAATAGTCAGCAAGAAAAGAAGATTGAAAAATGTCCACTTACCACGTCCATGTAGAAAATGGTCGGGTTATTTAAAAAAAAAACAACATCAGCCTGATCATATAGCCTTCTCAGCAGACCAATCTATTTCGCATTGTCAGTGTCAACACATATGAACAACAAACCACCAACTCTCGAACCATACTTTTTAGTAGATTTTTTTCATAGTACTGAATCACTCAAATAAGTCCATGTAATGGACATATTTTTTAACTTCAGACTAACACTCTTGTTTATGGTGCTCTTTCTATTGGCATACTTATTTTTGTCTCGGTTGTACTCGGTATGATTAATATGAGCTCTTCTGAATAGCACAGTCACATTTCGTCACCAGACTGTTTCAAATTATTCACCGTCTCTGTAAATGAGGTTACAGCTATAGCCCAGCATATATCTGAGGGCGCACTTACTGATGAGAATGTAGCTATAGCCCAGCAGACATCTGCAGGCACACATATTGATAAGGCCGTTTCAAATTGTTTAGCGCCTCCTTAGTAGCTGAGGCTATAGCTATTGTCCAACAAAAATTATAGGACACACTTCCTTACGAGATTATTTCATATTATTCAACGTCTCTGTAGTCGATACTATAACGACGACCCATCAAATATCTAAGGGCCAATAAATACATACAATAAGTCTACAGTTGGTACTCCACAAAAGGTCAAAAGATAAAAATTTCATATAAAACTTATTCTTATTAGCTTTATTTCTTATTGCGGTGCTGATAACTCCTTCTATCATCTTCATTGAACTATTTGGTTTTCTACTATTTATAGAAGTGTCAAAACTTACTCTCATTAGCTTGGTTTCTAATTTCCATAATCATGTCAAGTACATAAAAAACTAGAGAAAGCATTTAAATGGATAAACAACATACACAAGAGTGTTAGTTTTGGGTTGAAGAGAATGTTCATTGCATGGACATATGTGAAGGATTCAAGACTCTCATAAGAAGAAAATTATTGATATGTAGTTGAGGAAGAGTTTAATGAATCTATTATGTAGGAAAATATACTCGAAAAATAAGGCATGAGTTGGTGACTTGCTGTGCATCAGTGATTGTGTTGAAATTGATCTGCTAACCAGCATATCGTTGGTATTTTTGACACAACCAGAGCATTTGCAACATGGGACAAGGTAAGTGAATTTCTTTTCAATCCTTGTCTTTGTTGACTACTAGATTAACCTTTGTTATTTTTGTTTATTTGTGCTTATGAATGATGTTTTTGAATAGGTTGAATCTTCAATGGTGAAGGATCAATAGAAAGGAAATCAGACTTGAACATACTGACCATTTATAAACCCAGTGAGACAGAAGGAGAAGCAAAATGTAAAGAAAAAGGCAAAGAAGACAAGGTTGTCATCCAAGCATTATGCTTGGAGGAACTATGGATGAAGGATCTAACCACAATTACATATGTCGAGGAATACTTGGAAAGTTGAAAATCGTTACCGAAACTACAATCTATCATGCTGCAATGATTTCAAGGCACAAAACATTACAAGGGAGGACAAACTACTTTTTATCTGCAAATTTACGGGAAACAATGAGTGATTAAGGGGATATGTGTGGCTAGAGGTTACAATGGATGGATCCATGGATTGGCAGATCTATGGATCCAAGGATTGAATCATACAGATTGGTGGATTCATCCACGAATCAAAATGACATCCAGCCTTTTGACTAATATGTAAATTTCAAAAAGTTTAGGTACTAAAATATCATAATAATAAAAAATAGGTACCAAATTTTCATATAAAAAGAAAATAAGCTTTTAGGAACCAAATTGTGAAGTATAAAAAATATATGTATTAAATTGTAATTTGCCAATGATACATGAATCCACCAATATAATTGGATTTGGATTAGATGAATTAGATGAGTTGATATTTTAGTGGATGTATTGGATTGGTGAAGACCTATTTGTATCTATATTTAGATCGAGGTAGAGGTAAAGGAAGAGGTAGAGGAGGAGAAGTAGTATTACTCTAGAGAATTTTTGTGTTGCTCACATTAAGAACTTTGTTTTCAAAACTGAATTGTTTCTCCTTAGGTCTCTTTTACCTTCTTACATAAAAATTCGAATATTTTCTACTTTCTTTTCTTTTTCGTGTATGAATGAAAAGAGAAGTCGGGTTATTACAATTTATACCAGCTTGTTTGCGCTTTTTCGATGATCTTTCCTTTTTAGTGATTAGTATACTTTTTTTGTTTGTTGGTGAAACATGGTCAGTATGTATATCTTTAAGCCAAGGAACCGAGGTAGGCGGACTTTTGTCAATCTTCTTTTCTTTGCTAACTACTATATTAATCTTTGTTTTTTTTTTGTTGATTTATGCTTATGAATCGTGTTTTTGAATATTTTTGAAATTTTCAATGGCAAAGGCTCGGTAAAAAGGAAATCAGACTTGGGCATACTTAAGATTCATAAACCCGGCGAGGCAAAGCTAGAGACAAAATGTAAAGAAAAGAAAAATACAATGAAGAGAAAGTTGTCATCCAAGCAAATGCTTGGAATAACTACATATGAATAATGTAACTATAGTAACTGATGTCGAGGAATACTTCAAATAGATAAAAATCAATATGAAGACTGCAATGTGTCATGTTGCAATCATTGTATGGTACAAAACATCACTAGGGGGCAAAGTACTTTTTTTATCCGTAACTCTAACAGAAAGAGTGGAGGGTTGAGGAGATATATAAGAAAATGAAGGCTTCATTCCTTGGTGCTAATGGTTCTGGGGTGATTGAAGCCTTCATTGGTCAATGCTTATTCATATCCATATCCATATCTAAAAGAATCCAGACTTGGACACACTACAGTGAAATCCATGTATTGCTGCATCAATTCCAACATGTTTCCTGGGTGAGATGGGCTTCCCTTATAAAGTGTGATTTGGAGGTCTCAAGTCCCATCGAACGTTGTTGCTTTCCTCTGGTTGGTTATTCACAAAAAGTTCCTTACTCACGACAACCTCAAGAGAAGAAGCTGGAGTATTGCAAGCATATGTGTGTTGTGTAATAGAGCAGAAGAGTCGGTTGATCATTTATCTGCAGATGTGAGTTTAGCAAGCAAATTTGGGCGACGATGCAATCTATCTTGGATGTGATGGGTCCATTTTCGGGCACTATTGATGCAGTAATTAGAGGATGGTCTATTAACAAGCAGGTTACTTCAAAAGATTGGTTCAAGAACAGGCTGGTTCTTGCCGTTACTTGGGAAAATTGAAAGGAAATAAATGCTAGAAGCTTCACGGACGATTGGAGATCATGGAAAGTAATTCCTTATAAGATCGGGAGGACTCTTCTCAATTGGAGTACAACTCATGGAGTTATTAGCCTGCAGAATGGAACAGTGTGGCCTGATCTAATTAATCAAGTGCGTTGGAATGTTTTTGTTTGTACTTTTGATCTGATTAGTTGAGGTTGTGGGAGTGTCTGTTCTCCCTGTGATTTTCACTTCTTGGAAGGTTGTTGCTTTCTTTTCTTTCTTTTTCTTGGTATTTTCTGATATGGGTCATCCCCTTTCAGACTTGGATCACTCCTGACGATCTTTGGCTGTGGGAGATGATGTTTGTATTTTTTTTCTCGATCTATTTCAAAAATTTATCCTTATATAAAAATATAAGTTTCACGACATTCAATACTTTTGACCATTGTATTAAAACAACCTAGGAAACAATGATTATTAACTTTCACTTATCTTACAGTAGTTAATACTTGTAAGTTGTGACCACCGTATTAAAGTACCCTAGAGAATAATGATTATCAAGTACCGTTTGAACTTTTAACCACGGCACCGTTAACCATGATTTTCTTACCGTAGTTAATATCTGTTTTCTTAATAGACACCTTGGCTTTGGATGCATGTTATATCATTGAGCGAAATTTATACCTCACCATTTTGAAATACATTTGTATTTTTTCGTCTCATTCCATTTTGTTAAAAAAAAAAAAAATCCATACAATAAACATTGTTGAACTACTTCTATTTATCAGCCTAAGGAATCCCGAAACACCACCATCAACTTACAAATCTGCAACTATCGTGGAGAAAAACAACTAGCAAACTCTCGCCAATGTCAACAAGTTCATCCATATACAATGACATCATTCTACCAAACCGCGACAAATTAAATTGCATAGGAATGGTTGGGCAGGTCCGGGGGTTCTTGGTAACAGACCCGTCTCGTGGCAGGTCGGGTAATTTACCACGGGTCGTAGGTCGGGGCAGGTCGATCCAATGGGTATGCAATTTATATGAAAAACATTAGAAATATTCGTTATTTTTATTATAAGACCAAGAAAACAAACAATATTATGATAAATGTAGTTAAATTATTAGAGAAATTGAGATTTTCACTAATTTACAACTTTATTATATCTAAATTATCATGTAATAAATGAAAAATTCTAAGTAATTTAACTAAGATTACATGTAATTTAGGCATGAACGGGTCGAGAATGGGGCGGGTCAGGACAGGTCGATGAGAGTACCCATGCCCGCCCTGCTCCGCCTACGGGGCGGGTCAGACCCGCCCAAAACAGGTCGGGTAAAACGGGTCAGGTCAAAATTGTCATCCCTAAAATTGCATATACAATTCTGTGCACTTTGAATCAGTGGATTTTCAAAATTCAAAGGACATCTGCCTACCATTGTGATGGATCTCTTAGACACCACCTTATATATCCATGTCATTGCACTATCTCTAAAAATGCGTTGGTCGCATTCGAGCCAAATGCAGAAAGACTACTCGTGAACAGTGGCGGAGCCACTTGGAGAGGAAGGGGGTGCTAGCACCCCCTTGGGTTTGGAGAAAAAATTTCCGAGTAGGGGTATATACAAATTCGAACCAATGACCATTCAGTTGCAGGAAGAATTTTTTATCATTTCGATCGAGTGAGTTTTGTTATGCAATGCACTTTCGTCTTTATTTATAGTAATAAATTGTTGTCTTTTGTTTAAACTCGCTCATTTTTTTAGCTCTACAACAGAGAAATTTCTTGTCTTTTGTTTAAACAAAGTTGAAAGTGAAGAAGTACCAATTGAAGTTCACTTGTTTGTTTCACAAAATCAATTCCAAGGTACTTCTGAGTTCTAATTTGTAATATTTGATGAATGGAAGTCTTGATTTGTATGTACTGAACTTATTTGTTTGACGTTGTAACCGGTGTACGTGAAACTATTTTAATGTAATTGTATGAATTTGGAGTATTGCGTTGTTGACTTTTTGTTTAATTTAAAGTTGACTTTTCTATTGTATAGGTGATTTTTTATGATATGATAAAGACACCCCTTGGCCAATTTTCTGACTCCGCCACTGCTCGTGAACACCCGCCAGGCAACTACTGCTACATACATTTCTATTAGTTTTAGGCTTTCGAGAAAAAAAAAGACTTTGAGTATCGACTGATGGAAAAAATTCATGCACAAGATAGTCACGTACTTCTCAGTTCTTCATGGGAGTCCTTGAAGACCAAAACTTCTTTCTCCACCAGTAACAGGAAACCACAACTCTCTAAGGAAGTTGTCGGAGGTGGCGGTTTTCTAAGTGAAGTGAGGAAGAGGGAAGTTAAAAGAAGAATGTTCAGGATAGGTGGATTATGATTTTTCTTATTAGAAATCGCTGCTAAAATATTGATGTTAGAGTAGTCAAAGAGTAAAGGAAATACCACATTGGTGGGAGAAAGAAAGTGCAAGTTGTTTTTAAGTTTGCTTTCCACTTTAGTTATTGGATAAAGTGGTTAGTGGGCTTTTGGAAAAAGTGTGGGCTATTTAATTGGACATATTAAATCGCACTTAGCACTTAGCACGTTTGCGCGACGCATTCGGATTTGAATTTTTGGCTAATTAATTACCGGAATTATTTTAATTAATTAATCCGGATAATTATTTGATTTTGAGTTTTGTGAAACGACGTTTTTGTTCCAACGTTCATCTTCTTCTCTCCGTTTTCCTTCTCCAAAAACACAGAAGTCAGAAAGGTTGCTGCTTTCAGACTTTGGTTGAAGGGACTCCTGGGGGTGGTTTGCCTAATTCCTACCAGCAACAAAGTAGTGGGGACAAATAACACTCTAAGGAGAGTGATTAATCACGCCTTCAATCGTTCTCTTCCATACGGTTTCCCTGACAATTGATTATAAAAATAATCGATGGAGTGGCGAAAGATTTGTGATCAGGGAAATGTAACTCTATCCTGACCAATTTCGTCGAGAAAACAACGTCATACTCATAGTGAAGACAAAACAGAGAAAAAGTTGAAACTTGAAACACATGTTGGAGTTATCTGCGACAGAATCAAGGAAATTGCTTTCACAACTTTGAGTCAGCCGAGTTCGTGTCTTCACTTCAAAGTTTCACTTCCAACATGACGTAGTTCAATTTTTGGACATCGTACTAAATCCTCGCGAGAACCCTAAAACAGTACATTTAGCTTATGAATCTCCAGCTATCGCAAATGAACCGACACATAGTTATCACAACTGTATTTCAGCGTTTCACATGGCCCATAGACTACAACTTCAGAACCCTTCCAACAAAGAGTGATATAAACTTAGAGGCCGTTTGCTATTGGGATTTTTATGAAGAATTTTGGGTTAAAAACCCACACTTATGGGATTATGGACAAAGTCCATGTTTGTTGCAAAAATTGTGTTGGATTAGTTCTTGTGGGACCCATGCATAAGGGATTATAGTGGGATTAAAATCCGTGGGGTCCACAGATTATAAAATCCTACTTTTTTAACTGGAATTTCGAGGAGAGCCACAATCCATGAAAACAAATGACAAAAGTAACCTTATATATTTCCAATATTCCGATGTTGTCCTCATTATTATTTGTAGGGTTTGGAAGTCATTAATGTATGTAAGATGATGCAAATTTATGTTGTAAATAGTTGCTGCAACTTACAACGTTGTAGTCAATAAGGACAAAATTGTAAATTCAACCTTTAACTAATCAATTCCAAGGACATAAATCCAATACAAAATCCAACAAGTAAACAAGCACTTTTGCAAATCCAAAACAAATACAAAATGACAAAATCTCACATAATCTTTCTATGATAAAATCCATACTTTTACACAAATCCTTAATTTTTCAGAATCCTACAAGCAAACGACCTCCTAGTTTCTATCGGGTTTGGGATTATCTATTATGCTTATGGTCTTTTGTTATTGTTGAATTATTTTAGTACTTTTTGGAGGATTTTGGGGGATATTTGGTATTTTTGTAATAGGGGTTAATTACGGGTAGTTTAAGAAAATTTGTTAATCTTATATATTCTATAATTATGAGTTGAGTACACAAAAAAATAAAAAATACAGAAGAATTATTTTTTAACTGTAATCTTCTATTTCCCGTAGCAGTCGAATTCTCCCTTCTCTTGACCGACCCTTCTTTCCTGCGTTTCTTCAAACCCTCTCCCTAATGATTATATCATTCTCAAATCCTTGTTCTCTCCTCCCCCAATTTTTTTTCTAAGTTACCCATCCCAATTAGTGATGCTCCACTGTGCTAACATCAGCTTTCAGGCATCATGTTCAATGGGAGGAGGGCGGCGCTGCTTTGGCGTTGTGCGCTCGTCGAAGGGCCGAGTGGGCTCCAACAAATCTGTAAAAGGGAGTCACCTCTTTCATTAGGAAACAAACTGATTGCAACGTGTATAAGCTTTCGTAAGTAGAGAGACCAACGTACGTACTGTTCCCATGGCTGTCCTTGAAGACCAAAACTTCCTTGTACGCCTTTCTCCACCAGCAACAGGAAACCACAACTCTGTAACTCTTCTCAAAAGCACTAATGTCACTCCCCTCGGATTTCCGTTTCCGCTTACCAACATTGCAGCAACGAAGAATCATATAGATTGCCCTGTTAATAACACCTTCAACAGAGACATTCTCAATCTCACGGAGCTCCATCTCAGTGCCCTGGAAACGCAGATATATACAACACAAGAAAAGACAAACACCCATGTCATGAACGATGAATAATCAGTTCTCTCGAAATCAAAATATTCCCAACAAATCATGGATTTTGCTGTACCCGCTCTTCATTAAATGTCTCGACCGCGAACTTGGCGCAGTCTTCAACGGTCTCATCAAAGCCCGGCTCGCATTTAAAATGGTATCGAGCGTGTGGTTGCGCACCGACGTTCATATAATCTGGAGGGCAATCAGCATAAAAACGCTGCACGTGGATTACGTCAATCGAAGAACAAATTAGTTGGGAAAACAACGGAATAAACTTTGGCAGAAGAAATCAATTAAGTGACAATTAAGAATTTTGGATTTTGGGAACTTACACCATTCACCCTCAAGTTCCTCCTGTAGTGGATCATCCGTAGCTTTAGCGTGTTATCGCCACCAAAATCTTCGCCCTTGTAAATGTAATCCGCGTCGTCGTACTCTTCTTTCATCTCCGTCTTGGCCATTTTCCGGCAGCTGTCGCAGTAGGTGCCTTCATAATAGGTCAATTCTGGGAATTCGTCATCGCCGAAGGAATCCATGGATGACCGGTGGATGAATCACGCCCCACAGTCGACGGCTCGCCTACTGATCTTCTCTTCTAGGGATTTCGATTTTGATTTTTGGGGAGGAACTGAGGAAGGAATGACATGATCGTCTTTGTATAAGTTATGGACTGTGGTAATTCCAAGTCTGGGCCATCATTAGAGATCAGTTTTGAGTCCATTGGGCTTTTTTCTCACCGTAACAAGAATATCCAACTTTTGCTTCAATTTTTTTCCATTTTCATAGACAGTTTAGAAGTTAGAAGTGACAAAAGTTAGCTTTAACCGGTCGCGACCGTCGACCGTCGACAAATAGTCAAACTGCTAATGAGAGGTTGTGGTTCACCACTAAATGGGCTAGCCTATTAAGGTGACGCGGAATAAAAGTACAAGCAAAATTAATGTCCAAAAGACAAAAAAAAAAAAAAAAAGAGTTTGTAGAACTTCCTCAAATAGAGCGACTCCCAATGCATGTTTTGTGGCCAGTGCTGCCAGAGTTGAACAAGAAATTGACAGTCACCCACAAAAATTAACCACATAAAAACCATGAGTTAGGCACCATCGAATATCATATGACAGTGAGCTAGAAGTTCTATGAGGAAAGGGTTTGTCATATCTGGATAGTATTTGCCAAATGCAAATAGAATAGTACTAGAAGAAGAGAAGCCTACAAATTCAATTCCTCCTCCTAGAGCTGGCCGCCTAGCTCCATCAAAGCAAACAAGAATGCCCTTTTGAGGGACAACAACCATCTTGGTGTTCTTGATGTCTACGACAAACACCCGCGGGAGGTGGAGCAGCAAGAGCCTGCCCACGCTCTAACTCGAGTGGGGAAAAGCATGCCGTCTTTCATCAACTTGAGCTTCCAATTGGTGACGTAGAGGCGGGGGCTAAATAAAGAATATGCTAATGTGTGACCTAATATCGCACCTTTCAAATACCCCAATACAAAAAGAAACAGGCAAGCAATATATGTCTGGAAGCACCAATAGATAATAACTTCTGTCAATATACCTCCCCATTATTACGATTCTTATCCTTCTCTACAGCAAACACACTGATTGGTCCACTCTTACTCCTTTTTCGTGGAAGCTACATGACATTTTGCATCATTGCACATTAATTCAAACTACCATTCCTTGCTGCAATTTATGGCTTGGGATAATATCACTTCAGTAATAATACAAATTTACATGAAATGAAAGAAATGATCATTATAATAGTCTTGTAATATTTAGAGTACCAATGGCGATTCCTCTCTTCTCCTCTGTGGCTTCTGCAATAAAATGAGATTGATGACTATCTCTACCAACGTATTTTATACGATCATTGTATGACCTTTTGTATAAACCATTTCTGTCTCACCCATTTTCGCATCACAACTCCAAGAGCTAACTTGTTGGGGTTATCTTCTAGGTAAGCAACTTGTATCAACATCATGCATGAAAACAAAAATTGCTTTGGTTGAGATACTATAAGGATCTTGTGATGCGCTGAAGAAGGCTAAACCGTTTCCCAAACATTGTCAACCCCCAATCAATTTGATGTAAGTCATTGCTCTCTTACCATCTAAATTAAATAGGAAGCTCAGGTTGACCTCTTTTATAGCTTCACTTGACAATTTCTTAGAGGAGATAAAATCACGATTCACAATTCTAGAACAAACCACCTCAGATAATACAATCTTATGGAAACAAGACAACACTAATGAAGCACCCAAATTACAATTCCGTACATATTTCCTATGAGGGTGTGCATGTGCAAATTAAGAAAAATATAATGATTAAGGAGAGAGCTTACTTGGCACCCGACTTTGAGGAGCAAAAATCCCTTCAATAAATTCCAGGTGGAGATGTCCAATCGATCGGGTCTAGACATGCGTATATATCAACATGCTATACTAAAAACACAAAGAGTTCGGTTTGTCCTTCCCATGACAACATATTCTCACAATGTATTTATTCCATGCAGAGAGAATGATATCAAACCATCTTCTATCTGCTCCAATTATGGTTATCACTCGTATTTTTTATATTGTAGTAATTAAAACACCACTTTTAAATCTAGAAGCAAGTGACACTGTCACAAAACATCATATTGTAATAACTTATATGCAATCATGATGTTATTCCACTCAAAAGAAACCATGTTTTATATGATGAAGATTAGCATTATAGCTTGAATAGTTTAATTTGGAAATGATCTCAACTCTTACATATAAATTTTGTGTAAAAGTGGTATGATTGAAGCTATTCCCTATGTTAACACTAATAAGAATAGTCATTGTTTACTGAAAACTAACCACATAAAACATTTCAAATTGGAAAAATGATGATACTAAACAGGGGTATCATAACAAAAGCAACAAAAAGTATAGCTATTTATCTTTAATCATCTCAAAAGTCAACCTAGAAGATCAACCATATGAACTGATGTTAAGAGATCACACATTACTCTCAAAGAAACTAAATAACCCATCATTCAGCTCTCCAAGCAAGAAGACTCAACCTTTCGATATTTACCCCTCCGAAAATCGCTTTGCGCAAAGTGGCTTTTGGCAACACTTCAAATGTGTTGCAAGAAGTGCCTAAAGTGTTGCCTATACAATATGCAACATTTTTAGTAGTGTCCTCTATAGGTGGTGTTGTATAAAGTAATATGCAACATTTCTTTTAATTTTTGCAACAACAAAAATATGTGTTGCATATGGATACCCATATGCAACACCACTTTGGGCAACACTTTTTTTACTAGTATAACATACACGTATATGCTTTATTTGTGACCGATTTTTTCATCTCATAAAACATATTCAATCGTGACAACTTTAACTTGTAACAAATATTATACACTTACGACAAGCTATTCCTGTCACTAAATGTATTTTAACGCTCGCCGATTTAGGTTGTCACACATGAGTCACACTTCTGACGATTTTTTTGTGATAAAAGGAGGTTTTGGTAACAGTGTTATTGACACAAATTTAAATTTTTGTGACAAAGTTATTATTTCTATTGCAACAACATTGGTCACTATTTATTTGTTAGTCGAATATTAACTAAACAGTATTATACACTTATGACAAGCTATTCCTGTCACTAAATGTATTTTAAGGTCACCGATTTAGGTTGTCACAAATGAGTCACACTTCTGACGATTTTTTTGTGATAAAAGGAGGTTTTCGTAATAGTGTTATTGACACAAATTCAATTTTTTGTGACAAAGTTATTATTTCTATTGCAACAACATTGGTCACTATTTATTTGTTAGTCGAATTATATTTTAACTAATGGGGTCTTTTTCAAGAAAGAACACATTTGTGACTACTATTTTTTTATATCACATACGACAATATTCTTGACAAGTATAAAAGATAAATAAAAGATAACTTATGAAAATAAAAAATAAATATTTTGACGAACATCAATCTCTTCAAGAATATTAACTAAACAGTATTAAACAAAAAAAAAAACTATCTGAATCTCTTTAGATAAATTGGGAACTCCTTAGAATTCTTTCAAACGGTAACACTTCTCTTCTTCGCTTCCTTAAGGCGTACTTGGGGAGCGTCAATTATCAGTTGTTTATTTCCATGCCGTCTTCATTGCTACTCAACTAAAACTGCAAGAACCTTTTAATGGAACCCTACTTGCAACTCCCTCTGCCCTTAATTTGTTTCTTGACATGAATACCTCGCCAGAATTACTTCGAACTTGTAAATCACAATGATGGGAAAGCCCCAAAATAGAGAACTGAAAAAGAAGATAACCAGTTAACAAGGAAATACAAATGTCAATGGTTGTTTCTTAGTTTCTCAAGAAACTGGAGATTTTGTTTCATAAAATATAGAAATATTCAGAAAAAATGAATAGAAGGGAGAGGAAAATGTAGGGTCGAGTAGCATCGACGTGTAAGGAACAAGAAAAAAAAAAGAGGATCTCGTGCTGATTTACCAAAAATGTTCAGTGAAACTGGTTATGCATCTGGATCGAGACTTCGTAGAAGCGGCCAAGATTGGGAATCATGAGAGAAGGCGAAGCCGGACAGAGACGGAGGGAGGAGATTATGAATTTGAAGGGCTTTTCCTCGTTGAAAGCATAAGATGATATTTGAGAGAAAAATCCGGGATTAACTATTAATTAGTTTCCTTCTGTAAATATATTAGTCTAAGAGGGAATTGTGTGATTATCCTTCCTGCATATATGATTTTCCGTGTACAGCTAATTAATACCCATTTTTCACAACGTAACTAAATCCATTTGTTTACTTATCTTTTACATAAACAACCTTTTATTGACATATAATAGTTTAAAAACAATGCTTACAATAGTCTTAATATTTTATGCATCAAACACCAAAAATATTTTATACATTAAGAAAATAAGTGTAACTTAATCAAACCAAAGAGCTTTTATATCTACTTGGAAGGAATAATTAAGTAATCCAATTATAACTTTGTGATGGGAATTTGCTCATAAAATTAAGTTTTTTGTGACATAGTTGTGTCACGATATCATATTTTGCGATAAAGTTCTCATTGCACTGTTTATACCTAGCTCATAGTATGTGGAACCCTTAGGTTATGTTTTTTTTGTGTTGTCTCGCGTCTAAGCGTGCCCGAGCATAAGACAATGTATGCCTTTTTGAACCATGATAATTTGTAAACTTTTCTAATTAAGTGTTGCATAAAATGTAAGAATAGACAACACATTTTATTTTATTTCACAAGTGTTGCATATTATAAGAGATGTGCAACAAAATAATAAGTGTTGCTAATTTGTGTTGCATAAGATACATATTAAGCAACACATGATAACAGTGTTGCATATTTTTATTTTATGCAACACGTCTAAAAAGTGTTGCGAGACAAGTGTTGCCAAAAGTCACTTTTCCCGTAGTGTGCATAACAGTATAGGTGGGGAAGGTTAGGTGATTGTCGAGTCCGATTTAAAGGTTTGGAGAGACGACAATGGTTGAGCGTTTAGTAGGTCGGAGCCCGTGACACTGTTTATCTTTAATCAACTCAAAAGTCAACCTAGAAGATCAACCAAATGAACTGATGTTAAGAGATCACTCATTACTGTCAAAGAAGCTAAACAATCCACCAGTCAGCTCTCCAAGAACACTCAAACTTTCCATATTTAGGTTGAGGAGGTCAGGAGGTTGTCGAGTCCGGTGGGAAGGTTTGGAGAGACGGCGATGGTTGAGCGTTTAGTAGGCCGGGACACCATTTTGACCCATTTACATTAGTTGCGTCTTTTCAATCCACATTCGACAAACCAGCATCACTCAACCTTTCCATATTTAACCATCTTTTAAAGACACATGTGCCCCATATTCAATCAAAACTTTTATGTTCAAAAATATTGTTGCTTTATGGTAGTTATATTATTTAAGTTTATGTCAAGATTTTTGCATCGCTTCTACACATTCAATACTGCAATTCGATGTGCAATATTTGCACCAATGACATTAGGCTTGCGATTTTAAAATTATTATCCTTTTATAAGATAAATAGAAATAGAAATAATTATTAAATTTGAATTAAAATAATCAAAGTATGAGAATAGAAGTATCAAATACCAAAAATATATTTAGGGTAGAGTTAGTGGCTTAGCTAACTATGACGAAAAATTCCTATGATTTTTCAGATTTATACTTTCTGTATGTTTTTAATTTAAAAAGTTTAAACAAATTTTTTTAGTGTAACTGATTATGTTTCTTGTCTTTTCTCAAAGAGATCACGATTCAAATCCCATCACCAATGTATTTTTCCTGTAAATAAGAAAATAAGAAATGAGTGTGAAGACGAATCTACCCTTCCTAATTTTGCTATGGATGCAAGGATTTTCTAATGGGGGACACACCTTTCCCATTTCACTATTATATTAGGTTTAGCGAGAGTAACCCGGGTGGTTGAGCTTTTAGTGGATCAGATACTATTTGGGCCCGTTTACATTAGTAACGCCTTTTCCATCCGCGTCGGGCAAACCAACAACACTCAATCTTTCCATATTTACCCATCTAAATTGCTCTAGCGTAACAATAGAGGCAGAGGAGGTTAGCCGGCTGTTGAGTCTGACGGAAAGTTTGGAGAGACGACGATGGTTGAGCGTTTAGTGGGTCGGGGCACTAATTGGGCTCTTTTACATTAGTAGTGTCTTTTCCATCCGCGTTCGGCAAACCAACATCACTTAACCTTTCCATATTCACCCCTCTCTTAAAGACACATGTGTCCCATATTCACTCAAAGTTTTGTGTTTAAAAATATTGTTACTTTATGGAAGTTATAACAATTAAGTTTATGTTAAGAATTTTACATTGCTTCTAGACAAACAAGAGTGCAATTCGGTATGCAATATTTGAATCAATGACATTTCGGTTGCTAACCATGGTGGAAAAGTCCTATGATTTTTTAGATTTAAGCTTCCTGTATGTTTTTTATTGGAAAAGGTCACATAAATGTGTTTATTGTAACTGATTATGTTTCTTATCTTTGTTCGAGGAGACCACGGTTTAAATCTCATTAATGATGTATTTTTTCTGTAAATAAGAAGTTAATAAATAACTATGAAGACGAATCTACCCTTCCTACTTTCACCCTCGATGCAGGAAATTTAAAATGAAACTTCAAGTTTTCTCATTTGACTTTTATTTATTGTGTAGACTGTAGATTAGTAAGAGGAAACCACAACTCTGTAAGAAAACAAGGAAGTTGCTGGAGGTGATGGTTTTCTATGTGAAGTGAGAAAGAGGGGAAGTTAAAAGAAGAATTTTCAGGATATGTGGATATGATTTTTCTAATAAGAAATCACTGCAACAAAATCAATTTGTAAATAATCAATGGAGTGGAAAACGATTTGCGATTAGGGAAATATAATTCTATCATGACCAATTTCGCTGAGAAGACAACAACATATTCATAGCGTAAAGAGTCCAGCTTTTCAGCTCACAATGATGTCTCCTGCAAATCGCTAAAAATAGCAGTGATTCCACCAAAAAAGAAATGTTTGTTGGACTTATTACAAAGTAAAATTGTTGTGTACCCCAACATTGATATGGTGAAAATTGAATTCGGATTCGGTAGGCAGTAACATTGTGGGTCTCTTCATCAATTCGATGGAGAAATCGTTGGGGACTATAGTGATTTAGCAAAAGACCATATTACCAAAATGATCTAAGAGCAGGAGCTTGGATGGGACTCTTTCTTAGGGCTTGAAAGCTTCAGTGATGTTGGTAATTTTATTGAAAATGGACGCATATTGAAGAAATTTTTTTTTCCTCTGAACCCTTTCTAAAACAGAATTTTTCTCGAAACTAAAAAAAAATTAATTTAATTTCAAGACAAAATTGAGAAAAAGTTGAAAAACATGTTGGAGTTGTATGCAATAGATTCAGGGAAATTAATTTCTTTCACTTCTTTGAGCCAACCGAGTTGGTGTCTTAACTTCAAGGTTCCACTTACGACAAACATATTTCAATTTTCGGACATCGTACCCCATCCTCTCGAGAACCCTAAAACAATACGTTCAGCTTATGAATCTCCAATTATCATAAATGAACATACAAATAGTGATATTTCAACAGTTCACATAGTCCTAAAGAGTACAATTTCGAAACCTGCAAACAAACAGTAATAGAAACCTAAGTTTCTATCGAGTTCTAGATTATTTATTATGTTTTTAGTCTTTTTGTTCTTGCTGTATTATTTAAGTATAATTTGAAGGATTTTGAGTGTTATTTGGTATTTTAGTAATAGTTGTTAATTATGGGGTAGTTTAAGAAAGTTTTATTTGGTATTTTAGTAATATTTGAAGGACAATCCAAGAAGGAGCTGTTTGAGGGAATATTGGACAGGATAAGAAAGAAACTGAAGGGGTGGAAAGAAAAAATCTTGTCGGCGGCAGCTAGGGAGGTTTTAATTAAATCGGTTGTCCAGGCGCAACTCACTTATGATATGTCTGTTTTTGAAGTCCCGGATGGAGTCATTAACGAAGTCCACAACCTCATTACAAATTTTTGGTGGGGGCAGAGAGGAAAAGAAAGACGGGCACACTGGGTACGGAGGGAGGAGCTAACGGTCCGTAAGGAAGAAGGAGGACTTGGCTTTCGGGATCTAAGGGGTTTTAACAAGGCTCTTCTTGCAAAACAATTATGGAACTTGTTGCCCGGAATCCCTTATTGCAAGAATCTTGAAGGCTAAGTATTATAGGCGAACGTCTATACTGGATGCCAGATTTGGGTACAATCCGAGCTTTATTTAGTGAAGTTTGATGTCAGCTCATGAGATGTTATGTAGTGGGTTGAGATGGCGTGTGGGGGATGGTAGGGCGGTAAGAATATGGGGCGATAAGTGGATACCCTCGACCCCTAACTATTTCCTTTCCTCCCCTCCTGTTAGCCTACCTGTCGATGCCCTAGTATGTGAACTAATAGACGAGGAGACGGGGAGCTGGGATACAACAATGCTGGCCAGTTGCTCTCCCGCTGAGATGGAGGAGGCAATACGGCGAATTCCGCTTCGGGGGATGGGGGAAACAGACACGCTAATTTGGAATGGTAATACTTCTGGAGTCTATTCGGTGAAGGATGGGTATGCTCATTGGTACAAAGATTACATGCTAAATGCAGGCCTATCATCATATGGCGAAGCAAAGGTGTGGAAACGACTATGGGGATTACAAGTTCAGCCAAATGTCAAACAATTCCTATGGCGTTTCGCGCGGGAAGCTTTGCCAACAGGTGACCATGTTAGCTCCAAAAGTAAGAGATGGGGTGATAAATGCCCATATTGTAATCTCCGGGAAACACAGAGTCATCGTTTTGGTGAATGTGCATGGAGTGTTCGAATATGGAGTGCATCGTAGGTTAAATGTTGCTTTGATATGCGTCCATTGGGGGGATGCTATGAATGGCTGTCTGAGGTTATGGATAAAGTAGAAGAATCGATTTTGGAGAAGTGGGTGGTATTGCTGTGGTTTCTCTGGAAGGAGCGCAATGCGCATATGTTCAATGGAATCAAGCTTGAGGAGAGCGAAATTGCGCAGAAGGCTCTTTTTTTCCTGGAGGACTACAAGCAGCACCAAGAGGTTGAGGAATTGCCAGGGATGCAGCCAAGTCAAGCAAATTGGAAGAGGCCCCCGATGGGACACTTCTCGGTCTCCACTGATGCTGCAATTTTCCCCATTGGTGGAGCGGGTCTTGGCGTGGTGATACGAGATAGTGGCGGCCATTTCATTTTAGCTGCTGCAAAGCGAATTCGCGGCCAATGGAATCCGGAGGAGGCAGAGACTCTTGCGGCGGTAATGGGGTTGTAACTGGCGACTAATATGCAGCTGTCAATCCCTATCATAGAGAGCGACTGCCTCTCCTTGATACAGAAGCTGAATAGTCATGCTCGTATTGAGACGGAAAGTGGAGTAGTGATCAGAAACATAAAGAGAATGATGATGGACCTCGGAGATGGAAGCTATAAGCACATTAAGCGCGAAGCCAATGGGGCAGCTCATTTGATGGCGCATTCTATGACGGTTTGGGAAGAACGTCTGGTTTGGATAGACAGCCCTCCAGCTTTTATTGCTGACAAGCTGAAACTTGATGATGTGAACAGTAACCTTGAGTAATAATATTCACAGGTTTCCCGTAAAAAAAAAAAAGTTTATTAGCCTTATATATATATTATGTAATTATAAGTTGGATTCATTAAAAGAATACATGAGAATTATTCCCTAAACTTAGCCTCAAATTTTACCCCTAATAGCCGAATTTCTTGTTTTTTTTCCCCCAAATCCTTCACAATTCTATCCTTCTCCCAACCCAAATCTCTTCTCAGTTATCTATCCAAATTAGTGTGATGCTCCATGGTGCTAACATCAACTTAAGGCATCATGTTCAATTGGAGGATGGCGGCGCTTCTTTGTCTTTGTGCGCTCATTGAAGGACCGATTGGGCACCAACAAATCTGTAAAGGGAGTACATTACCTTTCGTAGGAAACAAAATGATAACATTATTGCGCATTGAGTAGGTCCCCAAGCAACCAGGTTTGATGGAACGCACAACAAGTTCATCCATGTACAATGACAACTTTCAATTTTAACCATGCAATTCATGGTTTAAGATTTTGTAAGTAGAGAGGTAATCAGGCACAACGTACTGTTCCCATGGTTTTCCTTGAAGACCGAAACTTTTTTTGTTTGCCTTTCTCCACCAGCAACAGGAAACCACAACTCTGTAAGTCTTCTCAATTCCATCACTCTCCTCGGAGCTCCTTTTCTGTTTACCATCGTGACCACGAACCAGGTGGACTTTATATTTTCCCTCCTCCGAACCCCCAAACAAACCACCTTCCTTTATTATTAATCTCATCACAAATAGCAGCAGCCAATAGGTAATAAGGTTCTTTGCATTGCAGATGTGGAAAATGCATTAAGCAATGAGGTGGCAATGGTAACTATATATACCGGCTAACTACAAGGTCTTAGCTTTCCATGCATTAAGCTTCTTATCCAAAAATTTCAGGATGTACTTGTAGGTCTCCTGAGTCATATTGCCATAGAGGACAAGCATCCCTAAATATTTACTAGGTTAGTAGTAGCCTGAGATACTTAGCGTATCATAAATGTACTTTCTTTTCCTAATCTAAAACTTTTGGAGAGGAAAACCCTAGACTTATCTTTGCTAATAAGTTCTCCGAAAGCAACACAAAATTTCTCCAAACAATCAACAACAATATCAACTTGTTTAGAGTTGGCTTCAGAAAACAACATGTCAATATAAAAAAATAGATGAGTCAATATTGGTCCCCCAACGCAGAGTCTAATCAAATTCCATTTACCATTCTCTACATCTTTCTTAATGCACTCGGTCTTTCAATGCCCAAAGTAAAGAAATAGCTTGAGAAAGCACATCCCTTATGTAATCCTTTACTTGAAGTGCACTATAAAATGATGCATATGTTCGGTATATTGGCACTCGTCAGGGTCTCTTCCATGAAGTCCCAGACAATTTTGTTGTATGCCTTTGCAATATCAACTTTGAGCAGCATGTACCCTTTCTTGCCTAGTTTGCTCGGCATTGAATGAACTGTCTCCTGAAATATAACAATATTATCAATGATGTGCCGATTAGTTACAAAGCTAGACTTGTTCAGGTGAACCAGATGAGGCATAAGAGCTTTCAACATGTTAGCTATACACTTCGCCACCACTTTATAGGTAACATTCCATAAGCTAATAGGTCTAAATTGGTTCGTAGACGCAAGAGCATCTACTTTAGGGATCAAAGTAAGCAATGTCTCATTAATTTCCCTAATTATACCAGGAGAAGTAAATAAATAAATAATGAAAGGAGAAGAGTCGGTGCCAATGTGCTCCGAACACTTCTGGAATAAGATGACATGAGACCCATCTTTCCCAGGCACCTTGGTCCCATTCTTGCTCATCACATTGGCTTTGATTTCTTTCGGAATGGGGATTGTGCTCATTCTGTTGAGTTCAGCAACTTTAATGACTGGGAAGTCTGTAGCTATCTGATTCGGGCCCAAATGTACACATTTTACCCCTCATTTTTTTATTCGTTTAGCTTAGTATTTCATCGTTCATCGACATATTTCACGATAGGTTGTGTTTGTTTTGATACATTTCAGGTCCTAGCACATGTGAAAGGGTCGAGGTCGAATTTTGGGATAATTAGAGGTCAAAAGGTGCAAAAACCGAAGAAAAGCCCGAAGACCATGATAATTGCCTCGTAACAGTGAAGTGAAGGCGTCCCAGGAAATAGCCGCAGTTCACGGCCGGACGAGGCAGTTCACGGTCACCTAAGACCGTGAACTTCGACCACAAACCGTGAACACCGAGGCGTCCAGCGAGGTTCCTGAAGTTACTGACGACAATGTAGTTCGTGAACCCAAGAAGCAAGGCAGTGCGTTTTGGAGACGACTGAGTTCACGGACGCGTTTAGGTGTTCACGGCCGTGAACTGGCCAACGTTTCCGTGAACTGATCGCTTTCGGGTAAATATGAAGTCAACCGCGGGGAGAGAGAAAGGGGAGCTGGTTTTTGGAGAAGAATTGGTTTCTTTCTCTAGGGTTTGCCCAAAACACCAAGGGGGAGTTCTAGGGAGGCTCATTGGAGGCTTGGGTGGACAAGGATTCAAGCCTAGAAGAAGAAAAAGATCTCGAGCTCAAATTTGTAATCCCTCTCTCTCTCTCTCTAGAAACTCACTCTTTTCTCTTGGGTGTTGTAGATCCCTAACCAATACTTTGTAATTACTTGTTTAGATTGAATGACTTTGTATGGGTTTGCATCAATTTGAGTATTAGATGTGCTTTCATGGTGATTGTGCTTAGTTGTGCTTTCCAAATCTTGTGTGCTTGCCTAACCTAGATTTGAGGAAAACCACACCTTTTTAGGTAGGCTTGACAAGCTTGGTTTTCTTGGGCTCTTTGTGTCTATATCTAGGATAGAAGTGAACATCCCTCTTAACTCAAGTTTGCATCTAGGTTGGTTGTGATTAAGCCGCTCAAACTCCGGTTTGAGGGAAAGACCTAGGCAACCACTAGAGACTCAGTGAAAAGATCGATCCCGTGACAAATCGATCTCTAGTGAATCCATCCCGTGACAAATGGATCACTAGTTGCTCCTCCTAGCGGTTCCCCTAGACTTGATGAGTGGATCGATCCCGTGACAAATCGGTCTCTAGTGATTTGATTCCGTGACAAATCGATCACTAGTTGCTCACTCCCGCGGTTCACAACCATCTACACCACACAACTCCATTCAATCCAACGAGTCGTGGTAGCTAGTTAGGGGGTAGCAAATCCCGGGTGAAGCTCCCTTAGTTAGACTTTTCCTTGCTAGTTTAGTTCTTAGTTTTCTAAGTTTTAAAACCCAAAACCGTTTTTCTAGATAACAACTTAAGCGATTGAAGTAGGGGGTACATGGACCGGTCCGGGTTGACAATTTAAATACTTGCTCTATACTTCACCCGGCTAGAGTTTTAAAACTTGGGCTCTAGTTGGGATTAATTTGTGGTGTAGTTTCATGCGAGTCACTATCATAGACCCTGCACCATTTATCTCCGTGTAGAGATGGACAAAGAAAATCCTTGCCATTCTTTGCAAATTTTCTAGATTGTTCACCCATTGGCCTGTGTTGTCTTTCAATGGTGAAGGACAAGAAGTGACTTGTATTGTAGTGGTAGAACACTCTTATATCACTTAGAGGTCATGAGTTTAATCCTTGATTTATACATATATGTGGTATTTTTTATTTGTCCCAGAAATTACCGAAGTCCTGTGACACCTCCCAGACCCCCTAGCTCCGCCAATGGTAGTTGGTGGTGATTTTGGCCGGGGGAGGCCGTGGAACATTAGTTCTTGTACTAGTTAGGACATTTTCGTCCCACAAAGTATAAATGATACTAACAGTCATCACTTCCTTAGTTATACATTGAAATGATGTACTATCCTTTTTTTTAGCTTTCTTCACATTGATGTTTGATGAGAGTTGAGCGCTCTCAAGGGTTGTTTTGCTATTGAATCTTGGTCATGCATTTGAGTATCTAACTTATGACTTCAATGACAAAGACAATTTTCCTCAATATCAGATTAAGGAAATAAATCTGGATGTGTTTAGAGCAAGAGGACATGGGAGCATTGCTACTCGAAGAACATATTCCTAAAATACTAGAAATACGGAATCAAAAGGATATATTCCCATTTGGTGATCAAATAGATAATTAGCTCCTTTTGATAATAACATTTTAATTTTTTATAAGATAATAGATATATTTTATTTTACATAGATATATGATTTGAGGCTTTATTTCTAGAATTGTGGAGATGGGGGAAGGGAAGAGGTACGTGGTGGCCAATTTACTAATTGAGATCAAATTGAGGTTGAAAGAAAACACAGAAGGAGTATTGGTGAGAGTTAAATTACCAGAAAATGGCAATCCCAATATAGGTTGAAGAACCTGATTCTGATTTGAAAGTGATGAAAACGCTTGATATGAATTGATGAAAAGTAAAAAGATTGATACTACATATAATATGATGTGATTGAAAGATTCATCAAATTAGCGTAAAAGAAGATTAGTACGAAATTCATGCAGGTCTGTTATTTTTCACACAAGTTTATTGATTATTTACGCCTTGTGATTCATACTCTTGATTAATGCCATGCAATCCTATTTATGAGCAATCGATTTTTCTCATTTCCTGGTCAATAACTTTTTTCATGCGATTTAACCAATATTGTCAGCCATTCTTTATTACATTATTGGTATTTAATCAATGAACTTTAATGATATAAGTAACAATTCTTTATCATTATAACTAAAAAATAAATTTTGTATGAAAAGATAGAACTTTGCTACAATGACATGCAAGTCACCGTAACTTGCACTTTTAGGTCGCCCTCATATAGGATTAGGTCGACATAATATGCCATTTCAGTCATGTGCTAAAAGGCATCTTACTTTGTAGCAAATTCGAGCCTTTTGTTTGTAGCCTTCCAGATATCCAATATTTCATCTAATGCCTTGACTTTGTAGACAAACATACATACTTTCTTGTGGTAGAGGCCCTGGACTCGAATCTCATCCATGCTTCTCGAATTGAGCTCCAAAGTAGGCTTCACAAACACTTTCCCAGACTTAGCCATTTTCAGGCGGTTTTCCAGTTTTGGAATATCCTTTTGATCAGGTTCAAAAATGGTCTTCTAGACTTCCTATCGAGCTCTCAATCACTTCAAAGAGTAGAGGGACACTCCAGCTTCAAAACAAGCCATTAATATCCCATTTCAGTCGAGCCAATTGTAAGATATGAATTTCCAAAGTAGGCACCATGAAACTGTTTTTACACTGAAACAACATATTAGGTCGACCTAATCCTAATTAAGATCGAACGAAAAGTGCAAGTTACGGTGACGTGCATGTCACCATAGGCGCACCCAAAAAGATATTGACGCATATTGTACCAAGCTTGGATTTCTAGGTCATTTCAACTCATAGAGAGGGAGGGAGGTAGCAATTGAGCAATAGCAAATGGAGAAGAAAGAACTGCACTAGAAGAAAACATCTTCGGGGACCCATACCCTGCTGTTATTTTTCCAAGGTTAGTTTGATATACTTGTTATTTTCCTTACTGGTTTGTGTTTTTTGGGGGTGTGAAAATATTTATTTGAGTTGGTATATGAGGGATCTTTGTGAAAGTTGTGTGTTTGATTTTGATTGAAGTGTAAGGTTTAGGGTCAAAGGTTATCACTTTTCAATTGAAACTCAACACATGTGGACAAAGGTTTCATGAGGAAGAAGAAAGTATTAACGATGGACAAACAATTAAAACTCAGTCTTAATTTTTAAGTTAACTATGGACCTAGAATTGTCGTACCTCATGAATTCTTGCAACCTAATAAAAAGGTTGTGGGCCTTAACTGAAAAGTTCACTTTCTTTTCATTTGCCTCGTATAATTTCCTTAAATACATTTGCTTAGGAGTTTCGTTATTTGCATCGATAAAACATATAAGTTCATTTGTTCTAAAATTAGAGTTTTACATCTTCAATTGCATTTGTAGGCAATTTAGGTATGATTCATAAATAAGAAATCTTGCTCGATCTGACTATAGTTCTTAGACCCATTATCTCAACTCGCATGAAAAGAAGAGGTTTTTCTTCCCTAGTCATTTTTCACAACAACAAATTCGGCTAATTAACCGTTGGAGACCAATCATTAATCACTTCTCATAAGGTTTTTCAAAAACCTTTGATGGTGTCTTGGCTTAAAGGTATACCTACCGACTACTTTTCACTAACAAACAAAAATGTATACTTATCTCTTAGAAGAAAAGATTATCGAGAAAGTGCAAACAACCTTATATAAATTGTAATAGATCACCTTCCTTTTCATTCTTACAAGAAAAACAAAATAAATAAGAAAGGATTCTACTTTTTAGGTAAAAATGTAAAAGAGACATAAGGAAAAACAATTTAGTTTGAAAACAAAGTTCTTGTTTCATAACCATGCACAGTAATGTGAACAACACGAAATAAATTCTCTAAAGTAATTCTAGTCATCTTCCTTCTCATCTACCATTAGTTTTCTCTATATATGAGTATGAATAGGTCTTGACCAATGAAAGTTTCGACCCCCCAGAACCATCAAAACCAAGGGATGAAGCTCGCCGCATCACCTTACTTATCCCATCATCCCCAAATCTTTCACGTATTAGTTGCGGATAAAAAAATAGATTGCCCCCCCCCCCTTGTGATATTCGTAAACTGCAATGATTGCTTCATGACACGTTGTAGTCTCGCTATTGATTTTCATTCTTCATTTGTAGTTCTTCCAAACATTTTGCTTGGATAACAACATTTGCTGTTGATTTTCATCCTTTACATTTTACCTCTATTTCTACCTTGCTAGGTCTATGAATCTTCAGTATGTCCAAGTCTGGTTTCCTTTCTACCGAGTCTTCGCCATTGAAGATTCCAAGCTATCCAAAAACACCATTTATTACCATAAATCAATTAAAACAACAAAGGTTAATCTATTGATCAGGAAGAAAAGAATATTGAAAGGGTCCACTTACCCCATCCCATGTAGAAAATGGTCGGGTTGTAGCAAAAACACAAACGACAAGTTGATCATATAGCCTTCTCAGCCGATCAATCTCTTTCACATAGCCATCTCAACACATTCACATATTCGCAACAAGTCACCAATCCTTGTGCCTTGTCTTTCGAGCATATTTTCTTGCAGAACAGATTCATTAAACTCTCGCGCACCTACATTCAAGTGATGTTCTTCTTGTGAGAGAGTCTTGAATCCTTCACATAAGTTCATGCATTGGGCATTATCTTTAACTCCAAGCTACCACTCTTTTGCTCTTTTCATTAACATGTTTACTCTTGTCTTTGGTGTACCTAACAGGATTAATGAGCTCTTGTAAGAAACACACCCACACTTACTCACGAGGTCGTTTCAAAATATTCATGCCACTATAGTTGAGGCTGCAATTTTGACACAACAAACATCTAAGGGCCAATAAATACAAATAATGAGTCGACAGTTGATATCCCATAAAATGTTAAATGATAAAAGTTCAAATCTTATGCTCACTTGCTTGGTTTCTTATTGTGGTTCTCAAAACTCATTCTTTCTTTTTCATTGAACTCTTTGATTTTCCCAAGATGTGTCTTTGTTCCTTTTCCATTGCAGCCAATGGAGACAATCTTCAAACCTCTCATCCAGGTAGATTTTCATCTTGATCTATTGAGAATTTTTAAAAATACATGTAGTTCTAAAGTTGAGTCTTGGAAAAAGATATAAACCAATTGCTCTAAGTCGAAATCTTTTACCCTTCTTCTTTCATTCAAGTATTCTAACCACTAAGGATGGAAAAATTCTCATCCTTTCCTATCTATTTATTATGGATTCGATTGTACGAGAAAGGGGATTCATATTATATAAGAGGAATAAGAGAATAAATAGGGTTTATGACACTATTTCCATCCGGAAAGCCTTCCCTGGTTTTCTTTCTCCATCTAAAAGATTGTCATAAATGCTAACCATTCCCTTCTTCCTCTTCTGAAAATTGAATCCCCTTTCTCGCACAATCAAACTCGATCAACACCTTGTTTTTCTGCACCTTTCTTTTTCTCTCTTATTCTTATTCGTGTTCTTTTTCCTGTTCTTCTTCCATATGCAAACACTTCCCTGTTTTCCTTTTTACCATTTATAAGAGTGTCATAAACCCTAACAAATCCTTTCTTGATCTTTTGAAAACAGAGCCCACTTCCTCTCACACTCGAACCCACCTTTTTGCTTAATCAAGCTTTTGCACCTCCCCCCTTTTTGCTTCTGTTGGTTATTAGTTGTGGAGTTAGGTAAGTGATTGCTTCCGTTGGTTATAAATTGTGGAGTTATTATTTTTTCCTTGTTGATGTAGAGCTATATCAGAAAATTCTGATCTTAAAGCTGTTGGTATGTCATCGATTGAGTATATCAACTGGATTAGTAAGGCCATAACTACAATGGGGAATGTATCAGACATATTTGGGACAACCAAAAAGTTCAATGAAGGTGAAACAAGAAGTTAGTGACTTGTTGCGCATCAGTGGTTGTGTTGAGATTGACAATTTGAACAAAATTGATATCCTAAGAATGCTATATGACCAACATTTCGTTAGTGTTTTTGACAAAACTATAGCATTTTCTACATGGGACGAGGTAAGTGGACTTTTTCAATCTTCGTTTCTTTCTTGACTACCAGATTAAACTTTGTTGTTTTTATTGATTTGAGCTTATAGATGTTGTTTTGGTTGGAATCTTTAATAGCTAAGGTTCAGTAGAAAGGAAACCTAACTTGTAGATATTGAAGATTAATAAACCAAGCAAGGCAGAAAAGAGGGAAAAAAATGTTTGGATGACAACCACATTTACAGATATCGAGGAATATCTAGAAAAGATAAAAAAATCAATATCGAGACTGCAATGTGTGATGGTTTAGTTATTGTTGGGTATAAAACATCACAAGGGTGGACAAATTACTCTTTGTACCTTTAGCCAAGCCACCGGGATAAGTGGAAATTTTTAATATACTTTTTTGTGCTAAGTGCTAGATTAATCATTGTTATTTTTTGTTGATTTGTGCTTATGAATGGTATTTTTGTATAAGTTGGAATCTTCAATGGCGAAGGCTCAGGAGAAAGAAAACCAGACTTGGACATAATGAAGATTCATAAACTCATCGAGACACAAGAGAAGGCAAAATGTAAATGAAAAGGCAAGCAAGAGGAGGTTGTCATCCAAGCAAAATACTTGGAAGAACTATGGTTGAAGGATGTAACCACAAACACATATGTTGAGGAATACTTGGAAAGATAAAAATCGATACTGAGACTACAATGTGTGATTCTTCAGTCATTGCAGGGTACATAACATCACAAGGGGAAACAAATTACTTTTTTATCCACAACTCTTACTGGAAAGAGTAGGGGATTGAGGGGATTTGTAAGATGATGCGGGCTTCGTCTCTTAATGTTGATGGTTTGGAGGGATCGAAGTCTTCATTGATCAAAGCCTATTCATATTCACATCTAGAGGTAGAGGCAGAAGATGAATAGTATTACTGCAGGGAATTCATTTTGTGCTGCTCACATTACTGACTTTGTTCCCAAAATTGAATTGTTTCTTCTTATGTCTCTTTTGTCTTCTTATCTAAAATGTAGAATCCTTTCTCATTTCTATTCTTTTTTCTTGTACGATGATCCGACCATAAGGATTGGATACCTCAACTTGTTTGAGATGGTCGTCGATGCAGTTCTCAAAGCCCTGGCGGTGGCTGGGTACGACAGAAGAATTCTCGTGGTTGTTGGTGGCACCGGATGATTGAGCCAAAGTGGCCCTAAAGATCCCCGCACTAGCCGACGATTGCGAAAAAGTACGTCATGTTCCTTGTAGCTCTCTTGAGCAGCGGGGCAGACAAGTCATCCACGTTTATCAACAAATTAGTGGACTCGTCTAAGTCAACTCTCAAGTGGGGGTTGTTTTATTCGGAGATGACTATAAAGTTTGACTTCAATTTCTCCTCTGGCACTAACATTGCGAAGATGCATGTAGTAGATATCGTGCATTTTAGTTAAGGCCAAATTAGCCTGCTCGAGTTCTTGCAACATCACAATTCCAAGCCTAAAGCTTCAACTTAAGAGTTAAGACTGAGTCTTAATTGCATGTCTACCACTATTACTTTCTTCTTCCTTGTGAAACCTCTTCACTTCTTTGTAGCCAAAGATACAGAAGCTTCACATAGAAATAGAGTATGAATGGTAGTTAAACAAAGAAAAGTAAAGTGACAACAACCACTTTTACGTTGTTTATGATATTTTGTTCTCAGTATTAACTAGTCCATGGTCAAAGGACCTTAATGTGAATCCTTCTACGACCCACTATAAAAATGTATCTTATGAAGCCTACCAACAAACGATCCCAGAATGCTCCATGCCACTCGATCAAAAGTCAAGATGTATTTACCTCCCAATTAAACCAAACTTAGTATTTCCTTAATACTGATTTCAAGCCATCACCCCTATTGCTCACTCATATCTTTCTTTTCAATACTTTACAATAATTCTCTTTGTTTTTGTATTGAAATTCTTAGAAAAGACATAACTTGTTACCTACCTAAGCCTGTGTTGTAAAAATGTCAATATATTGAATTTCTTGCAAAATAAGTGAGATATAAAATCATGAAATCATGCAAGCATAAGCAAAATAATTAAATTCTTCTCTTGTACTCAAGATTACAAAATTTCAGCCCGAATGTTATATAGAGATTATTGGTAAAGTAGGAGAGAGAAAAACCTCACACCTCTCTCTTCTTTGGGTGCTTCCCTAGGTCCTGTCGTTGCAAATGTTTCCATTGACCGTTGGCGGACACACGGTGGAAGTGGCGGCAGACCACTGCCTTAAGACACAGGATGGTTCCCCATCTTCATCGTTGGCGGCCTAGCGCAACCTAGTAAAAAGGCAAAATCTAGTACATGTAAAGGCTTTTCTGGGAAAAAAAAAGGATATTGCAGTATTTACAGCAACACGATGAGAGGTGGAGACTAATCCCAATGAAGAACGAGCGAAGTAAATCAACATGACGACAAAAGAAAAGAAGGATCCGCGAATGCCCAAGATCTCGTACAAGGATTCCTTTCTCGGTAATACCCCTCGATAATTTTTCTTGAAGGTGAGGACTTGATGTCGAATGAGTTGGATGAAGAGAAAGAAGATGATAATCGAAATACAAGTTGGCTGCTAATGAACTGGAAGCTGAGCATGTGAACGTCTGGATGCTATTCTCGAAATGGAAGAGACCTAATCAAATCAAGATGTTCCTATTGCTGGTGCTTCATGATATAATTATGACCAACAAGAGAAGAATGGAGATGAAACTGACCACAAATGGGAATTGTAGTCACTTCCTCGAGCTTAAATGCGCGGCAGAGGGGCTTTCAATCGGATGGAGAATGGCATAGGAAAGTACTCAACCTTGACTCTAGTACTGCCATCAATATCATCAAGAATAGCCAAAATACTAATCATAGACATGGGTTACTTGCCCAAGAAAGTAACCACCTTTTGAACCTCGATTGGGAGGTTACATGTGTATAGTGAGTGCAATTATGGTGCTCACTTCCTCGCTAAGAAGGTTTATCTCTTCCCTTTTGGCACACATTCTTTCGATGTGTGTGATACGAAGTTTATGTATTGGATTTCTTATGATATTTTGGGTGTTACCCAAGAGCGATCTATTTATAATATGAACTAAAGAAGCTTTGTGTCTTTCTTTTACCAACAAAAAATTAATAATTCCTTCCAGGATAGAAAGGTCGTATATTTTTCGGTGGAACTGTACTTCAAACTCCGAAAACAACTAATGTAATGAATTAGCAAGACCAACACTGACATAGTTTTTTGTTTCTAGAAAGAATGCAATTAACAAGTTTCGATTTTGGCAGAGTTTCAGTACCTATAAAAATTGTTGAAAAACTTCTCTTCTCTCTCATATAAAACTAGAGGGGGTTTGTGCTACTTATATAAAATGGAGGGATGCGTGCGAAGGGAGGCAACTCTTCCTGTGGGTGGTTGAGCGCTAACCATTGCATTAGTTCGTTCAATGGCGGTTGAACTGCTATAACCATCATCTTGGTTTGTCTTGGTTAAGGCATAACTAGATTTAGGTTGGTTACAGAAACCAGTCTGGCGGAGTATCTAAAGATCAAATAGACCAAATTAAAGATCGGAGCTACCTTCTCACATCTCACCAATGAGATATTTCAAAGTTATGAAAAAACAGTGTGATTCTCAACTAAGAACTAATTGCATCGAGATATGTGGGGTTTCCTTTAAACCTTCCTTAGTGAACATATATCGAGTGTACTCACCAATAGGTAGATATGATATCTTCAAGCCATCTATTTTAATTGTATACTTAGACAATATATGTCACTCAACCAACTCTTATACGTCCAATGGTCTCATTGTTGTGTTTGTTTTAGCTATGAACACCACTTTGTCTCATGAGTGTTTAGAGAACGTGTCTTTTATTATTCTCCCTGAAATGGCTCTACTTAACACTCATATAGGTGATTTCTAAATATATATTCCGAAAATACATTAGTTGATCACATCACGTGTCAAACTTAGAAACCATTAAAATTCTTTCATCTTTAAGTTTACCCTTATTGTTGGACACTTGGACTTATCTCATTGAACCTAGAGGTTGGGTATGTCAATCCTATTAGGTAGAGTTACCACCATGATGGTTTGTCTTAAGTCACGTGTCTATTCCCTTTGATGCTTTAATTAATCTCTTGGGGCCCTACATTTGTTATCACTTAGATAATAGGGTAATGACTATTTATTAACCAAATATTTTTTGAATTCCTTTTTATTAACCAAACTTATTGAATTCCTAATAATTAGCCAAACGTTAACTCTCTGTCAACTTCTCTATTAGTAATACTGACTAAGCATGACATGATGAGTTCGCTTCCCCTGTGGCGGTCAGAATACCATCATCTTCTATTTTCAATAAAAAATTATGAAAGAATTAATAAAAATAAAGAAAAAAAAAACAAGATCCCACCCCTCACGTCTTCTCCCCCTCCCTTCTCACTACTTACCCCACCGCCTCTCACTACTCCCCACTCCTCTGATTTCTTTCATCGCAACCCTCTTCTGATTGGTTTGCGCCAAACCCCTCCGAATCTGATTTCCGCTACACTGCATGCATCTCCCTCCCCCGCCTTCGTTGCAGCCCATTAGAGACTAGAGAGAGTGCGGTGGCGGTGGTGGTAGCGCCATCGAGGAACGTCATCCAGTGGCGACGAACCCTTCACCCGCCCTATTTCTCACTTATCTGGTCGTCGTCGCCGTTGTTGGGGCATAGGGTAAACCCCTCAACGCTATCCAAGCCCAAATCTCCAATTGAGAATTGGGGGAAACCGTTGTCAGAATCGAAAGCCCAATTAGAGAAGGTTGCTGAAACCTCTTCATCTTCCTCCAATCCTCCTGCACCAGCACCAGCGACAGAATCAGTCCAAGCAATCCTCCTAGTCCTGCTCCGTTCTGGCGCCCAACCCCACATTGAACTCGATTCCCCAAAACACCTCTTTTGTTTTTTTGTTCTTCGAGTCATAGATCTAGATTTCCAGATTCGACAGTGGGCGATGGCTTCAATGTCCTCCTTAGTTTCGACGACAGGGTTGGGCGGACGAGGGCGATGGCATGTGGGGTTGGGCGATGGAGGTTGGTTTAATGGGAATAGGTTTGATGGTGTGGAGGCGGAGGCGGAGAATAGAGGAAGAAGAAGCGATGGAGTTGCAGGGCCAATGAAGGTTTTTAATTTCTAATTATTTTTCTTTAATGATATGAGAAAACGTTTTTTTTTTTTCATTTCTAAGGTGGACGCTGAGGTGGAGTATTGTTAAAAAATAGTTAAAGGTAACAGAATGATAGCTAATACTTTGATCGGTTACAATACGTTTGGTTAATAAATAGTATTTCAATAGGTTTAGCTAAAAAAAAAGAATCCGGAAAAGGTTTGACTAATAAATAGATATTACATTAGATAATATGATCAACTCATATAACTTCGTCTAGAGATTAATCGATCAATAATGTATGTTTTCATTATCTATGGCGAGATTTATTACATAACAATTATGGCCTTGCTAGAACAACTTCGTACCTTTACAAAGTGTGTTTATTGATACCTAGTATTTGCAGCTAGACTATTGAATTTCATCGGTCTTAGAGTGTGTGTATAGTTCAACTTGGACATTTTCCAAAATAGTGCTCCCTAATAACCATAAATGCACATCCATTGATGGATTATGCTTTGGGTTAATCTAGTGAGTTCCTTTCACTACAACACAAAAAAAAAATTCTTTCGATTCACTATACATCATGTGGTTAGAAATGATTTAATTGTCATGAAATAAATATATTGTAATCAATTTTATCATATGAACCAATATAGTTAGTGGTTCACATTTTAATAGTTTAATCATTATTAAGCCATTAAAAACTCATAATGAGCCAAGATACCTCATAAATTAAAAATATTATAAGTAGAACGCACGAATTTACTCTTAAAGCAGAAATCCTAAACATAGCTCTTAAAACATAGCTTTTAAGTAGATCCACGACCTCTTTTAAAGGTGCAACTGTTGCTCTCTCCCCTCCCTCTCTTGTCACCGTGAAGAAAATGTGGCACAAAGCTTGGAATTCTCCATGACTTCTTCCCAAATCTAGATTCCAGCTTGCCAACCGCATTACTATTAACATCGATGGAAACCCCGTTGGGGGATTGTTGACGTTTAACCTCGATGGAGCTTCTAATGGGAACCTAGGACCGGCTGGTTCAGGTGGAATTCTGTGAGATATTTTGGGACAGTGGATTGCAGGATTTGTCACCAGCATTGGAACCGCTTCAACATGCATCGCTGACCTTTAGCCCTTCTATTTGGCTTGGAAGAGGTGATGCAGAGTTGTCATTATACAATCAGACTCCCAGCTGGCGATTCATCTCTTCAAAATCAGACAAGATCTGGTGCACCCCTATGGAACTTCAATTTACTTTTAGTGATTCTTAGGAAGCTAAGTCAAGATTGGACGGTAAATATCACTCATACATATATAAGGGAGTAGAGTCATATACCGACTCTCAAAATACAGTCTGATCTTAACCCTACAGTATGCATGAGCAAGGGCGGAATCAAAATTTTAAGTTCGGGGGACCGAATGACTTAATGAATAATCATATAAATGAATAAAAACAAAATAATATATTAAAAATATTGATGATATTATCCTAATGAGTTAATATTTTATTTGAAAAAAATCAAAATTGATGGATCCCATATTTCACAATTCCATTTACATGGGCTCATAAACACATGACACCCCATTTCTTTAATGACACATGACTATGAGTTGGACTAAGGAAACATTTATTTATTCCATTACCCATCTCAAGCAACCACACTCCCAGTGGCCTCCCACACAATATATGGTTTCCATTCCCCTCCTCCTGAGGGTTTCTTTAAAGATGAATTCTGACGCGGGCATAATCAGAGCTAGGGGACTGGTTTGGGCTGCATCATCCGTGACTGGCGGGGTGATTTAGTAGGTGCGATGGCGAAGAAGGAAAGGGGAGTTTGCCGACCGATCGAAGTGGAAACAAAGGCCTTGGTTATGGGTCTGCGGGAAGCAAATCGCAGAGCGCTCAACCCTCTAATCGTTGAATCTGATTGTCAGGTTCTTGTGAATCTTTTGAAGAATGGAATGGATGATTTCTTGGCTGGAGAAAAAGTTAAGTGGAGGTTTACTCCGAGAAAGTCCAACTCAGTGGCCCATTGGTTGGCTCATGCTGGTTTGAGTTGGGAACAACAGATTGTATGGGTTGAAAATCCACCATTATCGCTTTGTTGTCTTATTGAGGCCGATTTGGGCCAAGGTCCTTCGGGACAAAACTAAGTTCATTAATATTATTCCCCACGTTTCCTATAAAAAAAAAGAAAAAAATGAGGCAATGTCAAAAGTCATCTCATTACTTGATGGAGCAATTAACCCTTTTTTCATTGGTTGGTTTGGTTCCTATTATCATCCTTCCCAAGTAGGGATGGCAATGGGTCGGGTTGGGGCGGGTTTTGCCAAACCCGAACCCAAACCCATGGGTTTGTCCGTAAAAAAAACCCGGGGTAAAACCCGCTGGGTTTGAAAAACTCAAACCTAACCCAACCCGCTGGGTATCCGTGGGTTGATGGGTACCCGTGGGTTTTTTTGTAAAAATATTTATAAAATTCAACTCCAATCCAGAAAATTCAAAATCACAAATTATTCATACACAACATGATTAATTAAAGTTTCCTCCTACTTGAGAACTTGAACATTGTCATCTTAGCTTCACTCTCAGCTCCTTAACCCACGGAGACTGATTTCAAAGTTTTTGAAGAAAACAAGGGATAGCTCATATTCCATCAGCTTCTTCTCCAGTTGAGCAAATTAATCCAGTATGCAAAAAAAAAAAAAACAGAGATCATTAGACTGAAGAAAACTCGGACGCGATATATTTTGCAATTAAATGATCAGCACTTGAGTATTCCAATAGAAAGGGTGATCATCAACTGCAAAAAGAAGAGAATCGATCCGCAGATGACATTGACTACCTTAAGCTAATTCAGTCAACTTACAGTAGTCAACAGTCTACAGTCTACACAGAGGTGATCCGTAGTATATAAGAACATCGAATGTTCAATCAAATGAATGACCAGGGGGAACCAGCCTGATCGAATTTTCTAGGAGGCAGCAGCTTTACCCTGGTTAGTACACCTGGCTAAGTGTTGACCTACTGGAAAAGTGAATCATGTCACAGAAAGAACTAAGCCAAAAGTGTTGAACCATTTTATGTTGCTTTTCATAGCAGGGTCAGTAGTGCCTCCTACTCCTAGCAAATCTTCTATCGGGGGATCGTACCAATCCACTCACTCCAGCCCAAATAACAAGCATGTATCCACGTTATGGAGATCCAACAGAACTGCTCTCAGTCTATACCTAACCACTTCCATGACCATGAGCAATTCAATGCAAACAATTCATGTCTGATTGGAGAACCTTGCTGAAAAAGGAGAGCACGATACGAATTCACAATCCACAGCGAGAGCGAGAGCGAGAACTGAATTGGAAGAAATTGGAGGTGATTGAGATCATGATTTCCCGAGGTTACGAATGCCTTACCGTCAGCATGAAGAGGAAGAAGGAGAAGAGCTATGGCGTAGACGAAACCTTCAGCTGAAGAAGAAGGATCGAGCTGGAGAGGGACACAGTAAGGAAGAGCTCAGTTTCTCCGGTGGCGATATTAGAGGAGGGAGACCTGGAGACTAGAGATCGCTACTCGCTAGACAGAGAGGGAGAGGAGTCAAATTGGCGGCGGATTGTGTCTCTGGGAACTGGGGACTGGCCGAGGTTTGGGAAATTTAGGGTTAGGAAATGTATGTCCGGGTATCCACGGGTCGGGTTCCCCCAAACCCGAACCCGGTCAACACGGATTTTACCCTGTTTGACCGGGTTGGGTCGGGTCGGGTACCCGCGGGTCCGGGTTGAACTGCCATCCCTACTCCCAAGCCACCAATCCGCTTCTCAATACAAGTCCACGTGGAAGGGACAAGTAAGCTACCACAAATTAATTTCCTCTTCCACTAGCCACCTGGTCACTTGATCCCAAACAACCCACTATGGGTGGGCAACATGAAACAGGTATTTGGATATACTCATACCCATCCCTTTTTTTAAGAGTTACGGGTACCCAAATATATGTTTTGTTTTTAACACTATGGGACTTGGGATCAATGATTTCTACAACGGGTACCCACGAGTTACCTGTTAATACTCGTTTGGGTAATACGGGTACCCATAATACACATATTCATTCTACTTCTTTTGGGTACAAACCGAAGATTGAGACAAAAAGAAATGAAATGAGTTGTTGTCTAGATACAGGGTGAAGGCAGGGGACCCATTTCTGAGGCTTCAAAGGAAAATGAGGAAGCAAATGATCAAATGCCCTTTTACCAACTTCTTTCTCCACATGATCAAAAGACTCCTTTCTTTAGCAGCAGACAATAGTCATTGTGCTCATGGATGAACTCTGTTACTCAAATATAAAAGATATAAAATGGAAATGGAATGAGCAATAGGGACAAAACTTGAAAGATACAGGAGAGGGTGCGAGACAGGGGAAGAGATTTATTATGAATAATTGTAACATAATAATGTATTAATTTGGAGCTATTGCTCCCTCACGTATAATCATGTTTCCCAATTAATATTCTGTTTAATTTTGTGCAACAGGTACCCGTTATCCGTCCCGTACAAGTAACATGTACCTATTAACCCTTATGGATTTGTGACATGAGATGGACTTTGCCTTGCAAACAAGAATGAGTACCCGTTGCAAACGAGATGGGTATCCCGTCCCGTTGCCCACCCCTACAACCCACCATTTCCATTCCATATCACTGCCACGTAGAGGAAAGAAAAATGGAAGGCGGGCAAGTGTGTTTCATTATTAGTCTCATTTAATTGGTTGAGAAGAGGTTTGTCCTACTTCAACAGATACAAATATACAATGCCAAAGACTCTTCTAATTACACATGGGTGAGAAAAGGGTAATATACTATGCCATCTCACTTTCTCTAATTTGAGTTACTAATTGTATCTCACCAAAAATGCCACCTCCATGCCCACGTGTACAGAGGAAAGGAAGGTATTCTCTTTTGATTGGTGGAAAAAGGTTAAGAATGCTAAATTATAGCTTCTTCACCAACTACCCTTCGTAATTGGTTTTCCACCAAGCTATCAAAGCACACTTTCTCCATATCACTATACGTGAAAATAAGGACAATTAATTACTTCTTTCTTTTTCTCTCTCCAAAGGCGAGTTGTCCACGGACCACGATTTTTCTTCAAATTTTGTTTTATTTGGGCCGGTTATATGTTAATCAACGAGAGATTTGGCTCAAAATCTCTCATCCAAACAATCCCATAACTCTACCCTAGTCAATTTCGCTAAGAAAACAACGTCGTACTCATATAAAGAACTAAAGAAGGGTCAAGCTTTTTAAATCACAATGATGTCTACTGCAAAATGTTAATAATAGCAGCGATTCAACCAAAAAAAATGTTTGTTAGACCACGATAAAATAAAATTGTTACGTGCCCCAATGATGATTTATGCATGGTGGAAACGCTGAAGGCATTAACTTCGTGGATCTCTTCATACATGCAGTGGAGAAATCAGAAATCGTTGGGGACTATAGTGATTTAGCAAAAGACGAGGTATATTGGAGTTAGTTATAAAAGTGGGAATTTGGTGTTGTTTTCAGAAAATTTACGTACCTTGTAGAAAAACTTTTTCTCTGAACCCTTTCTCAAACATAATTTTTCTCAAACTAAAAAAATACAATTTTCAAGACAAAAAAATGAGAAAAGGTTGAAAATTGAAACACACGATGGAGTTATCAGAATAAAGAAAATTATTTTCACAACTTTGGGTAAGCCGAATTGGTGTCTTTACTTCAAGGTTCCATTTCCGGCAAACATAGTTTGATTTTCTGACATTGTATGCTATTCACCCGAGAACCCTAACACTATGTTTTTTTTAGATAGGAGATGGAGGGGAAGGGAAAAGGTGGGAGGAAAACACATGCCCCAAGAAGCTTCCCTCTGTTCTTGAAGGTTGCTAAAAGAGGAAGGGGAAGGAATTGGAAGGAAAGTTTCACTATTACACACACCCCTCCAATTTGGAGAGAAAGAGGGAAATGGATTGGACGTTGGGGTGTTTCTAACAATAAAAACAATACATTATTATTATTATTATTATTATATTAACATAGTTAAAATCATAATTATTAAAATATAGTATGAGTATAAAATAGGGTAAATACAATTTAATATCCAAACATTTCATTTTAAACAATATAATAACCAAACCTTTTCGAAAACAATCTAATATCCAAATCGTCAACTTTCCGTTCGTTTGACCGTTAGTTGACTCTTCAAAAAAGTTCGAAGTACGACGCTTCATCAATATCCATCGATATCTTCTCTGAAAAACCACCAACATATCGTGGTTCCAAACCCGAGAAGTCCATGACTCCACCATAATGGTATAGAATATCTAAATATTCAGTCACCTACAATGCCAAAACAAAGTTGTATTGTGACAATTTCCCCTAAACAAAGCTTTTTTGAAGTGTCAACCAACGGTCAAACGGACGGAAAGTTGATGACGATTTGGATATTAGATTGTTTTCGAAAAGGTTTGGCTATTATATTGTTTAAAATGAAAGGTTTGGATATTAAATTGTATTTACCCTATAAAATATGTACAAGTATTTTACTTTGTAACTAATGATATGTTTAATAGTACGTCAATATAGTTATGAAATTATATAAAATAAAATGGTTTAAAGATGTTTTCAACAAATACAATATAAATTAACAAATTAATAAGGTCCAACTTGTATCATGCACGCATAATATCATTAAAGTTGGTCATTCTTTGTTGTTAAACATAATGTATGAAAAGCTAGTATGATGAATAATTATAGGCAAAGATAATAATGCAATGTCATCTTATTTGATTATTATCAGTGTTTGTAAAAAATTGTACTATACGCGCGGTTCTACCAGATCGTACCTGACCAAACCGACGTCTGAACTGGATGACACCATATTGAGTATAATATGTTTCGGTACTTGGTCACCTTCCTTCCTTCCTTCCTCCACCGATCCCTCTTTCTTAGTTTACCTCAAACCCTCCATAATTCTATCCTTCTCAATTCCTACTTCTCTCCCAACCCAATTCTTTTCTAAGTTATCTATCCCAATTAGTGTTGCGCCATGTTGCTTAACATCAGCTTTCAGGCATCATGTTGAATTGGATGAGGGCTGCGCTGCTCTGGCGTTGTGCGCTCGTCGAAGGACCGATTGGGCTTCAACAAATCTGTAAATGCAGCGACATATATCTTTCATTAGGAAACAAACCGATAATATTTTTTCTTTTTTGGTAAAACGATAACATTTATTATTGCTATGAGTAGTTGCCCAAGCAACCAGGTAACGCACAACAACTACATCCATGTACAATCACAACTTTTCAACATCTCAACCAGGCAATTCATTATTATTATTATTATTATTATTATTATTATTATTATTATTATTAAAGCTTTCGTAAGTAGAGAGGTAATTAGGCACACAACGTACTGTTCCCATAGCAGTCGTTGAAGACCAGAACTTTTTTGTTTGCCTTTCTCCACCAGCAACAGGAAACCACAACTCTGTAAGTCTTCTCATCAGGGCCGCCATCGCCTGAGCTACCAACATTGCAGCAACGAAGAATCATATAGATTTGCCTGTAACCAAAACCTCCAACAGAGACATTCTCAATCTCACGAAGCTCCATCTCAGCGCCCTGAAATCACACAAGAGGAGGAAAAAAAAAAACAAAAAAAGACAAACATCCATATATCATAAACGTACGACGAATCTTCATCAGTTCCTCTAAATAAACCAAAGACAAATCATGGGTGGTTTTAATTTGCTGCGCACCAGCTCGTCATTAAATGTCTCGACCGCGAATTCGGCGCAGTCTTGAACAGTGTCATCGAAGCCCGGCTGGCATTTGAAATGGTATCCAGAGTGTGACTTCGTACGGGCGTACATATAATGTGGACTGTGGAGGGCAATCAGCATAAAAACACTGGAATATTGTATCAATCGAAGAACAAATTAGTAATTAGGAAAACGGAACAAACTTTTTCATCAGAAGAAATTAATTAAGGATTTTGGGTTATGGGAACTTACACCATTCACCCTCAAGTTCCTCCTGTAGTGGATCATACGTAGCTTTAGCGTGTCATCGCCACCAAAATCGTCGTCCTCGTAAATGTAATCGTCGTCGTCGTACTCTTCTTTCATCTCCGTCTTGGCCATTCTCCGGCAGCTGTCGCAGTAGGTGCCTACGTAATAGGTCAGCTCTGGGAATTCGTCGTCGCCGAAGGAATCCATGGATGGCCAGTTCGATCGATAAACCACTTTTGATTTTGTCGGGAACCCTAGCTAGGGGAGGAACTAGACGAGATGATCGTCTTTACATGTTTGTCAGTTACTGAATGTGGTAATTCCAAGTCTGGGTCGTCATTATAGATCAGGTTTGAGCCCATTGGGTTGTATTCTTTCGGCTTAGGATAGGGTTTATGAGTAACTAAATTTAGACATTTAGATTTAAGTGGGTCCAGAATATTCAGATCTAAGGGTTGTCAATTAAATGCATTTTATTTTTCTAATTTTCTTAATTGGCTCTTATCTTCTTCGTAACTCGGATTTCAATTTTTTTGCACAGATGGAACGAGTTCGTTGTGATCTACAAAATAAGATCAATTTTCAATATATTTCGAGAAACTTTTTTTTTACCAACTACATACCATATGATAACTTCTTCGTTTTTAAGTCGTTTTTGAAAACGTTTGCTCAGCAGGAACGGGTTCATCATGATCTATTGGATCTATAAATTTCTGGGTGAAAAAAATACTAGATAAAAAATTACCATACTTTACCACTATGGTATGTGATTGGTAACTTGTGGTAACTTGTAGTAAATAATGATGAAAGTCGTAAATGACAGTTAATATACTCCTTCTATCATGTATTCAACCTTCTTACCATATTGGTATGTTCATACCATCATGGTACGCTTTCTTACCATATGGTATTAAATTGGAGCATACCATATAGTAATGACTGGTAAAAAATTATTCAATTTTTTTGTACTAAAAATATATCAAAGTGGATATCATATTTAAGAGCATATTTAATCTGATTTATCTGCGCAAAAAAATTAAATTTCGACTTAAAATGAGAGAGAAATCGTTCGTTAAAGATTTAAGGAGAAAAGATTAAAGACTTTCCAGGATAGGGAGGCTTCTGATGTCATGCTGATGTGGACATGTTACTCATGGTTACTGACCATAGAGTTACTGACATGATCCACTCCCTATTCTCACCGTAACTAGAATATCCAGCTTTCGACATGGTCCATTCTTTTTCTTCTTACTTGAGATGAAAATTGGTTTGTATAATTGGATTGATGATTTGGAAAATTTTTTATTTGGAGTCAATTACCATACAAATACCGAGCATCAAATTAAACAAGAACTGTGTCAGTTTGGAAAGGTTAGACTTCTCTCGTTTAGCGAGAGTCTAAAAGCGGCGGAAACCCTAGGATTTTTCTGGGTAAACTTGAGGTTATCATCTCGATCTCTAAGAGGATTGCTAATCCTTTGCGGAAAAGAAGTCTTGTTCGACACGGTTTGCGACCTGGTAGCGGATTGTGTCTGGTTTTTTAAGCCGAAGAAAGGAAGCGCTTTGTTGTTGAGCTAAGGTTTCGTTGATAGCAGAGTATAAGGGAAACCCTAGCGCAATAAATCTTAGGTTGCTCTAAAAAACGATCTTGTACGAAAAGTTGGTTGATTAGATCTTGCGTGGGAAGCGGTGCTAGTTTTTATACTATGGAAGTTGTCGAAGAAGCGGTGAAGGACACGACCACAAGCAAGGAACCTCAGGCTACTGTAGAGATGGAAACACAGCTAAACCAGATCACTCTGGATGATGAGGAGGAGGAACCACTAGAGGTTGAAGACTCTGACGTCGATGTGCTTCGTATGGAGACGGTACGACGATTGGGGCTGATTGGACGCCTCTTATCTGAAAAAGATCCAAATATTAAGTCAATGAAAATAGCATTAGCAAAGGCTTGGAAGCTACGTAAGGGTTTTCAAATTACAGAGCTAGGTGACATGCTTTTTGCTTTTCAATTCCTTGATATGGATGATAGATATAAAGTTTGTTATGGGGGACCCTGGCACTATGACAATTCTCTTATAATGTTTAAGGTGAGCACAACTATTCAGAAACCCAAACCAGAGGATCTACATATGATTGATATGTGGATTAGGGTTGAAGGTCTACCAGCGGAATTAAGAAAACAAAAGATGGCGAAGAAGATTGCTACAAGATTTGGCGGGCTTGATTGGTTTTATAATGGGGCTGGTACAATGTGGGATGATTATATGCGGTTGAGGGTTTATCTGCCGATTAATAACACTCTTAAGAAGAAGATTGAACTGAATATATTAGGGAAATTGGTGAAATATCCGATAAAGTATGAGAAGTTGCCCATGTTTTGCTATTCATGTGGGAGGATTGGGCATCCTAAATTGAGATGCAAGCTGGAGCCAAAGCCAGAGGTTGATCCTTTTGGATATGAGCTGAGGGTGGCTGTTTTGGGACCCAAAAACTGGCTCTCGTACACGGCTAAGAAGGAAGATGCTGAAGTTTGGGCTGCTTTGAAGCAGGAGTTTGAAATGGAGAGCATTGGATCTAATTCGGACCATGATATGGCTTTGGAAACTGAGGAAACTAGAGAAAGGGAGGAGGAGATACCAAATCAGAAACTGGCACAAGAGGAGACACAAGTTGGGAGGGAAATTAGAATGGATCAACAAACGGGACCTACTGCCACCATACAGACCCCTATTCAGGTTCTGAAACAATAAGCAACTATGGGGATAAGTATGCTGGTGCATTAAAAAAGTTTGTGATGGGCAGTACAGACGGAGGAAAGACTGGTAGGAGCACTGCCAGGGTGCGGAGAAGGCAGAAGCAGGGTCAGGCAAAACCAGCAGCTGGGGCACATCTAACACCCGAGAAAGACAGGCAACATCTCAAGATGATGGAGCAGTACATGGAGGACCCACTTCGGGGGTGGCAAAGAAGCCAAAAACTTTACAATTCACTAGTACTCAAAACAATGTATTGGATGGCGAAGTGGCAGTGTCTGCTGAGGAGCAGACCCGCTCAGCTCAATGAGTTACCTAAACTATAATTGTCGGGGTTTGGGGAGTCCCCTGGCAATTAAAAATCTTGATCGTCTTATATGACGAGAAAACCTCAGAGTAGTCTTCCTCATGGAGACTAAGAAACAGGAAAAGGAATGGGAAGAGGTGGTAGACAAGATACATGGCTAAAGGGTTTTGGTGTGGGCTCTACTAGAAGAGCAGGAGGCCTGATAGTGTTGTGGCAGGAGGACATTAATCAGGAAATTAAAGGAAGTGGAGAAAACTACATAGACATGAAAATAGAAGAGGATTGGCATATCTGGAGGCTGACTGGAGTTTATGGGTGGCCCGATCAGGGGAAGAAGCATCTGACCTGGAACCTACTCAGGTTCTTAAAATCTCTTACGGATCTATCGTGGCTGTGTTATTAGGATTTTAACCTAATCCAACACTATGCTGAGAAGTGAGGGAAACAGCCAGCAAATGGAGATGAAATGGACGATTTTAACAGAGCTCTTGAGGACTGTCAACTGGAGGATTTAGGCTTCTATGGGAAGCCTTATACCTGGGACAATAATCACAAAGATGAGACTTTTCTAGAGGAGAGACTGAATAGAATGGTGGCAACTGAGTCATGGTGGAGTCTCTATCCTGACGCAGGGGTATATCATCTAAGACGATGTGGTTCTGACCACAATCCAATCCTCTTGAAAACCAATGTTCTGGCAGAGGATGTGAAATGGGGCAACTACTTTAAGTTTGAAGCTTACTGGCAGGACCATGGGGAATGCAAGCAAGTGATAAAAGATGTTTGAGAATCGAATGGCCTAAACTCAGTCTTGGGAAGAATCAGATTATGTGAAGAAAAGTTAAGGTGTTGGAGTAAGCAGACCTTTGGCAGCTTAAAAGCCAGAAGGACAAAAACAGAAAAGGCTCTCGAGAAGATTGACAAAATGCATAAAACCGAAGCTATCCTGGTCCAAAGGAGAGTCTTAGAGAGCGAATTGGAAGAGATCCTACTCCAGGAGGAGCTAATATGGAAGCAACGATCAAGAAATGATTGGTTAAACTTCATAAAAAAAAATTGATTGGTTAAAGCTGGGAGATAAGAACACTAAGTTCTTCCACAGACGAGCTTCAGAGAGGAGAGCCAAGAATATGATCCGAAAGCTTAAAGATGTGGATGGAAGGATATGTACAGGCCAGGAAGATGTGGCAAGGTGCATAGTGAGTTTCTACAAGAAACTGTATACCTCTAACTCTGGTTCTAGATCCAGGACAGTGATAGATGTTGTACCACGCAAGGTCTCAGCAAGCATGAATGTAGATCTACTAAAACCTTTCGAGAAAGAGGAGATTTGGGAAGCACTAAAGGTAATGCGACCGCTAAAAGCTCCGGGAGCTGATGGTATGCCTGCCCTCTTTTTCCAGAAGAAATGGGATATTATGGGAGCAACAATTAGTGCGGAGCTACAAGGGTATCTGGAAGAGGGCAGCTTCCCCTAAGATTTGAACCACGCCCTTATAGCGTTAATACCAAAAAATGAAAAGTCCCCAAACCCCAGCTGATTTTCGCCCCATTAGTCTATGTAAGGTGCTATCAAAGGTGCTATCAAAGGTGCTGGCCAACAGACTAAAAAGGGTGTTGAATGAGGTGATTGTACCAAATCAGAGCGCGTTTGTGTCTAGCAGACTAATCACTGACAATGTCATTATAGCTTTCGAGTGTTTTCACTCGATGAAAGCGAAGAAATCAGGAAATAAGGGTCATGTGACTGCTAAACTAAACATCACTAAAGCTTATGACAGGGTCGAATGGTCCTTTCTAGAGGCCATTATGCTGAAGTTGGGTTTTGATCCTAGATGGGTCTAGATGGTGATGACTTGTGTCACCACTGTCTCTTTTTCCACGCTTGTTAATGGCCATCAAACAGGGAAGTTCTATCCTAGCAGAGGACTAAGACAGGGGGATCCAATATCTCCCTATCATTTCTTGTTCGTGGTTGAAGGCCTATAAGCCCTAATAACTAAGGCAGGAGAAACAGATTGAAGGCCTGAAAGTTAAGAAGAATGCACCTCAGATCTCCCATCTTCTGTTTGCCAATGACAACATCCTCTTTTAAAGGCAACTAAGGCTGAAAGTGAAAAAGTGAGGAAAATCCTAAGTGTGTACGAGGCTTAATCAGGCCAACGGGTTAATCTAACCAAATCAGAGCTATCTTTTAGTCCAAATGTGAGATATGAGAGGCAGAAGGAGCTAGATGATATTCTTCATATGAAGAGGGTGGACTATCACCAAAGGTACATGGGTTTACCTACTATCATTGGAAGATAAAAAAGCAGGTGTTTGTCTATTTGGTGGATAGAGTTCGAGCAAAAGTGAAGGCCTGGAAGGGGAAACTACTATCTGTGGCAGGTAAGGAAGTTATTATTAAATCTATAGCTCATGCACAAATTACATATGCCATGTCAGTGTTCCAAATTCCGATTAGCAGTCTCAAGGAAGTTAAAAGAGTCGTGGCTCATTTCTAGTGGGGGCAGCAACAGGAGGAATGGAAGACTCACTGGTTAAACTAGAAAGAACTTTGTAAACCCAAAAAGTTGGGTGGAATGGGGTTCAATAACCTACAGAGCTTTAACTTAGCTCTACTGGATAGCAACAATGGCAGATTGTTCCATCTCCTTACACTCTAGTGGCAAAGGTGCTTAAAGCAAAGTATTTTGATGATAGAAACCCTCTGGAGGCATAAGTTGGGGCAGGATCTAGTAACAAGGGGGATGAGATGGCGGGTAGGGAATGGCAATAAAATAGATATATGGCTTGAAAAATGGGTGCCTTCCAGCAACTCCTTGCGAGTCACCTCACGAACATCTCCCTGGGGAAATTCTACCTCAATGGCAGAGCTAATTGATCATGAATCGAGGTGTTGGCGGACAGACTTGTTGCAGAGATTCTTAAATCCTACTGACAGGGTAAACATTCAGAAAATTCCCATCCCACGGCAACCTATGGAAGATAAAGTGATCTGGGATAAGGAGAAGTCAGGGAGATATTCTGTGATGTCAGCCTACAGACTATGGGAAGACATAAACATTGAAGAAGAAGGAGAGCTCTACACCCCTGTAAACTGGAAGAGGTTTTGGAACTTGAGAATCCCCCCAAAGGTAAAAATATTTGTGTGGAGATGGCTGAAGAACATAATCCCTACAGGAGCACGCATTTTTGATCGAATGCAGAAGGTAGTGAAGGGTGCCCGTTTTGCGATATAAGGGAGACGCAAGAACACACTTTCCATCAATGCGATTGGGTTCGACGAGTCTGAAGATATAGCCCTATGAACTCCTATGTAGAAAGAGGGAAAGCTCTTACCTCAGAAGAGTAGTTATGTGAACTCCAGGAGACTGAATCTGACGAGAAGCTGCGTGAATTCTTGGTTGCCCTCTGGTTTATATGGGATCAACGAAATTGCCAGCTGTGGAATAAGAAGAAGTTAGAGGAATGGGAAATTACGCCGCGAGCAAATGAATGGCTACAAGATTACCTGGAGAAGAAAGAGCAGCATCAACCGGCCGAACCATCTGAGAATCGGCAGTGGAAGCCACCTATAACGGCCCCTGTGAAGATCTCGGTCGATGCTGCATGTATGGCTGGTCGAGGAACTAGATGGGGAGCGGTGGTTCAAGAGAGAGAAGGGGGATTCAGGTTCGCGATGGTGAGGAGGTCGAGGGTCCAATGGAACCCAGAGTAAGCGGAAGCCATGTCTATTGATTTTGGTTTAGAGCTGGCAAGAAGGCTGGGAGTTAGGGAAATGGCGATTGTTTCGGATTGCTTGGGAGTGGTTCAGCAATTGCGTAGAGATGAAGATAGGGAGACAGAAGTTAGGCTCATCTTTGGGGAGATTAAGGACAAGGCCCGCGAGTGGGGTATAGTGGCCTGGAATTATGTGGCCCGAGAGAAGAACAAGCCAGCTCATCTTGGCCCATGTAGAGTGTGAATGGGATGGTGAAGAGGTTTGGGATGAGAGTCCACCTCATTTTCTTGTACCTCTTTTGCAAGAGGATTGTGCTGAACACCATGAGTTTTCTAGTTAAATAAATGAAGGAAGGTTTCTATAAAAAATAAATACCAAACAAATACCATATAACAAAATTTTATTATTTCGTATGTGATATTTGGCCCAAATAACATGTTAATAACATGTATGTGTTATTGGCATATTTTAGTATTCTTGTGCCACATGCCATAAAAATAAAATAAAAAGAAGAACGCGATAAATAGATTAGGATCCGGGTTGGGGCTGCAAATGAGCCGAGTAGAGCCGAAATTTATCCCATCTTGAGCTCGACTCGTTAATAAACGAGCAGAGCTCTACCTCGACTCGTTTATTAACTAGCCGAGTCGAGTTTGAGTTAGCCTTGTTTAATAAAATCTTGACTCGTATTTGATATTTCATTTTGTATGTCGTGTATGATACATATGATTGATGTCATGGAGAAACATAAAAGAAATAGTCAAATATTCAATATTAACTAATCTTATATTATATTTTGTTGGAATCATATTATTTAGTTAATAAATTTTAACTAGTTCAAATCATGTTATTTTATAGTATTGAAGCTATCTATTATATATTTTGTCGCATACTCAAATGTGTGTAACTTCATATATGGTGACATATATAATTTAATAATCCTATGAATTAACAATCATACGATATATTTTGATTAGCCCATAAATCAGCAATCGAATTGGCTCTCTAGCCACAATGTTGAGATATAACTCTAAACGAGCCACCTCACGAGTTCAGCTCAACAAACCACCGAGTCGAGCTACTTACTCGCGAGCTTCAAGAGCTGAACCATGCTGAGCTCATGCTCGCCTCGTTAATAAAGAGCTTCAAGTGAAGTACTCCTTTTCCGTTTACCATCATCGCCAGGGCTTCCCTTGCCGGAGCTACCAACAGCGCAGCAGCGAAGAATCATATATATACAATCTCCTCATAACGAAGTGCAAAGCCATAAACAAACTACATACTTACTTGTCTATTGCTACTACTACTCCTGTACTCCAGGGCTCTCCGTCCTCCAGTTAGGCCGGGGGCCGGCGGCGCTTTCCCGGCTTTGTGCGGGCATCGAAGGTGGGATCGGCTTCCATCAAATCTGTAAACAATACATATATACCCAAGCATCTTTTCTGAGCAAAGGAATTGACAACATCCATTGTTGCAACCAATACATATATATATATACCCAAGCAACTTAAATAATTAATTAAGTAGAGTGTGCTAAGTAGCTAGTCACTTAATTACTTGCCCCATTAGAGTCCCTGAAGACCAGAATTTTTTTTCAGATCCCTACTCCACCACCGACAGGAAAGCACCACTCTGTAACTCTTCTCGCCAGAGCTCCTTTTCCGTTTGCCATCATCACCGGAGCTACCATCGTCGTCACCACCGGCGCTATCACCATTGCGGCAGCGAATGATGAGATAGAATATCTTGATACCAACACTACCTCCAACCGATGCATCCTCAATCCCACAAAGCTCCATCTCAGCATCCTGGAAAACATTTACATTAAAAGCATGTATATATATAGAACACAAAAAAAGACAAAGACACGATCGAGTAGGTTTTCTTTGGTTCACCCGCTCCTCATTATATGCATAGACCGCAAAGTCGGCGCATTCTTCAACTATGGAATCGAAGCCTGGCTGGAAATTGAAATGCTCTCGAGGGTATGGTAGCGTCTCCAGGTTGAAATAAATTGGACGGCATCCAAAATAGAAACCCTGCGTTCGTATATCAATTAAGAACATATTTGGAATGAGCACTTCTACTATGCTATATAGTATTGGTGTTTTAATGTACAACTTAAAGTTGTACCATAACATTAAATGTATAAGTTTAGGTTGTACCATAAAGCAATTTGTACCATTATGTTATGGTACAACTTTACAACTTGAAGTTGTACCATCACATAAAGGTACAAGTTCAAGTTGTACCATAAAAGAATTTGTACAAAAAGTATAGGTACAATCTAAAGTTGTACCATAACGTAAATGTACAATTTTAAGTTGTACCATAAAGGCAAAATCCTATAGCACCAATACTATATAGCATTGTGGCCAAATACTAATCAAGAACCAATAAAATTTAGGGATACTGCAATGAAATTTGCAGAAGTTAGTAATTGATAGTATAAGAATTAATTAAGGGGATTTTGGAACTTACACCCTCCTCGAATAACCTCCTCATGTAGAAGATGACATGTAGCCTTAGGGTCTCATCTCCACCGAAATCGTCGTCCCCAAAAACGTAGTCCTCGTCGTCGTACTCTTCTTTCATCTCCTTCTTGTCAAGTTCTCGGCAGCTTTTGCATTGGGGATGTTTATAGTAGGTCAACTGAGGCAACTCTAGATCGTCGGAGGAGGCCATGGGATCAAATCGATTACCGGCGGATGAAGGACGGCCACTCGCCTGCTCTTCTCTTCTATTGTAGGGATTTCGATTTGATTTTTGGAAACCCTCGGGGATGAACGAACATATATTGTATGAATACTTATGTACTATTAGACGTTAGATTAGTTTAGGGACAAAATAAAATATGTATCTTGTACCTAACTTACAGATAGATGTGGCTATACGGTCCGATCCGGTTAAATTGGCTCGAATTGATCTGGTCTCAGTATGATTTTTTCGGGAATATAAGGACCAAAGATTGGATACAATCCGGTTTTTATTTGGTCCGGTCCCAATTCGGTTTTGATTTTAGATTGAACTTGTGGGGATTTGAGTAGCTTGAGGCCTCAAAGGGCGAGAAGTTGGTTAAGTTTTGGGTGTTGGACTCTCTTATCCGGTCTTTATTCGGTTTTCGATCCGGTCCCAAATGATTTTTTACCTCAAATCTAAGCCCGAAAATGGAATTGAATTGTTTGCTATCCGATCCTGATCTAGGTTATAGAGTCTGATTTTGGGTAAAACCAAATAGTATGGACCAAATAACCAGCCCTACTTACAGTACCTTAATTTTAGTAACTATGCCATCAATCTATCACTAACTTTGACTTTGTCTATTGACTGAATCCTTTAAAGTTAGAGATTATAAATAATTAATATATAATTAAATAATATATAAAAGCCTAACGTTGAAGTTATTATTCATTAGTGGCTCTCACACTCTTCCAAGTGTAAGTGGGGAAGTTCCAGGTTCTTCTTTTATCACACTCTCTATTCTACAACCTTTGTGTTTAACTATTGTTCGTTGAGTTTACATCTATTGTCCATTGTGTTTCCATAACAATTCCTTCTCTATCCCACTCTCCAGTCTACAATTTTTGTGTTTACCTATTATTTGCTACGTTTACATCTATTGTCCATTGTGTTTTCCATAACAATTATTGCCTACTAGGTTTTCAGCTCCCTATTGCAGCAACTATCTACTAGGTTTCGTCTATAGATTTTTGCACAAATCATCACTTCCGCCCACCATTTCGCAACCAATCTCGAAATACTGTCGGCTGAATCGTAAATTCGCCCCCCCCCCCCCACCGTTTTCCAAGGCCGCTACCACAAGTTTTGTATCGGGGCCGAGTTTCATCCTCTATAGTGTTTTTTCTTTGTCTTTTTCCATTTTGTTGAGCATGATCACAATTGAACCCAAACACATGGGTATCCTAACTTGGACCCAAAATCATTGTCTTTTCGCACCATTTCGCAACCCAACTCGAAACACTATAGTTTAAACCGATTGGGAGAATAAGAGAAACCAAATTATTAAAATAGTTTAACAACTTCAAAGAAATAACATTGTAGCGGTTTCCGATATATTAATGACTAACCGACTAAATCATTTTACGAAAATGAAAGAAAACGCACATGCAAGGGAACCAACTCCTAAAGACCAATTAAAATAACCCTTCTAATTACTCCTTGTTTTCATAGATCACTGTATTTTTTTCTTTTTGGCTTGTTTACGTTTCTTTCAGCATGAGCAACAACCTCATCGCCACCATTAATAATGTCTTAATCTTCATTACCATTCCTTATTTTCTTGGATTTCAGTTATATCTTCCTTGTTTTCCTACATTTTATTGAACACAAAAAATTATGGTAAAATATATTAGAAATTGAAATCATATTTTTCATTAGAGTACAATTTACCTCGATACCATCATCATCTGTAGCACCGGGTTCATTACCTCCACCATTAACAATGTCATTCTTGTTATCCTACATTAGCATTAGCATTATGAACTTAGATCATTTACATTTCAAAGTACAACATTTTTGGTGTTCTCCACCTTTTAATTGGAGGTTGATTTATTTGAATATAATTCGCTAAAGCCAATTTTGGTAATTAAAACATGTGCTCCCTTCATCCGACCATTGAAGTTATTAATAAGATTAAATAATATAACTAAGTATGACATGTGCATGATATAAAAATCCAAATATAGTAGAGAATAACTCAAATTTGTAATTAATATTGATCATCATTTTTATTGCAATACAATTTACATCGATAAAGTTAGGAAGATTGTCGGTGGTTTGTTCTTCATCGTCCTTCCTTATCTTGGTAATTGTGCACTTGTTGGATTAGCATTGTTATATTTGTGAGCTTGATGCCGAACTACAACATCATTCCCTCAGTTTTTGAATACCATTAATTATTAAGGGGATGTCCCTTTTGGATTCATTAATAATATAATATTTGTGTTCTGCACATAATAATTTAAATTATAATTTGGAAAATTATATACCCAATCACTTGACATTTATATTCATCAACAAAATATATCAAATCTAATTACATGTTAATAATGGTTGCATTACCTTGAAGTTGTTGTTTTTATAGCCGCGGTTCTAGGGGTGGGCAAACGGTTCGGTAAACTCGAACTGAACCGAAACCGCAATAACGCTATTCGGTTTGGAATTCGAAAGGAAAATATCAATATTTCAGAAATCATGGTTCTTTCAACCGAACCGAAATTCCGATCGAAAAACCGAAATACTATAATTGGAACCTTCAAAAGCTGGATTTTGATGTTTGTAGTTATTTTTAGACTTATGAAATGTTTTATGGCTTATGTGTTGAAAGTTTGATTTTATCATTGATTATGCATATAATTGCATATTTATTGTTTATATTAGGGGATGATAAATAATTTAAAAGTGAGAAGATACAAGTAGCCTCACAAATTCGGTTTTGTATGAAAAACCAATCCGAATTATATTTTGGTTCAAACCGACCGAACCAAATTATAATTCGGTTCGAATTCGGTTTGAGGTTTGGAAGAATTCGGGGACTCGGTATTCATACTTTTGGTTCGGTCGAAACCGAACCGACCGAATACCCACCATTAATTATTGAGGGGATGTCCCTTTTGGTTAATTAATAATATAATATTTGTGTTATGCACATAATAATTTAAATTATAATTTGGAAAATTATATACCCAATCACTTGACATTTATATTCATCAACAAACTATATCAAATCTAGTTGCATGTTAATAATGGTTGCATTACCTTGAAGTTGTTGTTTTTATAGCCGCGGTACAATTCCCACATAAATCAATATTCCGGTATCTCTTGGTACTGCGGTTTTATTGTTGGGGATTTAACCTGGGCATGTAGAAGATTTCAACGCCGATATCAATCTTCCGGGATCTCTTTTCATTTCAAATAACATTCACCCCACACTCCGCAAAAATCCCATATCTCTCTCACTCACTTGTCCGTCCGTTAACCTGTTCAGCAACCGCAAGTTCACGGTACCCGGAATCTGCTTCATTGGACATCTCCTCCGAATTCTACTACACTTCTACTTCTGACGCGGTTAAATTGATTGTTAACCTTAGTAAGCGCGGTGCACCGTTAACCGCTAACCATCCTTTATACGGTCACGATTAACTGCAACCGCACATTTTCCCACCAATACCTACAAATAATATCCACTTCAATTATATTTTGAACAAAACAAGTTCAATCATTCTGGCGACATGCTAACTTCCATGAGATCGACATTTCCAATGTGGGAAATATCTTCTTATTCACTATATTGACGGACCTTTGGGCCAATTTAACCGGACCGGAGCGTATAGCCACCCCTACCGTGTAAAGTCCTTTACCATACTGGTTAAGGGCATTCGTCATGGTGGTAATGATAACACTCTCTAGTCTCTACCACAACTAATTTTGAAATCTTTTCAGTTGACCGGATAAATGTTAACCGCTAATAATGATAAATTATGTGAACGGCTAATTGCCGCCAACTAAAAAAAAATTGAATTCAAATTTTGAATTTTCCCTTTCTTTCATTCTATAAATTCGGATATCAGGAACATTTGACTCATTCCAACAAAAACTTCTGTTGACGAGCCCAGTGCCTCCGTCGCCGGCACCGTTCTTCCGTCGTCGGCCAACCTCCTGTCGCCCTCAATCGTCGGAAAACAAGTAAGTTTACTTTTTCCGGCAAGTTTTCCAGTTTTCCGGCGAAAAACACGGCGGACCGAAAAAAATTGCGACCCGAACGCCGCCGAGGCGAAAAAAATTTACGGCCGGCCGAAAAATTCTTTCGGCCCGGCGGCTGCTCGGCCGCAAATTTTTTTCGGCCGCTCGCCGAACACGCCGGCGAAAATTTTTCCGACGACGTGTTCGTCGGCCGACCGAAAAAAATTTGCGGCCGGTGCGACATCGGCCCGAAAGAATTTTTCGGCCGGGCATCGCACCGGCCGCAAATGTTTTTCGGCCAGGCGGCGCACCGGCCGCAAAAAATTTTCGGCCCGGCGGCGTGCCGGCCGCAAAAGTTTTTCGGCCGGCCGACATACCGGCCGCAAAAAAATTTCGTCCCGGCAACGCACCGGACTAGGGTTGAAATCGCCTACCAGCAAAGGTTGAACAAACTCTGGAAAAAGCTCATCGATATAAGGGTAAGAATATTGCCCTGGGGGCTCTGGGATGAGTAATCTACAAAAATATACCAAACGGTCAAAATTACTTGGACAAAATTTACAAACATAAACCAATTACTACTAGATGGACTATAATATTAAACCAATTACTCACCTGTATCATGCTCGTCGGATTCACCTCCACTCGATCGGGATCTGCCTCCACTCGATCGCCCCCTACCTCCACTCGAACCAGGCCAAGTACTCCTCGAACGAGGCCGCTCATAATATGAACGAATGCGACTGGTGCTTGTTCGAGGCCGTCCTCTCGGATTCTCATTCACTTCCGGTTCCCTCACATTGTCCTCTGCTGGGTGAAGCCCATAGAATAGGGCATCTCTTGCTTGTCTCACTGCTTCAGGACCTCTTTCTTCCACCTCAACAGTAAGATGCCTAAAGTGTTCTCGTTGAAGCTCAATTTCATCACTGACTTGTTGTTGACGTGGGGGGTTTTTATAATCCAAAGTCCGCCAAAATACATGCAACTCTTGAGCATAGTATTGACGTCCTTCTTCCTTAGCTTGAACAACCTGACAAGCACACTTGAGCCCATGTGTCATCTGAAAATGACACGTACAACTGTCCTTCAACTCCGCCGCCCCATCTAACATCAGTTTGATTGCCTCACAACTAACGACCCTCCTCAAAAACGTGCACGGAGGCTCAATTGCCCTACTCAGATTGCGGTTCAGTGACTTGTGCAGTTCATTCACCACTTCCAGAAACTGATGTTCCATGTAGTTGTGGTTCTTCGCAAAACAAGTGGCGATCGCTCCTCTACCAGACACAAGGAAAGTCTTGAATGAAGAGTGAGATTACTCAACTCTATTCGAGCTCGTATTACCAAGATGAAACACATGGTTCGTGTAGCACTTTGCCCACATTGTCTGATGAGGCAACCACTCACCTCGCACGTAGTCGACCATTTTTATGTTCTTCTCTGTCCAGACCCTCTCAAACTCATTAATCTTTTGAAGAAAACCCTCCTGAGTCCAACTCCATGCAGCTTTGTCGAAATATTTCTTCCATACCGCGTGTGCTACCTCTCTTTTTACAATTCCACCCAGTAATATTTCAAACTTTTGCTTCACACAGTTGTTGACGTGCCATAAACATAGTAGGTGGACAGTATGTGGGAGAGGGAAGACCACAGGAATAGAAGCAAGCAAACTACCTTCTTTGTCTGTCACAATGACATTCGGAACCGTATCACCGAGCAACCCTTTAATACATCGTAGCAGCCACTCATATGTTTCCTTTGTTTCCTGCTTAATAATTGCACATGCAATGTTGAAATTCTTCTTGACTGGAGTAACCCCAATAATCTCAACCCATGGCCAGCCGTACCTGTTGGTCTTGTAGGTCGAGTCAATGAGGATGACGTACGGCCATGCATGCAACATCTGAATGGACGTCGGGTGCGCAAAAAACAGATTAGTGAGCACATTATTAGAGTCCTTTTGCAAACAGATATGGTACCCACGTTGTTCAGCTCCGTGAAGCGCAAACTGTATCGCATCCATTTCACCCATCTCATCCAATCTTGTCTTGTAATTTCTGTTGTACATCTGTTTGATATCATGATGCACACCCCCTTCAGTATTGAGTGTCGTCTTCTGCTGATTTGGTCTCACCCCCGCCTTCCTCATTAATCTTAACCTCTCTTTTTCAGCCTCACTAAACTGTTTGTTGTGTCGGTGATGTTCTGGATACAACACCTTTTCATGGTTGTGAAACCCTCTATTAGCTCCGGTTTCACGACTTGTCACTCCCACTATGACCCATGTGTTTGGACCATTCTTTTGCCATACTTCCTTAATACATATCTGAAACTGGCAACCAGTACCCTTCGAACTAATATTCTCACGCGTCTCCTTCGTAGGGTCTGGTTTATAAGACTTAACGATCCTACTACTTCTGTCGCAATACATACAGACGGCAGTAACAGGAGGTAGTCCAGCAGTATTCGGTTTCCATGCTCCTCTAACAATAAAGAGCCCACACTCCTGAGCGATTGCTTTTGCAGCTAACTTAGCTAACTTCACACTTGCATAATGGATCCCATTCTCAAATTCCTGTGTGTAATGATGATCGGCCGGTAACCACTCTGACATTTTTCCTACAACTACAATATAACACATCAATATTCCTGTGAACCTAAACGCTAATTTCAAGTCTTAACCGCTAAATTCAACTCCTAAACTCTAAATTCAATTTTTACACGCTAAATTCAACTCTAAAACGCTAAATTCAACTCCTAAACTCTAAATTCAACTCCTAAAATCGAATTTTTCCGAAAAATTCCAAAAACAGACGGTGAGCCGAAAATTTCCGGCGGCCGGAACCTGGCCGGCCGAAAATTTCCGGCGGCCGGAACCTGGCCGGCCGAAAAATTCCGGCGGCCGGAACCTGGCCGGGCCGAAAATTTCCGGTGGCCTGAACCTCAGCCTGGCTCCGGCCACCGATTTGCGCCAGCCCAGCCTGGTTCCTGCCGCCGGAATTTTTCGGCCCGGCCAGGTTCCGGCCGCCGGAATTTTTCGGCCCACCGTCTATTCGTTTCAAATCGTCGGAAAAATTGTTCGAAACTACAAAAAATTTACGCACCTCCTTAGTGATGATTCATGGATGCGTGTACGCAGTATATGTCGAGGATAGGCTTTCCCGATGATTTTTCGGCTACTTTTCCGGCGAGCATTGAATTTTTCTGATTCAATACGTTCTCTGAAAGTTGGATATATTGTAGATTGTGAAACTCTTTAACCAAAGATATACATATATACTCTTTTTTTTTTTTTTTTTGGTTGGCGGCAAATAGCAAGCCCCTAAATTATTAGTCTTCTAGAAATTAGTAAAAACACTTGACTGTCAATTAAGAAGTAATTGCTCAAGTTTGTACCTGCGTCGCCAAGCAAAGCTTTCGAGAAAAATCCCTTGACTCTATTGATTCAACCTGCGGTTAACCATGTTGCTAACCATACTAATGGTTTCGAGACATTTTGGTTTATGGTTGTGACGGAGGTTAGTGTGGTTAGTACAATTAATCGCGGTTAGCGTGGTTAATCGCAGGTAACCGCGTTAGTAATCGGTTAAACTGCGATTACTTGTTCGGTTGCGGTTAACCCGCAAACCACAAAACATGCAATATTGCTAACCGCGACCGCAAAAGACCCTATTTTTTTGGTTTGCGGTTAACTACTAACCGCACGGTTTCAGTGTGGTCAGCGGTTTAACCACAAAACCGCAACCGAATTCCCACCCCTGCTAAAGCACCACCTTCAGCTTCCAAATAAATCAGACTAAACAAACGCAAAGCCATAAACAAATTGCATAATTGTCTACTACTACTACTTATCCTCCTGGGAGTCCCAAACACTATCTTCAGCTTCCGAATCTCCAACTACTATAATAGCCAGCTACATAATTAAAACAAGTGTATTTCAGCAGCCCACAGAGCAAGGTTGTCAACCCGCGGGTTGACCCAGACCCGGTTGAATTAGTGGGTCAAGGGTTAATGGGTCACCCATTTTAGCCCGGAATTATGGAAAGCGTCATTATATTGTACTTATCCTGATAAATTATATCAAATCTCATCTAACATATGAGTTATAACATATAATATTACACCAAAATAACATTTCGTACTTAGATTCAACATATAGTGAAAATTCACACACCCTAATATAACATTAATATTCAAATGTTCAACTTAGGATTCCAAAGATTGAGTTAGGCGAAAAGAAAAATCGAAAAATAGGCGCATTTCGCAAAACAAAGAAAAAAACGACACAATTTGACCTCCAACCCGGTACCTTGTGGCAGTCGACCCGGCGGGTGCGTGCGGCCCGTTTTTCTCACCGGGTCATGATCAAACTGGGTCAACCCACAGATCGACCCGCGGGTTGACAACCTTGCCACGGAGCCTCACAGACACGAACTCCTCCAAGGCTCTCTGTAATCCAGTTAGGTGGGGGGAGGGCGGCGCTTGCCCGGCCTAATGCGTTTATCGAACGCGGGATCCGGTGTCATCAAATCTGTAAACAGGGAAGCATCTTTTCATAGCAAAGGAATTGACAGCATTGATTGTTGCAACGAATACATACCCAAGCCACCAGGTACAGTAGAACAAAAACGTGCAACAGTTTGATACATATACAATGACAACATTCAACAAAAACCATGTGAGTCATTATGTACGCCTTCATAGGACTTACAACAGGGCCAATTGTGAAATAGACAAATGCGCCATGGTAATGAATAAAAACCACCACGGCCAAAGTGGCAATCACCCTCCCAGAAAAAACTGCATGCATGCGTATGGCATCAAAAACAGCCCATAACAGAAGTAGAGTGATAATTAAGTAGTCACTTACTTTCCCCATTAGAGTCCCTGAAGAGCAAAATCTTCTTCAGATTCCTACTCCACCAGCGACAGTTAAGCACCACTCTGTAAGTCTCCTCGTTATCACTCTCACCAGAGCTCCTTTTCCGTTTACCATCGTCAGTGGAGCTACCACCGTCGTCACCGGTGCTATCACCATTGCGGCAGCGAATGACCAGATAGAATATCTTGATACCACCACTACCTCCAATAGAGGCATCATCAATCCCACAAAGCTCCATCTCAGCATCCTGGAAAACATTCACATTACAAGCATGTATATATATATAGAACACAACAAAAGACAAAGACACTCGTATAATGAGTTAATCTTCTTTCCTTCTCAAAATATCAAATCATTTCAAAAAGCTTGGTGGCTTTTCTTTGGTTTACCCGCTCCTCATTATATGCATAGACAGCGAAGTCAGCGCATTCTTCAACAATGGAATCGAAGCCTGGCTCGAAATTAAAATGCTCTCGAGGGTATGGCAGTGACTCCAGGTTGAAATAATTTGGACGGCAACCAAAATAAAAACCCTGCGTGCGTGCGTGCGTATATGAATTAAAAACAGATTTAGAACCTCCTCGAATAGAATTTGCAGAAGAAAGTAATTGATAGTATATGAATTAATTAAAGGGATTTTGGAACTTACACCCTCCTCGAATAACCTCCGCCTGTAGAAGATGACATGCAGCCTTAGGGTCTTATCGCCACCGAAATCGTCGTACCTAAAAACGTAGTCCTCATCGTCGTACTCTTCTTTCATCTCCTTCTTGTCGAGTTCCTGGCAGCTTTTGCATTGGGGATGTTTGTAGTAGGTCAACTCATCAGGCAACTCTTCATCGGAGGCCATGGGATCCAATCGATTACCGGTGGATGAAGAACGACCACTGGCCTGCTCTTCTCTTCTATTCTAGGGTTTTCGATTTGATTTTTTGGAAACCCTCGGGGATGAAGGAACATATATTGTATGAATATTTATTTTACTGAAATTATTAGTGACCTTGGTAGCCATGTCTGTTTCTTGAGGGATTCTTTTGTAATTTTCCATCTCGTGCCCTAGTTCATCGAGCTGGGATCAGGTGACTAAGGGGGTCCCCTTAGTCACATGGCTAAGTGAATCTCAACCACTCAACCTCATTAAAATCCAAGGGCTCCTATTAATTCAATTTAATGAAGGGCAATGTAGTAATTGCATGTGCTATTTTTTACTTTTAATTATAAAATGAATAAAAAAATTAAGCCAGTCCCGTCTCCGTTCGGTAGTTAATTGTCGGCGGTGGCTCCCCTGGCAATTGCTGGGCAGGAGAGTTCCCTCGGCAATTAAGCCAGCTCTCATGCTCCATTATTCCAGGCGAATTCCCCAGAGAGAGAGAGAGAAGAGAGAGTTTTTCGGTGACCGGAGGCAATTTCCTGGTGTCAGTGTTGGATTTTGTGATGTTTGCTGACCTATTTTGTCATGTTTGTATAGATTCGGTTTGTATTGTTTGTCATTTTTAGTGACATTTTGTACGGTTAGTATGTTTTGTACTGTTTGTCGGTTTATTTTGTAATGTTTATACGCTTTGTTATTTTGTAATGTTTGTTGGTTTTTTTTTTTTTTGTAATGTTTGTAAACTTTGTTATTTTTGTGCACCATGTTTATCATTTTTGTCAACCATGTTTGTAATGTTTTTTATGTCTAAAAAACAACCTGTTTGACTTTTGGATGGAACTCCTCTATATAGGGATGGAGCCTCCAAAGTCAACCCGAGTGTTTTTTCTAGTTCGTATGGATTGTCGGTCTAGTTTGTCATTTTTGTCCACAATGTTCGTAATGTTTGTATGTCTAAAAAACAACCGGGTTGACTTTGAGACAGATCCCTCTATATAGGGATAAAGCCTCCAAAGTCAACCCGTGTGTTTTTCCAATTTGTATGAATTTTTGGTCTAGTTTGTCATTTTTGTCCACCATGTTTGTATGTCTAAAAAACACTAATATACAAGAGTTCCTTCCCTTGTATTACCGATGTGGTACTTGGATTGTCTTGAGGGGAGGATTGTTGTGGGACAATCCAAGTACCACATCGAAAATACAAGGGAAGGAACCCGTGTATATAAGTGTCCACCAAGCTCATTAGTACGAGGCCTTTTCGGGAGGAAACTTAAAAGTAAATCCGTGCGGGCTTGGTCCAAAACGGACAATATCGTACTAATTGAGGGTCCCAGTTTCGACAAGTGGTATCAGAGTCTGGTTCGGCGGATCCAGGGTGGTGGACGTCAGTTCGGTGGATCCTCGTTCGGTGATCTCGGGATTTGAGATTCACATATGGTTTGGCGGATCAAGGGAGGTCTGCGTCTGTCTGGTGGATAGGGCTGGGAAAATAGAACAGACCGTTAGAAAAACCGTGGTCCAAACCGTACCGCACAGTTTGGTCCGGACCGTAGACCGTGAAGTATGGTCTGGTCTGGTCCATGGTCTGTATTATTTTATGATTTGATCTCTTAATCTGGTCTGGTCTAGACCGCGATTTACCGGACCAAACCGTGGACCCAACTGACTTGTCAATACTTGTTAACAGCCCATTCGACCACTCTCCAAACTCCCACAACGACACCCAAGTCTCAACCTTAATTTTGTGAATCTCTTCCCTCCTTCATTCACAACCACATTTAACCAGAGAGTAGAGATAATAGTGTCTCCATATGACATTATGTTAATGTTTATGACGTTATGGTGCAAGCTGTGATGTTTTTACTTTGTATCTTTGTTATATACTAAGATTAAGAGTATCAAAAATTTTCATGCATGTTAGGATTAATGTTTTAAGGAAAATAACAATTATTTTTCTTGGTTATTGGTTCAATTTTTTGTGTGGCCGACTAAACAAATTATTCATTTTTCGTTGAGTGTGGTCTATCTGGACCAGACTAGACCGAACCAGACCGCACAAGCGTGGTCTGGACCGGACTGTATAGTCTGTGGTCTGGTCTGTGGTCTATACTTTAGGCTCTCGGTCTGGACCATAGACCGTATATATGGTCTAGACTAGACCGCACCGTTTCCCAGCCCTACTGGTGGATCTAGGAGAGATCCACGTTTGAGAAAATACTTGTACAGAGAAGCTCATCGATACAAGGTGTTTGGCGGATCAAGATAATTGCTAAGAAGAGGACACGAAGTCCGTGGTCCTTGTCTTGAGGGGAGGATTGTTAGGGTACAATCCAAGTACCACCTCGGAAATACAAGGGAAGGAACCCTTGTATATCAGTGTCCACCTATCCCAATTAGTACGAGGCCTTTTGGGGAGGACACCCAAGAGTAAAACCATGCGGGCTTGGCCCAGAGAGGACAATATCGTACTAATGGGCTGCCCAAGTTATGACACAGGGTGTACGGCGAAGTATTCTAACAATGGGAGCCTCCCTAACGATGATTGGAGAAGTATAGAGCCACATTGCATTAACTATGGTCTGCCGATTTTCCCTCGAAAATGGGTTGGGAAAGAAGAGACGCCCAACTAGACTCAATTTCCCTGTCTTTTAAAGCACACGGGTTTGATCCACCATGGATATATACATTTTGTTTAATTATTTTAAAAAAAATATGACTTATCATGGCGAGGCGGTTGCGGATGAGGCCAAGGCTGGCGCTGGTGTGGCCGACACATGCGCAATCGAATGAGATGGAAGTTGCTTCAGGGAGAGAGAATGAGAAAAGAAACAGCCGGACAGTCGGAGCAGCGGAGGATTATTCCAGTCGGACTCGGAGCGGGAGCGGATGCAGGGGTGTGCAGATCTGAGGGAGGAGGCGGCGGGGGCGAGAGATTCGACGAGTTGGATATGGGAGATGGGGTAGAAATTGATTGGAAATGGGATTAGCAATCCGCGGAAGGCGATATGATCACCGGCCATGAGCGAGGAGCATTCGCCCTTCCATCTCTTACCAAGATCTTCCGCAGCGATGGTGTCGGTCAATTGGATCCCCATCTATAGTGAGCTCTAGCAGTTCTCGCTGCCCAACGCCATCATACGTTTCGATCCTGGACTAGCCTCCAGCCATGATTTCTTTTACTAACTTTTTGTAGGGCTTTAAAGTAGCTTCAGCCTGGCGGTGAACGGGTCTTTCCAATGATGACAAGTTTTTCGGCGGACAGTGAATCTACGGTGGTGCAGTTACACCCCACGATAATGCTTTGAACGGTTTCAATTCCACTGCGGTTGTCACCATTCTAAACGCGGGTTCTAAGCGCATTTAGATGCAGTAGCTCATATGACTTGTAGAGCATCTTTAGTGGAGATCCGATGGTATTTGATTTTCGTTTTGTCCTTAAAGGGGTCAATTATGTGTTTCTCTTTTGCAGGTATCTTGCACATCAAATCTATATGTAGTCTATTGGAACTCGGCTTATAGGAGATGTGAAGTTCGTACTCGCCAAATTGGTGCTTCAAGAAGTTTGCCGCAAGAAGACTTCCTTTGGGTTTATTTGTTTTTTTATGTTTTTAGGCATACTAACATGGTTGCCCATTGTGTGGCATTCCCAGCCCTTGCATCGGTACTCGGTAGCAACCCTTTTGGTTGACTACCGCTCTTTCATTTTCAACGCATTGTAACACCCTATCTATTACGATCTATCTATGACAAAAAAAAAACTAGACTCAATTTCCCTTGTTCACGAGCAACCGCCACGTCACCGACATAAAAACCAATGACCTGGTCGACATAGGCTTAAGTCTCTTTCCCAACAACTCAAGTTATTAGGGGGCAAGTGGTTAGTTTGCTAACATGGTATCAGAGTCTAGAACCAAAAAATCATGGTTTTGAATCATCATTATGACCCCCAATATAAACAATGGTTTAGTACAAGGAATGGTATGTCCAACCTATGTTCGTAAAAGAAACTCCAAAAAATGTAGGATTTCGTTTGAGGGGGCGTGTGAGAGATAAAAAAAATGCTTAATAAACTCTTTTCCAACAACTCGAGTTATTGGGGTCAAATGGTTAGTTCGCTATGTCTGTTAATTGAATGATTATAAAACTAATTATGAATAAACACTAAAAACCAAAAGCATAAAAAGGAAGGACCCGAGAAAGAGAACCATTTGATTTGAACATGCAGTTGCTCTAGAACTGGGTTTTGATTTGGGTAGGGAATTTGAATCCTAACCGCAACATTACCTAGATTTAGGCAAGATTTCATGCATGAGAGACGTCCACGGCTTCGTGATTGTGGGGGAGATGGGAAACCCCATCGCCGATCAAACCGCATCTGGAGAAGCCCCAAACCGCCACAACAAAGTTCAGAGCAAGAAGTTTTTTTTCCCCACTGATGCTTACTCCGTATTTTGCTTTTTTATTTATAGGTTGGGTTTTATGAGGAGATTCAAGACTGGACCTTTTTAGAGTAAATACAATATTAGCCACAACTATTATGCAGCGGGAAATTATAGTCACAATTATAGGTGTCAAAACATAGCCCGACTTGATTAACCCGCCCGATCAACCCGACCCGTAATCCGACCGCAACCCGAATTGACTAAAAGTCAACAACCCGTAACCCGCCCGACCCGCAACCCGATTGACCCGCAACCCAACTAACCCGCAACCCGACTGACCCGCAACCCTATTAACCCGAACCCGATTGACCCGCAACCCGACTGACCCGCAACCCGATTAACTCGAACCCGATTGACCCGAACCCGACTAACCCGTAACCCGACCGACTCAACCCGAATTTCATCTAATCCACTTGAATAATTATAAAAATATACAATAAATAGTTTTTCAAAATAAAGTTTTTCATTCTAAACTTAAGTAAAATTCTTTTTTCATTTCGTATAAGAAATTTAAAAAATATGAAACTCACTTGATATTACGTATTTTAAGAAAATTACCAAAATTGAAACATGAAGGTCACTTGAGATCATGACAATATTAATATAATATATAAATTAAAATTTTGGTTAATTTAACTATTCAATAAAATTATCAATTAAATATAAATAAAGTAAAGTAATGTATTTGGCAATTTGATGTTTTCAAAAGAAGAGGGAAATTTGGGTGTATTCAAGTTTTTGGGAAGAGAAAGAAGAGAGAAATTTGGTTCTTTGAATTTTTTTAGAAAAGAAACAAGTGGGAATTTTGGTGGTTTTGATATGTGGGAAGAGAAAGAAGTGGGAAAGTTTGATTCTTTTGATTATGAAAGAGAAATAAGGAGGGAAACTTTTGAATTTTCAACTTTTTGTAGAAGGAAAGAAGAGGGTAATTGGGTTCTTTCAATTTTATGGAAGAGAAAGAGGAGGGAAAATTGAGTTTTTCTAATGTATGGAAGGAGAAAAAAGGAGGGAAATTTTAGTATTTTTGTGAAAAGAAAGAAGGAAACAAATTTGGTGTTTTCAATTTTTTGGTTTTTCATAATTTTAGCTTTTGAAAAATGAATCTTTAACTTTTATATGGAGGGTATGACTAGTTAAAATTATTTTTATATGCTTTGAAGGCTAATATGTATATATGTATGTAATTGTTTATGGGCTAATAAATGAATTAACCATTAGTTACAATAATTTATACTAAACTTTATAAGTAATCTTTGACGGTTCGTTGTTTTGGATATAAAGTATATGGTTCTGGTATAAGGTGTAAGGTACATATGGTTTAGGGTGTATATGGTTAAAGTATAAGATATTGATGGTTTTGACGGTTCTAAGTTTTTTATTAACATATGTTCACTTGAAGTCATTTGAAGTCTTTAACGGCAGGAGATCCCTTTTTAATTTATGTTTATGGTACGTGGTTAGGGTACAAGGTATGTGGTGTAAAGTATATGATATATGGTTAGGGTATAACAATTAGCAAATATCACTTTTTATCTATGTTTTGAAAATCAAAGTATGAATTTCACTTTTAAATTAACTATACTAGCAAAATCACAACTCAAGGATATATGGTTAAGGTATAGGTTATGTGGTTAGTGTATAATGTATTGATGGTTTAGGGTATACAATCAACAACATATGCTAACTTAATATTGTTGATTGAGGGTAAGGCTAAGTGTATAGGATATATGCTATTGAGTAAGTTATGATTGAAGTCACAATAATTTTACTAAATTTGATAGCTAATCTTTAATGGTTCAATTTTTAGGATAATTCGAACAATTTTACAAAGAACTCGTTTGGCAACAGTTTACGGAAGTTATTAGGGCAATGAGTTATTTTGAAATAACTCCTTTTATCACTATGCTTTTGCCAATTACCACACGCCAAATAACAGATTAGCATGGTTATACTAAACGAGATACTTTAATTCCATTACTAATGAATTAATACTAAAATATCAAATAAACAATTAACGGTGTCTTTTGGTTGCAAATATTTATATCACCATTACTATTAGCTATAATACTTTACAAATTATGATTAATTACATAACAAGTTTGCAAGTCATACAAATTGATTTAAAATTTTGACTAGTTTTTTTCAAAAAAAATAAAGTATATATATAAGAGATAGAAATAAATTGGTTAAAAAGTTGAGAAAATATTTTAAATTAGTGTAATAAAATGTGTAAGTTGGTAATGAGTAATGAGTTAAGTTACTTGAAGCGCTGGCCCGAACACCCCGAAACCCGACTCGCCCGCAACCCGCCCGACCCAAAACCCGATGAACCCGCAACCCGATTTGCCCGCAACCCGATTGAACCCGAACCCGATGAACCCGCAACCCGACTAACCCGCAACCCGTTTGAACCCGAACCCGATGAACCCGAACCCGATGAACCCGCAACCCGACTAACCCGCAACCCGTTTGAACCCGAACCTGATTGAACCCCGCCCGAACCCGCCCGATTGACACCTATAGTCACAACTATGAAAATTCAAATTATTAGTCATAATTATTGTTGTGGGTCAAGATATGGCTAATTGTCCGTTACTATTATTGAATTTTTGACGAACAAGGCCACGTCATCGACCACGTTGGAATGCTTTTTATTTATAATTTTAAAGCATAAAAATTTAGTCAGTATTACTAACGAAATTGTTAACATTTGGTTAATAATTTGAATTTTTATAGTTGTAGCTATAATTCCTCGCTTCATAGTAGTTGTTGCTAATATATTATATATATATAGGGGTGTCCATTCGGGTTTGGTTTTTCGGGTTTACCCGAAACCGACCCGATTATATATATTTTCGGTTTTTCGGGTTCGTTTCGGGTTTAGGGTTTTTCGATTTTGGGTTCGGTTTTGCTTATCGGTTTTTCGGGTTCCGGCAAAAAGCCTCCAATGAATAGAACTCAACCCGTATTCTTAGGCTTTCGGGTTTCGGTTTTGCTTTAACCGAACCCGATCCGCAAGTCCTTATCGAGTTCGGGTTTGGTTTTAGTGGTTTTCGGTTTCGGGTGTTCATGAATTTTTTCGGGTTTCGGGTCGGGTAACCAAACCCGACCCGAACTGACACCCCTATATATATATATTTTAATAAAGAATGAACCATGTCGAAAGCTGGATATTCTTGTTTGCGGTGAGAATAAAGCCCAATGGACTCAAACCTGATCTATAATGACGGCCCAGACTTGAAATTACCACAGTCCATCACTGACTAGGCCAATGCTAGGGTGCCGCACTTTTTAGTGCGGCACCGGTGACGCTGTTTTCTATTGGGCCACGTGGATATGAGGTGGCACGAGTTGGTTTTATTTAATCAGAGCCCAACCGTATGACCAATTAGAGTTGGCCCTAACAACAACTTGACCAAACGGCCGGAATTTTTTCCGTCTCCTGCATTTTCTGTATTTGTTTTTTTTTTTTCTCAGTTCATTATCGATCTCCGTCTACGGCAGACTTTGCAGAAGGACCTCCGTCGTCGTCGATCCAATCTCAGAGTCTACCAACCAAACGGCGCCACTCAAAATCATTCTTTGTTTCCTCGTTCATTCGTTTCGTAACACAAAGCAACGAATCCCATATGTGACTGTCCCTCTGTCTCTATCGAGCAGCGCCGCTGCCGTAGTAGCAGTCGAGCACAAGTCAACGAAGAAGAGAGTCGGCCACCAACTGCGTCATCCCCCTCGGTCTGTGTCGTTCCTTATTGCATTGTCGAAACCAAGTTCCTGGAGGTGTTGACTGACTTTCCCGCCTAATCAAAAGGCTTCCCAGTAATTGAGGACTGTACTTGTGGTGTAGGACATTTATTCGGGTCCTTTTAATTCCCTATGGCGTCTGAAGTTGAATGTCATGGATTGTACAATGGGAAGCTATGTTCGTGTTTTCCAATTATGTCTGGTTCTATAGAGCAGCAGGGAAGTTTGTATTCTGTTCCCGTTCTTGTCTATCTGCTTGTTTCTTTTCGCCAGTCAATTAAAGAAATAGCTTGTGTAATTGTCGACATGTGAAAGCAGTGTTCTTGCCATGTGTTCTTCCGTGTTTTGTAGCTTACTTGTAGATTAGCCTCTCCCTTCCCTACCTTGTTCTCATAACTAAAAGCAAAAGAGCAGCAGACCAGTAAACAAACCAGCTGCCTTCTTTTGTTCACCAGGGCACCATTAGTATCATATTAACCAATATTTGTTAAGTTTCCCTACCAATGATTCAATTCACAGTGACAAAGTATGATGGTACAAAGCACTTTGGGGGAAGTATGTGATCCCTCTTCATCGACTCATTGCTTGGTTGGTGATTATGAATTCAAATCAGAATCAGGGTGCAGTTGAAGTAATGGGGGGTGATTGATGTTGATACATGTCCTCTTTGTAATACGGAGCCAGAGACCAGAACTCTTTGTTCTGTTCACGTATCTATTCCTGTGTAGTAATATACCGGGGGAAGCAGGTTCTTTATCCTTGTTATTCAATGGTGTGTTAGCAATGTTGTTCCCTGCAGCGGGAAATTTAAACTAAATGAGTTCAGAAATCCCATGAACAAATTCATAGCCATCAAACGAATTAGAGGATCAATGACTGAAAGCATGTTCGGATGATGGTACATTTGCAGCCAAGAGGACGACATTGAAGACTGTAGTTACTGACGGGTCAGCGAACCTGCTCCAATTATTATGTTCATAGAGGCATAATGTTATATACAAAATCTTCACTAAGCAGAATTATATGGCCACAAAATGACATTGTTTCATGTAAACAGGAAACGAAAACCTAAGTTATTAACTAAAGGCTAAAACATGCTGCAAGATAAAGCTAAATCAATGGGCTTATTAAATTAAGGAAGCCTTAGAAACAAAATGCAAAGCAATTGGTGTTGTAAAAAGTTCATCAAAGTCTAGAATAGCTGCCAGCTTAACTGCACTTTCTTCTTTTCTGCTGTTATAATTTTGCTGGTGCGTTTGCACTTCCTTTCACTGCAACTGTTGTTGTATTCCTCCTCTTTCACTGCAACTGGTGTTGGATCAGAGCTGGCAATGCATGTGGTTGCTGCAAATATGTTGAGAATTGTTGTTGTATCGTGATGTTACCAGCAACCAACCAGGGTAGTTTGTCCGATTGGCTTGGCTGAGACAACTCAATGATAGTAGTGATAGTGAATCTTCCCGTTTAGTTGTAACACGTTGAACAATTGATTTGGTTGGTATTAAAATATAGGAAGTTGGCATAGAGTATAGATGGAAATATGGTAGATGTGAATATTTAGTTCTTGAGTATAGTTTGATTATAGTTAGGATACAACAGATAACATTGCTCCACTCTCTTAATCACTTCACTGCAAGTCTGAAAAGTCCAGAAATAGGCTAAGTGGTAACTTGTAATTGTTTCTCAACCTACACTGTTGGATCCTAAAGTATATAGTAACCAAGTCTAAGCTTTGCTTTAATGCAATTACAAGTTCCCTGGTGCCTAATCATTTAATTGCCGACAACTCGACGTTCTCCCAGTTGGATTCCCAGTCCTCCCCTCTGAATCTACTGATGTCGATCGAGACTGAAGAAGAAAGGCCATTATCTGCGTACAGTAGATGATGCAGCTAACGGTTTGTTGGAGGTATCCCATCAGTGATCAGTCTTCTCCAGAATTGCAGAATCCAATGTCAGTTTGCTACGTCCATCTCCAATCCCCCGTTCATCAACCTCATTGATCTTTCTCTTCCTTTTGCAAGCCCCTATGAACATTATTAGAATTGGAAATTAAACACGACATCATAACCAACCCTGAGTAGTTCTTGTTATATCTCCATTCTTGGAACACAACCAGGGGTGCTGTTATATCTTAATTGGTATATTACCTTGTCAGTTGTATCATTTGCAACGATATCACTCAACGAGAGCAACAACACTTCCATGGAAGTTTGCAAACACTGCAACAGAGATCCCAAAACTTTTATCACAAGAACCCTGCTCAACCTGAAAAGTAAGAAAATGGGATGACCAATCATAGTTTTTACCCGCATTTATTTAGAACTAGTGGTTTACACTATGGCTCATCATTACACATCACTAAGAGAGCTATTATGCAGAAGACAGTAAGTAAACCTCATAGAAATCCCACTACTTGGGTACTAAAATATAAGTGATTGCATCTGTACCTTGTATAGCATGGTGTGGTTGTGTCTTGATGCACCTATGTGACATGTGAGCACTAACGTGGTAGTTACTAGTTAGCAACACAGCAACTTAGCCTCCCCCTACTAATCTGCAGGGAAACAGGAGATCAATCTACTTCGCATAACATGAGCGCTCTCCTACTACTACTAAAAAATATCCAAAAAAATGATATTATTTCTCTAAATCTTAATGTCATCAGTACCATAATAGCAAGGTTGCATCTATCAATCGTATACTGATGTATATCATTGTTAACCCATCCACAACACCTCACAACCCACAAGATGGAGCAACTAATTAGGGGTTAAAGGTTCCAACCGGACAGAACTTTGCCATGAACCACAACCATCAATTTCATGTCACAAACCGCATGAACACAAAGCCAAAATAGTAAATGAATCCAAAATTTCAAAATAAAGAAAGCAAACCTCCATTCTTCGGGGTAAACTGAAACCAAAACGTTCAGAGGCAAAAGGGAACTAAAAGGACCTGAATCGTTCTCCTACTTCCTCAAACACACAATAAGTGAATTATGTGGCAGACTTTTAATTTGGTGAGGAAAGTTGCAACATACCTCCTGGAATTTGGTTTCGGCGTTTCCAACAGGGACGACACAGAGGTAGGGAGAGTTATCCACCCGATAAATATAAGAGAGGGTGCGATCAGGTAGATAATAACAACCTGGAATTTGAAAATATTCAGCAAAATATTATTCACGGGAGGGAACTACCTGATTATTTAAGCATATATTTAAATATTCAATCAACTACGTAACAAGAAAAGGGGATATTTATTCTTAATAATATATAGAGGAAGCATTTGAATTCATATCAAACTCTCATTGCTACTGTGGACTATATAAAAACATATCCCTCTTTCAGGACTCACTTTTCGTGGAAGGGAGTAGGGGTTTACAGAGTCGCTTAGTTAGCTTGTTTTTTTTTTCCTTCTACCCTAATTTCATAGTTTGGTACTGATTTTCATGGCGGGCAGGAATTTTTATGCAGAATCGACGTCCCTGGGTGGAGAAGTAAGGTATGTGTTCATACTTAACCTCTATTACTTTCAGAAGCGTAATGATGTTGTTATTTTATTAGAATACCAAATGCAACTTTCATAGATTACCAAGCCATATAATTCTTATGCCATAGGTTTTCGGGAAGAAGAAAAATGTATTACTTTTAGAAAATACTTAAATATAATAAACTCCAAACAAAGAAGCATTCTTAGGCTTTTAAAATCATCAAACTCCCAAACTTTGCATTGATGTACTGGTTGTATAGTTCATGCAAGTCAAGATATTTCCCATGGGCTTCCTGAAATGTGAATTTTGATAACCCAAAGTGCAAATGAGAGCCAAAATTAAAATAAACAACCGAAAACTTTAAGAGAAACCAGATGTTAACCTATTATAATGAAACAGATGGACAATTGACATTATCATAGCCAAACATTCTGACTGCTAAGGTTCGCAACCAGAAGACTCCTTGTCCTGAACACTCTATGGACCCTAATATATAGGTACTGATTCACAACAATTCAATGCCTAAAAAGGGTCAGCAACTTGGCCTAATAAAGACACACTGAATGCTCAACTCAAAACCTTACTGTGGTACGAACTGAAACCTAAATGAAGTAGGATGAAGCTAAAGGACAGAAAAGACAGTCATACAAAGTAAATATCAAACCAAGTAAAATGCGTTAATTGATACCAGTCTCTGTATTTTTCTGCATAGCCACTCCGTCCAATCCCACAATTCAAAGTCCGAACTTCCTTTCCAATTCCAATTTCGCCGCATCTGAATGAAACCCCTCCCGTTCTTCCATTTACCACCAAGAATGCCTATATCTCAAATCCCAATCTCACCCTGCGGACATTACTACAATGGGAAATGAAGCAAGAAATTACAGTAGACCAACACACAAAGAAGAACAAACAAACAAATAAATTCTTGACCTGAGCTGGGAATTTCAATTTCACCCACTCTGTTTCTTCACTGCAAGATTTGTTGATGAGCATCTGTAATTTATTCGTCGGGCTTGATTTGTATTCGTCGGCCCAATTGAGAGAACTGGTGATACGTTACCTGCTCTCACTCCTCCCGATCTTTCTCCGTACTCTCCGCCACAAAGCAAAAAAGGCCTGCCCTCCCACCTCCCACTTGACCTTCTGTTCTACTTCTTCCTCTTCCTGAAAATCGAGCCAACAAAAAGAAACCAACCCATTTCAACTTCCCCCTTCTCCATTTTCCCTCTCTCGACTCTCGTTGTCTCTCTGCCCACGACGAGAGAAAAGAAAAAGGAAAAGACAACCAGAGCTTCACCTCCAACGACGATGGCGACAGCGGCGACCAGAAGTCGAGGTTATTTTTTTGTCCGATTGATGGAAAGAAAGAGGAGGAAAGCGACCGACGACTCAGATCGGGGAAAATGTTAGAGAGTGGGCGGAGGAAGAAGATGATGAGATAGAAAGACAGTCTGATTTTTCTTTTTCTTTCCCAAGCATCATTGTGATTTTTGTTGTGGGCTGAAATCGGCATGTGGTTAACCGGTTTGGTGACTGATAACCGGGAACCCGGTAAACCGGTTAACCGGCAGGAATTCGGTTTCGATATTCGGCAGCCATCTACTATGACTCGGTATACCGTAAACCGGTTACCGACCAATTACCACCCCTAACCCGCTGATATGACAAGTTCAGGAAATTATAGCAAGGGTTTATTAGTATGTTAATATTCATAAATATATATATAAATAATTATTTTAATGTGGTTTTAACCTTTTATAATGTGGTGTTTTTTATGAAAATTACGAAGATGGAAAACACAAAGGATGAAAGTGGTGATATTGCTAGTGTCTTGGAGTCTGTCCAAGCCATCAAAGAAATCATGGTGAGTTTTGACAAGCGTATGAAATTGGTGGAAATACGACTGGATACCGTAAAGGACCTGCAAGAAGATTTGTTAACATTCATGAAAACACATAGAAGAAGTCTTGGTCTGGATGCAGAACATGTCATGTCTATGGAATCAGTTGGTAATGAGAGTCCGTCAGTGGAGGTAGATTGACTTTTTTGTTTCGGTTTGATATATATGCGTTTACGTTTAGTAATCTGATATTTAGACAAATAATTGGTTCGTGGACACTATAAATTGATGTAGTATTATTTGACAGATTCAAAAGGAAGGTAGAGAATTTAATCTTAATGATGTGTACTCATCAGCTCGAGAGTTGCGTGCTGATGAGCGCAAACCAAGCAAGTGGGTAAAATCTCCATATGCAAATGAAAAAAAGAGGAAAGTTTTTTTGGTTGGTCCGTTCAAAGTGGGTCGTCCTGCCTCAATTGAAGACCTTTCGCTGATCAAGTATCTGTTCGAAGCTAACATGAATGACTGGTTAAAATCTATACCTAACTCTATTTCTAATATCATTGTTGAATTCTTTGTTTTTCACATACACTAACATTTGTTTGTTATAGTGATGTTGTGGTATCTAGTACCAACGTGTATATTATATGTGTTGACCTAAGGTCATTAGCTCCCACCCAAAAGATCGAGTTCGGGGTAAGTATTGCATCATGGTTTAGTTTAACAAAGTTTGATAGATGTTGCTATGAATTAAGTACACGTTTCATATTTAAACTTTACGTTGTGTTTCGAAATTGTGTAAAAGGTCATTGATGGAGTTGTGGGAAAGCTTACTATCGAGGAGTCTAAAAAGGCTGTTCCTACAAACACATTCCTACCGACTATAGTTGGGGTAATCCACAAGCCCCATTCGTATACATGGACTTGCTTCTATTGATTTCATAATACTCTATGTATTAATGTGCTTATTTGTTGTAGTTGAAGTCTGGAGACACCCAGACGGAGTTTTTCAAGTATATGACTTCTCAAAAGCTGGTATCGGAATATTGTTCAAGGATCAGAGACTCTGAGCGGGTATGGTCGCATTTGAATGTTGATTTTTGTTTTATGAAAGTCCCTTCAAACCATGTGCAAAATAGTCATTTTACCTTACTTTTACTTTTTGTTCTGCTTAGATTTTTGTACCAATCTACTTGGCCCTTCACTTTGCCCTTATGGTCGTTGATATAAAAAATCGTGAAGTAGCAATTTGGGATTCATACCAAACACATACAAATGCCCCCGATCTGGAGACTAAAGCAAAAGAAATTGTGAGTTGTCGCTTCTCGTTCACATCGCTTATTACTTAGTCTTCGCAGAAATACCAACCTAAATCTTTTAACACACATTTTTTTCAATTACAGGTAACAATGTTGGACGTTCTATTTGGTAAGGACTTTAGTGGTATTCTTGATGATGATCACCCATTTCAACGCTTTCCCATTCAGTTTGTAGCGGAGGCCCCTCAACAATCCAATGAGTGAGTTACCATCGTGTGCTTCATATAATGATTCGGTTTCACGCTACAACGATAGTGATAATAAGTACAATCTATATTGCCATTTTTCATTGGACAACGATGATTCTGGTATGTTTGTTGTGAAGTTGATGAAAGGTGCAACATCGCTAGACAAGGCGGCAAGTGATATGAGAAAAGAGGTAGCTATCATTTAAGAAACCAGTCGGTACATCATCGTTTGAGAAATTTGTGGTGCAATCTAATTGACTATTTGAAATTATAGTTCCACAGTGAAGACGAACGACTGAATTTAGCACTTGAATTGGTGAAGTGGGAGTTCAACAAGAAGAAGGACGAGATCGAGGAATCTGCAAAAAAACATGCCGCGACTAAAAAGGCTGCACAAACCAAGGGCAAACCAAGGGCAAACCAAGGGCAAACCAAGGGCTTCGAAAGGACGCAAAGGAAAGAAGTGAAGTGTTGCTAATCACTAGTCCTCTTATGTTATAATTTCATTTATCTCTTTTGGCTTCGATGAGTTGATTTCGGTTTACGATGATGGATTATGTGTTGGCTTATTTTGAACAGTTTGGGATCAACAAATCTGGTTTTGTTCTATTATGGATAGATCAATAATTTGATTTGAAATTTTGATTTTGATTTTCATAATTGGGGGTATTTATCATTTGGAATTAATAATTTGTTTCAAATTTGTATTGTGAGACCGATGTTTTGGCTCCAACATTCTGGCGCCTTAATTCTGCTATGCCAAGTAATTAGCTAATCGACCTAATCCCTAGTTTTACAATGGAACGCCCCAACCACACCGGCAAAATCCATCCTTCGATCAAGGACGCAGAAGACAGATTAGAATCTCGCCTCGTCGCCATGCTTGCTCGGAAGGCCAATCGAGGATGCAGATCAGAATCTGTTAGGTACAGCTCAGCAATTAAACCCAGCGCAGTACAGTCCTGCCGAATTAGTGGAATGAGTGCTCAAGGATGGAAAGTGGAAATTCAAAGGAAAACAAAGAAGGAAGGAGGGAACGGCTATTGGAACCAAAAAAGGAAGGATCAAACGGCTAGAATCAAGAGGAAGGTGAATATAAGGCCAAAGATCAACCAAGAAATGCAGACTTCTCCATTGCAACAAACTGAGAGTACAAAAAGTGTACGAGTTGTTCTTGAGATAAGTCAGCACAGGAACATGGGTGGTTTCTGGGTTCTGATATAGAGAGTATCAGGGTGAATCTATTGACAGGGTAGTCGATAGGTAGAATCAAGGATTCGTTGGTCAGACCGAGTGGCTGATTGAACGAAGGGACTGTTGTTGTTTTAGGTTGAGCTTCACGTACAAATCATTAGTAAAAAGTCAGAGATCGCAAGAGGGCGATACTCTGACCGTGGATTAGTCGGTGTTGGGAGTATTCATCACCTAGCACCGGATACCACGTAAAAATTTGGTGTCTGTGTTCTTTCATGTGGGTATTCTGTGTTTGATTTTATTTCTAGTTCTTGAGGTGTTCTTCAATCTGGGCAAAGTTTGTTTTTGCAGGGCTTCCTTGAATCAGAAAAGCTCGAACAGAAGGCTAAGAAAAAGGGTAAGTAAAACGCAGCGTTGAAACAAAGTTGCGTGGGCCGGGTTTTCCACTTCATTGAAACGTTCACTCCAAAACTCTCTAGTGGCCTGCCGTTTCACAAACACAAGAAGGGAATCGATCTCCTTGGTTCATCAATCGTCTTTTCCTAATTCATCGAGCTTGCTCAGTGTGTTCCTGTGAAAAGATACCAGTTAGGGTTGAACAGGTCCACATCGAATCAGTAATTTGAAAGGGTATAGCTGGAATCGTCTCGCGCTCGACGCCTTCTACAGAATCCCGCCGTGATGCTTGCTCGGTGCGCCGACAGGGTTCACTCGTCTCTGCTGATGGCGACCGATGGTGAGGAGGAAGAAGGAACCGCTCGGTTCGTCCCGTCGCCGCCGCCATGCCTTGTGACGCGCCGATTGAGGACACAGAAGAGAGAAAAGATCCTCTCGTCGTCTCTGCAACTTCGTGAACCAAAGAGAGAAATTCACCAGTGGAGATTGGGCGGAGCAGAGCAGAATTAGGTATGGGATTAGTGTGATGGCAGAGTCGACGAGGCGGACCGAGCAACACTCCCAGCCGCCTCGAGGAATCACTAGGTCGAGCGGCGCATCGGAAGGCAGTTGCGGCGACGACGGCGAAGACTCCTAGGGCGAACGGCGAGGACGGCGAAGACTCCCCAAAACCACCCCCGCTCAATTGCATTACAGAAGTCTACTTCGCCGTTTCTGCGTCGTTTCCTTCCCTTTGCGAGCTTTCGATTCCCTTCGTTTCCCATGCCAAAGCTTCGTACTTTCCCCTACAACTCCTTCACTCTTCATCTCCTCTTCCCGGGTTAATTTCGTGCAAATCCTCCCTAGATGATGACCAAGAAGAAATAGCTGAAGCAGACACTCAGGTGGACTTGGAATTTGATGAGTCTGATGGAGAGGATTACGAGTTTGACGTCGATGAGTTCGAACAGGAAGCTAAAGTTGCAGTTAGGGAGTACTCGTCGGCCTTATCCCGTGAATTGATAATCGGTGAGTTGTTTCGTGGGTTTCTGATTCATGGTTTTGGGAAATATTATGAAGTTTGCTCATTGTTCTGTCGCTGATTTTTGTTTGCAGACGATGAGGCTGATACCAGAAACACATCTAGACGTCCCTTAGTTTCTTTCCCGCAGGGTTTGATGGAAGGTTATCATGACTAAAACACGTGAAGATTCTTGGCAATGAAAGCAATTATGAGATGTTGTCACTAACATCAAGCATATTATCATCTCTAGTTGTCCTCTCGTCTCTCAAACTCATGGACTTCAGCAAACTAGCGGGATCAACTTAACTAGTAGGTTTATGCGGAATCACTTGTCTCCTTCAGTCCAAGGGTTTAATGGCCTTCAGCAAAATCTATGAATCATCATAAACATCACGTTGGTAATTAGTTTATCCTGGTTAAATGGTCTACATAAGCCTGAAACTGAACATGTTTCAGTAATCACAACCATATCCGTCATTTAGTCAAAACACACTCACCCATTTCACAACTGTTTACCACTAAACTCAGGTGAGGATTTCCAGCAAAAACTTATATACAAAACATTAACAATGACAAACACAGTGAGACTTCATTATCGAAGATGGAGTTCAGTAAAGTGCTTACCGTGGAATGTGGTTGGATCAGTCAAATTCGCGATAGAAACCTCCAAGCTTTCCGAGTAAATGTCCTTGGTGTATCCAACTCGGCTGTGTATGCTTAATGTCCCACCGAGTCACCAACGACACCAACCCAACCGAGATATTTCCTTCGTAGCTACGGCGCGATCCGCTGCCTGTCTCCCACAAAGTAAAGTATCTCCCTCCCTCTTCCTCTACGGCAAGCAAAGAAGACCATAAATCAGTTGCGAAATTAAAACCCCAATTATAGGGATCCTAGTGTTGGAGGAATGAACGGTGGCTTATGAAAATTCAATCATCCATCATAATTCTCTTATTTCCCCAGCCGGGTATTTATAAGAACTATAAACTAATCCTGAAGTCTGAAATTTTGCAAGAATAGCTGCACCCTAAGCTGGACTGAGAAATTGGAATTTCATGTGCTTGACAAATTCCCACTGGTTCTAATTTCTACAATGTTCCTTCATTTTCTCAGGTCCAAGAACTTTTTTAAGTGAGAAACAATGGTACAAATGTCGAGTCACGGCTGGTGAATCAGCACCTGCTCAGAGCAATCAACGAGTCAAGTTTTCACATTCTAGACATAACTAATCCGGAAGTTCAAAAGAAAACGAAGCACTAAAAGATTGATTGACCAACCTGGCTCAAGTCAAAACCTTGTGCTGTTCGCTGGAGACAGAGGCCCGCGACCAGGATTGATTCTTTCGCCTCTGTTCTACCAAAAAAGTAGGACAGTAGGAGGAAACAGTGACGGATTTAAATCGAGGCTTGACCTCGGAGATGGGGTTGACGACGGACAAGTCGCCGGACTGATATTGGCCAGACCGCCGTAGGAGATCGAGGAATGGTGCTTTGGCTCGTTCCCGCTGTTTCGTCTACCCGTTGTTCCCCTGTTTCTGGTTCTTCCGAAGAAATAAAACTAATATCAGTTTTTTTTTTCAATGACACAATAAACGTTGGACGGGAGAAGGTTTTTCCGTTAGTTTTGGGTTAGTGGTTAGTACTCATGGGCCAGCCGGCCAGGATTGGGTAAACGAATCCAGTCACTGCCACATCAGCACCATATGGCCCAATCAGAAACGGCGTCACCGGTGCCGCACTTTTTAGTGCGGCACTGTAGTATTGGCCCACTGACTAATATGTAAAGGCGATTATCATCTCGTTCCTTCCTCTCCTAGGGTTCCCAAAAACTCAAGATCGAAATCTCTAAAAGAGAAGTAGTGTATGGATTCCTTCGGCGATGACGAATTCCCAAAGTTGACCTATTATGAAGGCACCTACTGCGACAGCTGCCGGAAAATGGCCAAGACGGAGATGAAAGAAGAGTACGATGACGACGATTACGTTTTCGAGGACGACGATTTTGGTGGCGATAACACGCTAAAGCTACGTATGATCCACTACAGGAGGAACGTGGCGGTAAATGGTGTAAGTTCTAGATCCAAAATTCTTCATTGTCTCTTGATTAATTCTTCTGCAAAAGTTAATTCCGTTTTCCTAACTAATTCGTTCTTGATTGAGATGTACGCACAGCCTTTTTATGCGGATTGCCCTCCAAGTTATCCGAGCGTCGGTTTGCTACCACACTCTCGATACCATTTTAAAAATGAGCCGGACTTTGAAGAGACTGTTGAGGACTGCGCCGATTTCGCGATCGAGAAATATAATGAAAAGATGGTACAGCAAAACCCATGAATGATTTGTTGAAATATTTTGATTTCGAGAACTGAAGGTTAATCGTTCATGACATGGGTGTTTGTCCTTTCTTGTGTTGTATATATGCTTTTCCAGGGCACTGAGATGGAGCTCCGTGAGATTGAGAATGTCTCTTGTGAAGGTTTTGCTAGGAGGAGATTGTATATGATTCTTCGTTGCTGCAATGTTGGTAGCTCCGGTGATGGCAGCCCTGACGATGATGGTAAACAAAAAAGGAGCTCCGAGGTGAGTGACGGAACTGTTGACAAGACTTACAGAGTTGTGGTTTCCTGTTGCTGGTGGAGAAAGTTGTACAAAGAAGTTTTGGTATTCAAGGACAGCGATGGGAAGAGTACGTTTTGCCTGATTACCTCGATCTCTTCAGTGCTTGATTTTCCATTGATTGACATCGAGAATAATATATGTGGTCTTACGTACTACTTTGTATATGGATGGACTCGTACGATTTAGTTCCATTATTATATATTATACCCGGTTGCTTTGCTTGGGTACCTGCTCATAGCAACTGTGTTGCCAGTTTGTTTCCTAATGAAAGATCCTTTCACAGATTTATTGGTGCCCAATCGGTCCTTCGATGAGCGAACAAAGACAGAGAACCGCCGCCCTCCTCCAATTGAAAGATGATGATGTTAGCAGCGTGGAGCATCACTAATTGGGATAGATAACTTACAAGGATTTGAGGAAACCCAAGAGAGAAGGATCGGTGCAGGGAGGGGAGAATTCGGCCGCCACGGGAAAAATAGGAAACTAGGGTTAGGCAATGATTCTTTTGTATTTAATTTTCTTATCGAATCCAACTCATGCTTGCATAATATATAGGCCTAATAAATTTTTGGGTAATACCACTGGAAATACCATTCTTTAACGAAAGTGTTATTTATATTACATGCTTTCAATAAACACAAAAATATTCCAACCTATTAGGGGTCTGCGTCATTTGTGTTATTCAATTTTCTGTTGACCGTTAGAATTGACGGTTGACCTGACGGTGGCCAACATTGTGTCCACGTAAGCGACAAGTGGATGCCACGTTGAAAAAAAATAATAAAAATTTGAAAATATTATTTATTAATTATTATATTACAAAATTAAAATAATTTTAACCCCCCCCCCCCCCCCACCACCGTGAATTCGCCCTCCGACGACCAAACTTTCCCCGCCGTAGTTGCCACCTTCCTTCTCCATCGATGGTGACGACTGGCCGACTTCCTCGAAGTAGCTATTTCCACAATCCTCTATCTTTTTTACAGAATCGGGCCTCTCCTCCGAAACCCCCAATCCCAAGCCTCCACACAGGCTGCAGCAGCATTACTCTGCCATTCCTCCTCCCCAATCGCCGCCGAATCCGATGAATCCGCAGTCGAAGGAGCCGATTGTTGTTCAGGAGAAGGAGGCGGAACAGTTGGTTTGATTCGATCGCAGGGGCGGAACAGTTGGTTTGGGAAACAATGGAGCTCCTGGGCCGAAAGGAGATCTTTCTACCTGATTGAGGGTTTCTAGATTCTCGAGGATTGCAATTGAACTGGGTATCCTTCCTTTAAGCCTGTTGCCCGAAAGATCCACACTGGTGAGATTCTCGACCAAATGCTTCGGAATCGAGCCCGTGAGATTCGCATTCGTGATGGTGAGCGCAGGGCGAAGTCGAGATCTGAAGGGAAACGGATAGCGGTAATGGGGCAGTCGGTGAAGGAGAGAGACTGGAGGGTGGAGAGGGACTTGAGGGCGGTGAAGGAGAGGGAAACGTCGTCGGAGCAGTTGGAGAGGTGGAGGGAGACGACGTGGCGGAATGGGGAAGGCTGGGCGCAGGGGTCTTGGAAGTGGAAGGAGATGGGATGGTCTTGGGAGGAGGGACGATGACCGGGGAAGAGGTTGGGGTGACAGCTGGAGCGACGGCGGCGGTGGGCGTAGTGGATTTGCCGGCTGCAGAGGCGGAGCTGTGCTGGCTTTTTAGGGGGGTTGGGGAAATTTGGAGAAGAAGATGAGATTAGTGGAGGGGGAAGGATTGGGAGGTGAGAATTATTTTAATTTTTAATTTTTTTTCATTTTATTAAATAAGCCACGTCAGCGAGCCACGTAGGATCCTATTAAGCATTGACTGGGCGTTGAAAAGTCGCCCAGTTATGTTTAACGGCCCAACTAACGGAGAAAACATTTTAGTATACAAATGGCATATCGAAAACGATGTGATATTAATGGCACTTTCGCTAAAGGATGGTATTTCCGGTGGTATTAGCCCTAAAAAAATTTTAAACTATCAATAATTAACTCCATAACGAAAGGTATCAAATAGCATCCGGAATTCTCCAAAAGTATACTCAAATAATACTACAATAACAAAAGACTACAAACATAATATATAATTGCCAACACGAAAGATATATTTTTGTGGGCCTTTTTTTATTATAAGAGTGACATAGGTATACTTTTTATTTTTTAGGTATTATTAAAAGAATTCGAATCTTGAACCTCACGGTTCAAGGCTAGTGGCGGGTTTCTAAAATTGTAGTTTACAGGGAATGTGGATTGCTGAAACACATTTGTTATAACTATATGTTCATTTATGATAATTGGAGAAACTCAACTAATGGTAATGTTTTAGGGTTCAAGAGGAATAGAGGATGGCGTAAGAATGTCTCGAACTACATTTGACGGAAGTGGAACCTTGGAGTAAAGACACCAACTCAGCTTACTCAAAGCCGTGAAAGTAATTTCCTTGATTCCGTTGCCGATAACTCCAATGTGTGTTTCAAGTTTCAACTTTTTCTCAGTTTTTGTCTTGAAAATTATACATTTTCCCCACAGAATAACTGCCTTCAGCGTTTTCACCATATATATCAACGTTTGGGCACATAACAATTATACTTTGTCGTGGTCTAACAAGCATTTCTTTTTTGGTTGAATGGCAGCTATTCTTAGCGTTTTGCAGGAGACTTCATTGTGAGCTAAACAGCCGAACCCTTCACTATACGAGTACAACGTTGTTTTCTTAACGAAATTGGTTAGGATAGAATTATGGGGTCGTATGGATAATAGATTTGGTAATGATGGATTTTGAGTCAAATTTTTCGTTTAAAATGTCAGAAAATTTATATACAGGATTTTAGCTGAATTAACTGGTCAAATTTTGATTCGAACGATTAACAGCTCGAACCAAACAAACCAAGATGATCGGTCATGAACGCACAATAAAACAAAATTTGGAGAAAAAATGATTGGCCCGATCATGGACAGATACCTATGGTGCAAGAAAAAGAAAGAATCAATTGATTACACCAATATATAATGGGTGGCTTTTTCGGTGCACTTACAAAAATGAGTGCATTTGATGAGCCCCATATAGGGTTCTAATCAGAATACGCAGCCTAGGATGAATGGATAGGTGTGGTGATGGTTTCGTAGTCACAGGGAAAGGATTTGTGGGTAAAACGAACCAAGCTAGCAACTTCAACTCGTAGGGGAAGAGGCTGGATTGGGTAGAAGGTTACGACGAGATCAATGAAAGCGGAATTGATCTCAAGGTCTGCAAGTCGAGGACAAAAAATCCAAGACCAAACTCAAGCTCTCAAGCTCAAGGGAAACTCCTCGAAGTAATTTTCGAGTAAACTCAAACGTGCTTCTACAATTCAAAGTGAGGTTATTTATAGCCAAATAAACCTAATTACAATCCTAAATGAACAAGGAAACAATTCTGAATCAAACAAGGAAAAGAAAACGACATTAGCAATGAAACTTGCAACTCAAGTAACTAACTTCCCTCACAAGCTAACTGTCCAGAAACAGCCTTCGAGGCCAACTTCGAGGCTCTAGAAATTGACCTTCTGGGTTGAGTCGAGCTCAACCAATTCCTTCCCTTGGTTTAGACAGTTTCACCATTTTATTTACAACTCTAAGCCTCAGCTGGTCATGTCCCAAACTTCGTGCATAAGAGCTCAAAGTTGCTAACTCACACTGACTTTCTGCCTTAGCTAAAATTAGGCAATTTTCTGGTTACAGGAAAGGATTTTTGAATGGTATGAAAAACACACCTCCTGGTTTTGTCTCGACAATCCAAACATGTCACATTGTAGAGAAACATCCAATGTTCACAACAAGCTCTCCATCTTGCATTTTCAATGTACCAATTGAGAGAACTGTAGCTCCAAAGTAGGCTTCCTGAAACGGTTTTAATACTTAGACATTATCCAATTTATTCTTGTCAATTTGATCCGATCTTGCAATGATTAATTGGAACTTGTAAGATGATCGAACTGAGATAATATCAGGGCCCCCCTTCTTTTAAAAGCTTTGACATCAAAGCTTGGAACAACCTGCACGCAAAAGAATGAACAAACTCATCCCAAACAGGGTCGTAAAAATCAAGCCCATAAACTTTTCTTTCCGATGAAACCCTATTTTCCGGTGAGCACATTGAAATTGGGGATTTCCGCTTTAAGCCTTCTTATTCTGATTTCTTGCTTGCATTCAGTTCTACTAGCTCCCACGAAGCGAATGCAGTGGTTTTCGGGCTTCGATGGTACTCAAATCGTCTTGAATTGAGTCTCGAAGTTTTCCCGCCACCGGGGAATTCAAAATTCCCAGATTTTGGCGACAAATTCCTAGAATCCGGTAAGGACACTTGAAAATTGGGCGTTTCGTTTTCAGGCGTCACCGAGCTGGTTTCTCGCTTTCTACACCTTCCTTGAGACCCCAGGAGTGGATTCCCAGTGCCGGATTGCTTCAAATCGTGCCTGAACTCCACAACCGATTCACCCACTTTCTCTTCATCGTTCGGCGCTTTTGGAGGCAGAATTGGGCTTTTGGGATTCGTCGATTGAGCTCGCTTCAGCTGGATTTCATCGGCTTTACACGTTTTTGGGCAACTTTGGAAGGTGATGACGTTGGTCGCTCGCTCCGACGCGCCTCCAGCTGCTTCACCCAATTCAGAGTGATCCAGGGCCACCGGAGAAAAGGGTCACCGTCCCCTGCTTCGACGCGGAACTGTCTTGCCAGGAAGAACGGTCAACAGGTAGCGCCGAGCCACCAAAGTCTAGTATGAATCTTTGGTTTTGAGAAGGCTGTGAATTGGTGAGCGATGTGGAGGATTGGACATAGCATATCTAGTATGTATCTTTGGTCGCGCCCATGGCAAACGGTGGAAGAGGACAACTTAGGATTCCACCAACAGTGTTTAGAGTTAGGTTGCAAGATGGTGCGAAAATGTGATGAATTGGGTTCAACTTAGGATACCCATGTATTTGGTTTCAATTGAGATCATGGTCAACAAAAAGGAAAAAGACAAATAAAAAACACAATAGAGGATGAAACTTGGTCCCGATAAAAACTCGTGGTAGCGGCCTTGGGAAACGGACGTGGGAAAAAATTTACGATTCCTTCGACAGTATTTCGAGATGGGCTGCGAAATTGTGGGAAAAAGCGATGACTTGTGCAAAAGGCCATAGACGAAACCTAGTAGATAGTTGGTGCAAAAGAAAGCTGAAAACCTAATAGGCAACAATTATTATGGGAAACACAATGGACAATAGATGTAAGCGTAGTGAACAATAGCTAAACCCCTACTTGCACTTGGAGGAGTGTGAGAGTTACTAATGAATAATAACTCCAATATTAGACTTTATATATTATAATTATATATTAATTAATTATATATGAATTATTTACATAATCTCTAACTTTAAAGGACTTAATCAATTGACCATGTCAAAACTAGTGAGAGATTGATGACATAACTACTAAAATTAAGGTACACATGTATTTTATTTTGTCCCTAAACTAATCTAACGTCTAATAGTACATAAATATTCATACAATGATATGTTCCTTCATCCCTGAGGGTTTCCAAAAATCAAATCGAAAACCCTAGAATAGAAGAGAAGAGCTGGCGAGTGGTCGTTCTTCATCCACCGGTAATCGATTGGATCCCATGGCCTCCTCCGACGATCTAGAGTTGCCTCAGTTGACCTACTACAAACGTCCCCAATGCAAAAGCTGCCAGGAACTCGACAAGAAGGAGATGAAAGAAGAGTACGACGACCAGGACTACGTTTTTGGGGACGACGATTTCGGTGGCGATAACACCCTAAGGCTGCATGTCATCTTCTACAGGAGGAGGTTATTCGAGGAGGGTGTAAGTTCCAAAATCCCCTTAATTAATTCTCATACTATCGATAATTCTTTCTTCTGCAAAGTATTTGGTTCTGTTTTGAATTCATATACGCACGCACGCAGGGTTTTTATTTTGGTTGCCGTCCAATTTATTTCAACCTGGAGACACTACCATACCCTCGAGAGCATTTTAATTTCCAGCCAGGCTTTGATTCCATTGTTGAAGAATGCGCCGACTTCGCGGTCTATGCATATAATGAGGAGCGGGTAAACCAAAGAAAACCCACCAAGCTTTTTGAAATGATTTTATATTTTGAGAACTGAAAGAAGATTCACTCTCATGATACGAGTGTTTGTTGTGTTGTATATATGCTTGTAATGTGAATGTTATCCAGGATGCTGAGATGGAGCTTAGTGGGATTGAGGATGCCTCTGTTGGAGGTAGTGTTGGTATCAAGACATTCTATCTGATCATTCGCTGCCGCAATGGTGATAGCGACGGTGGTAGCTCCACTGACGATGGTAAACGGAAAAGGAGCTCTGATGAGAGTGATAGCGAGAAGACTTACAGAGTGGTGCTTTCCTGTCGCTGGTGGAGTAGGAATCTGAAGAAGATTTTGCTCTTCAGGGACTCTAAGGGGGAAAGTAAGTGACTACTTAGCACTCTACTTCTGTTATGGGCTGTTTTTGATGCCATACGCATGCAGTTTTTTCATCGCTTCAATTAGCATCCGGCCGGATGCAAATTTAAGGGATTGTCTTTAGTAGATCTTCTGGGAGTGTGATTGCCACTTTGGCCATGGTGGTTTTTATTGTAATTCTCTTGTGTATTCATTAACATGGCGCATATATATGTTTCACAATTGGCCGGGTTGTAAGTCTTATGAAGGCTTACATAATGACTCGTGTGGTTTTTGTTGAATGTTGTCATTGTATATGTATCAACTTGTTGCACGTTTTAGTGGAATGTTGTCATTGTATATGTATCAAAATGTTGCACGTTTTAGTTCCACTATATCTGGTGGCTTGGGTATGTATTCGTTGCAACAATTAATGCTGTCAATTCCTTTCCTAAGAAAAGATGCTTCCCTTTTTACAGATTTGATGAAACCCGATCCCATCTTCGATGCCCGCATAAAGCCGGGCAAGCGCCGCCCTCCCCCAACCTAACTGGATTACAGAGAGCCTTGGAGGAGTTGGTGTCTGTGAGGCTCTGTGGGCTGCTGAAATACACTTGTTTGTTTTAACTATGTAGCTGGCTATTTATGCAAGTTGGAGATTCGGAAGCTGAAGATGGTGTTTGGGACTCCCAGGAGGATAAGTAGTAGTAGTAGTAGACAATTATGCAGTTTGTTTATGGCTTTGAGTTTGTTTAGTCGGATTTATTCGGAAGCTGAATGTGGTGCTTTAGGATCCCAAAAACTGTAAACTGTTAATTGTAAGTAGAATCTTGAAGTAGAGACGTATTAACTGGCGTTACATTTTCCCGGTTGTCAACTTACCTGGTTTTATTCTGCAACCTTCATGCTTGATGGGTAACCTTTTTCGAACCTTTTTTTGCTTCCTGTGATCCCAGGTTGAATGAATAGAGTCGAGGGATTGTTTTTATGTTGGTGATGCCTTTGTGCAACAAGTTCCCAGAGCTCTATGAGTAAGAACTTTTGCCCAATTCCGAATTGTCAACAAACTCTGAACTCCTATCGTCCCTGAGGCCTGATCCCAATGCTATTGGCTGCTTTATGGGCTAATGATTTGTAACATGCATCCTGCTACCTCAACCATGGAAGATGTGCGTTAAGGTCATTTTTTAGTGATAATACCACTAAGATGGGAACTAAGAAAATGAGGACCGCTCCGACCCAGTTAGACCTAGCAAATGAGGACCCGATCTGTTGACCCGACCCGAATCCACTCGAAATTTAGAGAATGGGTTGAGGTTTTTATAACCAGAAATCTGAATGACCCTAACCAGATTAACCAGTAGTTTTTGGGTCGGGTTGGGTTGCTTTGTGGGTTGACCCGCTAGACCCGTTCCATTGCATATGCCACTCTCAAAATGATAAAATCACTCGTCTTTGGTGAGATGTTTTGGAAAATTCATATGGATTTGAAAGACAAGTTTGGAGTTTAAAGATAATCAAGCATCATTTATTTATTTTAGTAGTATTACTTTTGTCATTGTTTTTTTACGATTTGTGCAGTTTGTATTTCTTTTCATTAGCATGGAAGGGGTTGAGCATTTGTTAATTAACATGTTCTAGGCAAACTATTGTCACACATATGTAAAAAAATTTGTTCTTTAAAAATTTATGAAACATGTTTGATATTGTTTCTGCAAACGCTCATAACCCGAAATGACCCGAAACCTGATGGGTTGGGTCAATATTTGACCCAAAATCAGCAAACCCAACATGACCCGACCCGTGAAGACCTGTAACCCGAGATTCCCAACCCGAAATTAACCAACCCGACCCGATTGCCAGGTCTAGACCCGGTCATCTATTGGTACCCGCGATCTCCCTCGGACCCATTCGACGTGGGGATTCCCGGTATTGACCGGGTGTGAGTAAAACTCACAAAACATTTGATGGGTATGATTTTAGCCTCCCCGCCTCATACCCATACACTTACCCTCCCTACAAAGAACATTTCTTCACATATAAAAAATCTATGGATCAAATTGTAACCTTTCGATGATAATGAGGGTAACTCAAGAAAATAAATAGTAGAAATGCAATTGAGTGATCACCTAAATCAAAACTTAATTCATTTCCATCAACTCTACCTTCACTCTTTCACTTTTTTCCCTTGTGTTAACAACATTATATTAGATAGTTATTACTTAGTAGATGTGTCAGAGTTAAGAGAATAATGGTTTTGTTTACAGTGTACTCTATCTTATGGATTAAAGAATTTTTAGAGTAAGATGTTTTGAACCGTATTAAAAATGATTTTCTTTTTGTCGACTTCATGATATAGTACTTCTAGTTTTGACCTTCCAATAAGAGAAGGGAGACCTAAGTACTTATCAGTCACACTAGCAACACCAACCCCCAGGATACTACCCCAATGAGAACTATCCTCTGGCTCAACATTCTTACTAAAGCAGACAACAAATGTCTTAAGGTTAACCTTTTGCTCACTCAAGTACTCATATTTACCCAAAATATCCAAGAGAGTAACACATTCCGAAGCAGAAGCGCGAAGAAAAAAGATAAGAGCCGTCCGTGAAAAATAACCGAGTAACTGTCGCGCAACGCGGGCTAATACGGAGACCCTGTCGTAAACCTCGGGTTGCCCAAAGTAGCCAGAGGGTTTACATAACAGAATCCCGGAGCCATTTAATCCATTGCGCACAAAACCCGAGTTTCTCAAGCAATGTAAATAAAAATGGCCATTCCACCCTATCATAAGCTTTCTCTATATCAACCTTTAGGCCCAAGAACCCCTACTTCCCTGTTTTCTTATTCCTTATGTATGGCATCACCCCATGACTTATACAGACATTATCCACGGTAGGGTGGGCATCCGGTTTGGGTTCAACTCTCCGAACCGACCAGAACCGAATCCGAACCGACCGAAAGCGAAATTCACATTGATCGGTTCGGAAATCGAAAGGCAGAAGCACATGTTTCGGAAACCAGGGTCTGCCAACCGAACCTGAATTCCGATAGACCGAACCGAAAAACCAAACTAAACTAATCAACTCATAATTTAAGGGAATCCCACTCTCTCACAACCCAAATGACTGGCCAGACACCCAATTCCCCTCTCTACTGCAAGCCCAGCCCACTCACTAACTCTAAGATCCCACCCTAAATTCCTAACCCTAATAGACTCCCATCCCTGCTCCTACTCAACCCAATCGAACCCCTAGTGCCGACTAGAATCATCGTTCCCACTAAAGGTGGAATCTTCCCTGACCTCCGATCGTGACCTTTTTTCTCCAATTGCGACTTGCGACTGACGACCATCGAAGAAAAGAACAAGCTGAGTTCTCCCTCTAAGTTGTTGTCCCTGTCTTTGCAGCATTAGACAGATCTCGTCTTCTGCAGGTTCTCGTCTTCTGCAGATTCTTCCCGGAGAGCGAGAGACACTAAGGAGGGAGATAGTGGCGGCGGAGGAGGGGGATAAGCGGAGCGAGTTGTAGAGGCGGAGATCGAGGGAGAGAGCGGAGATGCCAGAGAGAGAAGTCGGAGACTGATGGAAGGAGAGAGTAGAGAGGCCATAATCGGAGAGAAGGTTTGGTGGAGGGGTTGGTGGTGGTAAAAGGTGGAAGAAGTTGCAGAGATGGAGAGAGATGGAGAGGTGGAAGAGAGGGAGAAGAAGAGGAAGCATGTCTTCTGGGTAGAGAGAGGAAGTAGCGTACAGAAAAGTGGAAGGCAGAGGAAGAAAAGAGGAAGGCAGGGGAAGGTTGTGGAATTTCGGTTTTGTCGGGATCCCGAACCGAACCGAAATATAACTCGGTTCGGCCAACCGAACTGATTTATATTTCGGTTCGAATTCGGTTTCACATGTAGAAAGATCGGGGGATCCGGTATGCTCATTTTGCCCACCCCTATTCCACGGTCTGACGACCCCGTACAAATCCATTCTGTCCAAGATAGATACTGGACGACCAAAAACGAGCTAGCCTTTCCGCCATAATCTTAGCAATGATCTTATAGAGAAATTGGCAGCGACTAATCAACCGAAGTTGCTTCATCTGCTCAACTGTATCAACTTTAGGAAGTAGCACCAACCGAGTATGATTAAAAAAATTCAGAACAGATCTTGACTCAAAGAAGCTACTAACCGCTAAAAACCACATCATCTCCCACAATATCCCAGAATTTCCTAATTAATATACCAGTTAAACCATCTCATCTAGGAGATTGCGTAGCACCAATTTCAAGAACTACTCGTCGAATCTCTTTTGATGAAATCGGAGCAGTCAAAGTCTCATTCATCCGAAGTGTCACTTGCCGCTCAAAAAGAAAATCTGTCACCTAATCTAAATGACTTGCAAATCCTCACCACTCGAGGTAGAAAGAGTAGTAAAAAGCCTACAAGCCACATCATTCTTTCCTTTTTCATCAGAATCCCATACTCCATCTTGTGAGAACAATCCAAAATATAGTTACATCGTCTTCTCTTACGAGTTACCATGTGAAGATAAGACGTGTTCTTATCCACTTCTTGCAGCCATTTGACTCGTGATTTCTGTTTCCAGTAATTTCCTCATTCGTCCAGGCAATATGTAGCTCAGCCTCCAAATCCCTAATATGGTCCCAATCAACTGTGACCTCAACACTGATTCAGTCTATCTCCCTTTCGAGGGTGCAGATTAATTGAATCGAGCTGGACGTGCCACCTTTATCCCAATCATAAGTTAGATGTCGTAGCTTCTTCAGTTTACGTCATAGCCTATACATGGGCAAGCCAAAAAAAATCCAAATCTTAAACATACTTGATCAAGTTCGCACTTTCGTATTCTCCTCCCATCTAGCGTCAAATCTGAAAGAACCTTTACCTGGTCGTTTGACTGTCTCTGTGGCCAGAGGAGGGATAAGCGGAGCGAGTTGTAGAGGCGAAGATCGAGGGAGAGAGCGGAGATGCCAGAGAGAGAAGTCGGAGACTGATGGAAAGAGAGAGTAGAGAGGCCAGAATTGGAGAGAGGGTTTGGTGGAGTGGTTGGTGGCGGTAAAAGGTGGAAGAAGTTGCAGAGATGGAGAGGTGGAAGAGAGGGAGAGGAAGAGGAAGCATGTCTTCTGGGTAGAGAGAGATGGAGAGGTGGAAGAGAGGGAGAGGAAGAGGAAGCATGTCTTCTGGGTAGAGAGAGGAAGTAGCGTACAGAAAAAGAGGAAGGCAGGGGAAGGTTGTGGAATTTTGATTTTGTCGGGATCCCGAACCGAACCGGATCGGACCGTATAGCCACGCCTATATGTAAGTTAGGTATAAGATACATATTTTATTTTGTCCTTAAACTAATCTAACGTCTAATAGTAGATAAATATTCATACAATATATGTTCCTTCATCCCCGAGGGTTTCCAAAAATCGAATCGAAATCCCTAGAATAGAAGAGAAGAGCAGGTGAGTGGCCGTCCTTTATCCGCCGGTAATCGATTTGATCCCATGGCCTCCTCCGACGATCTAGAGTTGCCTCAGTTGACCTACTATAAACATCCCCAATGCAAAAGCTGCCGGGAACTTGACAAGAAAGAGATGAAAGAAGAGTACGACGACGAGGACTACGTTTTTTGGGGACGACGATTTCGATGGAGATGAGACCCTAAGGCTACATGTCATCTTCTACAGGAGGAGGTTATTCGAGGAGGGTGTAAGTTCCAAAATCCCCTTAATTAATTCTCATACTATCGATAATTCTTTCTTCTGCAAATTTCATTGCAGTATCCCTAAATTTTATTGGTTCTTGATTAGTATTTGGCTATTCGAAATCTGTTCTTAATTGATATACGCACGCAGGGTTTTTATTTTGGTTGCCGTCCAATTTATTTCAACCTAACTGTAACAACCCTGTGGAAGACAGCTGGCTGCTGATGTGTAGAAGAGTCGCAAGAGTATAAATAGAGGAAGGCAACTGTGAATTGCTATCTTTTGGACCAATCTGTTATCTTGTAGCACTTTACCAATTAGTTAGCCTTAATAAAAGAGCCTCTCTGTTCTCCCCATTTCCCCTTTCTTCTTCTTCGCCATCTCCATTTCGTCAGATCTCCCAAGCACGATCCTTACAAGTGGTATTCAGAGCCTTTGATCTGGCAATGGCATCTAACACTTCTCGTATCATTGATTTGGAGGCGCAAATGGCGTCGGTACAGCTCCAATTGGATTCTCACCACCAGGATCTGAAGTCTGCCATTGCGGAGCTCGCGGCATCAACGAAAGACAACATTGATGCTCTGGCGGCATCCTTCGCCCGAAGTCGCGAGAAGTCTCCGATCGGTTCGTCGTCTCCCTCGTTGGATTCCGTCGCCGATCAGCACAACTTTCGCCAACAGCAGCAACGTCGGCCATCGATCCTGGATCACTATCCCCGTTTGGAGTTTTCTTACTTCTCTGGTTCGGATCCTCATGTGTGGGTGAGCAAGTGCAACAAGCTCTTCCATCTCTACTCAATTCCTGAGGAGCAGAAGGTCGATCTGGTTTCGTACTATCTAGAAGGTCGGGCATATACATGGTTTGAAGGATGGTCTTTTCGGCGCTTTCCGTTGATATGGGGCCATTTCGTCGATGAGCTGCTTCATCGTTTTGGACACCGCGAACAGCTGAACGTGGTGGCCGCGTTCAATAAGCTGCGGCAGACGACCTCCGTTGCTCGTTACCAGGAGGATTTTGAAGACCTTCGTTCGCGGCTGCTTCGGTTAAATCCGGAGCTCAACGAGCACTACTTTATCATGAGTTTTTTGGGAGGCTTAGATGACGAGATACAGCCTCGCGTGCAGGTGCTCAATCCACCGACTTTGGCCTGTGCGTTTTACCAAGCTCGACTGGAGGAATCCGCCATAGAAGCTCGCAAGAAGAAATCGCGTTCTGTTCCTCCCCCTCGTTGGTCGGCTTCTTCTTCTAATTCATCGGGCACCGCTTTTCCCAGAGAACAGTCTAGTCTTTCTCCGGCGGCAGTAGAGAGAAATCCCATTCCTCGGGGGCAGGGGCTCTGTTACAAATGTGGCGACAAATATTTCCATGGCCACATTTGTTCCAAGAAGAAGCAGTTACACGCAATGCAGGCGGAAGAGTCTGTCCGTTACAGTGAGGAGGATGACCAAGAGGAGGTGTATCAAGATGCTGAGTTGGAGGTTTCGTTACAAACCATGGGATCTGGATTCGCGGGAAACTCGCTTCTCATACCAGCAACAGCGGGCCAACAGGAGGTTACAGTCCTCATTGACACAGGTAGTTCCCATACTTTTCTAAACTCCATTAGGGCTGAAGAACTGAATTGTAGGACTGAGAGTATAGCCCCTATGCGTGTCAAGGTAGCTAGTGGACATACTTTGTTGAGTAATTCGGTTTGCAAAGGTTTTAGCTGGAAAATGCAAGGTCAGGAGTTCGGGTTTGATGTTCGTACCTTGGATTTACCTGCTCATGATCTCGTGTTGGGTTGGGATTGGTTGGAAACGATTAGTCCGTTTCAAGTTGACTTGAAGAAGCGACAGTTGGCCTTTGAGTGGCATGGGAGGACTTTGACATTGCAGGGCCTCACAAGAGAAGGGCAGTGTAAGATGATGTCAGGCCGAGACTTTCAGCAGCTCTTGAAGAAGCCTTCTGCCCATTTCATGGGAGCTATCTTTTCCCTTGAAGCCATTACTACTCCCTTCCCTACACCTTCCTTCTTACAGCCCATTCTCACCAAATTCTCTGATGTTTTTGCCACCCCCACTTCCCTCCCACCTCCTCGACCATTTGATCACACTATACCCCTGATCCCCAATAATAAGCCAATAAATATCAGGCCCTATCGTTTTCCCCACCACCAGAAAGAGGTAGCTGAGAAATTGGTTGCTGAGATGTTACAATCCGAGTTCATTCAGGAGAGTCACAGCCCCTATGCCTCCCCTGTTCTGTTAATTGGGAAAAAGGATGGTACGTGGAGATTCTGTGTGGACTATCGTGAATTGAACTCTGCCACCATCAAGGATAAGTTTCCAATCCCACACATTGAAGATTTGTTGGATGAGTTGCACGGGGCTGTAATATTTTCAAAACTGGATTTAAGGGCAGGTTATCACCAGGTGAGAATGCATCCTGCTGACCAATTCAAGACTGCCTTTCGCACCCACCAAGGCCACTACGAATTTCGGGTTATGCCCTTTGGGTTGACTAATGCCCCGGCTACTTTTCAAGCGTTAATGAATCATGTTTTTGGGCAGCATCTAAGAAAGTTCATTTTGGTGTTCTTTGACGACATATTGATCTATAGCAAGACCGAGGCAGACCACCTCCATCATCTTGAGGTTGTTCTACAGCTACTCCGGAAACATCAGTTGTATGCTAAGGCCTCCAAGTGCTCTTTCGGGCAGCCCACTGTGGAGTATCTTGGCCATGTCATTAGCAAGGATGGAGTTTCTACGGACAATAACAAGGTGACAGCAATGCAAACCTGGCCTCGTCCCACTTCTGTGAAGGGTTTGAGAGGATTTTTGGGTCTCACGGGTTATTACCGCAAATTTATCAGGCATTATGGCATTATTAGCCGCCCACTCACTGAGTTGTTAAAGAAGAATGGATTTCAATGGTCTGCAGCTGCGGAAAATGCGTTTGTTGCTCTCAAGACAGCTATGAGTCACGCTCCTGTTTTGGGACTTCCCGATTTCACTCAAGCTTTTACTCTTGAAACTGATGCCAGCGGTACTGGGGTGGGAGCTGTACTCTCACAAGGAGGAAGGCCTTTAGCTTTTTATAGCAAAGCACTAAGTCTAAGAAATCAAGGGTTGAGCACATATGAAAAAGAATATTTG